GCCGTGGAATTTGCATAAATATGCAGAAGTGCAAAAGACATAGACATACAATAGATGGACATACCTAAAAGAGAAGATATATGACATAAATAATAATAGTAAAAGAAATGCAGTGCATATATATCTTTGGCATCATGACCTATATATATCTAAACTGACATCTACTGATATGGTCAGAATATTTGCTGAAAATGACCGAAAGGACATGAAAACAGGTGACAACCGCTATAGAATGAATCATTTCTCGGGAAATTCTCTGCTGGGCCTAATTTTTAATGATCGTAAGACAAAGTTATACAGTAAAGGTTAGTTACAGAGAATGAGTTCCTGAATTTAATGCATGAAAGATGAGTATATTTCATATAAGCAAAACTTATATTTGGAAAATGAAAAAAAAAAAAAAATAACAAGTTTTCACAAAGATTTACAAGTTTTGTTGTTGAAACTAAACGAGGGACTGACTATTCGTCATGCAATAACTTCAACATTTTCAGCCACCCATTCATTCGATAGAAAACAAAAAACTTCTCGTGTTTGAATAGTTTCAAATTATCCAGAAATTTATTTTCTCCTTGTTTATAATTTATAAATTCCTTCTAGAATTGAAGTTTTTCGTTTTATATTGTAAGTAAGTGAATTTTTTAATGGTTAATTTCATACGATGAAATTATATAAAATTTATATGACGCGAAGTGATGTATGATTTTGAGATTTCTCATAATCACAATCTCGTAAAAGCGAGCCAAGCAAAAGAATTTCAGTTCTTCAGTTCCTGAACAGTCTAATAGCTAAAAAAAAAGAAACGAAAATTTTTTATTGAAAAAATTCAAGCTTAAATAGGCTTATAATGAGGGAACTGGAAATGCAGCAGAGTCTATAAAAATTTTTTCAATTTTGATTTCAAATACAGAAGAGAAAATTAAAATGTGTGGGGAAATTTTAAAACCAAAGTACGAATAAATTAATATTGCAAGCACCCTCATGACAATTGTGCCTTTAACTGCACTTTAATTTCTTAAATAAACTTTTTCGCTAAAATCAAAAATTTTGAAAAAATACGAGTATTTTGGAAAATTTTGCTTGTTTGTTTAAATCCAATACAACATGAAATATCAACAAAAGTCATCTGAAAAATTATTTTTTTTTTTAAAATAACTTCCACAAACTTATTCATTTACTGTTTGTCAGTCTTTTGATCTCATCATAATCAAGAAAATAGGTCATCACTTTCCCAGAAATTTTTTGATCATATCACTCTTCTTTTTGAAATCAATTAACATTCTGAAATCATAATCACATGTATTAACACTATCAGTATCATATCCATCATCCAAGACTCATTAAGATAAATATTTCCGTTCATTGTACATTTTGAATTAATGTCTTGAATCGCACATATTACTTTCATCACTGTTTAACTACCTGCACTAATTTTTTATTATAAATAATTTGTAAACATTCCTAGAATTGGTGTCTGGTGACTTTAATTAGTGTTATAATTATCATTATGACGTCACAACTTTTCGTGTCTAAAAAACTAAATTGTAATATGTGGAAATAAACATTTTCGTATTACAATGTTTCTTAGAAATGTGTTTAGTTTTTTGGATTCAACACAAATTCATTTCGACATATTATAATTCAGCTTCTCCGACAATTGATGCTATCAATATATTCAACATGAAACGATATAATTAATTATTGCTGGTTTCAAGATTTTGGCTGTCATCTTTATGACTAGTTAATCAGTTATCATCACTCCGTTACTACTATCACCCAACTGATTAGAATTTAGTTTCGCATATTTACATGGCACTTACTACGGTAATCATAATTTTAGAATTTTAATATTTGATAAATTTAGTGTGCTAAAGTTTTTTGAATTTGCATAGAAGTGAATTTACTAGGAAACCAGAAAACTAGTTTGGAAATGAATTACTATTACTGCCATGATATGCAATTATATCTGTTAAAACTGTAATGAATAATGGTAATGCTCAATTCAGTCCAAAATTTTTCGTATATTTTAGAATGACGATAGATATATTTGTTTTTATGAACAAAATTTCATTCAAATAATACTTTTCTTCCTGCAAAACTGTTTTCGAAATAATAATAAAGGAGTTTGTCAATTTCATAGTTCAGCAGAATTTTGTAATTTTTTTGATGTTCAGTTAAGAAATGCAAGTAAAAACAGGTTTCTAAAAAGAGCTGTTTTGTATAATTTTAAGACAGTGCCGAAATACTTAAAGAATTTTGAAAATTTTATAAAATGTCTAAAAGAAAAGGGAATGTTCAGAGTAAAAATCACGACCTGTTTTGATAAGTAGTGAAGGCTGTAATGTTTGTGAAACTGATAAAAAACTTTATGGTTCAAAATATTTTTGTATTCGTTTCTTCGTTTACGAAGTGCTAAAGAATTAAACATTGATAAATAATACTGCATCTAGTGTCACCAAAATTCAAAAAAAGATATACTTATGCCTAGAAAATTAATAATAAGATGTTTTTTAAGTGAACACCAATTCTGATGATTTCAAGAGAAATAACTTTATTACTACTTCTGTCGCCATCAACCTAGTGAGCACTACCCTCATGCATAATGTAACAAGTTTGATAATCATATTTGATTCAATAATGACAAAAATTTTTTCTTTCCGAATCCGAAATGAAAGCAAGGTGAAATCAGATCAAAGCACATTAATCACAAAGAAATCGGTTGAAACCTTTTTCTAAAGTAATTTTAATAAATATTCAGACTGATCTTTTCTTTTTAAATCAACTAATTTATATTCTTCTCTGACATACATGTACATGCACGTGCATGCATGCAAGCATCTTTAGTTTTCTCTTTTGTGATCATATTTCAAGTTTGTTTAAAAGGTTAAGCCATACACTACTGCTTCATTTTTCTGATAATCCTTGTGATGATCCCTTGCGACTTTCTTCAACAAAATCTGATCTGAACATCTTAACGCAATGTGAGAATGATAAATAAATTATTATAAAAAATAAAAAAATTTGTTATCATTTACTATTACTTCAAAATCTTAGTCTCATATGTTATAACGATCCTAAAAGAGTTCATAACTGATAGAGACAGATTTCAAAAGGTCTATAAATATGAAAAACATAAAAGAAAAGCCGAGGACTGATTTTAAATAATGACATAATTTTTTCAACTAAAGTTCAAAAGTTTTAAACAACCGTAAGTTTAATGATTTAGGATCTTAAAATAATTTTAATTATTTAAGCAAAATAAATTATGCAAAACGAATGTTGCAAATTCAGTTACCATTATTTTTTTTTGCTGACCCTTAATTAATATTTATTATTTGCAAATCTTTTCAACCAAACTATCCATCACTTTTATATTTTGCTTCAATTTTTCTGTAGCATCTTATTTTTAACCTTTCATCTTAAATTTCTTCTAATGAAACATTTGATTCTTTCAAAATAGTTTAATTAAAGGAAAAGAGGAAAATAAATATAGAACTTCTCAGCGACAAAGTGTGGGACAGTTAAATAGAACTCTTTTACTTCTTACATTTAATCCATTTTTGAAAAGTTATTGTTAATTTACTGTTAATTCGATAGGTTTAGAAGTGTAAAAGAATATGGATTGAGGATATGTGGATGGAGAAGAGCGCAACTGACAAGAAAACGGAAAGGTGGAATGATTACCTATTATTTTTCCCTTTTTACCAGTTCTAATATTCACAACGATGCCACCGATCTTTCTTTTATTTCCCTTTCATTTCTTTGCAACTAAAATTTTCATTCAACTAAAATATTTTTCATGCCCAGTCTAACTTAAACTAATCACAAACATTTTATTTCAACTTTAATTTCAGTTAATTCTTCAACAAATAAAGAAAATTTTGATAGCTGGACAACAATGACACTTGTAGTTTTTGTTAAAATGCTTAATTATGGTTAGCTGATATGATTACCCTTCCATATAAATTACCTCAAAAAAACACCTCGTTAAGAAATCGATTTTTTTTCCATTTCATTGATTAACTTAGAATTCAAAGTGCAGTCATGGAGAATGTTTTTTTTTTTTTGCTGAATCGCTAAAAAATGATGCATTCAATGACTTCTTTATCCATGAAAGAAAGACTTTTTTCGATTTTTCCGATCAAAAACTTGGAATTTAACCTGTCGTAGAAAATCCGGTTTTCATTCAGATAGTGTTTATAAGTTTAACGATAAATTTTGTAGCTCTCATAACATCCGTCTTTCTTCGCAGTTTTTGGTAGTCTGATTAAAGTGATTACAGAGATTTAGGGTTTTTTATTTGGTCAGCTTACGAAAATAATTAATTTTTATTGCAAAATTTTAAAAGCCCATTCTATGAATAATTTGTAGATGTCATTCAATGTATAAAGCTAATCAAGAGAAACGTGTTAAGAATTATGAATTTCAAAAGTTTTATGATTTACTTTTCTTTAGATCGTTTTAATTTATTAAAGATGCATCAGTTGTGAATTTGTCGAAAATATGTTCTCAACAATGAGCGTAATTCGTAGAAAAATCAGGAAATGATTTTGACCGATCGCTTAAGATTTTTTTTATATTTTGTATTTAGTGCGCAGAATTTGAAGGTCGAAGAATTGTTAAAACTTTTTATTTGCCGATAATAACAAAATATTGAAAGATGCTGTGAATGTATCAGTTTTTTTTTTTTTTCAAACTCAGAATGTACGTAGATTTATCTCTAAGTTTTTTAAACAACCTAACCCAATTATGCAGATTAATGTTCTTGTGTTGACACTTCTCTTTCTTTGACATTAAATGAACTTTGACAGCAATTGCTTATATTATTATTATCTATAACTGAACTTATCCACTACAATTTATTAAATGTAGAAACTGGTGCATATTACCATTTATAAAATATTAAAATTGGTTTTTGAGAATCTTTGAGAAACGCCAAATTATTCGTTTATTATAAAAACAGTGCTTCAAGCTTGAAGTAGATTTAGGCTCATTGAATCATGCATTCTTCATTTAACTTACTGATCATTGCATTGTTGGTACACATATCTTGGGCTCAATTCAGCTCTGAGACATATCCGGATCCACGAATTGACCCATTTAGCTGCAAAATCCCGACTGTGGGACCAGTATGTGACCCAAGTGAATTACTTACGTTCGGTGAGAAGGAAGCACTTACCAACCGAATCAAACAGGTTTATTTATTTCTTTCAAGTCACGTTGCTAGTTTTTGTCGCAATTATTTTTGTTCCTATCAACCATTGGAAAAAGTTGAGAAGTCATAATACAAAGGTGTTATTTCATCGAATTCTCGTGCAATACTAAATATTAAGAGTGTTAATCTCTGTGATTCTTCAATAAATCCAATATGGAATAACCATTAGATATTTAAAACATTGAAGTGATTTCAAAACTGAAAGAACTGCAAAAGCGTTTGTAATATTTTAGAAGATTCTTAGAGCTAGCTTATTGCTTAAAAACAACTTTTTATTAAACTCGAATAGAAGCCGAAAAGTCTGGGAAGCAATAAGAGAAAGAGTCTACAAACTTCGATCACCTTCATTTCGTTTGTAGCTTTTGACATATGCTGCAACAGTTCCAAACTCATCACCATCATGTCGATTATTTCCTGGAAAAAGTTTGAGTATTATTATTGGAGTAGTCGATAAAATTAGTACACTACCGAATACTCCAGTTGATATCGAAAAATTTGCAAATAATCTTAAAATTCGATATCAACTTTACCAGGTATATCTCTTTATTCAAATAAGTTGCTAGTTATTGCCGACCTGAATGATTTGTTGAATCTCGAAAATTAAGCTCAGATCAATTGAAGTTATTGATTGCTTTTACTTTCCTTATCTGTATCTTTTCGGCCAACTTAATACTAAAGATCCAAATGAGTACCTTTCTCATAAAAAACGTATGGCAGATATTACTATAACTTCAATTTTGGTAGGTATTATTACAACTTAAATTCAGGATGTGAATTTATGTGATTTAATGGTATTGATTGTAAATTCAAACAGTGATCGACAAGTATTTACGGTTGCTGGTAAGGACACAAAATTAACAAAAGATGTCCTGAAAACTGCATTTGAACGGAACATTAATCATTTCAGAGTATGTTCTTGAAGAATTCCAAAAAAATTTTTGAAAGTTTATAACACCACAAAATTGAACAACAAATAGTTTTCCTCACGTCCATACTTCTAAAGCCAGTACAATCACTTATGTTTTAGGCCAATCATTATGCGATCGGTCTTCAAGGCATGGCTGAATTTATTACTAAATCTTATCGTGATGCTCAACTATTTCAACCTGGTACTTCATTATCAGCACTTTTGCCAGTTCCTATATCTCTTACAAAGTAAGCATACTTCGAGTTTCTTCTTCACACTGAAATTCGATTCGACTCTAACATCAAAAACTTTCATAAAAAAATCAAATGTGGTCTTTCTGTATATGAGACTTAAATTTACTTTACAGTGAAGTGACCGCCGCAACTAGTGATGTCCGGGAAGTGACTGACAGTTTGGGCATATCAATCCCAGTTACAATCCCTGTCTTTCACTCCAGACGTTCTGAAGTTGGCAGTGAGAATGAAATTGGTGAGGAAAATCTCATCGTTCCAGTGGAAGATAAAAGCGATCAACTATGGATCGATATTCTAATACAGGTCATTTAATAGTACAACAACCTTTAACCTGCATCATCACATAAAACTAATGTGCTGGACAAAACATAACTGTGCTATTCTATTTGAAAAATCATTTCCTATTGTTATAATTGTTTGTCATTATTCTGAAATTCTTCATTCCTTAGGCAGTAGCACGATGTGGCAATAATCACGACAAGATTGTTAAATATGCACAAGCAATTGTTGAAGGTTGTTTAATAAGTAATTCCACTAGCATAAATTTAACGAAATACTTTTAATTTTCTAATGACATTAGTCTGCATGTGACAGGATATGAGACCAACAAAACAGCTTATCAAAATAATGGAATAAATATCTTTGGAAGTAAGTAATATTTTGAAATAATTCATTAACAGAATCTCTTAAAAATTAAAAAACAGCAGTAAAACAAAACGAACAAGAAATTGTGGGCTATGTAACACATTTGGAATCTCGTTGTTCATGTTAATTGTGCATTTCCAGAAGCAATGTCCCTCTCGTTACGTCTTATCTCCGACCAACGTTACTCAACAATTGAGGAAAGGATACAGTCAATGCAAAGTGATCCGGAAAGTCGATCGAGAGTGTGGAATGAAGCCAATATAGAATTTATCGATCAGCTCTATCAGAAATACTTAACAACAATCAGAAGCAAAGCTAACCTAAGATGTCCTGCTGTATCAAAATCTGTCCGCAACTTCTTTGCATTACATTAAAATCAGGTATAATTCAATTTTCTGCTCTTAGCAGAGCAGAAAATTTCTCCAATACTTATAGCTTGACATAGAAAGTGAGCTCTTCTGTGAACCTCATAATTCCTAGGTTGGTTGATCGACTTAAACTTAAGATCGAATACTGAAGGTATTCAGTCACTCCGTGCGAGAAAACCGATCAAAAGACTTCCTCAAACTATTTGCAGGTTATGACAATACATTTGCAGTATATTGAGTTCCAGAATATGTCAAATTCACCGCAGTCCAAAACAATTGAATCATGTATCTCTTCATCTTTTTCTTTCCATCTTTCCCGACAAAAGAAACATGTACTCTTTTCCTTCATTATTTCGGAAAATGGGCACGAATTTTAAAAAATAAAAACTGCATAATTTTGAAGGGGCTATTGACAGGTCACCACACAGCTCGACAAAAAAAAAAACGTATAGCAGCAATAATATTTTATACCGACTGTGTTTACATATCATTTTCTCTACTTGTTTTATACGTTGACACAGTGACAGTTTTTACAATTCATTTAACAATTAGAAAATCAATGAACAGCTTTGAAATATCATTATTAGAATCTGCATAATTCTTATACTCAAACTGACGAGTTAAAGAAAGGAATTGAAAATGTATAAAGCTTAAAAATAATTGATTAAAACTTTAAAGTTTAATTAAGAAAAGAAAAAGATGGGAATGCCTGAACCAAATAACAGCAATAAAACTGTAAATACAACTCAGAAAAATAATGATGTATGTTCATGTAACGAAAAATTAATAATTCGACAATCCTCTCACAACTCTGCCCTCATTCGAAGATGAACACTGAGCATATCGTTTTCTACCATACTTAATTTTTGGGAAATATTCTGGATTCATGAATACGCATCTGTGAAGATGCTCAACTTGGATTGAAAAGGAACATTTGAAAAGTCTTTTCATGCTTCACTGTTGTAACTTTTCCCAAAAAATTATTTCAGTATTCTTCATTGAATGGGAAGAAAGGATGGTCTGCATCTCTTGAAAGACCTAGAATACGCCAATTTTTATCCAAGCCATTGATCAGTGCCATATCATCGGGTTTGAGTTCAAAGTCGAAAATCTTGACGTTTTCAATAATTCTCTTCTCAGTCACTGATTTCGGGATAACAACCAATCCACGCTGGATACCCCAACGTAGCACTACCTGAAAAAATAACTAGATAACTAAATAGTTTTTTTGAAAAGTTATTTAGAAGCCTAGTTCGTTACTTCTTCCGCATTCTGAGATTGTAAAATCATGTCAATGGTGAAGTACAAGACCCAGTTTATAGAAGTTTCCTTATTTCAAAACCTACCTTTACATCTAGCAAAATGAAAGATCTTTCCAACTTGAAAGTTTGACATACACGGTTATAAGAAGTTTAAACATCAGAAATATAATTAAATCAAGACAGCCTTTTTACAGATATTCATAATTTATTTAAAAACTTGAATCACCATAAAAAACTAAAAAAAGTAACAAAAACGGAATGCCTTACCTGTGCTGATGACTTGTGATACACTTCCGCAAGCTTAAGAATAACGGGATCATCAAGTAAGACAGCATCTGTTGCTTTTCTGAATGGCATCGCGGGATTGGCTAGCGGACTATACGCAGTCATTACTATTCCGTATTCCTGACAGAAACTGTACAGTTTGAGCTGTTGGAAATACGGATGAAGTTCAACCTGAATTTCGTTCAGTATTTATTAAAATTAATAATATGATTCTGGCTAATAAATAGCTATATTTATAGTTTGTTTTAAAAAAACGTCTTATTTTTTAAAAAACTTCCTTAACAGTATATTTACTATATATGCCTCTTATATATATATGATATCATTTGCCAATTTAATTTGAAGAGGAAACAGGAGCTTTAAACAGGCCTGCAAAACAGCCGGTTTGATGGTGCAGTTGTTGATCACTCGCAGAATCTGTTTGTGGTTAAAGTTCGACAATCCAATAGAGCGGATTTTTTTCAATTTTACATACTCTTCCATAGCACGCCATGTATCCAAATAATCAATATTGGAATACTTCATTTTTTCGCCATCAGGTCTCTAAATCATAGCATATAATATCAGATGGATTTATACGTGAACAGTACTTTAAACAAGTTAAACGAATACCTTGAAATTACTAATTTTAAGATATTTTTAATGACAGTGCCAAATAAGGAAAAATGGGCTCACATTTCTTTATATATTTAACAGTTTACACGAAAAACTTGGCTGTTCCACGGAAAATGAAAAAAGTACGACAAAACCTTGGGGAAAAATTCACCACTTTCTTCATATCCCTGTGGCCAGTGGATGAGGCATAAGTCTAGATAATCCAGGCGAAGTTCACCCAATATGATATCTATATCCTTCTTGGCCATTTCATATGAATGAAAAGTATTCCATATTTTCGAAGTGACAAATACATCAGCACGCTGAAAACCTCTACTGCATATAAATAGCTTTGAAAATCTTGAAAGCTCTGGTTTTTACACCATTTTAAAGCAATTAAAATTAATGGTTTAGAAATGCTGGCATAACTATTTGGATAAGACAATATAAGCCAAGTGAAATTACGGCCAGCATAAGTTCTTGGATATAAAATCAGTGAAATAGAATTTTTTTATAATCATTCCCACCTTCAGACTGCTCTCTTTGAAAACCTCAGCAAGAGCTTCACCCAGTTCAATTTGATTTTGATATACATGCGCACAATCGATATGTCTATAACCGTTGTTCAGAGCGATTTTAAGTGCTTTTCCAACTTGACCTGGCTTCGAAAGCCAAGTACCAAGACCAACAGATGGAATGTAATATCCTGAGTTTAATTTGACCAAGGATGTCATACTGATGGGATGTAATATTTTGAGTTCAATATGATCAAGGATATGTCATATGAAACAAATACCTGCAGATGAAATCAAGGTAAAAGTGATGCAGAGTATCAAAAATTAAAACTGTTAAATATACAGTAAAAGACATCGGTCTGGGTACTCTGACTTATCTGACAAAATTTGTTTAGGTCACAACACTAAGGCCACCTGCCCCCTTCAAGCAACAATACTATCAGTGTCGATATATTCACACCCATAGATCTGGCAGTACATTTCCCTACTGCACAGAACTTGCCCCTTTGGGCTGCCCTTCCCCAACTCATCATTCCCGGCAGCTGGGTGCTGCCTCTGTCACCAACCACTCTCACCGTCCCCACAACAGTCTCCCCTGAAAATCCCTCTCCATCTCTTGCTATCCTTAATCATCCTTTGATAATGTCCATCACCATCTTTAAATCCTTACTGTCTCTCAAATTACCTTGATGTCTCCACAATCTAACTCTTACACTCTATCTATCCTTTCTATCCACCTTTATGATATCTCAAGGAATTATCACTGTTATCACCACCAGATAGAGACAAAATAATGCAGTGAATAAAACTTGGCACAATTCCAGCTGTTGTCGTTTCATTCTTGTGAGAGAGAGTGTCCGTCTTCTCGTGCATACTCACTTCGTCTCCTACGTGAACTGCGCTTTCACGCAATTCTCGGACATGGACTTCTACGTCAGTTCTCACTCAGTTTATTAGTTCTCTTATGCGTCACTTTACAATGCAAATTTTACCGTCCTTTAGCTAACCTTACTCGTAAGAAATGATTCATGCATTGAATTCAATCTTTTTGAAAGATTCGAATTAACAGCATCAATAAATTACATTCCACCTCTTTCATCTTTGATATTCCTCTATAAAGATGTCATCATTATCGAATTCAAAATAAACAGTCCATTCATGCTTTCTTGGGTCCTACGCTGTTGTCATTGCTTTCCTACCACTTATTGTGATGTTGTTGTGATAGTTCTGTGTGTAGCTGATTGTGTGAGTACCAAATTGATAAGACATTCAGCGAGAGCTAAGTTTCTTTTCGATTCCCTATTCAATTATTTTTCCCTTACTTTTCAAGAGTAATTGGCATTTCCATCTTTTTTTTGAGTGCTACAGCAGCAATTTGATTAGATGCTAAGTAGATCGAAGACTTGAGTCTTTGTATATTTCTTTGTATATTTTAAAGAATTTTTATATTTCCAGGAGTGCTGTCAAGTACAGTTTAACATGTAAATAATTTTACTAACTCTAACATCCTATATCACGGCTAAAAAATAGCATGGCAGCAACATTAACCACGTGTTCACAATGTGTTACTTATAACGAACAGCTGAATAGCAAAGCAAACGAAATTAAGGTATCGGATTCAGTTTGAAATTAAGACCACTATTTGTACGCAGTTTTCACCATTTGAGATGCTTAACTTTTCAAGTGGGAAATTGAATTGCTGGACCTTGCTAATTCACGCAAAACAATTTTCTATACAGTTAAGTGATTCTGCCTAAGAAAATCGGAAAATTTGATCTATTGAATATTTTGGTTTAAGCAAAATTCCAGCTTATGAAAGGATTGTTATATTTAATTTAAAGATCCAATGTACAGAAAGTAATTCTAATGGAAATTTTGCACTGAAAGCGCTTGATTTTTATATAGTTTTTATAAAATTTGCAGAGTCTGCAAGAACATGTTCTAAAACTAGCTCATAAGCTGCAGGATGAAAGCAGAAGGAAGGAAGAAGTGCAGGAACGCCTGAACGACAAGCTAATCAGGCTCAATGATTATGCCATCAAAATTAGGGTCAGTAGCCATTCGGTTGCATCGTTCTGTCTAATTTTTTAGAGATTAATTAGTTTTTATCTGATAGTGATTGCTTCCACTTCATATCTTTATTAAAACGAATTTTTTCTGGGCATCAAATTGAGAGATTGTTTTACCAACAGCGATGGTACGCTAATCTTCGTAGTGTTGTTGTTACATTCTTATAGCCTTAATTTTTCATCTCCTACCGTAACTGTGAGCCTTAATTTTTAATTGAAAAAAGATTTGGAAGAGAAAGTTTCCTTAACTGAAGAGAATTCTTTTCTCCAGTACAAAATTGAGACTGTACGTTAACAGATTTCAGGTGACTGCCTTTCATAAAAATTCCTGTCGATTTAAATAATATTATTGTTGAAAAAAAAAACTTTTTAAAAAGCTTCGGTAATTGAAGCATTCGCGGTTTGAGCACTTATGCTATTTTTATTTAGTTCGTAAATGTTCGCAAGTATTTTTTAAAATGTCATGTCATCAAGTTTCATTTGTATTTTGATCTCTCACCATAATTATGAAAAATTAAAAATCATTAATACAAATAATGAACACTTTACAATTTATTCCCATGATTTATTCACTACAAGTTTCAAAAACAAGAAATGAAAGGTCAGCTTTGTAGAGTCTTGAGGAACAGTTGCAGTCAGCAACCGATCGTCGTCCGATCAATGAACTCTCTCGCGCTGAAGTTGATAGTATCATTGGTCGAGACCTAGAGCGGATTCACTCACAACTAACCGAAAAGGTCAGCGAAATAAATTATTTCACATTCTGTACATGTGCGGAACGTGAACGGAAATTTTTTCCTTACGTTCCATCTTTCAAATGGAAGAAGGACAAGTCCATTGCACTTTCGAACAAGCGTCATAATTTGTGTTAGTAAAAGTGCGCGAGTTTTAATCTGAAATGGAACACAACCCCTAACTATTTTTTTCTTTTTTCATTAACGAAGGACCTTTGCAGGATATGAAAATAATGGCATTGAATGATACGATACTTGAAAAAGAAGGGCAAATTATTGAACTACAAGAAATGTGTCGTGAACAGGGAGAACTTGTACGAGCGAAAGCTAAAGCTTTCCAGATCATACAGCAAAAACTGCTGGTATTTTTAAGACCACTAGGGTTAATTTTGAAGCAACAAATGACTTTAGAGATGACAGACTATAATAGAGTTGAGGTTCCCATCTTATTATTGCTCTGCACTGATAATCCATACATTTTTACTTTGTAAAAGACTTTCCCAATATCTAGGTGGTGGTTTTCATGCCTTCTACGATTATGCAGATTTCAGGATTTTGGCACACGAACGACACGCGAAGATTCCACAGAAACTGAAGCTGCGTATGTTTTTGAGTCCTCATTTACTTCACTGTCGTCATCGCAACAACTACTGAAGGAGCAACATCACTATGATTCCTTTTCGCCAGGACATGCTGTTATACATTTTAAAACAGGTTGGTTGGCGGAAACTTCGATTCATTTCAAATAGCGTCCGAGGCCAACATATTTCCAGATTTAATTTTCCGATGAAAAGGTTGATGTAAAGGTTACAAAAAGATATCTAAACAAGGTTTTTTTTATCCAGGTAGTTCAGCTTCACCTCCACCAATTGATCCAAGTGAGGAATGCAGTTCAGTAACCCACGATAACGGCAACATACAGGACGACCTTGATACTGACGATATAGGCTGTGCGTCCGCTTTGTACAAAAAGAAACACAGGAAGAAAGTGACTTTCGACTTGTCACCTCCTAAAGAATTCAGAAGTGGTACATTTTTAATCTAGATTAAAAAAATTTAATTTGCAAGAATGTCCAAATTGAAAATTTTGTTACCCAAATTTTATATGTTGAAAGTATGGCTTATACAGGAAAATATTTAGAAATTCCTAGATCACTCATTTCAGGTATTGGTCAAGAAGAAAGCGATATTACACAAGCATTTATTGATGTAACAGTTGAGAATGACCAGTTGCGACAAACAATCCAAGAAATGGAGAAGTGTGCTAGTGATTCACAGAATGATTTGAGTCAGGTTATTCATTTTTTAAATCTAGCAACCTATCTCCTACTCGTTCTCATAATCTTTGAACAGCTTCTAACTTTACGTCAGTACCACTTTCACTTTCGTTTCTCCTGTGTTCATTGTACAAAGCCGTGCCATCACAGCAGTCTGAGGCTGTTTCATTTCCCGGTGGTCGGAAAGTCGTAGTCGCAATTATTCAAGTTCCGTACTGTTCTCAGCTCTCTTTTTACCTTCAAAAATATCGATTTCTTCACTTTTCACATTCCTTTCGCTAACTCTTTTAGCGCGAAATTTTGTAATGTAATTAGTAGGAGTGTACTTTTTCTTCAGTTGCAGTGTTCATTTCGTTATTTTAATTAATTAAATATAGAAGCATTTGAATTCTCAATTTATTGTGGAGTATAATTGAATGTAATGGCATATCACTTACCTGATTTTCAATAGCCAATATTCAGCTCCAAGCACAATTAGATGAAATGCGTCGGGATAGCCGGAATCAAGTTCTGAAAGCTCGTGCTTCTATGCAGGGAAAAATTCGCGATTTGGAAGATAAAATTTCTACAATAAACGCAGAAAATGCCAATAAGGTTACTTTTTATAAAGTTTCTCTCAAAGCAAAATTCGAAGGTTTTTTAGGAAGCATATTGATTTGACGAGAGTAAACTAACAAGGATCTGAAATAAGGCTTGAGGTCTTGGCATCGTTCAAGCATGTAACACTTCGAAAACAAATTCGAAATTAATAACCAGTGTGTTTTAGGTCGAATATTTGAATGCAAGTATCGAAACACTTCGAGCTGATCGTGAATGGACACTGAAAGAAAATGCTCACCTTCTGAAACTTCTTGGTTCCTACAAGTACCCTTTCAAATGTTAATACAAGGAAACTTTCGTAAATAGCTTTTTCTACTCAAGAATTTAGCTAATGTACCATTTCGTAATTAAGTGCTAAATGTTATTATCAATTTGAAATTTTATGGACGATCCGTCCGTTAGCTTGTATATTCAACCCATTTGTTTTTATCGAAGTTTATGGCTTCCATGGTATTTTTCCTTCTCTAACACATTTTGAATGAATTGCAGACAAAAGTTGAGTGATGCTTGGGAAACACTGGATGCAGGACAAGAGGTAAGCAAGAAACTTCGTTCGAAGTTGAATGATGATCGAGCTTTGATTGTTCAGTTGGCTGATGATTTGGAAGAAGCACAGCAAACAGCGAATATTTTATTAGAGCAAAAAATATCTGTTCTTGATGATGTTGAACGATTAAAAGGTATACTGCTATGCTATGTAGTTTGATTAAGAATATGTGCGAAGTGAAAGTTTTTTGTTTCTAAATTTAAAAAAAAAAACTTAATATTCAACTTTTTACAGAAGCTTTAGAAGCTCAAGATCAATATATTGAATTGCTGGAAAAAGATACAATGATATACGAAGAGCATGTCGGCTTGTTAAGAGATTCGTTGGGTGCTTCGAAAGCGGAACGAAAAGCTCTGATAAAATCAAAGGCTTATGAAGCAAAACTAAAAGCGCTAGAGCAAGAAAAAGAACAAATGAATCGAAGAAGCAATGGTAAGTCAAAATTTTTATGCTACTGAATTCGATAAAATACATGAACTAATCCTTCAAATCAGAACGATAAGAGGCAGGCTAAAAGAAATTCTTGAGTAATAATTACTCATATTTTTTTCTAACTGTTGCATGCAACTACTCTACTACATTCATTTCATAATATACTTTAAAAATTGTGTTAAGAACGGGAGAGAATTCTGAGTTATGCACAGCAAACAGAAAAATAATTACCTGTCAAATATCCTAGATTTAAGTGTTTGAAAGTTGTCTGGGATTTGATTTACATGCGAGTATTAACCTAAACAGTCTTGGCGTGTTCTAGCTCCTTTTTTATCGAGTCAAACACGATCGTTCGTTTTGTTTTTTAATGGAAAACATTGCATAACATAATATTCCTCACATATCAACTTTTCATTCCAAAATGAGAGAACAAGAATTCAAACTTTTACTTAAGCATTAGTGAGAACCAAGAAAAATGAATAGAACAAGAATATGTAATGCTCAGTACAGTAGGCAAAGTTCAATTTTCTACCACTACTACTCATTGTGTTTAGTGAAGCCAGATATAGCTATGCTTATCAGATAAATAAGTTTAATATAAATTTGAGGAAATTAGAAAATGGAAAGATATAAGACTATATAGCGAATATGACTAGTAACTAAATTCAAATTTAAGTTTAAATAACAGAATAGAAATAAATTAGCTGGTAAAAAAGTATTGAAAGATAAGTGAAAAAAATGAACGTTACCAATTTTTATTAAGCGCCATTTTCAAAATATTGGTCAGAGGAAATTTTTTATTTACATTTTTCTATATAAAAAAGTGGGTTGTTTCTTTTCAAGAATGGTTGAAAAATGAATAGGAAGAATGAAAGAAGGTAAAAAAACTGCCAATTTTTGATAATCATAATGTAAGCAAAAATTTTCAGCGACATGGTCAAGTATGAAAGTCAAGAATTTTGACATGAGAATTGTGTAACAGAGCTGAACAAACAGTAGGCAAAAATAATTAATGCTTTAATATCAGTGTTGTAGAATTGATAGATTCGCTGCCGCCAGAAATTGTCCTCCCACAACTCACAGTAGTTCGACTTGCCGGAGTACTTTGCTCATGGTCATCTCTAATATTAGTTTGGTGTACTTTCTCAAATGAGCGGTAGCAGCGATAATCTCGACCAAAGGATGGTTCTCTTCCATTAGAATAGTTAACCTGAAATATTTTCTGCATAATTTTAATACATAAATTTATAAAGTACACTGTAACCCTTTTTCCTCTCGGTTTAATATTGTCTCTGTTAAATTTGTAGACCTGGCCTTTTTCGGAACGTAGGTGGATTGCGAAACTGGATTCGCGCAATATTAAGAGTTTAAATAACTTACTCAGGTCAAGGCTATACTACTTTGATCCACCACGTATAGATATTCCACGAACAATGACCTTTACCTCGTTGGTACACAGTGGACAGAACCATACACGACTCTTCATGCAGCAGTAGATACCACACGGAAAACACAGCATACCGTGTAGCAAACCACGCAACGTTAATCGTTTCTTCACACTGTCAACTTTACACACTGGACAGACTGCCATAGCCATGAAACGTTACAATTCTAATCGTTATCGTTGAAAAGTTTGGACAGCTGTTTCCTTTTCGCATCAAAAATTTTTGAAATTTAGAGTTAGCAGTATTATAAATAAAAAGGATGAAAATGAGAAAAGACTTTAAGCATTCGGAAAGTAATTCTTCTGATGATAATGTGAGGAATAAGGAAAAGATGAAATTTTGATATATGGATCAAATTCAGAGTACTTCACACTACTTTAAATAATAAAGATTGTCTCGAGTAGATGTACTTACTGTACCATTCGACCGCTTAATAATTATTGAATAATTGTAATAATATCAATAAATTGCTGGCGGTTTCAGCAGAACCACTGTCGCTAACGTCATGCAATGTAGTATCATTCCTAAAGACCAAGTAGTTATAATATTTAATCATACAACTGCAATCTCCATCCAAGACTGGAGAGGATTTCCATATTCTTTTAACTTCTGTAACGTATATATCGATCTGTATCCAAGATCTAAGCCTATCAGTGATGATAAGATATCACATGATCATCTTTGTACAGTGAAAAACAACTAATATAGATGAGGGATATAAGAAATAAGTTCGAATAATGTATGAATTGCATCCTGGTTACAAGAATTGGGAAAACATTATAATTAGATGATTAATTAACCAAACAGATAACTCCTTGAATTCAATTTCACATATGTTGGAAGTGTTAGTAACTTTCTCTTCCCTAAATTTTCTTTTTAACCGAAAACACATGCTAACTGTGGAGCATATCATAATGGCAGATACGATTTGAGTACTGCTATCGAAAACTAAATAAATAATTTGGCAGTTTGCTGGAAAATCAAATGTCTTCCTTTCTCGCTTAAAATATAAGGATACTGGTCATGCCATCATTTCACAATATCATATGAGTGGATGGGAAATTCCGCTTATTTGAATTCCGAAAAGGATCCAAGAAAGGTTTGTTTCTGATCCGATTATCTTGATAGAAGATGATGCACTGGCAGCCATCGGAGATGCTGAAAAAATATGTTAACCAAAAACCAAAAATCGAAAGGTCAGCTTCTGGGGTTACTCGCCAAAAATTTAGAAATATTTAGAGTAGTTTATTATAAAATTACGCTTTGCATCCTCTCCCGAAAATTGAATAAAAGTGGAAGTAATAGTGGAATTTTTCACTGATAAAATTGAACAGCGTTCTTCTAAAGCGTTATAAATATCTGGTAAACAGTGATGATTAATACGGCACATTATGACTAATCGTCCGACTAGAAAACCAGAAATGAGAAGAGAATTGTGCAAATGATATGCATGCTTATATACATTTGAAAGAGGGAAAAAGATGTTTTGCTTTTGATCAAGAATTTGTTGGATCGATTCAGCTTCCATTGTGAAATAATCCAATCAATGAAACAATCATCTGCAGAGATTGTGATTAGGATATGAGAATTTGATGAGCTCGTTTCATTTTCATTATGCTGTGTATGTGTAACGTAGAAGAGAATGTGAAGAATTAACAATCAAATTTGAGATATGTCGACTGAAAACGTTCAAAGAGTAGTTTATAGCTGTAAATCTAAATCTTAAGGGTTTGTTATTTTCTGGACTTTTAATCCATTCATTTTGGAAAATTTTCCAACTTGATAGAAAAGGAAGTATTAGTGTTCTCTTTAATGACTGCTAAAGGAATGAATTTTTTTAGCCTGGTTTGCGGAAGATTCAAAACTGAAAAAATTTCGAATTCTTGGTCTGATTTCTTTGTTAGAGATTTGAAAAAAAAGAATAAAATCGAGATAGTTCAGTGAACAAAAGCGAATTTAGTGTCTAAATAACGAAGCAAAATATGCTAATATATGTGTGCAAAAAGCAGTGATTTTTTCCACTCCCTTCCATTATTCATTACGAAGTTACATCAATGTTTTCGTTGGGTAATTTGGTGTGATAATTAAAAGAAAAGATCAGATAGAAGCAGATCTGACAATTGAATCAATACCATTTTAAAAGCCATTTTACTCTTAAAGAATAAAGAATTCAGAGACCTAATAGCCAATATTGAGTGACTATTGCGGCACTATCTAACTAACAGATGCGTCAAAAAGTAGTAAGGGATTCGTAACGTATTTCGAAAGTCAAAATATTAGAATTGCAATTCTGTAAAGAGCAAATTTCTGTGAAAAAAGATGACGCTTTCTGGAATAGTAGAGAAGATAGTGACAAACGATCGGAAAGAAGGGAAGAGGTTTTTGAGAAAGAAGAGGAAAGAAAGAATGAGTTTGTTCACTGCTAATAGAATCTGCAGCGGCAACTGGTTTTGTAAGAGGGAATTTCATGTGCTGGCTTCGAAGTATTATCATTAACAAAAAGGCATTTGAGAAATAGAGGATCTTCGAGAATAATTTTAATCTTCTTGTGCGTACAGATGGAGATTATCTGTAGAGGGGTAGAATCTTTAGGCTTGAAATGAATTTGAGATTTGTATACAGTGAATCACGTAAACCAAATTTATACGATGAATGCTTCTGAATGGCCAGATCATCTCAATATTTAGACAATCAAGTCTTTAATGTTTCATGCTTAAAAATAAAAACACTGACTTGGAATAAGTGGAAAAAGTTTCTCTTTATTTGAAAAAAATTTTCAAAAAAACTATTTTCCATTAGTAAGAGAATTTATGAAGTATGCTTACTGGTAATACATTTCACAAATAAAATCAGCAAAGACTAGAATTCATTTTGATTTTGCTCATTTTGCATTCAAGAAATAAATACTTATTATTTCGTTCCATTTTTTAATTCAGGCATGTAACAGGCATGGAGATTTAAAAAAGAAAAGTGTGGGATGGGCAGGTAAGGTCTTAGAATAAAGGAATATTTGAGCCTTTTGCATATCTTCCTCCAATAATTTTTTATGACTGGATATAGTTAATGAGACCATGAATTCCCAGGAAAATATACATTTGGTGTTTTTATCTTTTATTTTGTCGTTTTTCTCTGACATCTTCCAATTTCAGGCAAGAAATTGCACATAAAAGCTTTAAGTCTAAAAATCAATTCACTGGAAGCAGAGAAGGCCCTTCTAATAACTCGAAACGATGAGCTCGAATCTCGACTGATCCAGTTAGGCCAAAATCTTTCGATTGCATCCGTTATTGCTTCAAGTGCTACTGTCACTCCTTGTACGGTAGAATCTGTTTCAAACTTGGTCAGTTCAGGAAGTGCTTTCAAACCAGTACACACCCAAACGATGATGCAGGTGGTGTATTTTATCTTAATTTTATATGTGTATTTTATCTGAAAGATTTTTCAGATTGTGTTAAAGCAATTACTTGTGCTGTTTATTCTATTCATTAAGTTTTTATCTTATTTTTTTTTAATTTACACAGTTTATCCGACCATTATTGTGTATATGTTATAAGGAATTTTAATTATCCTTTTTAAAGAGACTAAATAATGGAAGGCAGTCAGCTGCGGAAGCTTTACGTTGGCCAGTGTTAGAAAATGTCGCGGCTGCATATGGTAACGTTCTGCTTCAATATTCTATCCATTTTCCAAATTGGACTGACAAAGTTTAAACTTTGGATTTGAATTACAGAACTAATTAGTGTTTTACTGACTAGTTTTTATTAGTTTTTGCTAATATTTCTATAATTTTATTATTTACTAGAACATAGTAATATCAAACTTCTTTGTGGACATCGATTTTACTGAATTCTATGTTAATATTTTAGGGCATCAATACAATGAGAATCTGGTAAATAATATGCAAATTGAATTGGATATAGCTCGTGAAGAATGCTCTTTGGTACAAGAGAAGATTGTTAAGATGGGTTGCATTAATTCTGAGTTGGAGCATCAATTAATAAATGCTAAAGAAAGTTTGGAAAAAGCTGAAATGCGAGCTCGGCAAGCTGAGGAACAAGTTGGAGAGTTTTGTCGAAATTGTTCGCGGCAAGAAGAATATCAAAAATCATTGCAGTCTGAATTCTTAGTTAAAGTAAGAAAAGCCACAAACAACTATTAAAAAATGAAATAGAATTTTGTAGTACCATTTCTTGAGTATCGCTTATTACTTTGTAGACACTGATAATATACGATCACAGAACTATGAAGAGATGGCTTTTTCTATAGGCTGCAGTTGATTTTCCACATTTTTTTGCATGTAATATTCGAAATTTAATTATGTTGATTATACAATATAATTGAAATTGATGATTCGTTTACATGTGGCGAGTTATTTCCTCGTATACCAATTAGGGATTAATAGAGGATTCCAAACATTTTCTTTTTTTTTCCTTTTCAGTACAGTGCCATAGAGAGAGAAGTAAATGATCTTAAGGAAGAACTAGCTTTAAAAAATGAACAGCTGAATGGTAGGATGATCGAAAATAATAAACGAAATGAAGAAATGAGGCAGTGGCGATTTGCTATGGATGAAATGGAAACCGTTCATATGGAAATAAAAATGTTGGAAAAACAGGTAGTTCTTCAGATTTAAGTTTTAATAATGAAGTCCGAATTGAATAACTTCGATATTCGTCAGAAAATCTTAATAAAGACAGTTTCGATTTTCAGTATTATAAAGGTAGAAATGAAAAGCTGAAAGTTACTTTATTTCCGTTTACTTCTTTTTATAACTTTCCGTAATATTAAAAATCTATTGATTTGTCGTGCGAACATCTGCTTTATCGACTATAATAAATTATATCAGGAACTAGAAATTGTGTGGAAGGCAAAAATATTTTCTTTGTAAAAAATATAAACTTTTATTTGGCAAGCCCATTTTGATAAATCTATCAGGAATTTAAAGAATGATTTCTTAGAAATAATAAATAACAACCTGCAACTTAAAAAAATTGTGGAAAGTTGCAGGTTGGGATTGACCCAATAATTTCTTCAGCAAAATATAATATGCTGATCATTTGCTCTATGACTGAGCTCGTTTAGAAAATTTGCTTGTGCTGCATTATGTATAAGTTAGGAAGTATTGTTAGACGGTTATATATATATATAATTGATTATACTATACATAATACGCTAGCAATATTTTCGTTAATATTTTGGTACTTTTTCAGTTAAATGATGAAAAAGCATCAATGGAGTCAAAGTGGGCAGAAGTACGAACAATATTGCTAGAACGGAAAGGAGACATATCGCGGAAAACTTCAGATGCAGAATCAGTTGCTGATGGAGAACAATGTTCCATTAATCAGCTCAAGCAAATGATGGATACAATCAATGATTTGAAAAATACCGTCGATAAACAGGCCAAACAGCTTGAACGTAATAAGGTCAGCAGTGTTAATTACCTTCCAATGTGTAACGAACTCGTTTCGCAGTACATTATTCTATCTTTAGGGCTGTTGAAATTCTTCATTTTTTTTTTTGTACACACAAGGATCTGTTTTACAGTGCAGAAAGGTGAAAAGAGCAAGTGGAGATTTCTATAGAATTAGAAGACAGTAAGTGATCGGAACACACATTTACTATTAAAGGTAAAAAACCAGAGGAATCATTTCTTCGAAAATAATAATTTTAAGATTATTCAGAAGGACAGTGTTTTGGGTCTTTATTAATTCATTATTTTAATTCAGCACTATGTTTCAGACAGAAAAACGGAAGTTCAAAGCAGTTATTCGGCAATTGCAAGCCGATAAAAAAGCTCTAGTAGCATCTTCAGCGATGAAAAATGATGAAGAACAATATTTGGTTCACGAGGCACAAATCATTGGTCTACAAAAACAACTAGATTTCATGGATCGTGAAATGACTCTTCTCTTTACTTTAAACAGTTCAAAAGATGTTTTAATTCAGACACTAAGAGCTGAGCTTGAAGGAATTTATTCTACAGAGCCCAAATTGTCAGATTTAAGATCTAAAAGCGATAGAAAAGAGGTTTTTATTTTTAATGTTTTTTATTTGTCTTTTTCTTTTTTTTCGGTTACTTGTCTTGCATTTATAAAACTGTAATCTGATAAACGGAATGCAGCATTAACTAAAAAACTATGAAACAAAGGACTTTTACGTCCTTCATTTCTTGTGTTTAATGTTCGTTTTTACCACATTTCAATCAAAACATATTAATCAACTTTTAGGATGATTGTATTGAGCACTTACAAGCGCAGGTTAAAAATACGAATCAGGAAGAATCTGGACGTCTAAATTTGCTGAAAAAAAGCAATACTGAATTGCAAAGGCTACAGGTGCATACACAACAACTACAAGTGGGATATGATCGATTTCAGTTACAGCTTCAGTTATCTCCAGAACGAAATTTAGATGCCATGTCTTCAAATAAAGGCACTTATCAGCGTGCTCAACTGCAACAAGCGCAACAACAGATGGAATTTAATAACAGTGAAGCGGTAGATTTATCGATGGCTGCAAAATTGGCTCATGGTGAAGCTAACAAAGATATAGAGATGAGAACACAAATGGAAAGATTGACTGAAGCTGTGCAGCAGAAAGATACCGAACTACAAAAAATGTTGAACGAGAACGAAGCACTAAAAATAAAGTTTGATTCATGCTTCTAGTCAAAATTCTCACCAAATGTAGTTATTTCTGATGTTTTTTTTTAATTAACAAACAAAAGATACACCTCCTGAAAATTTAATATTACTGCTAATTTTTTTTTTTTTTGTTCCGGTCTATCGGTAGTTTTCTTGATATTAGTGTATTGAATTTTTGTTCCATTTTCATATATTTTTTATGAAAAAATATCAAAATTCTCACCAAATATAGAATATATATATAGATAGATATTCTATTAATTAATGAGTCAGAAATGATTTTTTTCTTTACTTCTGTTATTTAAATCAGAATTTTCAGTTGATTCAAGATTATATTTTATTAATTCATCAATTTGTTTAACATAAATACACAGATGCATTGAATCGACGGCAGCGTTGGATTTACTGAGTAGTAAATTGGAACGTCGAAGTCAAGAGAAAGATGCCATTATCGAAATGCTACAGTCGCAACATACTTATTTAACTCAAACCATATTACTCAATCAAAAAAGTGAAGAACAGTTAACGACTCCGCTAACACTATCACAAAGCATAAAAACAGATACTGAACCAAAATGTATTGTGCAGGATGCATCCACGATTATGGAAGAAGGTCCGAATCTTTTATTTATTTAAGATTAAGACATTATGTGAGGTATGCCCTGCATAGCTGTTTACAAAATTTTTCATACAATATTTCAATGTCTTTAGTTAAAAAGAGAGTACTTGAATTGATGACGAAGTTTTGTCTAGCAATATCAAGCAAACACTAAGCGAATACACGGTTAATAGAATTATAAAATTGCTTGTGTATGGCTTCATCGTAAAGAATAGATGGTAATTTATTTTATTATTTCTATAGTCATAAAAGAAAGATTTTCCAAATTTATCGTAGAAGTGAATTTTTTGTTTAATTACGTTGTCTTTTTTAGCTGAAAGTCGTCCTTTTCTATTTATGCAACATCGCGAAACACAAACAAGAGGTGATTTTCATTTTTCTGAAACTCCAGAAACAAGCCACAAGTCAACTTCAAGGGTTGGTGTTTTAAATGCTTCAAGAATTGTCTTCTGGTTTGAAAAACTTTCGAACTTAAAAGTAGATATCCTTCATAATTTACAAACACTGACATTATATCAGGTATTTGGAAAGCAATTTAAAGTTATCAATTCCTTTTAAGGAAACTTTTACGTCTTTGCTTTCAGATGCCGAATAATTCATGAAGATATTTTTTATTTCTTGATTTTATTTTTTATCAAATAATAAAAACGAAGCTTATATGGTGAGCTTAATGTTATCAATTAAAATCAGGAATTGTTCTCACATTTAAATTATTATTTTTTTAGTCCCGGAGAGTCATTCATGATAATGATCCTATTCTTGAAAATGAGAAAATTTTCCAGTGCATCGAAAAATCAGACCAAATACGCGATAACTTGACAGATGATATCAGACAGTTAATGATTCTGAATGCGGAACTAGAAACTGCTGTTGAAGTTCTCAAAGGTGAAATCTGGGCCCTTAATGAACAACTAAAAAGGGTAAATTTTCTGCTGTCAAGCATTGAGACTTTCATTAGATCTTTACATTCGGAATAATAAAAAATCAAATTAACCGAGGTAATGTGATCAATATTAATTTGAATCGGTTTTAAAGAAAAATCCTAATAATATTTGGATAATTTCAAGTCATTAATTGATCGAGAAGACTTGTCGGAGAAATTGTGCAAGCTTTCACAACGCCATGAGGAAGAAATTGAGCGCGCTCGTGAACGGGAACGTGACTTGGAGGAGCAAAAGGATTTGGCTGAAAGAAGCCAACGACAAGTATGCATCGTAAATTCGTAATTAATCCTCACTTTCCTAAATCTTAAAAGTTCTAATTTTAGGCTGCTTTGGCCGAAAATGAAAGTAATCGTCGTTTGGTTGAATGGCAGGAAAAGAGCGCACAAATGGAAAACAGTCGCATAGAGCTTGAAAATGCGTATGCGAAGCTATCGGAATACTATCAGCAATTGCAACAAGCTTACAATGCTTTGTATGCCCGATCAAATGCATGTAAGGTTGACAGCAATACACAGACAGCAATGGATAGCAATACTTTCAAAATTAGCGAGGTAAAATTGTTATATTCTAGACTTATACTAAAGTCATATTCTAGAAATATTCTTTCTGATTATAATTTTTTTCAGTTTGTCTTGATTTTTACTAGGAAAAAGGCAAAATATAATGGATTTGAAAATCTCACCTTAATTATGTTTTACCAAGATGATACATTTAAGAAATTTGCTGAGACGATCGAATATTGGAAAAGCGAACTTACACAGCGCGAAGCAGAATTGAAAGGACAGGCAGTACAATTGAAGCATGTTCAAGATTTACTTCGGAATCATCTTCATATAATTCTGAAGAATGTCAGAGATTTGCGAGAAATGAGTTTGAAATTGACAAAGGTATGTATTTTAAATGAACGTTCGTTCATTTTATTTATGCTCAAATAAATTGAATACTGAATTCTCAATTAAATTACGAAAAATAAACATATTCGATTTTCTTTGATGCGACAATTTTCGTTGCAAGCTTCTTCCCAGTGTTTTCAAAATTTTTTAAATTCCTCGAAACTAGAAAGTTGGAATAAATGCTATTTTCTTAAGAACATTATTATGGAGAGTGTACAGACAGTCCGAGCTCAACTACACGAAGCTTTGAAAGAAGTTCTTTCATATGTTGAGGAAGTTATCGTCAAATTGTGTAAAGAGAAAGAATTAAAAGATGCCGAAATCACTGTAGCAATGCAGCATCTTATGAATGACACACTAACAGTAAGTTCCTGAATACCAAATTGAATTATCTCTCTCACTGTCTTCATTCCTGTTTCTGTTTAGTGCTTCTTAATGAAGCAATTGCTTCAGATTTTTAGGCTCATCTTAAACTTTCATCTTCTGTAAAGCTGATCCATTTTTTTAATCATTATAAAAATAATTCAATGCTGTAAACTTACTTTCAGGAAAACATCTTACAAACACGAAATTCGTCGTTGTCAATGGTTTTTGACGCTATCAACAAGAAATTTACAGAGATGAAATCTGAAAACACAACTTTGGGAAATGATTTATGGAATGAAAGGAGTGATAAAGAAGCTTTGGAAATGAAAGCACAGCAGGTTTTTCTTTTTTTTTTTTATGTCATGTTACTTTTATCCATGACTTCAGTTCTTACAAACTTTTGGTTAGTTTCGAAATCTTTTGAAGATTAACACTGTTATTATAAGCAGAGAATTTTTTCAGTTTGTATACTACTGGGATGAAGCTCGAAAATTTCCCATTTTTAGAGTATTTCGGAAAAAGACGTGTTGGAATCAAAAATTAAACAGTTGGAAGATCTGCTTCAAATAACACAGTTTTCATTAGCCGAACACGTCATCAAATGTCAACAGCTTCAAGCTGAACTTGATGTGGTTATTTTTTTATATTTATTTCTTTCAAAATTCAAATTTTATGAATGAATTTTTCATAATTTCTCACTTAATCTTCTCTGTTTAGGACGTGGAAGGTTCACATGAGGACAAAATTTGAGCTTCTAATAATTAATTCGCAGTAATTTACCAAAGAAGAATGTCAATTTCTAACTATATTATCATCTTTCAGCTTGGCTCAGCAACGAGCAGTCCAACAGGTTCATTTCTTTCAATTAATTATACGGTAGTATCCTTTTTATGCTAAAAATAAAAATGCATTTAAATTAGCTTTGTCAACCTGTAATTGACCTTGACCTTTTTCTAAACTGACAGCTCTTTTGGTATGATATTGAATAGAGATTTCGATGATTCATAATCATTCTTAAACCTGAAAATTATCAGTGATAACTTAGGTCTATGTATATTATAAAATATTAATTTGATTAAATAAAAGAAGTGCTGGTAAGTATGTTTTTAAGAACTTCTTGTTTGTGTGCCAAATTTTTGAAATTTGCAGTCAAATGAACATATGATTTTTAATAGATGTAGGCTTTTGTAATTCTGTTCAGCAATGTATGCACCAGGAAACGACTTCAAATAATTTCTTTCTTAGAAAAACAGCGGTTTATTAGAAATGTGTATCAAAATATTAAATTTAATACTTGTGCATCCCAATTTTCCGTTATCTTTAATAAAGCTTCTTCTTTAATAACCGTGGAAATTTTTAAATTATTTCTAGTACTTGCACTTTATTCCATTTCAAAAAAGATTATTACATTTCAAAAATACCATTTCAAAAAAGATTATTACATTTCAAAAATACCATTTCAAAAAAGATTTAATGATTATTACAGCAGTAAAATGTGGTAGTAGTAGTAGTGATCCATGGAACTGTTCCACACCATGTACGATTTGTCGTGAGCTGAGGCAAACCGAACAATCAGCTCCAACACCGCAACTACAGTTAGCCATTTTAGCGGCTCGCTTGACAACCAAAATAGCCGATAATGATGCTTTATTCCGGTGCAATGCTGAACTCACCCAAACAAACTTGAGACTGCAGAATGAGGTGAGCGAGTTGAAAGAGCAGATGACTAAGCACATCACATCTTCCAGCAACACTCTTATCTCAGCTATCAGCCAGCAATCACTACTTCAACAACAGTATATCCCAAAACAGTTTTCGAATCAATCATCGGAACAGAAAGTGATGCATAGAGAAGAAAAGGAATGGAAATGGGAAGCAGAAGATCTTGGTGCAGAGTTAGTCAGTAATTCGGGATACCAAGTTACTCCCTACAAACCTTTATTGAATCAACAGATTACTAAATTAACGATGACGAATGAAATCCAAGTACTAGGTCTGACAGAGCTAACATCCCAAGAAGAAGATAAAGAAAGTTTGAAAAAGGAGTTCAATGTAACACGCGAGTACAGCGTAGAAGTTGAAGAGAGAAATAAAGCTGGAAGATTGGGTAATTGTTCAGAAATTACCGAGGATTATTGTTTGGAATATGAAAATAAAATGGAGCAGCTTAAGGACTGTGGAATAGAGACAGAACAGCACGGAGATGCCAGACATCAGCAGAAATTGGAAGTAAGTGGAACTACTACTATTGACGAATTATTGTCACTGAAAAGCTACAATGTTCAGTTAGCGGGGTTTGTGAAAAATGAAGAACAGGAACTGGAAGAACTGGGGAAAGGATTACAGGGTACAGGAACGCGGTTAGGAAGTGAAGGAATACAATGCGAATTGTTTTGGGCAGGGTTCACTGAGGGATTAGAGGAGCAGAAAGAGGTTGCGAAGGGAAAATTGAAAGAGAATGAACATGAAGCAAAGGAGAAGGATTGGATTTCGGGTGGCACGCCGGAACAACAATTTCAAACTTTGCTCTTTAAGCAGGATATCCTTCCGGATGGTGTTGTTGAGGGAAATAGAATACAGAAATTAGAACAACATCAAGAAAGGGAAATTGAGATGCAAGAACTTGAGAACAGGTCTCTGAACCTGCAGTTGAGATCACAACAACAAGTGATTGAAGAGTTAGGGAAGAAGCTCAATGTGGCACAAGAATATAACGTGGTACTGGAAGAGAAAACTTTAAGTATGGAACAAAAAATCATTGATCTGAAGAAAATGTGCGAAGAACTGTTGGTCGAGAAAGGCAGGTTAGCAGAAGAAGTGAAAAATGAAATAAAAACAAAGTTGCACAAAGAAATTACCCTACTTAAAAAGGAGAATGAAAGTCTGGTTGTAGAGTTAGCCAAAAAGCGAGCTTCCCATAATGAAGAGAAAAGAAGCATGAAAGCTGAATTAGCAAATCGCGAAATTATCTTGAAAGAGTTGAAAACAGAAATGGAACATACACAGGGAGAAAGTGTTGATATGCAACGACAACTAGACAGTTATAATGCGCAAATGGAAAATGAATCTAATCAGGACCTACATCAACAGTTAGTCGAAGCACAGAGAAAAGTAGTGGAACTGGAGAGCAGACTGAATGAAGTGGTGGAGCAGAACAGATTATTGAAAAATAGTGAACAAAAACTAATGGATGCTCTTATGGTTTCCAACAAATCTGGACCTAATCTGCAGACTTCGTTATTAAAAACGGCGAAAATAATCAAAAATAGGGGTCGTGTGGGGAAACCAATGATGCATGATGGGAATACAGTGGTCGAAGTGCACGGTAAGGTTGGAACAAGGTAAATTTGTCACTCATTCATTATACATTACAGTCAAATTCTCTACACTTTTAGTTTTTCAAATTGAGCAGAACTGAGGGACTCTGTCGTTTAGTTTTACTGACATAAAAATATTGCTTCAAATCCCTAGACATAATTCATGTTCAATGGCTGCTTATTCGTCACTATTATCACTATTATTGTTATGATAGCAATTGTTATCATAATAAATCTAGCACTTGCCACTCTAGTGTTTTGATTACAGTTCGACAACGATGCAACTACTTGATAATCCTGTGATCACCGATGATTACTGTCCGGTGCAAAAGAAGGTATAAAATTTGAATTTAATAAAAATTTATTAAAGTTGAATCGTATAGTAATTTATTTCTAACTGAGAGGTAAGTGCTACTACTTTTTTTATGCTTAAGGTAGATGATCCGAAGGGAAAATTTAATGAAACACTACATGACAATACTTTGTTGGAAGAAGCTGCTCAAGAGATGCAGCCGGAAATCAGTACTTTGATAAAAGTGAATTTATGTGGTCGTCCTAATTTTTCGGCTTTTTATTTGGATTTTAAATCAATGCGCAAGTGTTAAATCCTGTTTAGTTTATGACACAGTAGTTTCATTTGATGTCTAATAATTTTTTAAATGTCTAAAAAATTTTCAACTATAGTTGCTGGATGTAGTGAAAAATTTGATTTCTGCAGTTAAATAAGCTTTCAAATAAAAATACAATTTTTCCCTTTGCTATAAACGGAGTTTTTCCATGATTATGCTAACCTTTCCTGTAGAAAAGGGTCGTCTTTCTGGGATAGTTTGAATTATTTTTTCAAGAATTTTCTTAATCTTAGAAATTTTGAAAGTAACTTTCGAAAAGCGAGCGAAGCTGGAAACAATTTGAGTAATAAATCATTTCGAGAACTTTAATCTTTGAAAACGCTGATTTTGCTACCTTTTTTACGAGAATTTCAGCGATTTCATTAGGTGTAGGACCAATCGACTCATCACTTTCAGATTTTTCTTTAAATGAATTTGCAGTTTTATTAAAACTTCTGCAGTTAAACAATTATTTTCCCGCAAATCAGCTTTCGTTTGAAACAAAGTTTTATATAATTTTACTTACATAATTCTTATAATTCTTACAAAATGTCAAATTTCTTCAGCCTTTCGAACCAGCATTACAAAGGACGACTCACTATTTCCACGAAATGGTTAGTGTTTATGTGCTTTATTTTTATAATGGTAATTTCTTTTGATGAAATTCTAAAATTATATCCCAAAATGCGAAGATGTGATCGATAGGGATTACTTCTGCGTAGTTTGGTGACGCGAATTGTTTTATCTGAAATTTTAGAATTCTTTCTATTAAAATTCCCCTGTTTCTCTTTACATAGGGTTGAACTGGACGGAATTTTTTCTCATATTGGAAGTAGAGGAAACTTTGTCGTGTTTTAAATGTCATTTTAGAATTTTTTGGACTTTAAGGCTTTTTTCAGAATGTTGATAAGTTGCGGCGGCGAAAAGGTGGTGGATTTCAGGGTGCTGAGAAGACATAAGTAAATAAATACAAATAAAGAAGAGGGATTTTCCCTTCAGAACCTTCTTGTTTCTATATGATTCTTTGTTCACATTTCTTACCCGTCCATTATTTTCAATTGTTTTCCTTGCTGTAGTGAATTCATTTTTTTCTTTTTTTTTATTCATCTAATCCTCTATAACATCTTTTGAGCATACTTTTCGGGTTTTACAAATCTTCGATTAATTTATTTGTAGTCACATGTACTTTCATTCACTTCACTTCATTTTGTTGTTTCTATATAAGTCTATTTTTCCACTAGGTAGTTCTGCAATCCTCGCTTAGAGTATTATGCATATAGATGAAGGAACAACTTTTGTTTATACACCATAACTGTAGCATCTTACATTCAACCTATTTGACCCGTTTTAAATGATCTTATTCCTTACATCTAAGATGTTTACTGTCGTGCTTTCCTTTAAAAATCCAGCAACAATTGCTTTATTTCGGTAAACTTTTTCGGCAGTTATCGTTAGAGAAACATGCGAAGAGAAGAAAAGTACTTTACTAGAATTATTTAACTGTCCTTCGGTGCTATTGCAACATATACGAAGTAAAATGATACAGTCAACCAATAATTTGTAAGTAAGAACAATATCTGCATTGCGTCGTGAACCAAGCAGAAGTAAAATGATGCATTATGGATTTGTTCTGGAAATTTTTTTAGAGCAAAAAATTTGAAGTAAGGCTGGTTTGATTTTTGATAGTCTGATGCCGGGTAGGCTCACGGCAAGTTAAAATGGAAAATCTACTAGAAATTTTGATAGCAATTACTTCTGATTACTGATTAGTGTTTGGAGCATTATAATGGTGTTGGTGAGTTGGATGTGCTCAATGAGAAATTAATGAAATGGTGCATGGGAATGCGCGAGAAACTTCTATCACTTGTAAACAATTTCTGAAGGGAAGAGTTCGCTGAACAATATTGCTCGGATAAAAAATTGGCTGAGAAGGACAGAAGTTTCTATAGCTATAGATCTGGAAAGGTACAAGAAGGAAGACAACAATGATATTTATACTCAAGTGGGGGGTTCAAGAACTGCAACTGAAGATTCAGTAATAACAGTGCCGAGGAAATCAGCAAGTTTCGAATCAAAAGAACTTATTGGTCTAGGACTCATTGAGGTGGATTTTTCATTTAACCAAACATCGGAAGAATTAAAATCAAGGACAGCTGAAGTAGAGGTTGAAAAGACTGTAGCTGATGTTTCCTTGCAGATTGAAGATCTAGTATTTTCAATCGATAATGAGACTTCTAAGAATTCCGTAAAGTTTTCAACCAATGTTTGCAATGAAACAGTGATTGTGCGGGATGATTCCGAAACGAAATCATGAACTCCTGCAGTTGGGCAGGATCCAAAAGATGCAGACGAAATGAAAAATATTTCTGTGGCTGATGGAGATTTCACTCTGTATACATGAATGGAAAAAACGATAATTTAAGATCGCGAAATCCAAAATCCTCTTCAGCATCGATATCAAAATACAATGATGAATCTACCGAAGCTATAAATCAGAAAGAAATTTATAGAACTCAGTTTGTCGGTAAACTAAATGAAATCAATGGAGAAAATGGTAGAATGTCTCAAGTGGGGACAAATTCAACTCCGCAAGTGTAGATGAAATGGTCGTATTTGCAAAAGCTATTACGCTAACCGGAAGTAAGAACACTATATCAGAGCGACTGAGAAATGCTTGCAAAACCATACGTTTGGTGAGTTGACTAAATTTCACCTCTTACTTCTAGTTTAGATTTTCTTTCACTTCTATTAACTACTATTTACAACAAATTTCTTCCATTTTCACAGTTTCTTGTTAGAAATACCGGAATGATCAGATTACCATCTCGTATTTGTACATCGAATTTAATTTTCTATTGCTAAAAACTCAATTTGTAATTTCTAACTGATTACAATTTCGGTGACTTGGGAGATAATTTGTTTGCTGCACCCTGATGATCTTATTTTAACTAATTTTAAAATGGATTGTGCTTTGATTCCAGCTGGAAGAAGGTATTGAAGTGGATGAAGTGCAGTATAATGTAGATATTAAAAATATACGTTAGTTTTAATTGAAATTTTTGATTTACTCATGTTCTTATCAACATATATTCAGCGATAAAAATTTTCTATAAAAGTTTTTTTTTTCCTGCAACTTCTCGGTCAATTAATGTTTGTTTTTATGGAATTGCTCGTTTTTATTTGATCAGCTATAATCAGTATTTCGTCAAGCCTTTGTTGCTTGAGAATAGAATTTGAAATTGAAGTTTACAAAGGCTTCGATTTATATACTGAGAAGGCCCATCCTACATGTGAAGTCAGGGGAAAATTCATTAAATTAGAAGTTCGTAGTTTCAATGCTGGTCTTCTAATCATTTTGTGCTGGTGCTATAATTTGTTAAAGAATGTGTTTTTAATTTCTAGAATAAAATGCTTATCGCATCGAATCCCTGGCCAAGCCTAACGGATCGACTTTATCGTTATATGCATAATTTATCACATCGGCAGAATGTTATTCGACTAATTCTTCGTAATTTGGTTTTTTCTCCTCTACACGGAGCCTTTTTTCGATATATCATATTTTAAATTGATATACAATATATTCACTCAATGTTTCTTATTGTATTATGTAACAAATGTAAATGAAGAAATTCTGTAAGTTTCATCCGAAACTTTTATAAAAAATTTAATATCCAAAATTTACTCTATCCATTCCTTTACTTAATTTCTACTGTTATATTTTATGTTCTATCTCTTACATGTTTATTAATTCGGCATAAAGCAATGTATTATAGCAAAGCACGCATTAAGCTATAACAATTCCATTCATATGGCAGTGAAACAGCAGTAATAACACAGATAGAAGAGACAAGAAGAAGAGGCAGAAGGTTTGCTCTTGAAATTAGCATAATCAGCAGAATAATAATCTTGCACAGCAACCAAAAAATCTGAAATTTCAGAAATGAGGTTTCATTTATTCGGGGAAAGTGTTGATTCTTTTTATTGTATAATATTTGATCTGTATTGCAAAAGTGCGAAATAAATGCAACATAAGAAAAGCCTGAAGTGGACAATTAAAATACAATCAGATAAACATTGAATTAATCACACTAATAATTTGGATAAGGATCTAGGCATGTAGCTGTGAACAGACGAAATGTACCGAAAAAACCATATGCGGTAAGAGAAGGAAAGGTAGATTGGTGAATAATCCAATAAGTAAAATGAATGTGCATAAGATCCAGCAAAGTGTAAGCGCCCAAATTATAGTTACAACCAAACTGAAAAACGTAATTTATCTACCTTCCATTTGTTAAGTGACCCAAAAAATCCTAGCAATTCCGAGCGTCCTAGAGCAGGGTTTTAATTTTTAAAAAATCTCGTTTGGAATTTATAAGAATCTTTTGCAGATAACAATTCAAACTGTAAAAATGCGTAAGTTCGAAGAAGTTTAAGTAATTCCAGATCTTGTCGATGCAGCGACGATCTATTCTATCTATTATGAATTATTACAGGACAGTTAGGAATTAAAAACAATCGTTATTTAAAGTTTCCAGTAATAGAGAAAATTGTAGAACTTACCGGCTTTCTTGGTATTACGTAAGAGAGCAACTTACCGACTTTCGTAGTCATAAAAATCATGGAAATTCCGATGAAGTAAGACGGTATTTTCGATGAAATGACTACTTGCAAGCATTAGTTGTATTACAGCCAATATAGAAAGAATCTTCTTAGATGGAAAATATTCTGGCTCCAAATTAGGAGGTAATAATTCTTTTGTCTGTCTTTCTTTCTCCCTTCCTTTCTTCCAGTAATTCAGCTGGTTTTCATGCATCATAATTATATTTTTTACCATATTAGCACTTAAATTGTAGTGAATTTCAAGACATCTATGTTTTAAAAAAGATCAGTAAATGTTTTTAGCAAAAATGAATTTTAATTGTAAACTCTGACTTGTGTTAGAAGGAATTTCATAATTTCAAAAAGTCCCGACTAAACAATGAAAACTTGCAACTTATTTCGGTTTAAACCGAAGTCTAATCCAATTTCACTTAATTTCCTTAGTTCATGTTTCGCGTTTTCTTGGTTTGTTTTTTCCATTTCCTTCTTGATAGATACTATTGGCATGTTACTGGAACTTATGTTTCCTACATTTCCCTATTATCTAAAATCTGATTACAAAATATCATTAATCACTGAATTTAAAAATAAGCAGGCACATCAAGTAAAGAGTTGAATAATGAGAACTGTTCCATCAGCGAAGTTTTTTTTCATCGGAAATTTGATATTGTAACCATTTGGAATGCTTTGTTTCAATGTCATAGTTTATATGTTTAGGCAGACTTCCTAATGTAAACAAATATTTCCTAAACTGTCCAAAAACATATCGGAATTTTGAAATCAACTAATCTTTACAGTTTTTCAACTTTCAGTATCTTCAGGATATGGTATTTGTTTCAAGTTCGGTTTGGCGGAATTATCTTCTTTTTATCTCCTTTTCAATAAACTTTGAAAAAATGATCATTTCCAGTCCTTGTTTGCCGCACTTGAAGCTTTGCACTTTTGAAGTTAACCTTGGATATTATTTTTTTTAATTTTACTATCCAAGCTAGTGAGGTTATTTCAGCATTTTGTAGCCTTACTTATAATTAAAAATATCATGCTTGTGCAAGTTTCATAAAAATATGAAAGTTTCAGCCTGCAGTAGATGGTGCGGGTGCAGTAAACGTTCCATAATAACAAATTTAATCCTTTGTCTTGGACCCAGATTTTCTGAAATGAATTCATTTTTCGTTTATTAAACTCCCCATATTGTCCAGGTTTAACACTGAAATTTTAATCTGCTTTGAACCTTTCAATTTTTTAGTTAAATTGGATGAGTAAGCAACAAATTATTTCACAACTGCTGCAATCTGATCAAAAATCCGTCTTGAGTATACATTCCTAATAAAATTGCAGCTCTGGTTTAACCTTACCGCTAATCTTTGAGCATTAATTCTGAGTTCTTTATTATGGAAAGTATTTAGGAATCAGTTTCACAAAACTGAATCAGTGAATAAGCATAGTACTAATTTTTGGATAATTAGGTGTCAGCTATAAATTCCGGCATTTGAACAAAATATAAAATATTGGATCTAGTATTGATCTGATCGCAATCTAATTAAAGTTTTTCTAATTTAATTAAAGATGGTAACCGTAGCAGATAGTGACGAAATAGATGTATGTTTAAAACCGAATCATGAATTTTCGTTACACTGAGCTAAGCGACAAATTAATAGCAATTTTTTTCAAGCATATTTAATTTTACAATAATCAGAAGTCTTCAATTCCAAAAATATAAGTTCCAAAATTTGGAATGAATGAAACAAAGTTGACAGTTAATCAGAGTCTTGAAATAAGTGAACGATATCCGAACTGAAAACTAGAAATAGTAAGGCAGGAATGATGCATGATTTCCCTCATTTACATTTCTCTTCCCTCACATAAAAAAGAAAAACCGAATAAGTACCGAGAGTTCTGATCTTTCAGTTCTTAAACTGCAAAGCCATACATGAATCACATGCGGTCCGTAATGCAAAAGGACCCAAAAGTATGGTTTTTGTTCGCCCAGGATATTTTTCTTTTTACTTCCCAACTATTCACTTCTATTTCCTTCGACCTTTTCACTCCTGTTAAAATGCTGTAGTGCAGATGCCTCATTCTTCTTTCTTGTAATAAGTAGATAATTATAACATCAATTGCCAAACAGGTCACGCACACACCTTAGCCACGTTTTTCGTTTTTCTCCATATTTAATGCTTTTGATGCTAAGACAAAACTGACCGTATAAACTGAAAACTGACTTAACAAATTTAGTTCTACTTGTACTACGCATTCTAATATTTCAAACCTACGATGATTCAACAATTCCATGCGCAAAATACTATCAAAAAACGCAGCCAATTTAGCGAATAAAAAGAATGAAACAACATTTCTCGTTCCAGAATAGGTGGTATTCAAACTAGCCCTCCTGCTCATCCTTGTGTCACTCCTTTTTATCGATCAAAAGCACCGGTAATAGCAAACATAGGTTATATTTAAGTATGGTTATCAAAAGAAATTTAATAGTGAACCTGAATTACTTTCAACAAAGCAGGTAATGACATGCAACATCGCAGTTTACAAGACAATAATTAATCATTGAATAATGAAACAAGGATGAGAAAATGCAAGAAGAATTGAAAAACCAAATTTGTCAAAAACTAATAGATTTAGAAAAGTTACAAAGTAAACGAATGGAAAAGTCTTAACGAAAATATTTTGTTAACGTAACATCAATATAATGCAACGAGAAAAAGAGAGGAAACTTGTCTAGATTTCGATTTCAAAAAAAAATCCTAAAATTCCTATACTACATATTAGTTCAATTTCAATCCCCAGTATTTCTGACTCGAAGTATATAACCTGTGTAAAACATTAGGCATAAGAACAGAATATGTCATAATTCCTGGAATTAATGATATTAAAAAAGACTATCTGAATTATAAATTTTACTTTCTGCAATGTTATTTTCAGAAAGACTTCAACTGTAAGTTCAATCTTACCAGTAAAAACTCGAAGTGATCAATAACCACTTCCTAACGAATTCTGAAAGGCTGATTTTTTTTCACTTAGAATGTGAGAGAACAGAAAGGAAACATAGCAATATAAAGTCACATGCAACTGCTTTCACTGAAGGCTATCAAGAAATTAGAACTGAACAAAAATAGGGTCTAATCACAATAAATATGAGACAAAAAGTAACAATGGCTACTAAGTAAAAAATAGTGACTGCAAAACATGAGTCAAAAATTAAAACTGGATTGCAATTACACAATGTTTGGCTTCTCACCACGTGCAAATATTGCATCTCGTCCAACCTGTACTACCGCTGGATGATTCTGTGTTTGTTTCGCGTTTAAATTAACTGTATAAACAGCACGCTGATAGCGATTCCGAAAAATACCATCATAGATTAAACCATCGTCCCATTTCACCTTGATCTTCAATAACACTCTACTTAATAATAACTAAAACTTTTTATCCCATTAAGGATAAAAAATTCCGGAAATGTGTCACTAAAGCTGACATCCCTCTTCTTCTAAGCTTTCAAATCTCCTTTCATTTAAACCAAAGATATGCTAGTTTACACATACAAATTTTTTACGCATATATATATATATATATATATATATATTTACACATATATATTGATTTCTATGAACTCAATTTTTTAAGACTAACATAATATTACATTTTGTTGAATGCTCTGTCACTTAATGATGTAAGAAAAACTTTCCTTACTCCTTTGAAAAATTCTCATTTCACGTAGCACCTATCAAGAGACAGTGAAATGTGAAACGGTGATCAGCAATTCAATTATATTCCTCCAGTACTTTATAAAATTAAAAAGACTCATAGAATATTTTTCCATCTAAAGACTCAAACGTATGTAAAAACTCCATTCACAAAAATCCTTCAGCATTCATATAAAAACAACGAACTTTAGCTCCAGGCACGTGCCATCCATTGCATTTAAACCGGGAGCATTCACATTCGACAATATCTTCTGATGGCAAATCATCACTCCAGTTACGATCCATAAAATTTACCGTACAACAATCATGATATTCAATACTGGAAACCGTTCCTTTCAGTAAACGACCAGAGTCACCCAAACACACACGAACGTTATCACCAACTGATACTGCTGATGTATTTACTTCACCTGTTAATTTCGGGATGAAACTAGTTTTTGATTTATTTATCGCATAAATCTCATACAAAGATTTTAAAATTAAAAATACTACTGCAACAGATTCTTAAGAATTACTGCATTCTACCATATAGTAAAATAGGACTTGGTATTCAGTAATGAATTTTTCTTAAATTCGAACCAACCGTCATTATGTTCAGGACAGACAGCAACGGTAAGGTCTGGCCAGTTCCGGAATTCGAAAGAAACACCTGCTAGACGACCACATGTTGCATGAAAGAGTGTATCATCGCACGAAAGACATTTCAATAATCCTAAAACATTAACTTATAAAATTTTGCAATCGACCTGCCATCAGAATGAAGTCATAACTTTTTTGATCAACCAATCAAAACATCTAGATTCACATGAAACTATTTATTCACCTTCGCGCGAATGCAAGCAAAACTCGCACTCAAATTTGCCTCGTTCACAATTTTCGCCGAAGGCTCCCATATATTCCTTGTTCATAAGATCTGGATACTTGTTCGGCGCGCAAAACTTTGGTGGTGGTAAAGTATATGCTGATGTTAGTTTTACTGGATCCAAAAAAACTGTACGACGATTTAACAACGCACAAATAACATGGACAAACTCCCCTTCACTCTGAAGGTAAGACTGAATCAGATAAGACGAAAACAATTAGTCTTTTTACTCATCTCTCTTTCTACTAACAAAATTTCAGATTACTTGTTTAATACATAATTTAGATTTCTTGATAGTCTCTATAACTTCAAAACTAATTTAAGAAAGCAAAACTATCTCAAAAACCCAAAATCTAAAGATTAAATATTACTAAAGACGGTAAAGAGCAAACATTTTCACAAGGTATCAGAGCGCCCCCACGCAATTCGCATAGGTGACAACTTGCTGAACGCAGTGCCAAATCATCTCGTTGCCTACAACGTACACATCTCCACTGAGTTATATCTGGAATATAACCAAGAATTTAATTAAAAATTTAATTTAAAAAAAATGCAACCAAAGAGAAATTAATAACAGATTAGAACTAATCAAATTTAGGAGAAAAAGAAGAAAAAAATGGGCATCAATCAAGCTTCAACAGTGTATATTTCTGAATGCTATCCTGGAATATAAATTTCCATTCCAAATAGATATAGATCATGAAAACTAACCATTAGGAATATTTCCGATTGGATAGCAACCTTCATGTACAACTACAAAACAGTTTGCGCATTTAAACAATCGGTCATCACAGGCAGCATCATCCTCATTTATATTATACGTTTCAGGATTCATCTTCGCATAATATGCACGTTTTACAAGACGCTGAGATCTGAAACACACTACCTGAAGCAAACTGCTCTAAATTCCAAACGCAAGACTGCTAATGTTCTAAAAATAACTGCAATCCAATTCTATGCATAAAATTAAAGTAACATAATACAACCTAATCTTTTAAACAATTTCTTCAAACTGAAAATCTCGAAAGAAATCACAACTCACGTCAGCGGCAAATTTTTTTTCTTCTCCATTAGTGGTCTTGGTACAAAATACTGACATACAGAACAGTGCGGTGTTTCATAAGCATGACGAATATTAAACTCCTTTTCAGCGTAGAGGCTTCCGGGTAGATTTGACCATAAATCTCGGACCTGAAGAAAAAACTTTCATATTTCATAAAAGAACTAGTAAACTATGAATACCTCGAAAAACAATACGAAAAAATATAAAAAAATACGCTGAAAATCACTTTCCATTAAAATTTAGTTATGGCTTCTTCAGAAAATATCGAAACATTTTATTCTATATTATATACAACCAAGTATATTCATAGAAGCTCATTGGGATTACCTCCTTTTTCCATTTGTTGTTTACAATCATATTTGAAGCCACTGCTGACACCTCCTGCTGGTAACCATTCATATCACCATTAAATCCTTAAATATTAGTACCAACTTGTTCTAAAAACAACAATTTTCAAAATTGCAAAAAAAAAAAAAAAAAAATGTAAATCAGAACACCAGATAAAATCTCGCAGGCATACCAGAACTTCCTGTACGGATACCTTCTTCAACATGCGGCCCACGTGCACCACCACTTTTCTGAGTTTTTCGACGCTTCTTCCTTTCTACTGCTTTCTCATCATATACTGGTTGACGTTTTGAGCTTGTCACTCTTTCTAAATTCAATAAAATATTTGAGGTCAGAGGGGGACGCAAATTTAAGTTTATTTATCCTCGAGCAAAACTACTACCAAAGATTATCCAGAAGATGTCAGAAAACTAATCGGTTTTGACAGATCGCCACCTACAACTTCAGTGAAAACAAGTTACTTCTTTCTTTGGCAAGTCGTTCTCCGTACCAATACTGGTACCACTCATCATATTCAGCAGCTCGATATGTCTTCATAAATGGTCGCATATCAATTTCAACACTGTCTGAACGGCAGCCACACACCAAAGCATTCTTGCCTTAAAAAAAAAAAATCAATGTTCCCTATTGAAAACAACAAACTTAACAACTTCGTCACCATTTGAAAGCAGAACGAACTACAAAAATATAATTCAGTATTACACAGATACTTAAAACATTAACCAAAATCAATCCATCGATCGGATCCAAAATTTGTTGACTCTGCACAATTATAGCCAATATTAAAACCCATGTGGTATCCCTGTAATGGCTCAAATCGAAAGAGGAAAAAATAAAAAGCTGAACTCGCGGTTAATTTTTAAATAAAAGAAATACAAATTAAATAAACGAAAGATACAATACTGATCAAATAAAAATATATAAAAGTACATCAAAAAATAAAAAATCTCCTTCGAGTAATATATATATTTGTTTCATTATCAAGTTTTTATTATATTTCTAAAATTTCAAATTTTATTTCCATTGAAAATCTTGCACAGTCAACAGCAACTCATACTCGTGGAAATGTAATTATGAATTCATTTGCATACTGAACCATTGTTCCGTATCTGATATTGTTTTTTCGTAATACATGTGGAGAGATCATGAATGTTTTGTGGCGTAGAAATGATTTACATGTTTTTGCTGCGGATGGGAAACACTGCGCAGCGAAACGTTCAAAACGACTCAACGAATCCGTAGCTATAGCATACCAGAACTGAAATAATCACAAGCTGAACATCAGGAAGCAACATTGTACGAGCTTGGAACTGTGATTAAAATTGCAGCCATTATGATTCCATTCAATAACTCTGAAGCACAAAAGTGTCCAATATATAATATTTAAAGTGAGTAAAAGTAATTCTTACTCTAATTCAACCAAATATTTGAAAAAATATCGTTGAAAGTTTAAAAAAAAAAAACTAGTGACAACAGTCCTTTCTGGAGTCAGATGTACGAAACATTAAGCATTAAAGCGAGTTAAGAAAATTGCCCATGCTATCCGACATCAACCATCCAAACAAAAAACACTCATATAAAATGGGAGATATGTTTCAATCAATAATGAACTTTGAGAATATTAATGGAAAGTTGAATACAATGAAATAAATACAACGATGGTACTACGATTGATACTAATGATAAATGACCTTTGGTTTACCAAAATGAACATAATTGATGGAATAAAGATCCATGTCTTCGGGATGCCATGGAAATGTTGTTTTCCACATGCCGAAATACAAATAAACCGTATTCACTCCTTTGATTTTGACCTGAAATCATAAAACCTACAGTAATTATAATGGAACTTTAACAAAAAAAATGTGCAAGTTGAAATTTAATAATATTTGCTGAAATCTCTATTCATTCAGCAAGAAAATGATGAAAAATGAACCAGGCGCCCACCCAAAATTCAACAACTCACACTGACTGGGTGACTGCTTTTGTATGGTTTCGATAAGTTGCATATCAGCTCAGCATTCCGGAAATAATTCTTAACAACTGAATTATTAAACGAAGGTTCTCTGACAAAATATCATCTAACTCTAGCTATAATGACCAAAGAGTTATTAAATACAATTCTTGAAAAATTAAGAAAATTACTTACTCCACTGCTATCTAGCATATCAAGAACCGTGCCCAAACGATTCATATTGAATTCTCTAAGATTTTCATCACATATAGTCCCCGGTGAATCAGCACCATAAACCGGTTCCCCTTGTAACACATGTTTCCAATAATATCTGAATTTTTTGAGCTTTTAAAGAATTTAGTTTTATATGATATATCTAAAATGTATGTGCAACTTAAAATTTAAGATGATGAATTCTTGGTTCTCTTATAAAATCCTCGTTTCAAGAAAAAGACATGCTATAAAAGCAATTATAGTTTTATACTTTTCGAGCTTAAGAAAAAAGTAAAGGCCACATTCATAAGTCATAGTCATAAACTTACTTTTCAATCTCCTGCGGTGGTAAATCACCCTTTGGAAAAGGTGATTTCTTTGCAAGTGCTCGAAATTCTTGTACAGTAATTGATCTTCGATATAACCTATTTGTTTTAGTATATACTCCAGCATTCCCTTCTATTTTTTCTTTAACTGGCCTGAAATTTTAAGTTTTGACCTAGCAAATTAATTGTTTAAAACAGATAAAACATTAAAGAAAAGACAGAAAAACATTACTGATCGATGACATAATTGTCGACGTCAGAATAGTCGCCTGATTTCCTTGCATAGAATTCCGGCGGAGGTACGATCTAAACAGGAATATGTAGTAAAAAAATATAATTGAAAACTGAAATACAAATGTCAAAGTCTAAGTTTATAATACAAGGTAATAACATGTTTATAATGCAAGGTAATAACATATTTAGATTTCAACAGCGATATGTTGCTAATTGAATATGCCCATCTCAATGGAGATAAGTAAGAACACTGTCTTCGTAATTACCGACTGTTGCTAGATGATTCAACAGTTATATAAAAGCTTAACCTTTGACCAACAAAATGCTTGGGGTATATAATGCATATCTTCTGTAATAAGCAAGTGATCTATGCCATGAGTGCACAGAAACAAGAAACATATATATGCAGGCATACACATACAGACATATACACACACACACACGCACATATATATATATCATACATTAGTAACGGTGCCGTTGGGAAGCCAACAGCTCTTCCCTTGCGAAACAATTCTTTTTTCTCGCATACCTCCACTTTACTGATCCACCCTTTTCATTACTTAATAATTCCTTCGAAGTGTTGGGAGTTTATACTAAATGTCACGAATAGAGTAGCAGTCAGACCTTGAATTGAATAAAAATTTTAGTAACAGATAGACTTGTAATGAATGATAATTTTCGAAGATTATATACCTTCCTATTTCAGATTGGAAAACAGTTAAGCAGAAACCAGACAAGTGGACTAATATCATAATTGGAAGAGGCAGAAATGTTTAAGAACGGAATCAAATAATGCCATCAACTGTCGACGTTTTTTTACGTGTTATTTGATTAATAAAATGTCAGCTCTACCAGAAACCATAGTATGTAGAATTCATAGTCTATTAAGTGCTTCATTAAGATATTTGTAAGAAGTTATTACTCTTTGCACTGTTGTTTTAAATGATCATTAGCTAACTGTTTGTACTGTAAAACATCATTTGCTATTGCCAAAATGCGCTCTTCCACATTATCAAAGGAAGTATGCATTAATTGCTCTTATAGCTGTAGTCCGGTTAGAAGCACAGTCACAGAGAAAATGTGTTTATTAATATCAATGAATTCCGCAGATGAAACAAGTGATGTTTACCGGTACGAGCAATTAATCATTATCTTATTTCGTACACAGTCACACATCTGTGCTTCACTTATATACATATAGAAAGAATAATGAAGTAACTCTGCTGATATCTTACTCTTGGAATCTGGAAAATTTGAATGCTTTCATATAAAAAAACTTGAATCCAAATTGATGTCGTATCAAAATTTCACTACGAAAGTACCACACTTTCTTTTCAATCCCTACAGCCCTAACATTGAGACAGCAATTATTTGAAGAAAGATAAAAAAACTGGTATGACAACTTTTCCTATATTACCTCTAAATAATAATTATTTAAGATACATCTCAGAGGCTGCTTTTTTTTTCATGCTTAAAGCATTGCTTCTATCACTGGTTGGATGTTGCTAGTAGTGTGTGGTGGATCGATATTGGAACGATAAAGCATAGTGCCTATGAAGCATTTACACACGACTGATGAAGCATTTACACTGCTCAGAAATCATCGGACTATGCTGTTATTGTGGTCTGCATCTTCTACATCAAACTAAATGCTTCTTTTATTCGTGAGAATTCTCCCTAATGTTTTGCCGCACTGTATTTTTAAATATTATATCTTCATAAACGAAAAAGCATTGAAGCTACAGATAGTACTTAGAAAGATTTTAATGGCACTAAGAAATAAGAGAGATATGAAGCTGATACAGTTAGGAATTGAGGCATATGATATCAACATGAGATCTCAATTTTTTATAACCCAACAAAAACCTTCCAGAATGTAATAGAGAAAGATCATCAGGTCCAAACATAAGATGGCTATACATATCTGATAAGAGTTATTTTAAGTACTATTCATTTCCTAAAGACTTTTATAGTCAGGTCTGTTAAAATGAGGAATTAGACAAAAAGATTAGAACGAGAGAAGAGACTGAATCGTAGTCTCTGAACTTTATGTGAAAAAAAGTTGGAGATTTTCATGTAAGTGAGATTGAGGTAAATGGACTGAACGAAATGAGTAGATACTACAGACAATGGTAGAAATACATCCACTTAGAAACAATGGAAATAAGAACCTTTGCAATGCCGCAAACCAGATGAGCACGGTGTTGTTGTTCAATTTTATTGATTAGTGTCGGAAAATCGCGCATTTCTTCGATAGTCGGATAGAAAACAGGCACTTCAATGGTACCAGTGGGTGCAAACGATGGGTGATGCTGATTGTGGGCAGAGGTACTAGCGGCAGATGTATCCATGATTTGTGTCGTAAAAATCTGAAATTGGTAACAATCTTACGTTTAGAGGGAATTTTCAGTGTTTGACCACCTCACACTTCTAGTTTTGAAGCTAATCTCAAGTGACGACAGAACTACATGTTACAACGTATCGTTCGTTCAATTCGTTTAAATACAAAAGATGGATAATTTGGATCGTATATATTCGCTACTATCCAGTGATACTTCTTGAGTTTCTTGAAGGCATCAAATCATATTTCATGAAAGCAGACAACAAGAAAGTGTTCCATCCTCCAAACAAGTCATTTGATTAGTTTTGGATCTTGATCATAGGTTACTTGCGTTTCTAAGAAGTTTGCAATATGCAGGCATCGATACTTTATCATTACATGATTTTAATGCATAATTCTATCATATTATTACTAACGTCCCCAACATTCGTTAATGCATAATAAACTGATGTTAACTTCCTTCAGAGAATTTTGCTTTCTGGAATCAGTTTTGCAGCCCCTAACTTTCCGTACATATAGACTCTTTGACCTTTTATCTGTATCCTAATAAAAACAATACTTCACTTTTGTGTGAATAGTTTTTTTTTACACAAATTCATTTAAAGAATTTGAAACATTTTTCTAATTGTAATACAGCATACAATCGAACATCACTGCTAAGGACGAAAAAAAATCATCGATTCTTAAGAAGTAGCGAAAGTGGTTTTTCAACCAACTGAATTGCATTTTTCACTTGTTTCCTTCAATCTCTTTATTCGAATTTACACTTAATCAACTTATAAAAAGGTAAAATCATTCAACAATGTAAGAAAATTCGATAAATAAGGAGAAACTATGTAAGAAGAATATGATTCCTTTACCAGTAACCTTATCTATTTGATTATTTAGAAAAAAAAATAGTACTTCCGAAAAAAATTAGCCTAATCAGATCAAAATACCGACTTCATCTGATTCGATTAATGACAGATGAGCACCATCCATGAAACTCGAAGCTCAAGTGAAACAAAACTAATAACGATAATACTGTGCAACTGTCCTGCATACAAGCTGTATAATGTTTAAATTACATCTCCTCAGCCACATAATTCTAGCGACACTAGGAAGTTTGATATTTTGAAAAACAGATTTTAAGCTTCACAACTTCATAAATTACAAATTTATTCCCTGATATCCTAAGATAAGTTTTTCAAAAAAAAAATAAAGTTAATCTCATAAAAAGAAAACTCCCCAACCATCAAGTTAAGCTCAACCTCTGCCATATATGGACTCAAAAACTAATGCTGCCGCTCAGTCGAAGCAGAGACAAGAGGATCCCATAAAGTTGAAATACACATAGGAGAAACCAATATAAAACAGAGGTAGCTGGTGATGCCGATAAACGGAAAACTGAATCTGAATAACGACCAACAGATAGCTAACCCTATCCCGTCGCCAAATTTGAATAATCCAATCAATAATCGTGACATTTGTTGAACGAAAATTTAATGAAGAGGTAGGAGCAACCATCTACCTACCTTCAGTGAATCCCTCCCACCCCTAAAATTTCATCCCACTCTTCACTAACGAGTATGGATCACTTAACAACATTCAGCACCCGACGTCAACCGAACAGAACACGAAACTAATGCAGTTCGAAATAACCACCACGTACAGAGTGCCGTAAGTTGTGCAGTAAGTTGAATTCTATCACTCGGACACTACTCGCGACGCGCTATGCAACCATAATATCCTTCCTGTTAATTTTACCGCCTTACAACATCCCTATACTCTCCACCCTCATTCGAGGTTTCACACTGTGCACTGGTTGATCCGATCCAAGTACACTGTTTCGCTAGTCCTCAACAATGTAATTCCGGAACAATGAAGAATTTTACAGTATCCGTTTGAGCTACTTCATTCATTGACTTCGTGATCATTCGGATGCAATTAAAACAGTGTAGAGTGACAAAAACAATGGTTAAAATATACATTACTATAACAAAACTTATAAACAACAACGAAATGTAACGAAAGTTCTTCGTTCCACTGCACCTCGCTATATCTCAATTTCATCGGAAACAAATCAAGTCATGAAATACAATATTATTTGCTACCATTATCTGCTTGTAAAGCATCGATAATCATTTGAGATATTTGACCCGTCAACTCTTCATTTTTGAGCCTTGCCTGTGTACTCATTGTTCTGGATATATTGTCTTCTTGAGGAATGAAATATCGTCTGGAATATTTCAAAAAAATAAAATTAATCAAAATAAGAATCATCAAGCTAAGTAGGCAGAGAGTGAAAATGTGGAAAAATGACTGCTGGAAAACATGCACTAAAGTCCTGTTAACATCCAGAAATTCCTTAGATTTTTTACTTAAAATAAGGCAATATTTTACTTAAAAATAAGCAAAAATAGTCGACAAATGCTCATCTCGCAATGAAATAAATTTCATTATAACCAGAAGTGGTACCTGGAAATACCATTTAATATAGCTTTATGCCAGTCTCCACCAGTTTGATAAGCTTCATGGAGAACTCGTACTACACTTGTAAAAGGAAGGAAATGAAAGTTGTAAAGTCTGTAAAGTTTTTAGAGTTTATAAGTTTTGTTTACAGTCAAGCGATATAACATAAAATACCCAATAAATTCGAGACAAAAACAAATATTTTCCTCCATTGCTTTAATTCGCACTAAATCACAAAACTTATATAGATTCGCATGTCTAATATAGCCTATCATTATGATATCTCAAAATGCTTCGAAAAAAAAAATGGATTAAAAACTTTGAGTGAGTTAATTAACAATAATTAAAGCATACTTAAAGTGCTCGTTAAATGGTATACGCGCTGTACGGCAACCGCGCTTTCGAGCAGCACCAAGAGGCAACCGATTATCACGGCCTAAACATATCACATAAACTTCATCATTTAGTGGAGCTTGTATTACTTGCTGAGACCACCTGAAAATTATTCGTCATTGTAATGCATGCGAAAACATTATTGCTATCTATTATTTTCTGTTGTTTTAAAACTTCTATCTCTTGAATCCAGAAGAAATTAAACAATGAAAAGATCATATAAGCTATATACTTCGCAACATAAATGATATTTTCTTTGTTGTATAGACCAATTACATCTTCGTTTGTATACAGTGGCATAATTGTCTGATGAGAATACTGAGTCTTGAGAAATCTAAAAAATTTTCAATTCTTTAAATTTAGAAATTGCATTTTCGTCTCTCTACAGGGCAAAAACTTACTTCGTGACAGCCTCACAGTTCGGATTGTTTTCATCGTAGTTGACAATTGACAAATCAAATGGTTCTCGTCGTCGAAGATTTTCCTGATATCATTAACAGATACATTTTAAAAAAACCAAGTTTTTCATATTTGTTGTCAAAATCATCTAAAACTGAAACCTCTCTTTTTCCCTGAAACTGCACTACAAAAAAAAATTACATATTCAAAAAGTTTTATTACTAAAATGTTTCGAAAATTTACTTGTATAATGTATTCCAGTTGCGTAGCAAGACGAGACGAAAAGTCATCGAATTTTTTAGCAATAAACTGACAGTCCAAGACGATTCGTGGTTTTTCGTTCAGCCGTAAAGTCCTCCACATCGCAGCACCTTCGACATGCTTAATTCCTGTACTGACATACTATCAATTATCAATAGTGGCTTTTTTATTAAAGAGATTAAAGAAGATTTCGACTAGAGCTTGACCAGTTAATTGTTATGTCCTTTTTGGTGAAAACTACGCAGAGCATCACAATGTAGAATCTTCTTAATGCCAACCACACTGTACGGAGGACATTTTAGAACATTAGAAATCACTTCCACCAAAAAAAAAAAAGGAAAAAAAAAAAACTTTCACTAGCAATTTCTTAGGAACCAAGAGTATTATGAAGATAATGTAACCATTCATTACGTAAGAAACTTTTTCATATTTGCCAAATAGGCAAGAACCATAAAATGTATTGCGAAATTAAATTCCAACTTACTTCTTGCATTGCGTTCGAGATTAGAAGTTACCAATTCATACATCATTGGACCATAGCCCATCGCACCAGCATCAAACTTGGCACGCTGTAATCAGAAACTTCGGTAAAAAAAAAACTGAAAATAATCTTCTTAATGCAATAAAATTGGAAACAAAACTCGAGCAATAACTAAGTTTCTATATTAATGCCTTTTTGCCTCTTATAATAATGGAAGGCTTAATTTACAAATTCTTATAACAACCTATACCGTCCTTTCGACTACGTCATTATCGGTGATTTCCATCTGTTTTTTTTTTTTTTTTTTGCTTATCATTTTCATAAGTTCCACTTCTCTCATATAAATTTTTTTCCCTTGCTTTCCGCCTCACCTCCTACATGACTCCCTCCTATCCTACTATCCCAGTACTTGTAAACTTCAGTACAAAATACCTGAAAATCGAGTAGTGCACCTCGAGATTTCAAGATCGCCTTTTTTTTAGCTTCACGCATTTCATCGCGAAAGATGTGCTTTGCGTATGCTCGCAAATAGGCTACTCGATCTTCCGTTTTCTTTATTGTCATTAACTTTTGCCACTGTTTATCTCGCAAAATAGATGGTGGATGTGGCATCATCCATTCCATTATCTAACATGAAATTTGAATAGATTGAACTTTTACTTATTCCATAAAAAATTTGATTATTGGAGAGGAAAATAGAAACCAGGAAAAAATTAGTCCAAAGACGAAATTACTTCAACTTCTGCCACTATTTCATCAAGAAACTGACGAGAGTTTGAGTCTAGTGATGATAAAAACTCTGGTGATGGCCTCAGTTTTGCTTTTCCTTCATCTTTCAGTACATCATTACCGGCTGTTTCAGTGTAAAATGTTCTGCTAGAGCAAACATAAGTCGAGCAGGATAGACGGGAAATAACAAACGTTGCAAAGCTGTAAAAAATATGAATAGTATCTTAAGAATAAAGAAAGAAGAATAAAGCAATATGTACGTGCTAGTTTAACTACATGAGGTGATGCAGAGTTTGAAATTATTAAAGCATCACACGCCTTCTTAATGAATATGGACATTTGTAAATAATATTAATAAAATAATAATAAATAAACGTGGGTAATAATAAAAACGTGAATGATATTACCACTGGATGAATCCCAAACTTGACTTTCCATTCCAAACAAGAGGAATCTGTCCATTCCTGAAAAGAAACTGACTCATCCGGACTTCCGATGTCGAAAGTACCCGCGGGTTTACTACGGTGCAGTAGACTCTAGCAGCACAATATCGCAATGTATCCAAACACTATGCTAAATCTCAACTCTCAGTTTCTACTCCAGTTGTCATTCGCTAGAACCCTCAGTGTCAGCAGCATGCTTCCTTGCAAATTCTGGCAATCCCTGCCGTATCTTGGTTTCATATACTATTTTCATTTTCATTCCACTGTCATCTATTCTGATTAGACCCTATTTTCGTGCCAATTTGCCAAACTGAGTTCATCTTTGTAACAGTAGTGCAGTACCTGAGAGAGTTAGGTTGTTTTATGGTTTCATGTGGAAGACAAAAGATCAAGGAGTTAATGTGTTGCAAGCTAAAATTTCCCACTTTTTCTCTTTCTTTCTTATTTTGGGAACTTCTGCCCTTCACTAGACCATAACCGTAAAATAGAAGCATTTCATCTTACAGTTCATAACTTCTGTATTTCTCTTTTAGGCTTTAGCTGTGGTCAGCAGCATTTTATAGGTTAAAATTGATTATGAATTTTAATTTTATTCGAATACAGAGATTAGAAATCTTCAGAAAAACCTTCATTTCATGTGCAACTTGAAGTTCAAGTTCTCATTTTCAGTAGAACTGAGAAGAGATAAATTTTAAGTCACTTTCACTTTCAGAAACTTCACTATCATTGGCTGCCATCTATTCGCTCGCACAAACTTATAATCTGAAATATCTTTTCGCATTTTAAAGTTAATGCATTTGTAAAGAAACTGTAGTGTAACAATTGAAATTAATTTGGCGCTTGGTTTCTGTAACGACAAGTATATTTTATATTGATTTATGCAAGTTAAATATGTTAAATATAGAATAATTCTCAATAGTCTAAATTTTAGGAGGGTTATTTCAAAAATTCCGAAAGATTTTCATTCAATATTTAAGGATTAAAGAATTTCAACATTATCCCTGCCAACACTTTGCTGAAATTGTTCCAAACACTTTACTGTGTTTGAAACAGTTTCAGGAAAGAAAACGCGGTAAGTCGGATGAAAGACCAATTATTGGAGATTCGAAGGTGAAATCGTTCGAATTTATTTCATTTTCCATTTTCCATCCCATTTTTCCAGCGAAGAGGCTCTTAAGACTGTTTTGAGACGTCAGATTGATGAATGGAACATCAACATGGACTGAAATATGAAATGAGGTCCAATATCTTAGACACCTATTTATCACGGATCACTGATCATATCATTTAAAAAAGAATGACAATAACGGTAAGCGATGTTAGTGTATTTCCCGTCATATTTATTAATGGAAAGGACATTTCGCTTTCTTTTTTCGGTCTAAATCCAAATGTGCGTGAAGGTCACTGTTTCTTGACTCTTACTTTTGATCTTCTGACAGAAATTTGATTAACCAATATCAATCTCTAAATGCTTCATTAATTGCAAAACTCAATTGAGAATTCTTAAATTAGCAAAAAGTAAGCTGCAGTAAATATTCTGCGTCCACAAGCCTACTCTGGAGCACAATGAAATTCATAGTCTTAGTGAAATTAACATTATTTTCAAATGCAGAAGTTGGAAGTTCTATGTTTGTGGGACGCGATGCAGATGCTTCCCCATTGACAGGGGTCATTGAAATTTGCTAATACCATACACGCAATACATCACTCTACTCCATTGTTGTGTGGCGCATGCTAGGCTTTGTTTCTTCAGAAATGAATGGTGTAATGTCTCTTTCCTTTTCTCTAATCAGTGGTTGTAATCCTATTAATACGTACATGTACATACTATAGTGATATATTCAATAGCATTTATACTCTTTTAGACTTAACGGTAGATTCCTTGAAGGATTACTTATGTCAAATGCGAAAAGAGGAGAAATGAGTACCACAGATGTCGATGTAAATGCTAGGATTTTACCAGCTGTTGAAAGTGAAGAAGAAAGCAGCGATTCTGATAGAGAGGTAATTTCATCGATTTAATTCTTGGGAGCAATATTAACGAGGGATTTCTAGGACGATAAGTCTTACTTCAGTTTTTGTAAAGTTTTTTCTTCCTTTAAATAAATTGCCAGTCTTTCATATCCAGCAATATTTTTCATATCCAGCTCTTTAATTTCGAAAATTTTCGATGATTTGGAGCAGGAATTAGTTCGAGGATATTCTGCTATTTTCTCAATACGGTTTTTTAATTACAGTTACAAATCGCATTCGATGAAGGTCTGCTGAAGACTGATAAGCTGAATTATATTGTGGAAAAAAAGAGACCGATAATAAATAAAAAAGTATGATGTTTGACTCATTAAGTAAACTGGATCGAGTTAATAATGATGAATTCTTTTATATCATCCACTTGAATTTGTTGTTCTTCTAATGTCTCTTTGATGCAGGAAATTATGATTCACATTATATCATGCATACTAGTTTTTCTATTTGAAGGCTGAGTTGGAAGATAAAATTAAAAAACTGGCGATGAATTTGGCATGGTTAGAAACGCTAGATGTGGAAGTAAATAATGACTATCTGAATGAGAAAGTACTCAGTGACGATTTCGAACGTGAGATAATTTTGTAAGTTATTTTGTATCTTTTTTGCGTTTTACTATAAGTAATTCATTTCAAGTACTGGATGTTTCTGAATTGTAATGTCAAGTCTTAATAACTTAGATAACTTGTTATAGTTACAAGCAGGCTGAAAAAGCAGCACAAATAGCAATATCGCGACTGCGGGAAATGGGTGTAAGGATTTTTCGACCGACAGATTATTATGCCGAAATGGTAAAAAGTGACCAACATATGCAGAAGGCGAGTTTATTTTTTTGCATTGAATTCTGATTTTTTTTTTTCTTTTGATTAATGTTCTGATTTACCGAGGAACTTTTGGTAGAGTTAACAGTTCTTGCTGTTTTCTTCATTTCATTATTCATACATGTACGCTATTATATTATTAGTTATGTTGTCATACTCTTTGTAGATAAGGCAGCGTATGGCAGAAATTGAAGAAAGTAAACAAAAACTGGAAGCAATTCGTAGAATTCGTGAGGAAAAAAAGTTTGCAGCTAAGGTGCAAAAGAAGGCTGGTTTCATCAGTTGTTTCGTAATTAGAATTGTGGTTGGGCTCATAATTTGGTCATGTTTTTTCCTGCTTTACAATAGAGTTCGTGTATTTTACTTATTAATTCAGGTAATAGAAAGAAAACAGAGTGAAAAAAAGATTTTGGCAGAAGCAGTGAAGAAACATCGAAAGGGCGTAAAGTCGCATCTGGATGCCATGCTAAATAATGCAAGAAGAATACAGGATACTGAGGTTTTTCATTTCTACTATCAAGTTTTTGCAATAATGCTTGAATTTCTATAAAATCAGATTGCCATCTGAATTATGGCTTATATCAGGCAGTTTTCAAAGTTTTTATTTCTCACTGCAAGAAAAAGGTGGTTTTCAGGTTGGAATAAAGAGGTCAGAGAAAGGAAGAATGCGCGAAAAGAGTAAGAGATTTCGTCGAATGGCCCGTGATAAAAAGTTCGGCTTCGGCGGACAAAAAAAGAGGTCTAAGAAAAATGATAAAAATAGGTAGTAAATTCTTTAAAACATTTTTGGCCATTTTATGCTTTATGTTTTAATGAAATCATAAATGAATGAAAAAAGAAATATAAGGATGAAGTGTTTACAAATTTTTGCATGATTTTTTTTTTAGTTTTGAAGAATTTGCGACACCTGGGAGTCTAGCTCGTAGGCTCAAAGGACATCATTTTGGCACACATGTGTTGAAAAGTCGTGCAAAGCCGAGAAAAAGATGATCTTCATGTCTTTGTTTTTTGTCTAACACTAAAAAAAAAGATGCAACGTGTGTCGTTTACTTGACTTTAAACACAAACAAAACTATAGGAATTTCTTGTAGAGTCATAATTTTATTAAATGTTTTACAGTGACTTTTTCTGTTTATCCTTTCTCGTAGCTTTTCAGATTTTTTTATGAACTCTGAATAAAATTATTGCTTCTAAACGGTTTTGATGATAGTTTGTTAAGATTGGAATTATTGTTACTTGTACTTTTTGCTTTTATTTTTGTCAGTGGATAAACACTCTATAAATCCTTTCTTTTTTTTTGCGAAGTATAAACGCCTGAGACAGATATTTGAAAAAATTCTTGGTTTAAAGGAACAAAAACTTTTTTTTAAAAACTTTTCTTAATACTGTGGTAGTTTACAGCTTGGGACAAAGTAAGATTTTACAAGTTTGAAAGCCTGGTATTCATTTATTCTCAGGATATTAAACATTTATAAAACTTATTTGATTGTTTAGTTGACCTGATGTTGATTGATGGCAGTTACAAGATAGCAATAAAATAAATGTATTCTCGACTGCTTGATGATGGTTTTATTGAATTTCTTATGGGGATATATTATATTTATGGTTCTTTTTTCCGTAACATTTGGTAGTTTATTATATGCTAAAACAACGGATACGAGTGGAGGGTCGTACCAGGTAAGTTTGGCGGATATCTTTTTTTTGCAAAAGAATAAGAAATGATCATTTCTGCATAACTATCTCAAATATTGTGCTATGACATGGAGACGAATATTTAGTGAAGATTAAGGTACATACAAAAAATTTTATATCAGTGCCTTCAAACGTATGTAAACAAATTCATGGTGCTGGAAAGTAAATATCGCTGATGAAGCTTATTGACCACAAACGAGGTAGCCGGAAGTGACACATTTAATAGTGAGGTTTTTGCTTGCTTTTGAAGTTTCCCATTTAGAAATGGCTGATCTCTAATTCTTCTTGTAATATCTGCATTTTTGCTTGTACAAACTCAACTGCTTATTTTGCCGCCTTAGATTGTTTTGAGATTTGATTTTTCATGTTCATTAAATTGCAAAGCTCTGCAGAAAAGCTGATCTTGCCGTTTCGTTGGGCAGTTGTTTTGCTTCTGGTATATTCTTGTCGTCATGTTTCCTTGGGCTCTTGCCACACATTCGAAAACATGAAGAACATATTCGGAATATGTGGATCTCGACAGTTGGTCACACCGATTCATCTTCATATATATTTTTAAATTCGGAATTGGTTGTCTTAATGATCTTTCTTCTAATACTTTTCCTTGAAGAGGTAGGTTCAATTTTTGAAATATTCTATATTTTTTGATGCCCTTAACAAAAGTGCTCATTTTTGTATACTTACAAAACATCTGTTTTTACTGAGAATAAGCAACTAGTCAGTACCGTCAATAAATGAATATTTCCGTACCTCTAACTCATGCTGTTTATGATTGTCAGCGATAATTCTAATTTAAGTGAGAGTGTTAATAAATACTTGCATTTCTCAGTAATATTAGTTATACTATATATAAATTCGTCAACTTAGATAGTTCACTTATTTCACAAATCTCTAGCGGAATGTAGGATCAAATGAAAAAAACTATTGATTGATTCTGTATATAAGTCTGCTCTGTCAACTTCTAATGAAAGACATCTTTCTCTCCGGATTTTGATTAGTTTTTCCTGAATCAAAAATATGTTGGTAAAGATGTTTGGATTGTTAATTATATATTTAAGTTCAGTTTATTTTTGTCATAATTACGACTTAAATATGTGTAAGTTGTCACTTAAATATATATTTAAATTCTTTTTCTTGTTATGTGTAACATAGTTTTAAATATAAACGGTGTAATGCTTTGAATTAATTGCTAATTACTACAAAATTTGGTTTCAGAATTTATTTGCAGCTATTTTGAACCGAGTTCTACAGTCTGTTAACTGCTGTTATGATCCACGAAGTACTATGTTCATTTGGGTTAGGTGTTAGCTTAGCGCAACATTCTAGTAAGTTTCACATTCAAAGAATTGAATTATTTAGATTTGCCAAAATAAATTTAGATTTGCTTTTGTCTTTTTTTTTTGTCAGGTGAATGGCATAAGAGGGACTTTTTTTAATTTCGAAGCTTAATTGAAAATTTAGAGCTGCAGGACAAATTTGAAGTAAATTATAATGGTAATATGAGAAATCATATTTATCAAAGCTATCAAAACTAATCTTTAATTAGAGGAAGATCTGTCATAAGTTTGAAGTGATGGAACTGTATGACAGATGCATCACTATATGAATCATCACCGTATGCTCTCTAAAAAAGGTATTATACCAGCTTTCTACAGTTTTCGTTTCTTTGTCTGTATTCGATCACTTAAAAGAAAAAAAAAAGAAAAAATACTGTTCTCAGATAAATTCCATAGAAACGTTCACACTATACTGCTGATTCGATTTGTGTTAGAAGGATTCGCAGCTGGAGCTTTCATTTATGTTGCATGTGTGGAAATATTAAGTTCCGAAATGAGTGTTCATAATCATGGTACCAGACAAGGCCTATTTAAAGCATTGGCTGTAATTATTAGTTTATTTACGTTCTTCTTTGTTAACATTATTTTCGGACAACGTTTGCATTATTCACTTCGTTATTTCAACATACTGTAATCGAAATGATTTCGGTAATGCCTTCTTTGGAAACTACCCATTAATCGAGCTTTAGTATTTTTCAAGGAAATTTTTTGATTGTGGCTTATTTCTGCCCTAGGCTATCCGGCTAGCTACAATGAAGAGGGAACATTAGATCGAAGCTTTGAAGCTTTTCGACATATCAGCATGTGTAAAAACAAATTTAATAATTCTTTCTTACTGCCCTGCTTCATTGCGAAATAAAGTAGTTTCCCTTTCTTGATAGTTCAGATTGTTGACTTCTTTGTCTTCGATACCAGTAGATTCTGGAATCTGTACTGGTTCTGTTCTGTGGGAGTTTTCGTGAAGTACTTTATTACTCAAACCTCAAATTTGGGTAATTAAACCATTAAAAATTATACAACATTACAATAACGAATTGATATACATAAATATAACTTAATTATAAAACATTTAAAGATATAAGCAAGCTAGACACTTCCTAACCGAGCCATACCAAAATAAGAAACTATAATGAGTCACTTTGTGAGGAAGAAAATTGGGAGGGATTTAATGGATGCTAAAGTTACAAAATAGATTAAAATGACTTAAAACAATAGTCTCTGTTCACTACGTCATAGCTTCGCCATTGTGGTGACAGCATGTCTCCTTCAGCAAGGAGCAGTTCGATTTTTATTAATTGTTATAATTCTTATCTGCACAACTTCTCGTGATACAGTGATATTTCCTTATTTATGTGAGTTTTTATATGTACTTCATCACCTAAAGCAATCAGAAAATGATGTTGCGAGACTGTTTACTTGATATAATAGGATTAAAAAATGAGATATTCTGGTAGTCTGAAGTTTTGGATGAGATTTTCAATTTCCCCTTAATTTTAGACTTTGAAATCAGGTCTCCGATAAGTTACTTTATAAAATTTTGCACATAAACTGCTGTTTTTTAACGTTTAGTTTCTATTAGTGAAAAATGATCTCGTAGTGACTTTTCTGAACCGCTAAGTTTGCACATGGCATAATGTACTAGTACGATTTTGGTTGTAATATCAATAGATTCTTGAAACTTTAATTCTGCAGTTTTCTTTTTAGTTTTTTTTTTTTTCTTTTAGTTTTGATTTGGTTTTCATAATATTCTTTTACATTGCACATCTGAAAAAAACTCCATTAAACTTTTTGTGTATTGCTGTTTACTGTTATTTGTTACTGGTGAATACTGCATTTAACCTAATTTAACCGAAGTTGTATATAATGAACGGTATTGAACACATCTTGGCAACGTAAAAAATACAACATGTACTTCTCCATCTTTGACACTACTGAATCTTTATCATAATTCTTTTTTTTTAAAACTGTTGAGATAAAAGGATGAATTATTTTACATATTCCAGTTCTCATTTTTCGTATTGTTTGCAATATTCTTCGGATATTTCTTTTATTATGTACTATTTGTTTTTTTGCTCTATCGCTGATTATCAGCGCACTGAATATTCGTAGCTTTATCATATGGTGTTCAAATGAATATTTCGTCGCAAATTAATTGCACCAGAATTTATGACTAGAAATCATGCATTGCACATAAAACTTTACAGAGTCCTCTTATTGATGAGTGTGTCTGCTTTTGAGAAGATAATCCGAGTACGGAGTGTTGATTTGGCAGTGCTCGATGAAAGTGCTTATTATGAAGCTATTTATGTCGGTAGCAGGTGAATATTGTAGAGAATTATAAATGGAAGTTGTTTTTGGATCTTGTTATCTTTATTTAGAATATTTCAGTGTACCAAATCGAAGATTCTATGCAATAGAATCGCCGTTTCGAATGAATTCGCAAGTTTCACCTGGAAACGGTTCTTTTACAGACAAAAATAAGTCGAGGCGGAGACGAAAGCGTGGCGTATGTTCGAATATCACTTGTAATTTAAACGACGTAAATTTTTGTTTTCTTTGCTTTTGGAACAACTTTTTCAGTTATATTTTCTTTTCTAGTTCTAAGGATAATTGAACAGCAGATTTGTTAAGCTTTATTCCCTTCTTTAAATATTTGTTTGCTGAACTTTTTTGTTATTTTTTATACCATTTTTTCGTTTTGTTCTATTTTAGAATTTTGTTCAGGTTAGTATAGTTTTGAAGAAGATATTAGAAAAGGCGGTTGTGATGGACGCATTTAGTAAAAATCATTGCGGACCTGCACAATGTTCTTCTTTCGAAACATCAGTAAACTTCAATAATTATCTAACACGACAGTTAGTTCTCACTGCAACTTCAGTTCCTTGTCCGTTATCTCGTTATGGGAAGCAGTATTACTTTGCAAAGCAAAGCATTAAAGAAATATGTTTAAATCAAGAAGAAAGGTAATTTCAATGATCTTATGTTGGAAATTTGTGGAAGGAGAACTTAGCTTTTCTAGGAAATCTTCCGAAAATTTGTTGTTTACTTTGATGTTTGAAACATTTTTTTTTTGTAATACTGATATTGATATACACTGATAACACTGATATTTCACGTCAATATTGCTCCTCCAAATATAATTCCAAATTTGTGGTAATTAATATTATTAATATTGTTTGGTCTTTATATATTGCTTTTCACAAGTTGTTTCAGCTTATCTACTTATCCATGCTACTCTGGATTTTCTTCATCATTTGAAAATTTTATGGCTTCTTTTCTTAACATGCATTTGTTTAGAACTATTGATGATATTTCAAACGAACTCGTAATGTGGGTAAATGGTGGCCCGGAAGTTATTATAGTCAAATGCAAAGATGAAAAATTCATCTTACCCCCATTTTCTTCTTTCATCATTAACGATGCATGTGTAGCAGAGGCACTGATCAGATGTGAGTTTTATTTGACGATCGTTCAATGTTTTCTCAAGAACGACAATCTTGTTTTCTTTCATTTTTGAAAATGGTAAATCAAAATGCGATCTATTTATCTTGCACTTTAATGATTGCTAAGCAAATTCTTTCAAAAGGCTATGTTGAAAGTGATCGATTCCAAATATTCCCATGTAATTGAGCATTTATTTCAGACGGGAAAAAATTTGATTTCATATTACTGGATCCACCTTGGGAGAATAAATCTGTTAAGAGGAAAACTGTGTAAGTAAAATAGATATTCCTGTAAATCTTGTAAATGTTTGTGAATTTTCCCAAGATTTCGAGACTAAAAGTAAGAAAATTTTTCATAAAAATGACTTCTAACAATAATTTTAATGTTAATCTTACAGTTACCCAACTTATGGTGATCACAGGTGGATGTTGGATCTGTGTTTGCCAGAACTTTTAAAGGAATCAGGACTGTTGGCAATATGGGTCACAAACAATGCGAAACACTTGAAATTTACAGATAATATGATCGAATATTTTGGTTTCGAAAAAATAGCAACTTGGAGATGGCTTAAAGTTAATTTTACTGTCATGTCTTTCCATATTTCGTATTCTTGGAGTTTGATCGAAGGTTCTTTTTGATCATGACTCTTTTTGATATCGGATGTTTGAATGATACATCTAAACTAATTTGAATCAGATTTTAAGTTTAATTAAAAATGTCGTCCGCACAAAGAGAAAAAAGTTTTCATCAGATTAAACTAGATTCACTTTAGATTGGGCGTTAAATTTTTGTCAGTTTAAGTTTAAAATTTGCTTCGCTTTTCGAATAATGTCTGATTCACAAACAAGATAGGTCATATTGCACTTTCTCTTTACAGCCAGACTTAAAGCGTGAGATATTGAAATTAACGCATTTTCTGCCATATATATTAATGCACACTTATTGGTTCTTTTCCTTGTGAAGATTTTCAATTAGTTTAATGCAATTTGTATGTTTTGCAAAATTTTAGGTGACAAACAGTGGTGAACCCGTTTACAATCTAAATAGCCAACATAAGCAACCTTTTGAAAACATTGTATTCGCCTCTTGCGTTGCTGCTCGCAGACACTATATGAATATCGCCAATGAATTTGCCCTAATCAGGCATATATTTCTGATTATCCACGAATAAAGATTAAAAAATAAAGAAATTAGTAAAATAAAGAAAAATCTAGTAAAGATTAGCATACCACCATCAACAGATATTCCTAAAAACTTTTGGCCGACAGAGAACATACTAGCTTTCATTGGTCAAATATGGAAAAAGGAGCGAATTCTCATAATTCATAAATAAACAGATTGATATTCGGGTTTTGTCTTATAAGCTACTTAGAAAGTTACACCTCTTTCTCGAATGCCACTCTTATCAGCATGCGTGCTGTACTAAATACCTAAATTTTCTTTTGTGATATTTTTGACGACATCAGCCAAGCTGAAAAAGCTAAGTGGAGGAAGCGAAGTATAGCTGTATATAAATAGCGGAAGTGCGAACCTAAGTTTCTTTTTATCTTTACCAAATTAAGAATTTTCTATTGTTTCCATCTAACAGATGTACTAATTTAAGCATCGTAACTTTCTATTTTCCTTAATTTTCTTAACCCTTTTTAGTACTCCATCTGCAATTCATTCAAGGAAACCACCATTGTTTCCAGTGCTACAAGCACTTGGAATTCTTGAAGAAACAGCGGAACAATTGGAATTATATGGCAGGTATCTGTTACCACGAACAATAACTGTTGGATTTGAAGCGGCTAAACTTCAGAATGAGCGATATTTTGTTTGAATATACAGATAAGGTAAAAATTTTAATTCTGCCACGTGAGTAGCCGTGATTTACAATATTGGCTGCGTTCTCTCTATGTACAAATAAGATGGCAAAATAGAAACAAATGATTTCTTGGTTAACTGAGAGTAAAAATTCACTTCGATCAAAATTAAACAAAAATAGATAGGGGTGTGTAATCAAAGTGCATGCATCTCGCAAATAATCTTGTTGGAAAAGTAACATGTATTTCATATAAAAATTCAAATACTTTCCAGAAAACAAATCATATGACAGGAATCTAACATCATACGAAGAAGGCCTTCCTTTCCTTAAAGCAGTTCTGGCGATAAACATTCAAATGATACTTACAAGGTTTTGTTTTGCTGATTACAACTATTTGCTCAATCCTTACACCACTTTTCAGATATCATTTGTTAGTTTTTAAAATATATATATATATATATATATATAATTCCTAAATAAATATATAATATATTTATTCCAATATAATATATTTTGTATTCCGAAACATACTCATTTTTTATGCACTTATTTCCATCATATGCAGTAATTAAACCCCATTATATTCATAGTTGTGACACATTAATTGATTTAACTGGTAACCGTAAAATTCCTTAAACTCTTCAGTAGATTCTACTGAAGTTCTTTTAGCCCAACATTAGCATCATATTTGATAAAAATACTTTTATAGTTCTGAGTGAAGATGTAACTACATTCGAGATGATTTCGTTTTTCACTGTTTACTCTGCATTTTGTTAGAAAGGTTTTGGTTTTTATTTTCAACATTGCCAACAGATCCCTTATTTTTTTAAAATGGTTTTGCAAAAATCAATCGTCTTAATGTTGTTGGTTCCATATTTTTAATTTTTTTAAAACCGAATTCGGCAGGATCGGAATTTCCAGTGCACTTTATGTAGAGATGTTGTGAAAATCACTTTACGGTTGTATCAAATTATTACTATGGTATATCATAATTGAAGTGATTTCTTCAACTAAAACGAATACCCAACAGTTGTGAAAGAATAGTTCCTACCATGTTTGGAAGTTTTTGAACTAATCCAGTAAGCTGACTAATTATTGGTTTCTTTTCACAGATTTATACAATAAAAAAGAAAAAAAAAACTTGGGATTCAGCAATTGCCAGCATCACAGCTGAAGCAGAAATCCTGTTGCGAGCATGTGCTTGAAGAACTCTCACAGTTTTTCAAAATTGGGTTTCATCTGAAACATTCCAGCAAGAAAAAAGAAAAAATAAGGTGGGAGAAAAAGAATTGTGAAAATTTTCGTTTATTCAAATTACAACTTGTAATTCAAAATGCGTGAGCAACATACACTTCAATGTTGTGTCCTACTTCCAGTGCGACTGCTTTGCACTAAATTGATCTTTCGTCTTTCTGTTGCGAAATGTTTTTTGTAATATCATTAATAATTTAATTAATTAATTTAATAATAATAGGATAATGGTAGTGAAAACGACAATGACAGCGGTAATAATGACGATAATGATAATAACAATAATAGTAATATAGTAATAGTAACACGCGAATCTTCCCGCATGCAGTGTCGATTCATAAATAGTGCAGCATGTCCTTGTGAAATGTTACGCCACTGACGATTTATTGAATTATACATTCATTGAGCATTTTCCCCAAGTGATACGGCATAACATTTACGAAACTAAGCGTTTGAAAAGAGAAGTTGCATTTTGATTTCGACATCAGGATAACTTTATTTAGATAGCACATTTTTTGTTTTCACCTTCGTTCATAGTTCTCTGTTATGAATCGCAGTTCATTAATTACAAAAAGCCAGGAATCTGTTGCAAGGAGCATTCTATTCCCCCAAAATCTGTCCACTGGAAAAATCGCTTTATATAAGCTAAGGAGATCAACTTTTGTACTCGATTTAAAATAAAAATATTTGGTGTGAATAAGATGAAACTATTTTTTAAAACGAATCTTTAACATATGGAATTTGAGCTGTGAATCTGAAATCGAAGATAGTGCACTTTGCTTGGATTAATTTGCTATTCTAAAGAAGCTAACGACATTAATAATAGGATAAATACAAAGTGTACCTTATGGAATTTCTTTAGAAAACAGGTGAGAATGTGAAGACTAAGGGAATGAAATTTACTTCCAAATTATTCAATTACTCATATTAACAGAAATAAAGGTTGCTACTATAAGTGCAGCTAAAAACAAACAAAAAAACAAGTTTCGCATAAATCTGGCGTCTTATAAGACCTTCAATTTTCACTTGTATTTTAGTAAATTAACGGCGAAATTAGAAAAGTAGAACATATCAATTTCAATATTTCCAAATGAGGTACTGCCTCCTGAGCACATTGCGAAAAACAGAAATTAGGTTAGCTGATTCGTAGTAAGCTTAGCTGTCTGCAGAAGCATCATATGACGCAGAGCGAAATAATTAAAGAACGATGTCCGCCAAAGGAAGGAATCTTGGATCTTTCTCAGACGAGATGCAAATTTGAAGAACTAATGCTTGCTTTGTAAATGAAGCTCACAATGTACTTATGTAAAGAAATGGTATATTGCGAAAATTTTTAGTAAGTTTTATAGTGGAGAGTTTAAAATATCTAACAGAATTTATATTATTGCTAAGGCTAAGGCAAACTGATTGGAGACAACACATTTAAAGTGGAGGCAGTAAAATCTTGAGAGAAATTTAATCCATACCTAATTAGATTAAAATTGTTCATGCGTGCGTCTCACATTTCTAGCCATGAACAATATCATTACGAGAAATGGGTTTAAAAGTTATTCAAATTAATCTCTTGGGTCTGCACGGGAATATCATGAGCAGTTTTGAAAATTTGTATGGATGAGAGGAAGGAGGAACAGGGCAAAGAATAGTGTCAAATCAGTCGTATGACCTCCTTTTCGCAGTTATTGTAAATCTCCTCCCACATGCCATCATCAACATATCGCGCATTTTGTTTGGCTGACGATCAACTAGCATCTCTAAAATTTAAATCTTCAATTCTATGCAGAGAGAATTTGAGAATGTAGATTGGTCTCAAAAAGAATTGCTCTTCTTGTAGCATGCATATCTTAGCTTTTGACTAGACAACTCATAAATTTACTGGGACCAACCTAATTTGTAAGCTATAGGATAAAGTACCTTTTAGCATTTCTTTATATCTGTTCAAAATGTTAAGGGCAGTTGATAGAAGTATTCCTCCAAAAACTCAGTTTTGTGTTATTTTTAATCTCAAATTCTCGTATTTTGTATTTTACGGTTTTAATTTATTACAGAACATTTCCAGAAAGACAACATGGAAGCGATGTTCTCGTTGGTAGTTCTTTTGCTTTTCATCTCGCCTACTTGTTATGGAACTCTCGAAATTAGTGGTGACGAGGTGAGCTCAACTTGCTATCATTCAGTTATTTTTCTTATTTTTCAGAAGATTTTAACTAGTTCGCAGCAACAACTCAATCAGAACACATTATGCTTTAATTCTCTACATAAGCAATGTTTTTTTCCGCGACTTTTAATTTAATGAATCGATTTACTGAATAAAATAGCACTATGTTTTTATTCATCATCATGGGAGCGTGAATTTATGTTCCCATGTATACATTGAAAATCAAAATTTATTAAAGGACTGAAGGAAGTCACTTGACTGAAAATTTGCATTTAAAACAGCAAAGTCTTAAAACTCAAACTTCACAACAGTTGAATTGAACTGAGAAGATAACGAACAGTTTCAATTAGATTTCAAGATTCCCTCTCAATTAATACTTCAAAAAGTTCAACGGAAAGCTTCAATTTCAGCTGCTGCTAAAAACTCATGGCACTGTGCATACCAGACGTGTTCGTGACACAGATAACAAAAATCTGGAAAAACATCACGTGGAACTACGACGCCCCGGAAAACAAGAACCGGTAAAGAGCATAAAAAAGCCGAGAAACATTCTCAAGAATAAGAAATACAAGACTTACTAGTTTTTCCAAATATTGATAACTCACTTCGCCAACTTATTGTTCAAAACAAAAGAAATAAAAATATGTGCTAATCCTGACCTCTCCGGAATTAGAAACCAACCAAAATGCAAGTTGGAACTGACTTGTTCCTAATGCTCGTCAACGGAATCACCACTTAGTTTGCAATGATTTCGCTCTCAATTCACAACTCCTGGAATCCCTGGTATGCAAGCACACTTAGTCACACGAGACATTTGCGGTTGGTTTCCCGAACCCACTGATTTGCAGAGATGCGAGTTAATCCACACCCTTACTAAACCAAACAGTCTTACAACTTGCAACTAGCGCAAATCGTACCACCCACAGTTAACCCTTGAAGCCTCAGCACCATGCATTCGTTCATTGCCCAAGGCGTACGACGGCAATTCCTATCAATCTGCACGGGTTCATCATAGGCGACCTAGATCGCACGCTGAATTTTGTTATATGAACGGTGCAGACAGCATAGAGTGGTTGTAGTTAGACAACAACAGCATCATTTTTCGCAGCGCAGCAGGGCAACTAGTGAAACGAGTTGACACTGATGATGTGATGAAGCCGTCGTTGAGTCAATCGGTCGAGAAAATACACAATATCATATTCTGTACCGTTCGATTCCGTTTTGTGTTATTACATCTCTCAGGTAGGAGACAATCGATCCATTTTGATTGCTCCAACATAAATTGTTGCTTAGTGTATGACTGAAAATGATAACAGTATTGGTTGTAGGCTTGGAGAAAGGTACAGTTGTTATTCAGAGGTATGCTGTACTGTGAAGTGCAACTACTGATACTTGTTGTGTTGAAGAGGCGAATAAATTTGAACTAAGTTTATTTATTTAATCACAAACATGGATGTAATATTTTAAGGATACTGTTGTACAACTTGTGATTACATTAAATTACATGAAATGAAATGGGAAGTGATGAAGTCTTCAGAAATCTCAACTTTCTCCTTCCTTCTTTTCTTCTTGAGCCCTCTTTTTAGATATTTGGAACGGGTGGGTAATTGATTTCAGATAAATTTAATTTCGTCTTTGAAAGTGAAGACACTGATTGATAGTGAAGAAGTTGGACACCGGATACTGTCACCCAGCTAAAACATGCATGTATTATTATCACAAAGTACCGAACTTAACTGACAATCTATTTTCTTGTTGCATATACTGATTTCATTAAAAAGTGTTGAATAGTTCGGTTTTTGCATGCACTGTGGATTTAGATGAAACTTGTAGGAACTGAAAATAGTAGTGAGTTTTTACTTGTTTTTGAAGAAGTAACTCAAAAAATAAGAGTAATTAGCTTGTAAGAATAAATGATTATTACGAGCAAATACATTTGTTGACCATTCAGTTCTGCACTGTACAACAAAAAATGCAGATATATTAATTTATTTTCATGCATTATGATCATTACAGCGTATTGTATCCTTTTTAAAAGGATGAATTATTTTGTTTAGCTTAGGATATCACTGTCCTTTCGATATCTGTCTTATATCCAAATTGAAATATAAATCTGGCTAAACAAAATTCGGACGTATTCCCTAAAAATCGAAAACGGACAGTAAGACTTTTATTGCTCAAATTAATAGACTATTTCTCTTTAAGACTGTAATCTCACCAATTTTGAAATCCGAAGCAGTATCACGGAAAAATTTTTCTATTTAAGCTGTTCATATCCATTCATTTCTCATAATTTTTTCCAAAAATATTGAGAACAAATTTACTGTGAAATGTTTATTATCTCAGTGTTGTGAAAGTAAATAACGGAACTAGCAGAATTAAATATAAAAATCTTCTCCTTATACATTGTATTTGGATACCAAGAATCTGCTAGTTTCATTATTGATTATGCACAGCATTGAGAAGTACCATAACCACAACCTCTCGAACTACCCTAAGACTCGTAACAGCATTTGAACGTATAATTTATCAGTGCACATTCCATTAGGCGGCTATTGTAGCCCACGTAGAGAATTGCTTTACCAGCAACTGATGCATATATTATCGACAAATTTAGAATGAACATTTTAATTGTTAACCAGACAATTCATTATTATATAATATCACCTCCCTTTCTCACTAATTAAACATTATATCTTTCACTGTTAAACTGTTACAATATAGTATTAAAGATGATAAAAAAGTAAAAAGATTTGAGTTGCTTACTGAAAATGGATAAAAGTAAACAGCAAATAATGAAGAAAGGATTTATTTGCATACTCTCTTTTTCCCTGAATTCCACTATCAGTTGAAAAAAAAAAAAAAACAATTTTCATTATTCTTCAATTCTCTTAAATATTTGAAATGTTGTTGCAACTCTATATTTAACATTTTCCTATCCATCATTTCTCACAATTATATCTTTCAATTAACTGATACCAATTTCTCATCACATCAATAAGACATCATTTCAATACACTTTTTTATTTCTACTTTTCAAAAAAAATTTTCATTATTCTTCATTTCTCTTGAAAAAATCGATAGACCAATTCTAACTTACTCAAATTTGCTCGAGAAATTCAATTATGCTTTACAAAAAATGAATTACATAATCGGAAGAAGATTTGATATATTTCAATATTGATGGCTGAGACTTTCTGCATTTTCTACTTTTGGAACAAATTTTGATTTGGATTGGTGTAGACAAAATCAACCGAAAAGTTACTTTTACAATATACGCGACTCTCTGAAGATTTTTAGCACCTCTAACATTTCTTGATGATCATAGATGCCTTTTCTTTCTAATTACTATGACCAATTTTTGATCATTAGTCTTGTTCAAGTCTATGTCTTTAATTTTGCTCTTATAAGATTCTGCGAGTTTATAAGAAAATTCACGAAGTTTCTTACCTCAATTCGAATATTTTACTGAGTAGATCGAATTTTCTGTTTATCCCTAGAATTTCTATTATTATTTTAAAAATGTTAAGAAAATATCATTAAGTAGCAATAATTTTTGCATTACTCTTCTTTATGAATTCTAACTTTAACACTCTTCTTAGACCCGAATCATCAAGACAGCTATGGATTGATTCTTTACCATTTATTAGTTGAATAAATGAAAGAAGAGATACACAGATAATACCAAAGTATGCAATTCAACATTGTGTCTAACATTTACTTTCGAACTGCTCAAGGATTTTATTGATTTCAAGAATATAAGTACGCCTGCCTCGAATGACAGATTTACAGCTTACATTATAAGTTGGAAAGCCTAAAAGTAGGCGCAAACAATTTGTATGTATTTTACTTTATTTAATAAAGATTAAATTTTAAACCGTCATTGAACGCGTTTAGACATTCGTTGGGTATAGTAGTGATGGTAAATCAAGAAAACTTATTGAGTGTATAGCTTCAGCAGCGGTCGCTGTAGTATGTGGATTCAATAGAAAAGATGCACCAATATCAGATCTTGTGGATGCTAAGACGTGCTAAAATAGAGAAAATTAAGTTTTAAATCTTTTTGAAAAAGTATGGTCGAGATTTGAAGATTTTCTGAAACTTTGAAGTTGTAAGTTTTGCTAGTTATTCACAATGACAAATTACAAAAAATTCTTATTGTTTTTCTTCGAAGATTACTTTACCATTTCTTGAAAAAAAGGCACGGAAGAATTTGAATAAAACATAAATGGATTAGATGCTGATGTTGCTAGAGATTTACGGCATCGTGCTCGACGATTGCTAAACCAAACCTGCAAAATTCCAATGTTCTGAAAAAATTTTGGATTAATCATAAAAATATCTTGTGAAGAATAAAGTCGTAACGATATGCGATAGCATAACTTTTTGCTCATTGATTATATAAAACAGATTACTTTCCTGAATTTCAGATTTTGAAACTTTCTCAAGAAGCAATCAGTTAGCGATATCAAAAATGTGAATATAAAAATGAGGACTTCAACCTGTATTTTACCCTCATCCAACTTGGTTGCAACAGCAAGACGCTCACGCAGTTCCTGATCCGGATAGGTGTTCGCTTTGAAAGCCGCTTCTAGTATTTCTAGTTGCTCCTGCGTAAAACTTGTCCTATTTCTTCGAGTCCTACCGATCGTTTCTGTTCGACATTCCACGAGTAACTCTTCAGTACTATTGCATCCTCCTGTATTAGTGAGCGGTATTAATTACCAATTTGTGAAATATTATAATAACGCTTGAAGTAAAATTCAGTGAAGCAGAAGTAATTTCTGACGTTGTAATTATTTGTCATGAAAAGAAAATGCTAGATAGAGAGCACATAACAAAATATTTTCAATTTCTCAGAAAGCTGTTTCGGTAGCAAACAGCTAAAAACGGAAACTATCACTGTGTTTTGGAAAGACATATCATTTGAATAGGAGATGAATGGGAAATCTAGCAGTTTTCATGCCTCTTTAATGTATTTAAATAGTCAAACTCTGAAAAATTCACAAACTTTTAACTGCACAAAAGCATCAGAGAGTTTTGATTTAATTTTCAGAGAGAATTCTGATTTAACCACAGACATATATACATAACAATCGCCAGAATTATTTTAAAACGTACAAATTAGACTTAATTATATGATTGGTGACGAAACAAGAATGAATTACTATACTTTAACACTTCAAGTAATTGCTTATCCGTGCCAAAATTGCAGTTGCTTTTATCCTTTAAAAAGAAAAAGAAAAACATTTTAGCGCATCGTTAACTAAACAATCACGCATGATTGATTGTATTTAATGCTATATATAACAAGTTCAATTGCAGATTAATCTTCCCAAGATGATAAGGAGTGCTTCCTGCAATTTTTTAAAGCTCAGAAAAAGGAATAAATTGAAAAAATTAAAGTTTTTGACCTGAGCTGTATGTTTACATTTCTAGCAAAATGAGCTATCGAAAACTGTTTGTGTTCCTTTGCTAAGACATACATTGTTGTGCAGCTGTTGTGATTAGAATTGATTATAAAAGTTGAAAATTGCGATTCTGATTACAAATGAAATGCAGTACCTGATAAGGTACCGAGAATACCGTCTATGCTATGTTTCAACGTGAAGACTTTTGGCTGTTTCATTGTAAAAGCGTTTGACGAGCACTGATTCTGAATTTCACTTCGCATACTCCTATCTCTGTAATGTTCGCTTTTGCTGATTGTCAATAATTTTTAATTATTCAGGAATTTATTGTTCAAAAAATCCCGAAACTTTTTGTGAAACACATTTTTGCACTACTATAAGATATAGCTGAATTCTTCAGGTAAGGAATTTACAGAAAAGTATAGAGTTCTTACAAACAACTCTTTATTTACAAAAAAGTGTTCCAATTTATCTAAATGTTTCGAAGTCAATCCATAAGCTTATCAAAGCATTATATTCCTCTTTTTTTTTTTGAAAAATTTCTTGAAAACTTTTGGTAGACTTACAACCTCATGTATTTATGTATTGAAGAAATGGTTGGTGCATTTGAACGACTACAAATTCCTTTTTCAATAAGCATTAAACGAATTTCATGAGCATTGATCGCTGGTTGACCTTGACGAATTCGATCTATATGCTCCTCCAATGCTAGAATCGTTTTGCGTGACCGCGGATTGCCACCAATCTTAAACTTTTTACAGTATTACTGCATTTTAGCTGTAATAAAGGAATGAATTTAAGAAATTAAAAGTGAAACTTCCACAAGAAATGCTTAGCGCTGTTGATATCATCAGGACGCAAATGATAAGTCATTCAGAAAATGAATAAACATGCGCATAGCAAAATAATTACTGCATTGTTACAGAATAACTTCAACGTATTTATTACATTTGGAAGATGTGTATTAGCATCCAATTAAACATATTGATCACAAAGAAGGAAAGTAGAGATAATGCAGTATTTAATGTTTCGCATTTTTGGTCATAATTTTTAGTAGTAAAATTGCTACATGAGTTGAAATCGTAAATGAGTATTATTTCAAGCATGAAGAATTTGTTCAAAATATGAGATATTTTGAATATTTTGAATGGTTGTTTTTGTATTATATAAATATTAATAATCTAGCTTTGTATTACTGATAGCAGTGATATCTGCTACTCTTCACTTTTTCTTACTTATGAAGAAGGATGTAATTTCTTAAGAAAAAATGTCGCAATTTGCGCTAGTCATGCAAATCTAATGGCACAAGTAAAAAATAAAAGGAAATATTTTAGTAACACGTTGTCAGTACAAATAACCCAATCAACAAATCATTGATAAACCCATTTTTCTTGGAAGGCTCTCACTACTTTGTTTCATTCCACAATTTAACAAAACAGACTGATTGCGCAAAATAAATAAAAAGTTATAGTCTCACATCAAACTGTTGCAGAAAATTCAACAACTAGTATGCTTCAATGAATCAATACTCCAAATACCGCTTTCAGAACTAATCAGAAAGTCAGAACTGAAATCTCACAATGCCATTTTTTTGGCTTTTTGATTTGTAATAGATTTGTGTTTCATTCATATATCAAAGTGATCTCTTAGAAAGAGCTAACGACTACAATAATTTTGTTCCTATTTTTTCTGCATATTATCAAATTATGAACTGACGATAAATTGGGTTCTTTTTCCTTCTTGAATGCCTTCATTCTTTTTCTTATCTCAAAATAATCACATGCATACAATTGCCAGATGATTTGTATTAAGAATCCGAAATTTTGCTTATCGGAATATCGAAAGTTATCATTGAATAAGTATGAAAAGTGGAAATTTTATCATCTTACAACATACACTAATATAATATTATCTGTGCATAAACGTGTTTGCAACTTTAAGTTATGAACTTGAAATTAGCAATCATGAACAGAAGCAGTTTCATCACAAAGTACTGTGAGACTTTACTTATCATTATCTAGAATCGTTCGAAAATATGTAACAAAATTATTCTAGTATTTTGAAATGCTGTCATAGATTACTGTTTTTCTTTGTCCTTAGACCTAAGCTTTCGTAAATGTGCAAACCTGTCCAGGTGATACAGATCCAGTTTCAGCATATCGATACAAAATTTTTGACACACAACCATGCGAAACGCGTAACTGTCGACTGATATGGCATGGTCTGCAAGAGCTTTGTAGAATTCTCCACTGAGCTTTAATAATGGTACTTTGGAAAAAAAAAAGAACAGGTAGAAATTATTCAAAGGATTTAGTAGTAGTCGATTATTCTACCTCTAAATATTATTTCACCTTATGAAGCTTATAAGAAGTTTCTACATACTTAATCTTAGAGCTGATTAACAATATAGTTTTGAGAGTATATCGCATCGATGAAAACTCCAAAAAAAGAAAAAAAAAAACTTTTACTAGTGAATAAATTGAAAAAGACCACCGTGAAACGCTTTTCTCTTTTGTGCCAGAAAAGGTTAGAGAAAATAAATAACACTTTAATGATGAAAAAAATGCCATTAATAAAAGAATGAGAAGAAGCAGAAAGTTGCTAATGTAAAGTACTCAATTTTCTTTTAAGGTAAGTTAGATAAAAGTACTCTACAGCAGGTCGGTCATGTCAACAAAATGATACATTTAATATAGCAAAAAGAAGTCATAAAATTTTTCACGGTTTATTAAAAATTGTTTGTTTAATTTATTGCTTTTGAAATATGTATTAATTTAGATATGTCATGCTTATCGCAGAAAGTTTACGTTCATAACAACTTGAACTTTTGGCTCAACCTATCCGTTGACATGATACTATCAACTTTGTAGGCAGTTATTTTTTCATGAACTAAAAATTTTAGTGGTGAACTAAAAATTTTAGGGAAATATTGGACGGTAGTGCATTTTATGAAAGAATTGCGCATGAACTATACCTCAAGTTTCATTTTCTGTAGGTTCTTACATTTGAGAAACTTATAAAGTACAATGAGATTGATTTGTAAAGTATGGCTTACTTTCCCTGTGAATATACGTGAATTCTACGCAATAACATTTGCATTACTATTTGAAAATTCCCTTTCAAATTTTCATAATATGAGAGGAGACTTGTTGTTACTTGATTTACAATTGCTCATTCCCATTTCGACTGTTAAAAAATGAGCGCTCCCAATATTCTTATGCAAATTACAGTTTCACCAAATTTATTTAAATTTATAAGTATCTGGGTAAAATGAAATGATAATTGTAGCATTGATAATGATTATAACATTGAGTGATAGTTATGAAATAGTTATAATGGCTGTACAAAACTTTGCGATATTTAATGTGAACAGAAGAGCATACACTTACTTCACACCATTGGTAGCCATTTCAACAATTTTCAACCGGATATGCTGAGGTAACGGACGACCATTGATAAATACACCACCAAGTTGGTTCACGCGACCCTATAGTTGCTAATTACTTTTTAACTATCCTTCAAGACAGTAAGTAGAAATTGAAGCATGCTTGCATAAATAATTTTATGGCTATTTAGAAATACAAGAGATTAATTAATAGCTTGGTTTTGGTTATGAGAACTTTGAGAGATCAGGATGATAGCACTTAACTTCAAGATCTAAAATTACAACTTCTGTAGATCATGGACATTTTCTTTTCTATTTTATCATTAGTGAAAGAGCTGTCAATTGGATAGTCAGATGCTTTAAAGAAATGATGGAACAATAGAACAAAAAGAACTATTCTTTGTTATTTTGAAAGAGATGAATTTAGAAACGAATGTAAATAGAACTACTGATTCAAACTTCACAAACAAAATGCAATGACCTTTCCGAGTTTCGGAAAATATTTTTTTGCTAGAAAAGTTTCTTAATAAAAGAAAACGTCTCAATGCAATGTTATCATAGAGCTTTTGGTAAATTGTTTGACTTTTTCATCTTTCATTTAATCCATTTAATGACAGATAGTTCGTCAGAATCATAGCTTATAATGGCTGAGGAAACTGAACACATGAGAAATTCTGGAGCATCGAAGGATCATTTAGCATTTCAGTTAATTCAAGAGAAATAAATAATTTACCTGTCCCATAATATTAGCAAATGTCAAAGAATGGTGATTAGATGTTAGCGCTGCTGTATCATTAACAATAGAAGTAGTAGAGCTGATGTCAGTAGTAGTGGTACCACCTGTGGTACATGCCATTATTTGCTAGTGGTATCAATGACAGCGATAACAAGAAAAACTTCAACAACCGATTCACACCATTTACCGATTATTTAAAAAAGGAATGATAATTTTGATGGTTTGATGTACGGGGCGTCTGTTGTCCAAAGATGCGTAGAGGTGGGAGTGTTCTGTGATTGAAATTATTTTTATGTATTCAAAAATATGAATGCTCTTTGTTAGTATGATTTTACTACCATAACACAACTTAACTTCACCTCTTGCTTTGCCTGTTATCATCTCTTGAACCTCCTTTCCTTCTCCTTTACCTTCCATATCTATTTATTCTTTTTGAAATATACACCGGTGCATAACCACTACAGATTACCAACGGATTTAGATGCTGAAAAGAGTTACGACTGAACACTCTTACGCCCTTTCTACTCCACCTTCACCTCTTCCTCTGTAGTTTGTTTTGTTGATGACTGATAATTATACGCTACCAGAACGCATCACTGCATTATTAACCATCCAAAAATTTCCCGTATGATGTGTGTTTGTTTGGTTTCTGCCCCGCCTCCATATTAGGGCTGTATGGTTACAGATCTGTCACCTAACATGTCAACCTCCGCACCATTTAAGTACCGTATCAGACACAGGACAACATTGCATATTCGATGTCACCTTTATTAATTTCGTCATCACGATCACTATCGTATCCATTTGTATTATTATTATCATTGTTATAGAAAGAATCAACAACTGCAATGAACATAACAAATCAGTCTATGATAAGAGTTAATATTTGTTAGGTGCAGTTCCTTACGGTAAGATCATAAAGAAGATGTGATGATGGTAAGGGAATTAAGATTAACATGTCTCATAAAGCAGAACATCCGAGATTAGTTCTTAAGGTGAGTCAATCTCAATCTGTCAACTGTTCATTTTCGGTCCGATCTGAAGAAAGAAAAGCTTGACCTTCAAAATGTAAATGCCAATGATAAATGTGAACACTAAAACTTAAATGAATGTCCAGTTCTTTTCCATTTTGGTTTAAATCTCGAAAACTTGTCAAAAATCTTCAAATCGTTTCTTGTTATAAATGTGGGATGAGATAAAAGAGTCCTCACATTGTATTGCAACATTCTGTTTTTTATGTGGCTGCAATAATAAATTTGTTCGACAAACTATTCGTCCTTACCTTCAAAGTAAAGAAATTTTATTTAAGATTTTATGTAAAGACATAAGAAAATCTTATGCAGAAAAAGTTTGATTGTCACTGCAGTCGGATAAAGAAAAAGTTTGATTGTCACTGATTGTCACTGCAGTCTTAAACATCTTTTCTATAAGAAAGATTATTAACAAATAGTATATGGAAAATGCAAATGTTATTTTTGCACTAAGTAGCAGTGATTTGCATAACAATAAGTGGGAAGAAAAATCTTACGTGTTCGTTTAATATAGTTAAAGTTCTTTTCCAATTATTCATTTTTTATTAATTAATGATCCCTTTTACACGTTTGTTAATGATCTTTTGTTTCTCGGCATGCGAAATTTGTTCGTTTATTCCATCAGAAGTAATAGCGCCAAGTATCATTTAATACACTAAGTGTCACCAATTATTTGATCCCTTTAAGAGATTTTTAAGAAAATAAAATACCATGAGCAGTTCGATAAACCAAACTTCAACTTTGTCGGCATTAAAACAAACCTGATCACAAGGTATTAGAAAAGGCAATTACAAGTTTCATGCAGTTTATAATAAAATTATAGCTAAAATTAAAATTTAAAGTTGAAGCTACCAATTTTCAGATTATTTGTATCTTTTATTGAAGCTGTCAAAACGCACACTTAATTTTTTCCATTTTTTGTTACATTTTAAAATTTTCAAAATTCCAATTACTCAGAACGAGAATTCACTTATTTACTTATAAGTTGCAGCGTAAGAGCATATAACTAATGTCAAATAAAGTATCTTTTTGCATTATTTTAATACCAATTCATATTATTCCATTAAAGTAATTCTAACCAAAACTTTGTCGTAAAAAAGTTTTTTTATTTTTTATATTCTAGTACATACAATAATTTAATCAAGTTTCCTAGGAAATATTTGCATAACTAATATCAGGCAAGAATTACAGAAATGTAACAAATCTTTTCTCAGAATAGTATAATCATTCTTCATACATAATTTCATTGATAATTATATAAGTTCGCATAAGTTCGCTTCATTCATTCGTCATATTTTAACATTGTTCTTAATAATAATCATATTCTAATAAATATGCAAAAAACACAAGGAGAAATCAGCTTAGTAATTTTGTTAAAATTTAAAACTTAATAATGTAAACTTGGAATCAGCAGTTTTTTTTAGCACCCCATTCAACACCATTTCGTTTGATTTTTATGTCATACTAATCTATAAAAGATCAGAAATACTAAGGGTTAAAAAATCTGTGTTGTTTTCCATTTATAAGAATTCATGTCATGGCAATGCTTTGTCAGTTTGAGATATTGACATAGTTTGAGTCTTTGTAACTACTCGAAACTTCTGCATACCTGCAATAATTATCAGAACTACAGTGTTCGTTATTACCACAAAACACATAATTTATCTTTTATTTATTAATTTGTTCTTTGACAGACAAATTTTCTCTCGTTTCATGAGCAGTTAGATAATTGAAAAATAATAAAAAAGATATTTTTCAAGGAAATATGACATTTGACTTCATTTTCTTCCCTTTCCTGAACAAATCAAATTATATCGAAGGTCCTCTTCATAAACTTAACAAATTGTACTCTACTTCTTGTTTTATCATTATTTTGCTCATTTAGTGTGCTATACTGCCATATTTGTTCACTTCTCTGTGAGAAAAATATATATATATATATATATTTCATATATCACATATAGGAAAGTAATAAGAAATGGTCGTTTTATCAGATACTTCAAATTTAACAAATTAGTACCCTTGGTCATTGATAAGGGAGAGTAAAGATTAGCAAGTGACTCTCTACTAGACAATTATTTCAAAATGCGATTAATCAAATATGTGAAAAGGTAATAATTGATTTCAAAAAAGCAAATAGTTTCGTTTTTTTCATAAAAGACCCCATTCCCGACAAATTATCCCAACTATCTTCAATCTTCCTTAGCACAACAAAAGAGACAGAAAGACTGTGTGTAAATGGAAATGGGCAATTACCCAATTCAATTCATAAATAATCGAGAATTTCTCAGAACACTCGCACCCGTCCCTTACCAACAACCTCTCACTCCTCTTCCCCTTCTCCCCTTTGCCATGTGATCGGTTTCTGGTGAGCCCGCTATGCAAAAAACCCGTCCCAGAACTTTCACAACAGAATTCTTCAAGTTTTCTATCGAAATCAATTAATTAAGACATAAATTAAACGAACAGTGACGGTCTACAAAGCGATAATGGTCGAATATCGCGGCGAGTATTGCTGCATCTGCAGCTGCGTTTCAAAGGTTTTTTTCCAAACAAAGTCAATTTTCCCTGCCCGCACCAAAAAATTGATATATAATTATGAAGTGTCGTTTTAATCGTTTTCAGACCGGCGGCACTTTTCGAATTTTCTGCTCATAAAGAAAAATGAAAAAGTGGTGATTTTTCCTGACCTTACAGTTTTCAATGATTTTTTGCTTTGATTTTGATGATTTGGAGTGTAAAAAGTATTGAATGACATAAAGAGAGGCCAACCACAACAAGGACAATTTGTTCAACTACACAAATATACATCACAATTCCTTTGATTACATTAACTGTATGGGGAAGAAAGCAATAATTGATTTCAAATAAATTACACTTAGATATTTGATAAATTAATATGAGAAAAGCGCCAAATAACCTTTTCAGCAAAGTTTGATGATTGATGACTGAAGCAAGAATACAGTGATTTTAATATAACAATGTTGTAGCTAACAAAGTATCTTCAACTTAAGATATTACTTTGCAGTCTTCTGAATGAGTATCACATTGTTTGAATCTATCAACGTTTTTTTCTTGAAGAATTTCAGTTTTTGAGTTTCTGCTGTTTTATCAAGTGTCCACGTAGTCTGTCGGCGAAAAAAAATCTTCCTAATCTTTTGAGTCTTGCATCTTGTAGAAATTTAGATTTTGCTATTTAACTGTATCATTATTTAGAACAGTCAAAAGGATTTTTTGAATATAGCAGCAATATCTTTTAAAATCATTAGTGGAACAACATGTTTTGCTAGGCACAAGGCTGTGACTTTAAATAAATGTAATTTATTTGCAATTTCAAACAATTGTAACTTAAATGTCTCTGATAAAATCACTTTTAATTTAAATAAGCGACAAAAAAAAAATTTTTAAGTTTAAATTTAACTCATCCAAAATACACTAATAAAGAATTGCTCTAGGTCCTCTTTGAGATGCCTTATTCAGATCCGTAAATTTTATTTATTTAAAAAAAAAAAAAACTTAGTGTAAGCACTACAACTTACTAACTGGAAACTTTACTGAATTCTCAATTATCAGTTTATTCATCCTCCCATTCATCTATCCAGTCAGTTAGTCAGTCATTAAGTTTATTAGAAATCCTTATCAATATTACAATCTTTCTGAGCTGTGTGCGTGTGCAAACAGCGATCGGTCATACGACAAGGTTACTCACACCTCCACCTTAATATTCATTCTCACCGCTGCGATGTGCGAAATATAATGGTATACACTCTAGTTGATCGTTATCATTTCTTCACATTTTCTGAAGATCAACGCAAATATTAATTAATTCATCAGTGAGCCCACAAAACCGTATGATCCATTGAATATCTATGTTGGAATAAATATAGATATGGATGAAGAAGAAATACCGCGTCAGGTAGAACAGATATTTGTGGAACGCAATAAAAAGGGATTTAGAAAGGGAGGAATAAGGGACCGCCATTTCATGGCTGCAGTCATACTGGCTTCTAAAATTGATATCAACAACCAGTTATCATTGAAGAGTTGCTTTCATTCTTTGAATAATGCATGTCTCCTTTAGAAGCACGCTAAAGTTTTTCATTTATAAAACAAAACTTCTTCAGAAGATCAAAGCATCAGCTGACTGCTTCTATACTAAAAGATTCGTATTCCGATGTAGAGGAGGTCAAATCATTATAATTTTTCTTGATATGAAATGTTTTTATAGCAAGTAGAGAACTCCTTTTGCACATTTTATTATTTTGCTTGTTCTTATCCTGGTTTTAGAAGAAATCATTGATTATACCGAGAAGGAAAATCCTGCAGGATGGATAGGAATCTATTAATCCTTGTTTATCGCTATTGATATTGCTAGACTACCATACTTCAATGCTGCTCGATGGATTGAGCTATTTGGACTTCGCAACAACAATAAGTGATGAATTTTCAAATCAAATCTCATTGTAAAAGAAATTTCAAGCATTTTCTACTATTAGTTATCGGCTTTCTTAACTGACCAGCCTTTAATTAATAAGCAATTGCATTTTCTAGAATACAGCCAACAGGCTTATCTTAAAACATTACATATCTCTCCTCGTTCAACTACAAAGGACTTTATTTGAGTTACATATTTGATGAAATTCGTATAGAGCCTTAAGAAATAGTTTAGTATTTTCTGGTTTAAAAGAGGAACTGAAACGTAAAATGCAAGATTAGTTTAGGAAAAGAACAAAATTATTTTCATCGGAAACTCGCAAATAATTATATTACATTACAACAGCACCCATTTTGCTCATTCAACTGCTTCATTAAAATGAATGAAAGCTTCAATTTTCACACTTTTCTGTGCTTTTTGTCGTGTGATATGGACCATATGAAAGTACTAAATGCTTCTCATTCCGCACGACAAAAAGACACTTTTTAATTTCTTATGAAATCTACTTGTTTATATAAAATGGACACAGTGCTTCCATTCAGTATCAGAACAAAAAGAAGTGAATACAATAGAACCTCATTGCTGATATTCACATACCATATATTTTAACTGTAGTTATGGATGAAATAGTAATTATCATATAGACGCATATTGTGGGTAAAAAAGAATCGGTGCCGTCGATGGATCTTGAAACTTCACTGGTGATGTTGGACTGACAGGATAGGGAAATAAATTCATTTGTGATGAAAATAACGGTACACTTTCAGACTGAAAAGAAATTTTAGGAATTGATTGGCAGTTGAAATATTAATTTGAAATTTAAAATATTAGCCTAAAAAATTTTAAATTTAGAATATAACAAATTTTTTTTTTTTAAACATTATACTCTACAAAAATATAACTGATATGAAACCTTATATGATTTATTGACTTGACTTATCGATTTTAACAATATCGGTGAAACAATTTTCAAAAGTGTGTTATTCATCTTTTCTTTTTTTCCCTTCACTGCTAACATTTATCCCTTACTCATGAACAATAAGCTAACTACAAACTCTTCTAAGCTTTAAGAACGTTTGAATTTAGTTATCAGCAGAAGGAATAATTACAAATTGTTACATTTTTTGTGATCTGCTAGAAATTTAAAATTACAATTAGAGAAAAAAAAAATGAATAGAGATGTCAACTGTCTGTCACCTCACAGGAAGGACGTTGATGAAAATAACTAACAGAAACTCATTCCAAAGAAGTGAAAACTCAGTGGGATTGCATCACAAATAAAAGCTTGCACATCTAACTAGCAAATTTATTGGTCAGTTCGTTTTCTTTAAAGTAAGTAATTGTGGATTTAAAGTACTTTATTTGGTATTTACCAAAAATATCAAAAAATAGAAAACTTTAGACTCTTTGTTATATTGTTTTCAAATCTTTCATGAATTACAGAAATATTGTATGCAAAGATTCAGCTTTTAAAGCACAATATATTCTACAACAATGTATAACTACTTGAATATGCTTGTTGATGAATAAAATGGTATTTGGATATCTAAAAAAGAATCAAGTTATAAACCTGTCGCATGGATGGTCGAGGCATAACAGATATGGGAGCAGCGTTTTGAATTAAAAGTGAATTGGTACCCGTAAAGGCAAAATTCTTCCGACAACGTGCTCGACGATTGCTGAACCACGTCTAGAAATTGATGACTTATTTATGGATATCTATAAGAAATTTTATTGAATTTGTGCAACAACACTTGAAATTTTATACAGGCTTACATGCTGCCATTCTAAAAAATTCAATGTTTATGTTTTGATTTAATGTGAACATCAAAAAAGAATTGAAAAGATTTCCTGCAAATTTAAATGGCAAAATTATTGACCATAATTATCTTCACAGCTGAAATAGTTAATCAATCAGAAAATGCGACAAAAAAATTTACATACCATGATCTTATCTTCACTAAGACCTGTTTTTATTGCAATCCGTTCCCGTTCATCCTGATCAGGATAGGTGTTCGTATTAAATGCTGCCTCCATAATCTCGAGTTGTTCGCTGCTGAAACTTGTCCTATTTCGGCGCACTCTTCCATTTTTCCCACAATTTCCATTATCTGATGCATTTCCATTTCTTTTATCTCCGGACCCTTCTCCTTCCGAATAGCTTGCTTCAGATGTTTCTGGGCCATCATCTTCACCTAAATTTAGAGTTTCTTCGGCTTATCTCAGACTGTAATTGGCAAGTGTAATCTAAAAAAATTTACAAAAAACTAATAAGAGGAAAATTATAAAATGGAAATATTATTTGATACAGCTAAATTAAGTGTCGAATAACAAAATAAAAAAAATGCATTGATATCTTTCCAAAAATTTATGAGTAGTTGTTGCAATATTTGAAAGTTGTAATGAGAGTGTGACAACGATCTCATCCATTAGGTACGGTAGGTGTATAAATGAGTATATATGTGAAAGGCAAACTACTACTGCACCGATCAAAGAAAAACCGAATGAATAAAGCAAACCCACCCAAATAATAATTTTTTGACCACAATTTCGAGAGCAGAAGTGAGAGCAAAGGAAAAAGATGGTAAAATGCAATCGAAGATGGGAAGTTGACAAATACGCCCATACTGAAGTTTATGACCTTTTAATTGTCTTTTATTCTCATTCCTTAGTATTTTTCTCCAGAGTTTTAATCAGTCATTGTGTCGTTGCAGCACTGAAGCAACAACAGCAAATTAATAAAAATCTTTCAAAAAAATGTTCATAGGAAATTAATAATAACCTTAAGCCCTGTAAGCATTAATGACTCTAATATCTTTTATATTATTTTAAGTGCAGAGAGCTTCTTGAAGCTTATATAGCTCCAAGAAACATGCTGAGTGATTTATACAATGGAAAGAAGCAGAAAGCATTTTCCAGCTAAATAAGAAGTGGAGAGAACAAATTATTTGAGCCGTAACCGATATAAGGCGAAGTTGCGGATTGTATTCTATTTATAAAGTACAAAAAGAGGATTACATATGGTGGAAATAGGATGATTAGAAAAGGAAGGTCGCGTGCCAACAAAGCAGAAAAGTGGTTAATAAGATTAGTTTGGTGATCAGTATAGACGATCCTTGATAATACTCATTTCTGTAAGTATCAACAGATTGCGCTTCTGATAATTACTTCTTCATTACTTTGAACTTTTGCGACATATATGTATCTTTTGTAGTATATTAACCGCTATTTGATCATCTACCATTGCCACCAACAGCAACAACGACAGCAACAATAATAATACAAAATCTCATTTAAGATTGCGAATTAGAAATGCGTCTACTATTTACTTATCACATACTGATTAAAGATTAATCAATTTATTATCAGTGTGGTAAGGCTCCTTTTGTAATTAGTTTCAGTTGTAAGTGCTAAAGATTTCTATTAAACAAATATGTTTGATGACATTCCTTACTCACTTAATCGGGAGAGATACATTCAGTTGATAAAGTGAAGCAAGTTGCGCAATCTATGATCAGTGCTCGGATGACAATCAATGACAAATTATTCATTCTGTCTATTACTCATTACTCACTCTATCTCAAGGATGAAATTTGTCCTCAACGACACTTTCTTACAGTGAATGTCAGAAACTTTTCATTTTCTAAAAATTTGTAAACATTATGAACTAAGGAAAACGATTTCATTTTTATGTCATTTTATGTTTGCACCCCGTAAATACAGAAACGGAAGTACTTCATATACAATTTCTAACCATTTGACCACCAAAAGATGTGATTTATTACCTCATGAGATCAGAATCTTATCAAGAAAATTAATCATTAATTTGGGTAGTAAAAAGGTGATAAAGTATGCAAGATAGGAAATAGTATGGCATGGAAGAGGACTGAGAGAATCTGTCAAAATATATGGCTGTCTCAAGAATAAAAATTTCCTCCACATTTTTTCCTGCGTAATGTCAATGCTCTTTTAGCATCTCTTCAAAGTTGATAAATCATTCTACAGTGATGTGAGGTGTCTGGTAATTATGTATCAATTGGATTGCACTTAATTAGAAAGAATGTGCAGGTAAATTTTAAGCACTAACACACTATTTTGTTAAATTAGTTCAAGAATCTCTTTTAAAATTCACATCAAGATAGCCATTCATATATTTTAATAAATTCTCACAATCCTCTCTCATTGCTGCATTATTTTCAGTTTACATTTTCTTTTTTCTTGACAAAATTAGTAAGAATAAACAATCCTTAGTAATGTCTTCTAGCTATCTGATGTCCCAAACTTTTATTATTATTTTTATTTTTATTACTATGGCCACTTCATAATTATGATACTACAATTAATTAACTACATCTATGTAGCTTAATAATTCCAATCAGTGAGTACTAATTTAAGCACAGTCATCACAAACCTATCATTCAGTTGTCGCTTCTCTTAAATTCTTTATTATCCAAAATGCGTAACAAATCGGCGATGTGATAATTCGATAACAGGTTTTCAGTCCAGTTATAAAAAGTATAATTTTAAACGGATTTCAAAGAACAAATTTTAACCAGTAAACAATGTCACGTGTAACTATTATGTGCTATCATAAACGTATCAAATTTCATCGGAACCACTATTTTACACTAATGACTTTGATTTGATGAACTATTTCGAAATTTTCAAGAAAATGTCATTTATGAAATCTGTGATGCACATTTATTATCAAATGTTAAAATTTACCGTAGTAATAGTATTCATCATGACCATAACAATTTATTTCACTTACAACGTTTTCCATATTTACTAATTGTTTTATTATCTTTATTTATGTTTGATAAATAAGCTTTTGACTAAAGTCCATCTTTTGATTCGTTAAGGAATTCATTAAGTAAAAGACAAATAGGGGCATAGTAGAATTCCTAGAAAGAAGAGAAAATAAATTTGAAAAGATTTTTGAAACAGACCACTCTGTAAACCAAGGATTTGTTCGATGCTGTGACTTAACTGATTTTTCTTTGTTACTTTCCTTTCTTTGTCATTGGAGTTATTGAGTTTCTTCGATCGAATATGTCTAAAGGTTTCCATTTGTGTTTTTAATTAAACTAAATGCGTAATGATGTAAACAGGAAGAAAACTGTACGCAACAATTTAAATTTCGTTGCAAAAATAAAAATTCAAAAATTGTGAGAACAGAAATAGATTCACCTGTTGATGGAAGATACGGTAGGCGCGTTTTCTGCAGAGCAGATCTCTTGCTCAATAAGACAAGAGCGCAGTTCACTTGCACATAGACTAGGACACTTTTCTTTTAATGCCAGAATATGTTTCTCAACAGCTTGAATAGCTAATCGTGAACGTGGATTACCTCCGATCTGTGATTTTTATATAAATTTCAAAAAATATACATATATATTTCTCTAAAAAGATTGCAGTGAGACCCTCAAAAAGAACATTATTTCGAGAATAAATTGATTAGTTGACAACAGTGTCATCATCACAATAAAATTTCTATGCAAGCTTTTAATAGAGTTGCTCTCGAGATATTCTGCAACGCTTTTTATTAGAGCAATAATTTATCAATGAATATTTTCTGCATTATAAGACAACTGAAATTATAATAATAAAAATAAAATATGTTTGTGCTGCAAAATCTCCATATTGCGACCACAATTTAAATATTTAAATCACATTGTAAAAATTTTGAATTTAACTGTTAATTTGAGAAGAAACGAATTTTTGGAAAAACGACAATTCTTTCATCAAATTGTCAAATAACAATCAGAGCTAAACATTTCACCACAAGCAGCACTCATTAACACACATCTGCTTGAACAACAACTCACCCTACTCCTTCTCCTTTTCACTAATCAAAAAGACAACATCTCATAAGCACAGCAACAACTGCTCTAGAAGAATGGCGTATAAATCTCTCGATAGGGGGTACGAAATCCGACTTGTGGTGACCTGGGGCAAGCTGATGAATTTCTGATGAAATTTTGAGGAAAAGGAGCTCTGTGCCGTTTTGCACCATATGCCTCTCAAATAAACCTTTTAGTACTTTTCATTTTTTGTATTACTGAAGATATTTAGGACGCAGATATATCGTTATTTAGATGGTTATGCAAATGGTATGTGGTACGAATATATACTATAGCCATATTGTATAACTCATCAGCATGATTTGAAAATTTCTAAGAAGAAAACCAACTTGTCCAGGTGATACGGAACCTGTTTCGACATATCGATTCAGTATTTTTGATACAGCTCCATGAGATACACGTAGCTGCCGACTAATGTGGCAGGGTCTGGAATTTGTAAATTGATTAAGAGCAATTTAAGTTCTTAAAAATTTGACGTATTTAAAAATTTACTTTGATTGAATCTAAAAGTAATAGGAGCATAAAGGATACTTAAAATTCGGAGTTCTGAACTCAAGCGCTTAGTGGCACTTCAGCATCCGATAAATCCTAAGTTACTTTACTAGATTACCACTAATTAACTATTTCTCATAGAACTTACTTAATGCCATTACTAGCCATTTCGATTATTTTAATTCGGATATGTTGAGGCAAAGGTCGTCCATTAATAAAAACACCGCCAAGTTGATTTATGCGGCCCTTCAAAAAATTTTAAATCTCAATACATAGGATTTATAAAGTATGAGGGAATTCTAAAACTGAAAACAATGATTTTCTTCATTTGATATGATAGTAATTTTGCTTATCTTCAATGAATCATATGATTTCTTAAACTTCTCAAGTGATAAAAACGAAAGCAATCTGATTAAAGTAAATGATTGTTCATTCTTTCGATTATGATATGCTTTTTTAGTAGGAACTGAAAAAATTTTGCTCTATACAAAAAAAAAAAAGAAAATGAACATTAAAGAGTAATCAAACCTGCCCCATAATATTCGTAAAAGTAATATTTTTATTGCCATCGCCCATAACTTTTTTTGAATAAAAGGTAAAAAAGTCTGCCTGCAAAACCAAAAACAATTTATGCAAAATCTGAGTAACAATTTTGCCGCATTGACTTTGTTCAGCATATTAATCTGTTTTTAAAAAGCAATCGATAGAAATTTGATAAGGTGATATAATAAAAGTGATTGTGGATTTTATCAAATGACGATTGTATTTATTGATCAGTTTGATTATAATATCTCGACAAGATGAAAAGCATGAATTAGAGTTAAGTGAAATGATTGAAATTGCCAAACAAGATTAAAAAAAAAATGAGTATATTAACTAATAAAATGATAACTAAGTCGAAAGAGGAATGAAAGAAGTTAAATAAATTTAAGGCTGATTTAATTAAATATGCGAATGTCATTTTAACTTCATTTCAAACTAGTAACATTGTTTACAATACAAAAATGGAACTGAATGATTTGATGACTTGGTGTAAGGAAAATATAATTAATAGAGAATCTCTTTAGATCGTAAAGAAGAGAAGCAATCTTTTCCAAGAAAAGGATTTATTTTAACCCTTTTAGATAAGCTAGTTGAAGTCAAATCATACGAGCAAATTTTTCGCTATCACAAAATATCAATCAAGCCTAAAGCATGTATCGAGACTCAATCTGGGGAAGGAAGTTCTTAGGAAATGATAAAAAAAAGTCTCTGATAAATAATATAGCGATTGATATGATATGTTTGGAGTGAGAGATTGAAGTGTTTCAGTAAAAAAATTCAATAAAAGTCGAAGAGTCAGTAAGAAAGAATATCATGATTAAAGAAGCCGCGAGACATTCAGTCTCGAGGATAAGTATGATACATGGTGCCATGGCCTCATCAGTCATCCTTAACTAATACTTTTAGCACTACTGAAGTCATGCGAACATTTGTGTCAAGTGCTGTGACGAAGAGTGGTTAATATGCTGTTCCGCTTATCAGCACATCGAACCGATCGTCAATTGGTTCGCAGAAATTGCCCCTCCCTTCGTCACGCCCTCCACGCAACGGCCTTTATGAAATTACCGTTTCCAATGCATCCACCACACCACCGTCACCACCATCATCATCGTCATTATCATTACCAGCACTATTACCATCATCACCAATACTGCCACTATTACCACAACTACCCAACAATAACAGCAACAGTAATAATAATAATTAATAACAACAATAATAATAAAAACATCAACAACAACAATTAGCAATAACTTGTCACTCATTTCCTATTGTCCACGCTAAAATGATGGGCTGCACATAGTGGCTTTTCTATTCAAAAATTGGTTTTCTAGATAACTCACTTGGCAATCTGCTGAAAATTTAGATCTTTTGAGAACTTTCCTGTCAATAAAGAAAATTCGCAAATGAGTCTTTGAGTTTTGGATTCTGATCAGATGGAACTTCACTAGAAGAAATGATTGACTGTTCAAGGAAAATTTCTGCGACCACTCTTATGAATAATAGCTGTTACCTTATAGTACTTATCCGTTACCTTATTATAGTTTTGCTGTCACATTTCACAGAATTTCACAAAGTAAATTTTTTGTTTTTATTTAATTGAAATAAAAGTTGCTACTTACAGAGGTCTTGTGCGTCAAAAGAACCGCTATATGACAGTTACGAAAAATGACTAGTTAATAGTCAACCTATTTTAGGTCTTCATCGCTTCATAAAGAGAACCTACTAAAAATAATTCAGAGCTAAACATTTCAAAAAAATGAGATGATAATGCTTGTCGGACTCGTTGTATTCAAATAATAGCTCATTTAAAATCATTTCAAAAATTGTCGCAAACAAATAAACTTGAAAATTAGAAACTGAAAAATGAGATTATTATAAATTTCTCCACTTCAAACGTTCTTTTTTCGAAAATGAACAATGATTTGTGATCGAGATATCAACCATGAAATTTGTTACTATGCAATGTAAACAAGTTTTTTTAGATGAAAATTAAATTAGAATTCAGTATAGAATTGATTTGAAGCCATAAGGCAATTCGTCGTGAGGGATTCGAATGAATGCCCACGTTTTACATACATATTACAAAATTGTTCAACTTCCGTTTTGAATCTCAACTTTCATTGTTGACAAACTTGCAAGGTCTGATGAATCAGCAGGTATTGTGATCAAGTGATTTTATTATCTGGTCGAGAAATTTCATTTGCAATGCTAGCATTAGTTAGAAAAATATCAGCGTGATACCATACTGGGGACAATCAAGAAATTGCTTTTTCCAACTCATCATCCTAAATTTAATCCTGTTGTTTTTCTCATACTTCTGTGGTAACATTAACATTCACTTGTTCCTTTGAAAAAGCTGATAAGCAACGAATGCTGATGAAAGATTAATATAAGCCATTTAACGCCAGGACGCAATTTTCCCATTACTTCTATTAAAGCATAGAAATAAACATTTTTGCAATCCTAATAAGTTGTATGGTATAAATTGTTTGAGTCAATATTTATCGAGTCTTAAAGCTTTCTCTCTTATCCTAAAATTCACTGTCTTTGTTTTTAATTCTTGTGGCGATTAATTACCTGCTCTATTTTGAAACATACTGCCAAAATTTGCTCATAGAAAGTAAAAAAAAAACCAATACAACAGCATCCGACCGGTATGTTCGTAGAATGCAATCTTGCGATTGGTTCTTTAAATCAGAGATTTGATCTGTTTTTCCTCCAGAAGAATTATTCAGTTTGATGATCAATGAGATACAGCGAAGGTAAGTGAAGAGCCATCATAGTAGTATATTATTTCAAGGTGCTGCATAACATAATAATTAAAGATGTGCTAAATTTCGGTGTTTGTGAGAAGATGATTTATTACTTTCACCTTCCTTATTCAAGTTTACTATATTGCCGCAATCTCCCTGTCACTATCTCTTTGTTAGGCTTTGATAAAAGCGCAAACCGCAAATCCAAGTCTTACCACTTAAAGTTGCATTCTTCCTTTCTTGTTAGATTCCGATGAAAAAAGGGATATATACATTTCGAGAAAAAAGAGATGCATCAAAATAAATTTTTGTTATTTTTTAAAATAAAAAATTTTGTTACAAATATTAAAAAAACATTTTGAAATGCATTTTTTAAGTCATTTTTAAAACCACCTCTATTTTAAGGAATTGAGATTAAAAAAGAGTGTGTAAATAATCACTTTGTAGTTATATTTTAGATAATGTATTTCTTGTAGCTATTTTCATAAAAACTTTGTGCATTACGGGTTATGTAAAATCACCAAAAATAATCAGCTTGAATTTAATTATTGTAAAATTTGAGACTATTGAAATAAAAAAAGTTGGAGCAGTAGGAAATAAAACGCTAGAAATATCATTAACTCGTTTCTACATATACTTCAGTGGTCTATGTTGTTTCGAGTTTTATTTTGCAGTAATGCTTGTATGTATGTACATGCACCACTGAGAATCGATTTGGTCTTTTCTGATTTTTTGCTCCATCATTGTTTGCTTTTTAGCAACCTTTTGTTGATGTACACATACCGTCGATTCCGTTTCTTCATCAAAATGAAGGAATCGAAATTTAATTATACTTCAGTTACAAAGATGAGATAAACCTCGTGCGCGTATTGAGAAAATATAACAGACTATGCATTCTGTCAGTGATATTTATTAAAAATATTAAGAAAAGATCGAGCAACCGGTAAAACGCTATCTTTTGAATACTTATTGAGCTAATTGCTATCTTTCTAATTGTTTAAATCTCTTTAGTGCTATTGGTATCCTACCTCATTAGCTACAGCTAACTCTTTATCATTCATGTAATAGCGATTCATTTAAATCAGTTTGATTTCTTCAATCAATAAGAACTTCTGCAACATCTTACTGTAGCGCATCACTTTACATCTTCTTATTTATGACTGTTTATTTAAAAATCCTAAAAATTTATTTGAAAGCTTTTTAATCTTGAAATTCCTGAAAGGCATTTACATATAAGCCGAGCAGTGTCAATTAAAAAAGACGGAAGTGAAATCACCAAATCTGTAAATAAGCTTTGCATTTTCCATGCGCACATGATTCAAACAAGATTTCTAAAGCCATGCAACTTATGAGACAAACACTACCCAATCAATTACTTCTGAGACAATAAACACATCAAATAAAGGGAGCCTAGTAGTCATATTTGCTTCTTTTACTTTTTCCTTGTTCTAGAAATAACTGTTGAATGGTAGTGCTGCATACAAAAAGCACAGGCAACTTGACACACACATATAACACATCAGGACTGATCCACGTCATTATTTTTTATCATCTTTTAAATACAATTATATGCAAACCAGCCAAGAGGTGATTTGGTGAAGATACAGAAACGAACTTACAATATAAAATATAGAAAATAAAATCTCCACTTTCAAATTAAACAAAAGCAGCCGACTCAAGTAGCAGAGAAGAAGCGGTTCAGTCGCTGATGTATATAGCATCGAAAAAGCCTCTAACGAAATAGTCACTAAAAACACAACTGTATAGGAAATTGTGGTTATATCGAAGCCAATAAACTCATTTTAAAGATCCTAAACTTCATTTTATTTGTAAAATGTTGACAGCACAATCATATAATCATTATGGAAATAATTTTACACTTACTGCAAAATGAATGCAGAAAAAATAAATGGAAGAGAAGAAAGTAAAACATGAGCAAAAAACGTATCAGTCAAACTCAAAAGTTGTTACATTTTTCAAACAATACATGATAATCACAAATAAAATAATCAATATATTCCAAAATGTCTGAAAAGATTAATCGTAAAAAAATAGCTAAGAACTTATATATGAGAATATTAGATTTATCAACAGAATTTACCCTAAAATCGTTTCCAAATGATGACAATGAACTCCCAAAATTCCAACTTCCTTGTAACTTTTGGTAATCTAGACTGAGAAAAATTTTATAATTACAGGAGAGAAATTCAACCCTAGTTTAATTTGATAAAGCATAAATTTACAAATTTACGAAAGAGGGAACTAATTAAGCATTGTATGATCCGTGAAAATATTCCGTCGTTGTTCTTCAACTTTTCGCATCCAACGATTTTGTTCGGCTTCAACTCGTCCCAAAACATTATCTGCAACTAAATTCAATGATTATTCTCTAAAGAAGGAAAAAACTGTTTATAATAAATTCTAAAAATAGAAAATTAACTAAAAAAGAAATCCCTGAATTCACAATTCTTTATTTTTAAACTATTCTTATGCACTTGTCGATCCCATACATACGAGGCAATGAAGCATGCAGTTATTGATGCTACGCACATTACAAACTGTAAGAAGCTTACTATTCCGAGATCGCATTGTAATTGAAGGTGAAACATCTGAAAACCGCTCATTCGCTGGTACTGTACGGGCAAAAATATTGTCTTCCATCTGTAATGTTGCTTCTAAAAAGTTAATTCTCCACGAAGGAAAAGACCAACAGAAATCCGGAAATTTGCAACAAATTTGACGAGTCATTTCAGACACTCCTCTAAAATCTTTGAACCTCCTTTGAAAAAAATCCTTGAAAAAAATATACTTCATCGTTTTGCTGTCTATATGGTACTGAATGCCGCTGTTTGCGTAGCATGGGATCCAAACACATCAAGAAAAGCATATATGTAACCAGAACGAAGACTACGCAAATAACGAATATTACAACAACCTAAAACAACTCAATATTATGAGCAAGAACCGTATAGTTGGATTTAAAAATCCAAACTCCTGATTTAAATTAGCAAATATGGACATATGAAAGAAGTCACCTTATGGAAAGTGGAAAATTGAACATACTTTCAACAAAACTGTATTTCTCGATTCATGCTTGCAGTCACAGTTCGCTAAAAATGCATCCAAATGTGCAGCATCCACTATATCCAAAACGTTTGGTTTCACCACTGTTTGTGGTTTGCTACAAAATTAAATTAAATCCTCCAAATCAATTTATGCCAAACACATCAACTGTCGAAATTCAATAAATAAAATAAGATGAATTTCTTTTTCCCATTCATTGTCAATTTCTTCCGGCATTAGCTACCACTACTAGCGAGCTTTAACAAACAGCATTTCATGAGATTCAAGAAATTTTAAGAAAACTATCATATAGGATGCAGCACTCAAGCTCGAAATGCTATACCATGTGAGAGCATTAATATTCGATTTTGTATAATATCTTCTCTCCTCACTCACTGTACTATTTTCCGATGCAAAATATTTGGTGGATGGACAAACACAACGACACCGAGCATCTTCGAAATTTCCCTGAAACCATTACAAATCAGTTTATATCTTATAAATATTACCATAGAAACTGATTTAATTCCTATACGGTTACAACAATAGTGCATTCATTTCCGCTTCCTGAATGATAAATTTGATTCTCTTACAAAACTCTATTCTTGAAAATAGCTTAAATAGCTTCAATGTGACTACTGATATATATTCCTATAAAAATCAGAACCTCAGTCACAATCTACCTCGATATCAGATAGCAATATTTCGAAACATTTCTTAACATTTTCTTTGACAATGAAATTTCGAAGCTTACATGAACGTGAAGGAAAGAGATGAAAAATAGGAGAATTGATAACAATGATAACGGCAACATGAACTAAGCGACCTCACACACACTTCATCAAACCTGAAGACTTAATGAAATTTAATCAAAATCAAATTGAAAGGAACCAAACCATTCCATCCTGGAAAACAATGACCAGGCAGCACTGAAAAGAATGAAGATAACTCATAAACGCAAAAAAATCGCAGCTTTCCGAAGTGTATGCCACAGATTTCTAGAAACGAAATATTCACCAATATATCTAATATAAGAGAACCCTGATGATATACAAAGGAAAATAGGAAACACTTGAAAGGGTTTTTTATTAAATCAGAAGCATATTATCACTATAAAATCAGGCCCTCATCGACATGAAATTTAGGTCAACTTGGAATACAGACTAATCCGGATGTAAAACCTATTTCCTGCCTCTCCGAACAACTGCTACTCCCCCACCGGATGCAAAATCTATCTGATTCATGCGAATGACAAAGTTTAAACCAGTAAAGCATTGTAGCGTAGTATTTAGAGTGACAGTATGCACGATTATGTCTCTTCTTATTTTATGTTGAGGGGTATTCTTTACAGGTTTTCAAGTTTCATTAGGAGAAATATGTGTGAAATAAAATTTATTCTTGTATACAACATGGTTGTCTCATTTTTTACTGTCCACAGTCTGACATTCAGTGATTTTAAAAGTGAGGCGGTGAGTTTATGCTTCTTGTTTAACTTTGGAATGAATTACAAAATCTTTGACGGAGCTGATCAGAACTTGAATTCACCAATTACATTTCCTCCTAATCGTATGGGACGTGGTTCGTGCCAAAAAAAAATTCTTCACCACATATTTCTTCATTTGATTACATCCATTTTCAGATTCATATTGTTTTACCATCAAATATGCTGATGTTTTTCAACATAAGTGATATCGAATCACCATTCAGTGATAAAATACAGCTTCAGGATTTTCTTGCCGTATATCTTAAACCTTTTTCAGTGTAAATAAAACTATTTAATGTAAATGAACTGAATTTGCTAGAACTTTGAATGGAAATCTTTAAATTGCTATGAAACCACTAGATCGTTTGCAAGATTGTCGTGTGATCTTTAATAAATAATACTCAAAAGTGGGCTTTAGATACTCACATATCTTTTATGACTAAATTTTAATAAAAATCTTCGAAAAGTCCATCCGATATTTCTAAATTTGAGATTATAAACAAAAATTTCCCACAATCAATTCTGAAAAATACAACAGACAGTAATTTGATATTACAACATGAATGGAAGATTTTGATATCTATGAAATCAGTAGTATGTTTCCTTATATATAATTATGTGATACATATTATTACATTTTCAATGGTTCAATTCTGTTATTATGTAATTTAGTAATTGAACGTTTTACTAAAAATGCAGTTTGGTATTTTTGAATCATTTTCTTACTTTTTATATATGAGCAAAATTGAACGACTGCGTGAATTAGCGTGCCTATTTTCTTTAGGATAACATATTCAGAATTTAAAAAATTCCTTTAAAAAGCATAAATTCTGAGTGCGTCATTCCAAAGTGAAAGAAAAATTCATTGTTACTTCCCCATTTTAATTCTATTTCAAATCATTGCAAAGAATTGCGCTTCACTATAGTTCTCTTTTTTTAAATATATTCATCTCGTCAAACAACGCTAAGGACATTGAAATTTCATTGATATAATGATTTCTATATTTAACTGTTAATTATCTTTCTGCTTTTATTTTGCTGACCCGAAAAAAAAAAAACATTAGATGTGAAAAGTTTTCTAGATGGTTTATGGACTATCATTATTCAATACTGTCCTCATCATACTATTTATCATTATATGCACTGTACTTTTTATTGGAAATGTTTTTCGATTTTCTTGGCTACAAACTAGTACAGTTATTAAAGCGAAAAAACGTAAACGAATGTATCAGGTCAGAGAAACGCTCACTCAATTAATGACCTGATTGTTTAGGTGATTAATCAACTAATTAGTTAGCCATGAAATTCTGGTGAGCAATACAATTCTCATCCACTAATTTAGCAGCAATACAATTCTCATCCACTATACAGATTCAGGCTCAGTCTCAATTATTATTACTTATTATAGTCTGCTACAGCTCTTTATTAAAGTTGAAATAAAATTATTTAAAACATAAGATTTCTTAATTGCAGTGCTATGTAGATAGTATCAGAACAATGCAAATGTTACAAGTAGAAACTGTTGGACGCAGCAGAGAAGCATTACAACAAAAATATATAGAGGTTAATTGAAATTTTCTCCAAGATTATTTGCTTGTTAGAGTCAGTCCAATTCTGTTCGATCTTCCCTCTTTCTGATGGTAGTTTGAGATAGGGACACTGCTTTGGCGACAGGAAGACAGCTCTTTTTTCAGAGTGCGCAAACTTTGTACACATTTTTTGGAGTACATCGGCAAACGACATTACCAAACGATATGTTTATGATTGAAAAGAAACAATGAAGAAAGAATAGAACGACATGATGAAAGGATACAGCCGTTGTATTCTAATATTCCACTTTAAAAAAGAAAATTAAAAAATAAATTCTTATTTTCTAATCCATCTCATTTTATTACCTACAACGATGCTTAATTTCATTTATTGCTTACACCACAAGTGATTTGGTAAGATTGCAGAGCAGTGAGTCAATGTTTTCATTCATTTGCAAATTGTTGCGACAAGTACTGTTGATGGTTCTATCCATAAAAAGAAAGTAGAATAAAGTTTTTTGTTCAATGTAAGAACTCCATAAATTATGACATCATGCATGGCATGAAACAAATTCCTTGCACTTGTAAAACAGTGCACACATACATTCATAGCACACTTCTAGCGCAATGGAAGTTTGCAGGTTGTTTTAGAATTATCGATCATGAATCTTCAAAACAATTTCAGTTTACAAATTCGAAAAACTCGTTCCGCCTTGTATATCTATAAACTTTCTACTTTTCCTTCGAATAAAAAGGTCTTTTCAACAATTTTAAAATTGAAAACAGTCACATTTTCATTCATTTCCATTAAAAAGATTTAAAAAAATTCTTCCTGGCTAACAAATAATTCAACAAATAATTTGAGAAAGTACAAAGTATTTCCATGAAAATTGACCAATGCGTTAAAATCGATGGTCATCTAAGCCACACTTATCAGCTCAATTTCTTAGAGTAATAAGCAATTAAAAAAAAACTATTAGAGAAAAAATTTTATTAAATTTTTTAGACTTCTAAAAGCATACATAACACTTGTAAAGTTGGTCGCAAGACATATATATATATATTTGACAATGACTTCTTGAAAAAACATTTCCTGGATATATATGTGGAAATTGAGGTCATTTCCAAATGTGTCGAACTTTTATTTTATTTGTATTTTTTAAGAATTACTTGCAGTATTTTAAGCATTTCATTTCGTAATCATGAAGAAGATCCTTTTAGCAATATAACATGAATTGAGAAAAATATGGTACAGTGTCACATAACGATTTCTAAAATTAAATTAATTAGTGCTTCAACAGTTTTGAAGATGCATTAATATAATAGATGCTAAGGAGACATTAATTTTATGAAATTATTGTTGTTGCAATTTGGTATCTGCTCGAACTTAATTTTTTTTAGCATCTAGTCGAGCAAACTGTAAAAACAAACGTTTCTATGCTATTCACTGATACGATGGTATTAATCTTATATAATGTTGAACACCAGTAAGGATCAAGAAAAACTAGGATAGAATACTTCCAAAAAAAAAAAAGTCATGGAATAAAGCTTGGAAATTGGAAGAAATAAAATTATTCCACCATCAATTTGTCACATCAAGAATTGATTGTGACAACTTCTTTACCACTTCCACCGATGAATAAAACTCGTTGAAGATTCAGAGTGAGTGTACTGATGTAACGCATATAGTGCGACAATATTTTTTCTTTACTTACTGGTGGACGAGGAAGACTAAGAAGGACCAACTGTGAATCTTTCGAATTTCCCACGATAACGTCGTTGAAACGTTTTATTGTTTCCAAAGTACCCTAAAAAATTACCGAGAATCATATTTAAATGGCTGATTGGTTAACAGCTTTGTCATTAGTTGTTTCGAATAGTTTTCTATATTATGAATAAATGAGTCAGATGAAATATTACGGACAATAAAAGGTGACAAATAAATGAGTGACAATTACTTAACAAACATGCATTCAATTTTAGTATTCAGCTGATTATTATTCAATAGTTTATCTTATTGTTATTTTGCTTGAAAATTTCAGCTGACTACCCGCTTGTGAAAAAGACTTATTTTTATGTATCAATTATTGAAGAATTTCTTAATAATTCCTTAACCACCTTCCAATTTTCATCGTTATGAAATCCGATTTCTCTTTGATGGTAAACCGATAAGTAGTCTTTTGAAAATGAAGATAAACCATTCCTGAAGTTACTACTCATCAACTTTTAAAGCTATTTTTCTCTATAACTTTAAGAAAAAAATTGAAACTGAAATCTGGAATTTAGAAAATTTAAAAATATATTAAGTAATGACTTACGGAATAAAAGTTGTTTCTGCTTGCATTTCATTATTTTCACTATCAGCACCTAAATTTCATTTGGTCTACTTAGTAGCAATATATTTCAAAATAAGCTTTTCACTGGGAAAGTTGTGAAGCGAAAGTTTTAACGCTTCAAAATGCGAAAAAAAAAAGACGGCAATAAAGGTAGACAGAGAGGTGTAAGATTAGGGAATGAAAATAAATTGAGTAAGCAAACAATAAGGTAATGTTGTACAAATAACAGTGAACAAAGAATTAAGTTAAAATTCGAGGATGGCTAACAACTGATGATAAACAATCTTGTAAAATATATTTTAATAACGGAAAGCGAACCTCTAATTATTTTTTTGCTTTTGTGGTCATTTTTTTTTTCCTTGGTGGTAATCTGAAAACAACTAGGATTTGTGAAAAAATGTTTGCCGTTTAATTGTAGCAAATTTTTTAATTATCAAGGCGACATTTTTATGCTGAAGAAATTGTTGATGAAAATTTTTAATTGAAAAATAAACCATCCTTTCTAGATTTCCTTCCCTTTGTCATGTTCAAAATCATTTGCTGATAGGATTGGCATATTTTATACTCAACAATGTTTTTGGAACTGTTATTGCGAGTAAAGAAAATAAATGTCATTTTGCGGCGGTGGGTCAACTAGGAAAGCAATTGGATGTGTTCTTTTAAAAAAAAAAGTGAAAGATTATTTTAAAGTAGCTTCTTTTAGGTATAAATTTAACCATGAGTGCATCAGCACTATGAATCAGTCCACTCGAAGTTTCAGGTTCATTTCCGTGATTCACATTGTCGTCTACTATCTAAATATTTCGTAAAGTCATGTATAAATCATGTACTTATCATTTGCCGCAAAGCACATAACCGAGTATTGAAATTTTTAAGGTTTAAAAATATTTTTTCAAAATTTTAAGACCTTTAAAGGTCAAAACTCCAAACTATTAAGTGGTTGAACTACAAATTTTTGAAATTTGTTTAGTTATATTCAATGAAATATGGAAAGCTGATAAAATAAGGGAAACCTACAAAAACTGTTGCATCGATACGCAACATGTAAATGTATTTTTGCAGCATTGCTTTTAATTCAACATTTTTTCCCGGTATTTCAGCGATTGCAAAAATTCTCAATTTACAGCCCCGCCATATCTGAAAAGTGATGCTATAATAATTATGCAACCAACGAACCATTAGCAAGTTTTAGCTCTTGTTCAGAACCAATGTTCAGATATTATCATAAGTGATATTCAAAGGTAATTCTGACTTTATGTTGTTTGAGAAGGAATGCAGTCAGCATAAGGAGATCACCATCAAGTAAAATCCACCATATATCAATATAACCAGTTAGGCGATCGCTAGATGATGATGGGAATTCTGTTATACCTTTGGCTAGCATAATGCATTCATCATTCGCTACAGCTTCGACCAATTCTACTAAATTAAAGAAAAAGTTGAGATTTTCCATAAAATATGTATGGTTAATGCTTTTTGTTTGTTTTAATGAGAATGCAAGCTACAAACCACTCTTTTCTTTCGCTTGTTTAACACATCAAATCAATAAATACAAAAATAAAACTCGGAATTCTTTCCTTACAAACACTAATACCAGCAAAGACTGCGTTTTCCTCTTCTATTTTAGGCCAATTCATTAAGACAGTGTTCGGCTTCAGACCACCAATACCGATACTTTGGAATAACGTCGCAAAGCATCCATGCATCTGAAAAGCTGTGTATCACACGCTACTTTCTAACTATTTTCAAGTAACTAGACTCTGAAACAAAGTTTAAATTTTTCTTTTCATACTCTGCTTGATTTTTTGGATCTCAAAGGTTCAAGAAAACTGAAATTGAGAAGTGTTTACTCACTGATATTGCAATATCTTAAATGAAAGTGAATTTAAATTGCAATATCTTAATTAAATTCTGTAAATAAAATTTAGGTTAACATAGGTTAACATTTTTTTCCAGTTTTAGGAATTATATCAATTTACCTGATTTTCGTCAAAAAGTAACGTTTTGCCAAAACCACGCAAATGAACGCGCAGCATCTCGTGTTGGATCCTCTCTTTCATCTTAAAAATGTCTTTTTCAAGTATTTCGTACTGATTAATTGTTCAAGATTAGGATTATTCATTTCACCTCTTCAGCTTTTTGTCGATCACCACAGTTCCAACTAGAACCTTTTATAAGGGCCACCACAATAGCCAGTCCGCGTCCTGCTTTTAACTGTCCAGCCAAATTAATTAAATTAACATTCCATTTATCCATGACACTATTGGACCAGAAAGAATCATACACCAAGACAAGCAATTGTGGCCTGAAAAGTGATTAAATGAACACTTTTTCAGATGAGTTTAAATACTTTCTCTTCCTACCGCCAGTTTTTCGGATGTGGATCCTTGTCCTCAACCTTCAGCAAACTGTACTGTGCTGTTGACAGCGCCAAACCTCGTATTCCATCACCCCATTCTTTCTTAGCCCTGCAAAAAAATTTTTAAAAGAAAAAACAAACCAGTGCTTTAGTTACTGCATCTGTTGATTATTTATTCATTTATTGCTATTTACCATCAGTTACTCACTTCTGTGAAAATAAATTATCTTTACCCTTTCCATTCCACATACTTGTAGATAACAAAAGTCAAAATGATTGAAAATACTGCATACTGCCAATGTGATGCGAACATTATGAAGAAACACAGAGCTGCACCGGTTAATGATAAGGACCTGAAGATATGGTAACATAAGCAGATGTTAAACATTCTGAACTAGCACGATGAGACAAATTATCAGACGGTGTCAGAAAACCGAAAAAAATATTTATTACACACTAACTGTTTAGAATAATACTAATGCAATGATTTATTGCTATAAACCAATTCGATATTCCTTTGTTTTATCCCATTTTTTGAAACTATGAATTCTTTATCTAAACGTCAAATAGTAAATGTACATGTATCTTCATTGTAAATGTTAATCTGTTAAGCCAGCCCACTTCCTACATCCTTAAAAATCTTTAAGAAAAAGGAAAGGATCGCCAGCAGTCTTCCCTTCCTCTTACCCAACAGTACTCTGTATTCCTTTGCTGTTTCAATTATTCGATTGCATATTATATCGATTCACATTTATAAAGAAAGTAAATTATCTGGCAGTCAATAAAATTTCACGACAGAGGGAGAGATTCTATGCAAAAACATGAAATGCAACAATTTCTTTATTTATTACTGCCTTTTAGAAATTATATTAAGTGCATCATTTGATTAGATGGGGTAAAGAATAATACCAGTGATAATAACGGAACCGCGGTCTCCAATTCGGTACTTTTAACAATGAATGCAACGCACAGATTAAATTCACAAATGCGTAACACATCAGAAAGAAAAAATCCAGTACTTCAGCTATTTTATCCACAGCGCCAAGAAGTATAGCAAATTCGGCTATTAATGCTGTTACCAGTAAGCTAAAATTAAGAATAAATTAGGAGGAACTAGTAAAAGTACAAGTCTTAAAATTTATTGAAAAATGCAACAATATTCAGTCCTCTATGATTTAATTAGTTAAAAAACTGTCGATACTTAGGCGCAGTAACTGAAATATGTAAGCATCATTTCATATTTCATTTTTCGTAATCAAATTAACAAATGCTTTTAAGATAATCTAAAAGAAGTAAAAACTTCGAAATAACTAATTAGCAACTTATCTCAGAAATGGTTCATTAGTTCCTGTAACTTTGGAAAAAGGTGCTAATACCGGTATAACATCGTCTTTAGCAATTGACTGTAATAATCGTGGTGCACCTAGAACAATATTAAGAACTTGTGAAACCTTATCTCATACTATGGGTTCGACTGAAGAATCAAGCAGTAAATTAAAATAACAAATGCTTTTAAGACAATGTGAAAAAGAGAAAATAATTGTGTTTAAATCCACTGAATTTAATTGACACTGACATGTTTTGATCTTTAAAAGTCAATATTGCTCTGATGAAGTCAAGTCATTACTATCTAATTCCCCAGTTCCCTTTTTTTGCTATCACTATAATTCATCTCTAGATATTACTGTTTTTTTACGACGACAGTAAAAGAATAAATTGAAAGGAATGGACTAAACGATGTCATCATAGATTCCTTTTAATTGATGTATAATTATGTCCTCATGTGACCAATGAAGAAATATGTTAAATACTCGAAAGATTTCTATTTTGGTAAATGTCTTTCATAAATAGATCGGCACTTCAATGCTTACTTTAACTTAAGGATATATTTTAAGGATTATACTTTCAATCCGTTCTGTTATTATATCTGTTGAACCAAGTTAATTTCAAAACATACTGCACAGACACTGTAAGGCGGCACCAAATGTAGATAAGAAAGAGCCAGTGATAACAATCCATGGTGAAGGCCATGATAGCAGTGCAGCAATCATGGAACTGTCCAAGCTTCTTCCATACCTACGATTTATGGTTGAGTGTTAATTTTATTTCCTCAGTTTACAATTATATCCGAAATACAATTTTTTTTAATGATCAGACCGACTGTTGTTGTTGGTCTGCACTTTCATTAAATAATTGTTAATTAATTGATTAATCGTTATTATCATTATTATTATTATTATCAATTACTGTTGTTATATTATAATTTTTTATGATAATTATAATATTATTACAATTATCACTGTTATGTTATAATTATTATTAGCACCATCCATTAAAAGGGATATGGATTGGCATAGTTGATCAAATAAGTATAAAAATAATAACTTATCACGTAGAACCGGTCCGGTAATTGAAGCACCGAATAGCAATGCCAATGCGTAATAAATTGCGGATGTTGTTAATGTTGCAGCGATCGTTCCACATGGAATCGATTTCTGAGGATCTTTCAAGTCACCTAAAATTTCTCTCATTCTAATTCAATCACTCATTTTATTCACATCAAGTTTTCTACGTATGAGTCACAGCAAATTACCAGAGTCATAATTTAAATGTGAAAATTTTTGTATTAAATTTATATTTTTCTTTCTGCAGAATAGTCATGACTTAATTCTTTCCGTGTTGCAGATGAAATGAATATTTGAAGTGTTTCGAGGGAATAAGTGAACAGATCATTCCAGTCTATGATTTCACACATTAGTAACAGGGGAACGTTTCATTTTCAGTTGCTGGCTGCTACTTTAGAAATCGAAGCTCAGGAAAACTAACCACTCATATTTGTCCCCGTCATAATCCCAGTAACAGCTGGAAAGTAGATAGCAAGTAAGATAAAAAAGCTTGTCCGAAAGTCTTGAGAAACTTCCAAACCGGCATCATCAGCCGCTATATCAGGATAAGATTCACCCGCGTCCATATACATTCGTTTCATGTTATCTACAGATTATATTAAAATTCATATGAAAGCAAGAACATTTGTATTATGCTTTACGAAATACAAATGGTTGCATTCGTTTAAATTTTAAGTGAAATTCGTAGCTACCATAAAAAGTTTGCATATTGATGCCAGGGAATGCGTTGGTACATGCTAACGTTGATGCAGTGAAATGTGTGCAAAAAGATGCTGTTGTACTGTTGCAAAAATCATCCGATATACTGAAATTTAAATTTTAAATTAAATTAAACAAATTACAAATCAAAGAAGTAATCACACGATCACAAACTAATAACACTTATCACAATGATGGCGAATGAAAGGTAAAGACACGTAAGATGTACTCTTCGGACTTAACGCATCGCTTGCAAAGTGTTGACAGATCGGCGCCATGCGGAAAAAATATTCGTGATTGAAGAAGTTGTTGGTTCAGCATACATACACTGTAATTTAGTGATTTTTGAATTGGACACAATTTCATCTAGTAGAAAGACTGGAAGATATAACACACTGATTGTTGTTGATGAAATTTGATGAAAACATACTGTTGACCGCTATGATTAATCGCTTTTTCCAGACCGCCAGCAAAGCATGCAAGTATAGAAATAATTACGACTAATAGAGACACCTGCAAATTGCAACAGGGAATTTTTGAACCTCACAGAGAGGATTAATCGATATTAATAGAAAAACATGGTTAAATCGATCAGCTTGCATATTTCGAAAATATTCAAAGAATTCTAAAAAATACAATTCGTCTTAAAAAACAAACCGGTGCAATGAGTTGTACAAATCGTACACCCATAGCCACGATTATTACTTCCAATAAAAGAAGTATTGAACCATAAATACGATAATTATGTGACATCATCCCCCACATATCTTAAATATTGTGTTTTAAACTTGAAAAAACTGTAAATGATTCAAACTGTTCTTGTATATCATACTCTTTTTACTCAGTATTTAATATCTTAAAAAAAAAAAAATCAAACCAGTATCAGAGTGTACATCGCTACCGCCAATAGTTAAAGATGGAAAAATGTAGAGCTGAAAGAAATTTAAAAGTTGGATCATTCACAATAAAGGAAAAAGAAACTCCATATATGATCTGTTACTCGAAAAATGAAAAAGAACCTTTCTAATTTCTCATTATTATAAGTCCCAACTCATAATTCAATCAGGAAAATAAAAACTATTTTCACTAATTGCTGTAGTGCTTTATCTGAAATGAACTAAATGGAAAAAAAAAGGGTTAATTCCATATTTAATTTCATATGAGAACTTTACCAGCATCACTTCAATCCCTCCAATTAAATACATCGATGATGCCACCGTATTCGCTAAATAAAACAAAATACCCACAGCACTGCCAAATTCGGCTCCCAAATTTCTTGAAATCATAAAATAAACTCCCCCACTTTCAACAATACCATTTGTTGCTACCGCTGATAGCGAAATGCTTGTCAATAAAGTCTGCAATTCAATGTGTTTGATAAATAAATTAATAAATTAATGAAATATCATCAGCAGTCCAAATATTCTTTCATTCTTTTCCAGCTCTAGAAATATGCTTACACATAAGCAACAAAGTAGTAACAAAATCATAGTGTCCACTATGCCAGCTATTCCAACTACCCATGCCAGTCGTATGAACATTGTCACACCAAGAATATGCTGGATCGTTGGTAAATACACACCAAGCATTACTCCTAGATTAGCCTGAAACAATGAAACTTTGACTTATTGTTTAAGGAATGTTTAGATATTATATATTGAGGACTTTCTCCCTTCCTCCCCTCATCCCCTCCAAATATTTTGTATTTTTCCAAAAGAATGAAAGTATCTTCAAAAAAAAATTGAGGATACTTTTGTATGCCAAGAAGTACCATACATTATAGCTTTCATTGCCACCTTGAATGTTTTGTATTGAAAAGAATAAAAAGATGTGTACTTTTCTCGTTTCCCACAGATTTCTCTCCTTTGACGTCGGCGTCGTATCAGAATTAACGAACTTTATTTGTCCACTGCGTTCATCTTTCTCATCCAAATCTATAAAATTGCTTTTCATCAATGAAAAATTAATTTCACTATTCATAACTTTCAAATTCACGGTTGATACTAAGGAATACTTCCTACAACTGCGAAAAGATTCATAAGTATCTTTGAACATTGCTTCAATTTCCTTCTTCTATTTTTCTTATTGCTTATTAAAATGCTCTTTACTCGGATGGCTAATCCTATTAACAATTTTACCACATTCAATAGCAATCAGCTTTTATGAAATTATGATTGAAAATCATGTCAGTTCGGAAATTTGATCCACAATCTTTGAGTTACTAAAACCTTATTCACATTTACATTCTTATTTTTCACCAGCTATTCAGCAAGAGTTAAGATCAGCAGTTTTTGCTTTCAGGACATTCAGTGAGGCAATTCATCCAGATATGATGACCTTAAAAGTTCAATTTGACCTATATTTCATAAGGATTAAATTATAAAATTGTATAGCAAGTAAATTCACCTTTAGTTACTTTTATTGATGCTTCTTCCAATGATGGATGTATTTGAGAAATCATCTTTTCGTTTTGTCTTAAAATCAGATTTAACATTATTTACAAAATCTTTGTTCATGTGAAAACTGATTATACTCGATCATTTCGCTTATTTTCATTGTTCAATTGTTCTATTTTCGTATTTAGTAAAAAAAAAAGAAACTTTATATTTAGTAAATTGAAAGTGAAACAAATCAATTTGCAAAAAATGCATTGTTCAATGTAAGATAATATAATAAGCGCATGAAATCTGAATTAAAAATCTCAATATCAAAAAAAGAGTGTATACGTTTTTGCCACTTTTTTAAATAAATATTCGATCTGATAAGAATTAATGAAAATTACAGATGATTTTCTTCACAACAGGGTAAAAGTAAACTTAGAAAATTACAACATCACAAAAAACGTTTAGTAATCTTCCCAAAAAACTCATCAGATAATTTTTCTTAATGCTTACGCATTATAATGAACATGTATTGTGCTATCAAGTTGTTTAACAAATTGAAATAAATAAATGAGTTGAATAGTTGAAACTGATATGTATTTTGCTAATAGATTGAAGAAGGTAAAAATGAAAGCAGTAAACAAGATTTTAGTCATCAGTTAAGAACAAGAAAATTTAATTCTCTCCATAGTGAAGCAAAAACTTCAACAACTAAGGAAAATGCAAAAATACTTGTAAGAATCCATTGAATTTATTAACATGAGTGAATTTAATGTAGCCTAACCAAACTGTTTCAGAAGAGTTTAATACTGTACAAATATTTTTGAGATCTAAAATATTTCTCCATCCTGACATACCAAATGTTCAAATTAGATGAAACGAACAAATAATCAAATATACATAAATTAGAACTCCAAATATTTCAGTTTCATCAATACTAATAACAACTTAAAGCTCATATCACAATGGAACTGCAAACTCTTAAAAAGCATATAATGATAAACTATCATCTAGAAAACCTGTCAATTAGTTTTTGCAAAGAGAATGATGCATTCTTGTGATGCTTCAACGTACTGTAATAATTTTGAACAAAACTGTTTTTCCAATCCAAACGCACATCATATCAATAAAAGCAGCAAAAAAAGAGTAATTAAAATATGAGAGACAATTTTAATGGATTGAACTATTATTAGAGCGGATAGAGATAACTGTCTCGCTTCCATTCCATTTTATTTATTACTGATCATCCCAATCCCATGCCTCATTTTTTAAATATATACGTTATAAAATTTAAACTGTATAATAATATTTAAATATTATGGCAAACTGTAAAACTCAGTAATCAAAACCGAATGCTACAACCGAATGCTTCTACCAAGAAACAATTTCACATATCTTTAGATGGAAATGCTCTTATTCAAGAAAACTGATTCGTAAATTTCCGAAGAACATGAAGCGAGCTTTAAGGTAGCATTCCAAATCAGATTTTTATGCTTAAAAAAAAAGTCAAGTAATTTTGAAACTCGAATAAAATTTCATCCTAATGTACTAGGATAAAATTTCAAGGCAAATATTCCTCACTTAGAATAAAACAGGATTTAAACTTAACAGAAAACTTCATGTGAAGAAAATTCAGATCATTAATTATTTTTCTTCGTATGACTACATAACTGACGAGATCTAAAAGTATATGTCAAAGGATTAGGTAAATAAATGAGTGGCCACACAAAAACATTTCGCTGATTCCAAATGAATAACTTAGAAACTTTTAAATTTATGAACTATTTCTGCTCATAGCTTTACTAGACTTAGTATATATGACATTTTGTATATTCATAAATTTCTTAAGTCTCTTCACTCGTTCCCTGTTTAAGTGTTCATTTTGTCACCAACAATATGCACTAACAATCACAGATTCTGGATTTTTTTAAAGAATGCCTCGTTTCTTCTGAAGCTAATTTTTATTGTTAAGTTTAAGTGATATACAAAGATGACTGAAATTTAAACTTTGATATTACATACAAAGTGAAATCAAAATAGTTTTAACAATAGTAAACAGAGGGAGATATCAAATCCATTTTATTCGAAGCTTTGGAGTTTTATGAACGAGTTGGTTGTTTTTTATTTAAAACAGCGTCAGCAGTACATGATTCTATTACCGCTTCCTTTAACACCATTTCGTCTACATCGTCATTATTCACCACTCCAAACTGTACTTTTACCCGCGGTGGTTTGCGACGTCGATGTGCCTTTATTTTTTCCATAATTTTGTCAATCAACAGAGTTTCCAAGTTGGATACAGGCACTTCGAATGCTAAACTTAGGAACAAACCCGTAAAATATGCCATTGCAACAGCTATAGCAAACTGATAAAGCTGAAAAAAAGCCGTAAAAATACGGGTTTAGGATAGATATTCGATAATAAGAGTAGTAATCTAATCTAAGCTAAGCTAGAAAGCACAACCGAGCTTCCACAAGTAACTTAAAAATTATGAGAAAAATCGTAGTACTATGATACTATTCAGTCGTTTCGATCTTCTATATTATGATTATTATGATTAGGACAAATAAAATTTCGCCACATCATTTATCGTATAAAATATTTTTGTTTTAAAATATCGGTGATGTAGTATTTCTATTTTTAAGAGAATAAAAAAAAAAACAAAAGTTATTGAAGAACATGCCATTTGATAAACGGTAGTAAAATGAAAAGCATGTGGTCGACTCAAATAGTAAATTTGTAGTAAAATAGGATGAATGAGGTAGGCACAAAATGTTATACGACTTAATGGTATCCAAGCTCGCCAACCTAATATATTATTTACCGCTCCTGAAATTAAATTGCTCGTTGATGATTTCTCTCAAGATTGGCACTACCTGTAGCAAAAAATAAAATTAAAGCATATGTTTTTAGCATATGTTTTTATAAAGCAAAAATGTTGTTGAGTTTAAACCATTCAAAAGTCGGAAATGGAAATGCAGAAAAATGTTAAACAGCTAACCTCCATACCCAGTAGCGCATGCAAAAGTAATCCACGCTAAACTTAAGGCATAGGCATTACGTCCAAATAAGGCATAAATAATGCGTGCCGGGTCTGATATATCGCCTGTTCGAGCATAATTATATAAGCCAAACACGGCTAGAAGTCCCAAAACTGTAGACAGCATCCAGCCTGCTACTACTTTCCACTGGGAAAAAATGAGAAATTAAAAATTCGAAAAAAGTGAAATTACTTCCTGACAAAGAAGTTTTTTCTTTTAAATTTAAAAATACCCTAGGAAATGTGGGCCGAAGTGTACATTTATATACTGCGTAACCAACCAATATACCAATTATATATGGATTGCAACGAATATACGGTTTCACATAGACATCCGGCCAGTACGTGCTTAGATCCTGCACTCTGCAATTATCTTATTACCATTTGTAGAAAGTAGGCCATAGAGTTGATTCACTAAACCTAGATCAGCATTTCTATTTTTCATTTCGTAATTTGTTATATAAGCTTTATACTTGACTTGAAATGACTACAAATCCAACTTCAGAAAGTTATCAAAGAGTGAAAATTTGGACGCTCATAAAAAATGCAGTATAATTCAGAGAAGAAAAAAATGGAAACGTACAGTTGCAGTTTGGCGGTCAGTATGGGTGCAGGTGGATAGTTATTTGCAAGAATGATGAATAAATGTGCCAGAGATGACACAGTAATCAATGACAACGCAATAATGATGCCAACAAGCTGATTTCTACAAATCTAACTTCAAATTTTATTTTTGCTTGAAGGCTTTTATATTAATCAAAAGACTTAAATGCTATAACTGAATTTTATTTGACAAAAGAATATAATAACTAACCTATAGAGAAGTATAAGAAGTACTGGTGAAAAAATATGAAACTGCATGTCGTTGGCCATATACCACGTCCACCCCATGCACTTCAAATATTATAGCTTTAATCTTTTATCAGTTTTGCACAAGACTTAAAGAAGAGATTATGTTTAAAATAATATAACTGATATATGGAATATCAATAAGAAGAAATAAATACATGAAAATTCAAGTCTATATAAATAAGGAGTGCCTTGAATATGAATATATTTTAATCTCTAAATAAATATAGCAAATATTATTTATGAAGTGGAACTTACAAAAGACATGTTAAAAAATGTAAAGACCATGAAAAACTTACAACTTCAACATCTTGCAATAAAAAATTATTCATATAAATTAAGTTAGTCCACCAACTTTTGCGACAATAGTTCGCTTCAATAGGTCGCCAAAATGGTCCATCAGAGAAATGTGTAAATAAAGTGACATCCAGAACCATAATCATTAAGTATATGGGAGTAAGCCTTTAATTGGCAAGTAAAAAAACATCATAATGAACATGATATATGAATCTCCTAATCTGTTAAGAATTAAGAAGTAATAAGTAGAATCGTGGTATCCTGGACAGAGGAATAAAAACCTGATATATCGATGAATGTAGAAAAGCGACCACATATCTAATGAATATATAGAACGACCTTTTGCAGCTTCCGCTTCAAACTTTCGCATAAACAAATATGAAGTTAACATACCGCTGAAAATTGAGACATAACCAAAGGTTCACAAGCACAATTTAAGTATACTTAATGGAAATTCAAAACGCCATGAAATTTCCGAAGCTAAATCAAGTACCACAAAACAAAAATCTCCGAAATTTTTAGAAATTCCATACTTTGGTTGCCAAAAACAAATAACCTGAGATAAAAAAATGAATCAACAGCAAGTGGTGCTTGTACAATAATAAGGTTAAAAATTTTTTGTGGAAATGCAATCATTGCGGGTAACAAATTATCTGAAATAAATTATGGCATAAATGAAAATTTTATCTTTATTCCCAATTAAATACTGCTTGCAATTTTCGTAGGCTTTATATCTTTACGAAAAAGTTAGTTCATAAATTTCAAAACCAAACGCACCAACTGTTAGACTGCTGATAATGTAATAATATGAATGACCAAGGATGATCCAGAACATACTGAGCACTCTAGTACCATGAAGGCAGTGTATCTGATTACTTCGTTTCTCTGTTCTTAAAATATTTCGTCCATTTGTGTAAATCGAAAACGCTAATAATACTTTTAAGAACCAGTCTGAAATATTGCAAAAAATTAAAAAAGTAATTTAATCATAGTTTAACCTATTTTGTTCTTTACTGTATCATAAAATGAATTCTAGTTTTCAATCATGCTTTTCACAAGTTCATTGTCTATATCAACTGCTGCTATGGGCATTTAAAAATTTTTGCTGTCCTAACCACATATTGGACAAAGATTGTCACTTCATGAAGAATTAATTTTAACCCGCAATAGCTAATAGGTTATTAGCAGTAAAATTTCCTAGACAAAAGCAAAGAATTTTAGGGAAATTAAGGTCAACTTTGTTTTTTATTGTACATCTCATCCTCGTCGTTCTTCAGCTCCGTTTGATAAACAAGATAATCATACAGTGTGCCGAAAAGCATCAACACTAGTACAAAGAGCACAAAAAATCTGCAAAAAAGTTCATTGTAAAGCAGAAAGTCTGAACGAATAAATACTCAACGAACAACATATTCGAGAGAAGTATTCTTTTTCACTTTTAGAATTTTTTGACTTCGTTGACCATTTCCAAAATTTTTGTTTTTCGTGAAATCTGTAAGATTTAAAATGATCTACAAATTTTGAATTAGTTAGATGTAATTAACCCCTGCAACCTGTAATCTTTACGATATCAAACATTAAAAGCCGGGAAAAGTAAATTTCTTGTAATACTAAAAATAAAAAATACTGGCAGTTCATATCAAAACTTATTGTTCTGATTTAATACTATTTTGATTCGAGCATCCAAACGGCTGTTACAGAATTATTGAGTAACAGCTTTAGTTTAGACCAAAATAATAGACTTACAGTACAATTAATGAACTCGAATCATGGGAAAGTTGGAAGTGAGGTAAATTATTACGACAAATAATATCCACATTGCATACTATTTGTCTACCAATAGCGCTTTCAGCCGATTTGTAAACTGTAACTTGAAAAGGTTTAACCTTTAAATTTGACAAATTTTGAAATGGTTCAGAGAAGCAAGATGCATAACATACACTTGCCACCCGGAAGTTTTTGATTTTTGTTGTCACGATTTTCAGTCAAGTTTTCCAAATTCAAGATCCTAATAAAGACCTTGTAAATGCATTAATTTGAAAATTAAAAAATGACCTAATTCGAAAATTTTCTTCACATCATAATTTGTGCAAGAGTCTGGCGTGCAGATGCCATAGTTGAGCAATGGAATTAAAGTGAAGCATCTGTCATTTTCATCATTTGTTTCATTTGAGGGCCAAATGTTTGAACTACTAAAAAGAAAGATCAAAAAACTATAAAACTCATAATTAAACTAAGTATCCATAAAGCGTATTAATTTTTCAATTACATCTGAATGTAAAAAAATCGCCTACTTCTAGAAATTACTAGTTTTAAATGAAATGAAATTGAACTAGAATACATACTAAAAAGGAGGTTAAAAAAAATTGTAAAGAAAGTGCAAATGAGAATTGAATAGAAGCAAACCTGCAATGAACGTTAGAATTCTTTATAGGACTAGAAGCGATGTTTTTGAATGGATCAGCAGAACTGTATGGCTGGAAGCTGGCCAAGCAGTACTGACCTGACCATTTCTGTCTAAATAAAATTCGGTTGATTGTTTGAGTGTTTTGAATTTCCCATACGGTGAAGGTTGAAAAAAAAAAAAAAAAGTATTCCTTGAAAAGTTTAAAACAGAACTATTCTGTTTTTGAAGTTAAAAAATTTATTCGTTCGAATATTCGAGAGAATATAAATATTGAAGAACAACAAAATATACTGCTGGCGATTTTTGATAACTGAAATACGTCGACAAGCACTCCACGACCCGATCCAGAGATTATTACCGCTTAAAATACCAGCTGGTACTTTGCCCATTGCATCTAGTACTGCAACGGATAAAGGAACAGCTGATCAAAAAAAACATCAAACCATTAAAAAATTTATTCGATCCACAAATTCACAAAAAAAGTAAAACAAAATTGAAAGAACTATCAATTGAGGAGAAAGTATGTCAGAAAGTATGTATATACAGACAGAAAAAGTCTCCAAAATATCTGCAACAAAATCGTCATATTTAAAATTATACCGTTGAAAATCCACCGGTGATTTTGATGATTACGCATGTGAAATTCACAAGTACAATTAGTACAGCCACTGCGCTCATTGGAACGAGTATAATCCATAGCTGTCCAGAGAAAATAAGCTATATCGGCAAGACAAGGTGATGATACATCGTACTCCTAAAATAAAGTTAGTACAAAAATATTTCGTATGATTGTTATACTATTTAAGCAATTCCATCTATATCTATGTTTACCATTTAAAAGTATCTCCATTTAAAGGGAAAGTCCGTAATTTGTAAAATTTCAGACCGAAAACAATATTATTTTCTTAATTTAACAGTCATTATCAACGTGCTTCTCATATTCGAAAAGTGGTGTCAGAATTAGCGGTTTATCTATGCATCATTACAATACATACCAGATATTTTAGCAAGACTGTGCAAAGGTTCACAAAGTCAGTTACTTTAAGCGATTTCGTTTAATTCTCACTCTGAAGAGACTATATGAAAATCGGAATGCAAAGATGCTTTTCTCGCAAGAATTACGATGTAGCAATAAAATGAGGGATTTTAATAGTACGGTATACTTGACATTGAATTAAAATTTCATTTAATACTAGCCATTTCTTCAAAAAATATATAAGCATTACGGAAATAATAAAAGCATAAGTAAACAAGTGAATGAATGAAGTAAATAAAATTAATGATGAATAAGCAAAAAATAAAGGAATGAAACGGAACAAGAGCTAAAATATACCTTTAAAGGTTCCAACAAAGTGAGTAATCGTTTGATGTATGATTCATCGCCTGTTTTCAACGCTTTCTCAAATTTGCTAGTGGGATGAAGAAATAAAGTTCTGAAGAAATCCAAATCAATGATCAGTTGCCACTGTGAGTCGGCGAAAAATTCAGTGACGAATGCTCCCAGTACATTATCTGAATCTTTTTTATTTTCCAATCGTATTTCTTCTTCCAAGAAGTCGTCAGCAATAACTAGGAGAAGTGGAAAAACTAGAAGAAAACAAGTGTCTTTCAAAATTTGCATTAAGATCGCACCAAAATCTCGTAATTATGATCCCAGATGGAAACTATCAGTCAGTGAAATTTCACACTGACATTATCTTCGACAGTGGCAATTTTAGCTTTAATAACCTTATCAGTGCAGCGCGATGTTATCAGTATGATTACACGGAGCAGAAGCAACAGATGAGCTACGCAAGAGGGAAGATCGTATGGTTGCAGTGTAAGAGATCATCAAACAGTTGAAGTGTTGCCTATCTTGTGAAATGGCTGAACGATAATACGCAGGCCACTTCATCGACTCGTCTCTCCTTTGCTATCAGATATGATAAGTAGTTGATGAAGTAAGAAGAAGGGTAACAAAGGAATTATTGACATTTAACTTTGATTTGAAACATCCTTGATAAACTCGTAGTAATAACAGTGACTGATTTCCATCCCACAAACTCTCCTCAATTTCGTAACTCTATTCAAGCTAATAAGAACTCATAAATTCCAGTATTTTATTCTATAGGCAAATTTCATCACCTGAGAAATATTTGATAGACTAATAAGTACTTCGTTGTCCATCAAAACAAGTACGCAAGTACTTCGTTGTCCACCAAAACTCCCTTTTGAATTCAACAACAAACATTAAGAATTGGTAATAAAGGTTCTACGGAAAGATTTGATGGCAGGTATAGTGTGAGACCACTGCCAACATAGTTAACGAAGTAAATTGGTAGTAATCTCATTCTATTGAAGCTTATCCAGTAAATTTGCAAAATACTTTTTTTGGAATCTTTTGGCCTATAAAAAAAAAAAAAAAAAAAAAAAAAATTCGTTAGTGAATGATTTTTTCATTGACTTTTAAGAGTCAAACGACCAAATGCTTTGGCTACAACTTTACCAAAAAAGTCTTGCCAGCGTTGCTGACTCGATTTTCTGTAAATACCATGAACAGCTTCAGGTCTTCCATAATCTACAAGCAAATGTTTCAGCAACAGAGCATTAATGTTCATACAAATCTCCAAAGGTATCGTTATGTAAATATACGTTCACACCAAGCAGACCTTTCTACGCAAATTGATAAACTAGCCGTCTGAAAAAATTTCTTGAAAAAATTTGGCAGAAAATGTAACACAGATTTTTATTTGTTCACACATGTAACTTGGATATCATTTTTAAGCAGAACCAATAAATGAAAACTTAACATTCTGTGCTTTACTGCACAACTCGATTCGTTGGAATGGTCCTTTAAGAGGACAATCTTAACTTTATATTTTTATTACTAATCATTGATACTGAATACTGAACAACTTTAGAAACTTAAAGTTATAATAGAAGAAAAATCAGGGTAATAAATCCAAAACCGAAGATTAAGTCATGTATTGGTAAAACACTTGAAACAGCAAATGATGAAACATTAAATCATTTAAAAATTTATGACGATGTGGAGACGGGAGCAGATGTTGGAGGAGGTGGTGGTCTAGAAGGGCGCATGATGGGAGGCGGAGGAGGACGCATCATTCGTACTGAAGGAGGCGGTGGCGGAGGGAATGATGCGCGACCTTGCATAGGAGGAAACGGTGGAGGCATTCGAGGGAAACCCCTCGGAGGAGGTGGTGGAGGTGGCGTCGGTGTCGGTGTTGCTGGCGGTCGCATTCCTGGTGTTATCGGTGGTGGTGGTGGCATTCCCCACATTGGTAACGGCGCTGAAATTTTCGAACGGTGTACAATTATTCCGAAGGATGAAAAGCAGTTAATGTAAATTAAAAAAGTTTTTGGGTTTCAAATTAAAGGACTGCCAAATAAATTAACTATTCAAATGATATAAAATACAATCCCAACTTTGTTTTTTACTTGACAAACTGCACAAAGCAAATAGAATCCAAAGGTAACAAATACTCACCACTCATTGGCGGCGGTGGTCTAGGGGTACCAAGCGGTGTTGGTGGAGCAGGTGGTGGAGGTGGTGGTGGAATCGGTGTTGCACCAGGTGTAGGCATAGGTGGTGGAGGTGGTGGAAAGATTGCAGGCGGTGGTCCGGCCATTGGCTGGATCATCGGTGGAGGTATTGGAGGACCTGGTGGTGGTGGATGAAGTACAGGTGCAAGAGGCAATTTTCCATCAGAGAATATCTGATTTGGTTTGTCTGAAGGAAACAAAGGATTCTGTGCAGCTAGCATTCGTTCAGCAGCAGTACCGTGTCGTTCACCCTAAATGCCAGAAAATAAAACCAAAGAAACTGATAATTTCACTAACTTCAATTAACAGGAAACCCAAAACTGGTAAACTCATCCTTAAAATTTCCGTTTTTCTCTTTTTCTTTCGCAGAAAAAACTTTAAAAGCTCAGCACATTAGAAATATAAAGCAATAAAGGAAAACATCGAAAGTTTTTTTTTTTTTAAACGGCCAAAACCCAAATCAATAATTACATCACACGTTAGAGCATTAGTCTATAGATAGACCTACGTCGAATGAAGAAAGCATCGAAAACAAAAAATAAAATTGAGAAAAAGAACAAACCTTTGTATCTTTTTTGAATGCATAACTCACAGTGATAGCTCGATTGCAAAGAAATTGTCCATTCATTGCTTCAATAGCTGAATCTGATGCTTCAAAAGATGCAAAATTCACAAATGCAAAACCTTTACTGTTACCCGTTTCAGCATCACGCATTATTTTCGGAACCTGAAAAATAACCATTATTGAAATAATCATTATTAGCTTTAAACAGAGAATTTAGAAAAATGAAAAGCAACATTTCTGGTGATACAAAATAAAATATACAAAGTAACACCCACTTTTTCGTACAGGAATTATAGAGCTAAATCTACCGCCTTTCTAAAATATAGGGTTCTCCCTTGCGTGTAAGTGATAACTCTAGAAAAGACTATAATTAAGCCAAGTAATTATTTCAGAAAAGAAAAAAGACCTGTAAAATAACTCCAAATGCACTAAATGTATCAAAAAGTAATTTCTCATCCACTTCAGGGTCCAGATTACCAACGAATACGTTTGCGCCAACATCCATATTTTTTTCATGAGCGGACGCCTTATTTACCTGGAAAAATCGTCTCCAGCCAATATTAGACAAAAAGGAATTACTTTATTAAAAATTGTTTTATATCTAAAGACTTCACAGCCTCATTATCTTTACTGAAGTGCAATCATAACAAGAAAATACAGAACTGATGAACAGTATTAAACATAAAACTAATTCATATACAATACGAACGGCTCAAGGTTTTTGTAAACATGGAGAGATCCATTAATATTTCAGTTACTAAGGTCATGACCTTAGTAATAGTATAACATGCACTGGCATGTGGCTCAAATCACACTTTTTAAGCAAAATAATATTGATCGTTAAGTCAATCAGTTCTCCAATTCAGCATATTTCTAAAGGATTTTCAAATATGATATCAACAACCTTTATAGGCTTCCCATACAATTTTATCATGTTCATGATCTTAATTGCATAATCAGCATCTTCTTCACCCATGAATTCAATAAAACCGAAACTGAAACCAAAGACTCTTGTAAGTAAGGCTAATAACCACATCAATTCGATAAAGATAATCAAAAGTAAGAAAAAATTTAGCATTCAAACTGCTTAAATAAAAATCTCTATAAATTTGAATGTATACATTAACTTGCAAATTTAAAAAAATCCAGTACTTTGACAAATTTCAACATTAGATTCGAAACCTAATTTTAAATTCAAAATGAAATAACCCTTGATGTGAGCTTGTCACTCGGTCTTTCGGCATATTCACTGATACAACCGGCCCTGCTTGAACAAACAACTCCCATAAAATTGCGTCAGTCACTTTTTCATCCAAACCACCAACGTAAATTGTGGCATCTGGAAGTTGAATTTCATATAAAAAATTGACAGCAATGTCCTTCCCACAACCGTTAAAAACAGTGTAAGAAAACACAAAAAATTGAAAACATGTTTCGGATAGATTGAATTAGTAATTCAAAAAATCTGTTCAGAAACAGCAATGAAGTACGTTACATGAGGTGCATATTAAGAGTAAAGATATCACATTGTATTAAAAGTGAAGATAGCACATTTCAAGGCTCATAATCAAGAAAACCACACTCACCTTGATTCCTCTCCAAAATAGGTCCTGCTGACATATTCGGAGATAGAATTGCAGTATATGAAACACTTAAGTTGGGATTAAGTACTACTCAACAATAATTTCCTGCAACATATGAAATCATTAGTAAATATAATGCCAAAGAAAGTTTACTGGATCTTACTTTCTATGGATTTTAGAAAGAAAATTTGAACTTCAGAAGAGTATGAACCATTTTGATACAGAAATACTTCGAATCGATCATTTCAATAGATTATCAAATATTCAGATATCACGAATCCGAACAATCAGTGTTGAGTTTGTAAGGTAAGAGAGGGGAGCGATAGGGAATGGAGAATAAGAACCAAAAACTAGAAAATCAGATCGTTTTGCTGTTAGCTTACCCTCTCAGATTTGTAATGTAATTTTTGCAAATGAGGAAAAGACATGAGTAATTAATGTTATGGCTGTAGCATCATCATAGAGATCTTAGTGCTACAGTCCTAAATATTTTTAAGGAAAATTTGGACATGAAAATGAAAAATCACACAAAATATTTTCATGAATAATACATGAAATATAGCACTTCAAACTGTTAAAAATTTCTTCATAGATATATCAATGGCAATGAGATCGTCAGCAACAATGAATTTTAAAACAAAACAATCAGAACTATGTTTCAAGAAAATGGAAGAATTTCTTCCTCCAAATAACGGAGCCATGCTCGCTGTATTCCGCCTTTGAAACAAATCTGAAATTTAAAGAAGTTAATATAAAACAATCCCACTGAAAAAAAGAAAAAAATTTGACTTATATCAATAGTGAACTGCCCCACGAAAAAAATTGTTCATATCATAAAAATTTAATTCATTCTTCTTCATATCATAAAAATTCATTCTTCTCGTTAAAAACATACTTATCATCCCAAGCACCGAGTTTCACCGAATTTTGCCCACAGTGCCAAGCATACGTTATAGGATTAGCAACGTCTCTTAACTGTATATCATAAATTTGATCCACGAATGGTCGCAAATCTTTAACTCTAAAATTTGATCAGATTTAACACTAAAATTTAACCAAGCTGAAAGCTTGTTAAAATGAAAAACCTAAATGTTAAACGGAAACAATAATGGGAAATCCCACACAATACTTATTCAACAATTAATCACAAAAAGCTTGCTGAAATCGTTTTCCTTTTTTTTTTTTTTAAAGAAAAGATGGCGTTAAAAGCTCACACTCGTTCTTTGAATCCAGGAAATAAAACATTACCACCACAAAGAACAATGTTGTTCAACAATCGTCCTCGCATACCTTAAAAACATATGAACTTTTACGCTCCTACAGAAATTAACAAACCAAAAAGTATACTACTGTCAATAATCAATGTCAGAATCCTCAAAACAGATTACCATACGGGCATTTCTTTACAGCTGTTGCGATAGCTTCTGGTATACCCATCTGCGCAATTCCAATGTCCGACGGTGTAAAAAGTGTTTCAGGTACTGCAAATCTTTCTATATTCACTCTCAACTTCTGTAGATCATCGCCAACATTATCTTCAGGACTACGAACAAATCCGCGATTATGGATGTTGAAATCTGGAAGCACGTAATCCTGAACAATGGTATTCTCTTTTCCTCGGCACCTTAAAAAAGGAGGCTTAAGATATTATGCTACACGAAGAAAAAGAAAAAAAGAATTGAGAACTCCATATTAAAGTTTAGGAATAGCAGAAATAATAAGTTTGAAAATTTATCCGGATATAAAAGGCATTTTATATTCTAGATAATAATTTTAGTCCAATTACATATCTGAGCAACCGCTGAAGCAACAATAAACATCTATCAATTGCTTTGCCTTAGGAAGACGATATGTTTGTTGTTTGCAGTATGCACAACCCCCTGGGAAAAAATCATGTCTATTTAAAATGAAGATGGTATCCTTTTGCACAGTATGAACGGAATGTGCAGCAAATTTTATTTATTCCCAAAATGCTCTGTACTTCTTGAAAATTTACTTCGCAATGTCCATATGTTTGGCAAAATCATCGGCAACAAAACAAATATCTTCCTTGCATTCATTCATAACATATGTTTCTTCCATTACATTCAACTGTCTATATGAAATCCATTCTTTTAATAAATTAGTCAGAACTTTACCGCCAACATCAATTCTGAAATTCAAAAAAAAGATAACATGAAATAAAGAAAAGCTGGGGAAATCAGTTTTCTCTTTGTCTTACCCCAATTTCATTCTGAAAATCGTGCTACAGGAAAAAAGCACGGAAAAATAAATTGAACTTGCATCTTTTTTACAGAAAATCATATCAAGTTGCAAATTTCGAATTGAAGGATTTAAACCTACCTTAAAATGCCCTCTCGAATAACTTTTCCATTATAATAAGGCACGATATGAGTAAATGAAAAACCTGTATCTACGACAATACAGCAAAGTTGATCCTTGTATTCCTGCGACACAGTATCAGCCATTGCAACGAGTGAAGAAGCTGAAGACAGACGTTTAAAAGAATTTTAATGAATTTTCGACAAAACATAAAACTGAGAGTGGAATATCAAGTCAAGGAAAATTTTTTGATTCGCATTTAGATAAACTGGAATGAAATCTAACTACATCAAAATATCTCATTTAGTTTCACAGGACTACCTACCACTTGTTTTGACAACTGAATGAAATCCATACTGCTCAAAGAGTATTTCATCCGAAAAATCCCGGATTGCTGGCACACTATAAATGGTATCGGTCATGATGAGACGAGTATCGGAGAATGAAACATTCAGAGCATTTTTTCCAAATACTCTATCCCATATTTGTTGTTCTACATCCCAATTAACTAAAATACTTGCGATATAAAAAAAATTACGTCCGAACAAGATGCATTCCACAGCATTTCTGCTATTGAAACCAAATTCTTAAAAGCATCAACACACTAACCAATATATCCCTTTTCCGCTGGAGTAAGAAAAAAAATGCTAGAATGATCACGACACTCTTCAACTTCATCTGCCACAAAAACCCTTTTGCGATCAGTTTTCGTCTTAATAATACAGTTTGGGAATAATCTGAAATTAACCATTCAAAGTTCTCTTAAATAACTAGAAGCCTGACCCAAAAGCTGCAGATAAAAACACTCGCTTTTAGCAAGTCTAAAATCGAGAAATTCAAATCACTGAATATAAGAATATAAGAAAGTCATTTTCTTCTCTGTCAAACCTGGTAATGATAAGAATAAGGAAAATTATTAAACGCTACTTTGGTTGGTCGTCCTTTACATAACCAGCTTTGATAGTGCTACAGCCATTGTCAAATATAAGCGTATACGACATGGCGCTGAAAATTTAGGAAATATTTAAACAGAAATTTCACTTGTTCTCCTTAAATACTTTTATAAAAGACGAAAATATGGAAATGTACTACATGTTTCTTCAAAAATAGCAGGTGCTTCAGTTTTAATACATCCCACATCAAAATAAGCGCATATAAAAAAGAAGAAAGATCCAACAGTCGCATGGAAATGAAAAGAAATGAAGTAATTGCATAATACTATCACAAAATTTTCAAAAGACACCTTATTTTACCCAAAAGGATATCTAAAGGAAATATAAGGTATTCATATTTATTAGTTAAACCGAAAAAATTTTTTTAAGTAATAGTTTACTTAAATCAAGAAAAATACAGCAATATTAAGTTTGTAAACCCTGATTATAAACATAATTTGTCACAATTTTTTTGAATAAACAAAGTACCAGAAATAAAAGAACATGCAAGGCGTTATTCTCGATTAGAATATGTCATTTCAACCCTTGTACTGGTATGATGTCAGTGATGTGACAAAAGAGCATTCAGCATATTCAGTTCTTCGATTTGCATATCAATTTTACTTCCAGCTTCGATAAAATCCCAATCTATAAAATGCTGAATTCATCGAAAGAGATGGTTTCGACTCGGGAGAAGCTTGAGAGGAAAGCAGAGGGCATAATCATCACCAAAGAAAAATGTCAAATACTAATCCTATCCAAACTTCCTCAAGAAGCTAAAAAAAAAACAACTTGGAAGGTTGATTCTTTATTTCATTTGAAGCAAGATTAAACAGTGTTTGTTTAATACCAAAATGTTACGCTCGCCTGTTTTCCTCCATTCGGTGGTCAGGTAATCAAATAGAGATCACTTCTATTGGATATTAATAAATAAAACTATGTCTTTTGTAAAACAAAGCAGATTGCAGAGATTATTTCACGCCCCACTTTGTTCTATACTCTTTCCATTTGTTACGAACAGAGCTAAATCCAAATATTAGCGAAGAGTTGTCTGATAAGCGTAAATCCCACGCTTTAATTTCATGAGGATAAACCAAACTGTAACGCTGGCTTATTTCGTCATTCTGAGAAAAAGGAAAAAAGAAAAGAAAAACTCCATTTTTAAATAAATTTAAAGTCACACAAAGCTACATCCAGTATGCTTCTATTGTAAAACCTCGTTCAAATAAGTTTGAACGAACGAATGGAGACCGAAATGAAAATTACAAGACAAAATGTTAAGGCCACATATTTAACATATTTATTTCTCGAGCAATAACTGACAGTCATTAGAATGCTCCATTTTCATTACGCTATGCGATTTTTGGACTTAAAATTTTTTTTATAATACTGTCCTCCTTCTCTAATCAGCTGTTTTCATACACATACGCTTAATCTAAAATGTATACCTTTATCAATGGAAAGTTGCATTGTATATTATTCATGTTCAAATTTGTTTTTGAACACGTATTCAGCGCTAACAACCAAAGAAGTCATGTAAGAAGCATTTAGCAAAAACAACACTTCAGGCTAAAATCTTCAGCCATAGATGCAAAGAGTTACATAGACATTACATATAGGATTGAGGCAAGATTTGAAAGCTTATTCAAGTTAAAAACGTATTCAGTAATACTTTAAACAGATAGAAGGAGATGAACCACCTTCCCAGGACTGTCATACTTTCAATTCCACTAGGAAAAAAAATATGTAAAACTATCACCGTATTGTCAACAAGAGAACACTTTCGAACTCTTTTGGTACATTGCAGCTCAATAATTGTAAATTAATCTGCATTTTTGGCATTCTGTATTACCTGACATTTGCACAGTTGTCAGTTGTATAGTTGCAAGGACCTTAATTTCCACCGCTACTATTTCGGAATATCAAAACATCGACATTTTGTAGCTGATCCTTTCTAATTGCATTTCACGGTATTCACAGGAAACGACGGCCATGTTTTTTCTTCAGGTGAAGCGTACACACCTTAATTTATTTCATTGTTATCATCGAGTAGCAATGAGTGCGTGTATTTTCAATGATGTGTATAGCAGAAGGTCTTCCTTTCATCCAAGCTTATTTATTCTGTGTGTTAAACTTTTCCTGAAAGCTTTTCACAAGTTTTCGGAAATTTTTTAGTGCATTGATCTTTGACCTTGCGAATCAGTTGACTCTCATAATCCATCTACAATAATTGAGGTATTACAGGAACAGAAGATGGACACATTTAGAATGATTTAGCACTAGAACTCTAAAAGTGCTTTTTAGATTTTTTTGATCGCGTATTCCAGTCGGGTTTGAAGTGCTAATGGAAACGGAGGAAAGTGGTATGGAGACTCCAAATTATACTCCAATGTACCGTTATCAGTTCCGAGTGATACTAATCGGTGACTCTACCGTGGGAAAATCTAGTTTGCTTCGGCATTTTACAGAGGGAAAGTGTGCCGAAATTTGTGATCCCACAGTTGGTGTTGATTTCTATGCCCGAATGGTGGAAGTTAAACCAGGGTATCGGATAAAGTTGCAACTTTGGGATACTGCTGGGCAAGAGAAGTTCAGGTAAGATGATTTGAAAAAGTCTTTTATTTCAGTGACTATTGGTCGAAGCTGATACTGAATGAATAATCTGATTGGTAACTAACGAGATACTGTCAGTATTACTTAGATACAATCATAGATCATGTGCAGATGGGAGCTCTGCCCAGTATTCCCGTAATATGTTATAGATAGTTTAATAACAACCAGGAATTGTTGGTTGAAGCTGAATTTCGGTCACCAGCAATTCATCTTATTTAAAACAGATTTAGATCAGATTCATTTTTGAGTTTACATGTTTCATGTGTGTTCCATCTCAGTTTCATTTATTAGCAAAATCCTTTGCTGAAGGAACAAATAATAAATGCGCTTCAGATCGATAACACGTTCCTACTACCGTAATTCTGTGGGTGTTATTGTTGTTTATGATATAACAAATCGATCAACATTCGACCATGTTGCACAATGGCTAAAAGAGGCAGAACAGAATGTTGGGGGTCCACAACCAAACAACTGTGTCTTCCAACTCATCGGCCATAAAGCTGATCTAAATGATGAACGCCAGGTATGGCACACACCATTCTGCAAATAAACATTTGCTAGCTGTTCACGATGATGCACCGCCTCAAGTTCACGGTTCTTCGTCACAATCTTCAGTATCAAAATATCTTTTATATTTATCCATATTTATCACAAAGCGGAAGTAACTTTTACTATGAGTGTATTTGATTCAAGTTATCTGCTACTTTTTGTTTGATGGTTATAACTTGCATCAAAAGTTCGTTGGCATCATTCAGTAATGCATTGCATTCATAAGAAAATACTGATGAGACGTTGCAGCTGGAAATTTCGACGAACATTTATCAAAAAAAAAAAAAAAAAAGAAAACAAATAAATAAATAGAATTGCAAATGGCCAGTTCAGGTCTGTTTCTTGTAGTACCATTTTTAGGTAATGTATGAAGAAGGCGAATATTTTGCCAAATATAACAAAATCAAATTTTTGGAAACATCAGCAGTTACGGGTGAAAATGTGCAGGTAAGTGTTATAGGTATTATAGTAATACCTATAACATTAAGTATTATAGTAAGTGTTATAGTAAGTATTATAGTAAGTGTTATATTTCTGGAAGGCTTACAAACTGCTTGCGTGGATTATAACAATACGATAGCCATTAAAATGAAGTTAAATTGTGATTTCTCGCGTTTGTTAGAGACCAATTTGAATAGGCTTAACTATGTGATTTAGTGAAGCTTAATTCGAATTTTCAGGAGTCGTTTAAAATGATTGCACGAGAAATCTGTGATCGAATTGAGAATGGACAGTTGCGTGTAGTTGATGGTTGGGAAGGTATTCGAAGTGGTATGATGCGCGCGAAGTCATTAACATTGTCGGAAAGCTCGGATTCACCACTTTCAACTTGCGCATGCTAGCTGGCTTCATATTGTACATTCCTCAGTAATTATATATAATTGTTACTCTGTACAGAAGGAAAAAATAGTTCGCGTTATTCAGTTACTGTTAATAACTTTTCACAGTCAGTATTTCTAATTAATTTTCAGTTTTCCAATTTGATAATGTTTGAAGTTGTGAGAACAGTGTTTGGCAACATATTAAGCCTTCAAAAAACATAGATAATTCATCAATTAATGAGGTAGAAAGAAAACAAGCTTTATTAATTTTAGGTTAAAATTAGGCTAGAATTTCCAGCACTATTTACTCCTATAGTTTGGTCTAGAAATTGGAAGCTTTTTTTGAAATGTCTTAAAATACTTGTTTTTATTTACAGTGTCTTCTCTCTATACATAATTATTGCACACATTTCCAAGCACAAAATTTTTCGTGTATTTTTACTACGCATATGTTGCTTTCTTTTTACCAGTTCTCTTGTCTATCTTTGTAGATTTAATTACTTCTCAATGTTTTTGTGCCTTATTGTAATGAAAATACCAATGAAAGTACCCACCATGTTTCTTTCTGTTCAGAACGAAAATATTAGTTTTCAGGGTTAATTTAATTATGATTTATTCCCTTACTAAGTTTAAAAATTCATCCGCTCGAGTGAAAATTCTCCTGAAATTTAACTGATTTAGTAGGATTCCGTTAATCTATTGCAAGTAAAATTTCAACACTCAAAAGTTAGTCTTCATTAAACTGGATTTACATTATTATTACTATTATTATTATTAGTAGTAGTAGTAGTAATTATTAATTATTGGTTATTATTATTATTATTAATTCTATTTATATTATTATTATTATCAATTATTCTATTATTAATTATTATTATTAATATTAATTATTATTATTAATATATCTATTATTAATTATTATAATTATTATTATTCATTATTTATTATTTATTAATATTAATTACTGTTAGTACTAATCATTATTAATTAAATGATCGTACGATATTACACTTACATAAGGATGAGATCAACAAAGTGGATACTAAATTATACCAACAAATTGCTAATATTGTCTAAATTGTAATTTCGCTTCAGCAATATTATTCCTGCTCTTTCTGCAGCACCGTTTGTTGAAGTGATGGTGTGGATGAGTCAGTGCCGAAACAAACCGAATTGAATTTGCAGCATCCAAAACTAAGCCAGGGCAATGATTTTAATTTCTTACATAACATGATAGGGTTGGCTTATAACGAAGTGAATGATTGAGGTGGGTATAGAGCTGTCGGTGGGAATTGGTCTATAACATTATGCTTCAATTACTTATAAGAATGTCAGATCGAAAGTATTTCGACATTGCAAGTAGATAATTTTTAAGTATAATAAATATATTTTATAACGATGGAAACTAATTGAACAGAAAGCTTAGAGTCTTTAATAATCGAATCCAAGTTTGGTTGTCAAATTGGAAGATCTTAACAACAAAATATATGAAGCATTGTATGCTTTTTTAGTAGATTGTAACATTTCAGAAGTTACAATTCTACATGAGTTTAGTCACAATTGAGAGTTCAGATACAAAGAGCAGTTTTTATCTGTGAAAGGAATATTCAGAGTCCTGTCTACAAATTCTTGTCTTATGGAGTTAATACAAAATTATTTTGACATTTTATATTTTGGTTTTTTCGACAAGCGCTGTTTTACAATACTGATTTAGAATCTATTGGGGGTTTGTGAGTTGCTTTCTTTTGATTATTATTAGAATGTTGATTAAGCCTTGTCTTTGCAAAAAGTGAATTGAAATGCCATTTTCTGTATTGTGTCAGACATTTTCCATATATAGTAGTAGGCGAAAAAGTAAAAATAGATCCAGAACTGGTGCCTGGTATTCAGTTGATTTATAGGAAGCAAATATTTATTGGTAAAATAACCAGGTTATTTGAAGGAATTGGGTATGTTTATAGCATGTTAGTCTCGCTCTTTAATACTTAATTATCCACTTATGGAAATGTCATTTCATTTTAAGTACTTTCACAAAAGATAAACGAGCAAAAAGATTTGTGGAAGGTTGGTTTGAGTTTTTATTAATAAATCTGACAAAACGAGTAGCTGTATCATTACACAGCGGTCAGTGGAGAACGACGAAGTATTGCTCGAGAATCTCTCTGGACAATGAAGTATTTAAGTGAGTTTAAGAGGATATATTTGTGGAAAAATTAAATTTCGAGCATCGGATCGAACAACAACGAATGCGTGTTGATATAACTCAAGCAAAAGACAGATCTCGTTTTTTCTAGTGAAATGCAGAAGGGAGAAGAGCTAAAAAAGCAGGAAGAAAGGTGGCATATGGGATGATAAATGCAATAATGTTCAATGATGAAGAAAATAAGAAGTATGAACATAGGAAAGTTCACTGGATGAATTCATTATGAGATTCATTTCTGCAGGAGGTTATTACCATTATTTTGTTGTTATGCTCACTTATGACTTTTTTTTCTTTGTTTGAATAGACTGTAAACCAGTGTACTTCAGTGTACTTTGCCTCATTAAAAGTCCAAAATAATGTGGAAAATCACATTATGTACCTTACAATATCAAAGTTTCTATTCTAAAAGCTGGGAATGATTAACGTAAGATTTGATTGATTGCAGTTCTGCTGTAGGTTTTCTCCTGTTTTTTATCTGAAAAAATTGTTACACATTTTTCATCCCTCTTTCAAACGTTGATCTGTGTGGATAAGTGATGGATACCCACACACCTAAAAGATCATCTTATCGAATTCTACGACCATTTTGAATTTTAAGTCTTTTGAAGTATAATTTTTCCATATGCACATCATTTTTGAAGGAAATGAACAAGAAACTGGCCTACTTTCCATTTCATTTTTGGCAACAGTAATAATGGTCTTTACCCGTGTCTTAAATCCATTTCTGTTGTGCTTTTTTCACGTCTACTTCACTTTATCACTAACTTGTTGCATGCGTAGGAGCCACTGCACGGATATGTGAGCTATAAATTCTTCATGAACTTCATTGTGCATTCTGCTTCGGATATATCCAGTTCAAGCATGTCTCTTGGAAAATAGTTGGCAATCGTGTTTTGAATTCTTTCCATCCATAGTATCGGTGGAAGAATTTTCTCTTTTCTATTTCGGTACAGTTATATGTGACTTTGTTCATCAACACCCATTTGTTACCCATGAGAAATAATTCATTTCCAAATGACGGTAAGTAATACTGTACAATTAACTTGCCTCTAAATCTATACTGCTGTGAAAGGAGAAATTGATCACTTCATCAGCCTGTGTGACAAATGCTCCCATAATTTATCTTATGGACATCATATGAAAAAGAATACGTTGTAACAAATCCATTTATTCAATGTGAGTGACCTCCTCATCTAAATTTTTAAGATTCACTCCAATATCTATTCACAGCGCACATTTATTTCCTCAGATCTTTGAATTCGAATAAGGCTTTTTTGCTCTTTAGTAATGTTTTTTAGTTATTTTGGATATAGTACATCTCAAATAACAGAATAAGACTTCAATGTATTAAACTGACACTATAATTAAAAACCCATCACCTGCAAACTGCTCCAAAACTGATTGTAATTTGCTCCTACATTGATTCAATATTTTTCTTACAAGTATATATTCCAGTAATATAAAGTCTCAAGTTTATGAAGTTGGGGAGATATTGTATCAGAAATAACAATAAAATATAAATGGCGCCAAATAAGACTCATTCACGTCTTCAGCACTGATTCTACATTACTGAGCCGTTACTGCTACAATAAGTTGGCCCATGGCGGTATTATTGGTTGCGGATTTTGCAAATAACTCATAACAACAGCGGAAATTGAGAGCCTGAAAAACCTGGTATTCTCAGCTGTTTATCAAGACCAACTGCAAATAGACTAACAAAGCAAAGTATATAAGCTCTGCAAAGCTGAAGCAAATTATGTAGGATCAAGTTAGCTAAAAATTATTGACTGTGCTTTTGTCTATATGAATCTCGATTACGTATTATAAAAGAACTTACATGAAACTGCTAACAATTTGTTTTGCATCATCGCTTGTTCTTGCATTCGCAAAACTAACACAAGAACATAGAAGGGCGACCCATGCGCACCATTTCATCTGATAAAAGATTAAATTGGAATAGATAAAAAATCAAACTTTTCTGTTTCTATTCTACCAACCCCACATAAGTAGTCTTCCAGATAAAGTTTTCTCATTAAAACACAACCTTCTTAGCTAAAAAATAATGATTATTTACTTCATTCTCTCATTTAGTGCAACGGAACGTCATAACTCTTCTTCGCAAAAACATTAGCGCAAACCCTACATTTGAGTGTTTCATGAAAAATCAATATTCTGATTACTACAAACGTTGCGTTATTGAATCATTTAGATAACTTCGGTATTTCAGAGAGGTCATAACACCGAAAACTTTAAAACAAATTAACAAGAAATGAAAAACATACTCTCATCATTAATCCACACATACTAAAAACCATTCCTAACACATTCATATATTCAGGGATTGGGTCATCTGTCAGCGAAAGAGATGACTGCGGATCCACAGGTTTATATCTAGAAAAAGTGAAAGGAAAACTTTCCTGAAATTCAAATCAAAGTCCATAAACCATATTCACACCATAAAACTGATTTCTTGTCTCCTACGGTTAGGTGTGACCAATTGTTTTTAATACAAAGATTGTAAAACTCGGAGTCGTTAATACTGGAACTAATTGCTACACAGAACCGAACAAATTGGTAGTAACTTTACCTTACTATCCTGGTAGGCCTTTTCACATCGCCGTTCTGCATGTTTATTCTAGTGAGAGAATAGTCAATAACAACGAACCTGAAGTTCTTATTTTTTATTACGAATCATTCCATGCGACATAATGAAGCGGAAATGATTTCGTGAAACTGTTAAGATTAAAATTAACACCCCAACCCTCAAACCCTCCATTCAAAATCTTTGAATTCTACGAGCAGAACATCGGACCACAATCGCTAAATATTTCTTTTATGATAATATACTTCAATTTACCGTGGAGAATGCCATTTTAAAAGTTTGTAATGACAAGATAACCGTACATTTTTACTGTTTATTTTTCAATTTAACGAAAGACACTTTAAAATCTAAAAATTTAAAGAGGCAATACAATGTAAACGAGCTATTTTAAATTAAGAAACAAACAAGATGTTACCAAATTTTTGACAAAATGCAATTCAGATTAATGAAACAACATAAAACAGCAAAACCAAATAAGCACTTAGCCAAATGGAACTGACATGCTTTTCGTAAAACTTTCAGTAGAATACAAATGACCCCAAATTGCATTTCCGGGTAATAACTTTTGATGGCGAAGATACTTCAATCATACGATTATATGAGTTTCTTGACTAAAAATCAAAAAAGTTTACTTCATCAAATATCACGAAGTTATTGAGGGAACGGCATCCGAAAAAGATAAATTTTCGGATGGTTTTTTCTTTTGTGCCGTACAGCCAAGGGTATCAACAAATTTTCGTGCAAGTGTGTCTTCTTGAACATGTCTTTTCAAAGACCGCTGCATTATTTCGATAATTTCTTTCGAGAAAACTGCTCGTAATACCGGGATAAGTTTTGCTGAGAGTTTCAAGTCGCTTGGTGTAACAATCATATTATCCATCGCGATAGTTACATTGCCCGCTTTTTCGATATAATCTGGTAATGGTGGTACCTAAAATTCGGCATAATTATTAGTTTGTGATTTTTTTTCAGTGCGGTTTTTTAGAATTCACTAATATTTAGTTTGAATTTTTTGATTTTCGCAAGTTTTCATTCAGTTTTTTTGCAGTTTCACAGGGAGAAATGGATAACGCAAACCTTCGGATATTTCGCACTAAAATGTGTTAGTACCAAATTCTTTGCACCCATCCGTGCAGCAACATCGAAAGCTTGCTTCATTGTACTGTGTTTCTTATATAGAGCATGTGCCTGAATCTAAGAATAATTACAAATTCAAGTCTTGAAATTAACATAAAGAACGATGGAAAGACAAAACCAATTCTAAGCTCCTTCTACAAGGTGCTTTGATTATCAAAATGAAAAACAACCTCTTCATCATCCCCAAAAGTTGATTCATGAACAAGAACTAGTGCATCTTTTCCATGATTTACAAGCTGCTCACAAGGCATTGTGTCACCGGAAAAAACAAATTTTTGGTTTTTTAGATCTGTAAATATATAACCAACAGCAGTTCTTGCATGATTCACCTGAAATGATAAGTATTTCCGTTAAATTTTGGACATTTATAAAATGAATGAAAGTCACAAAAAACACAACAATTCATTCAAAAATTTCTATTATTCATCACACATACGTCTTCGATGATCCATTCATCACTGATGTATGTGATGAATAACAGAAGTTTTTCACAACTGATGAATGTAAAGATGAAAAGCTTGACAAACGGATTGCTTGGAAGCCAGAAATATAAAAACAACCAAAAAATCACCTTAACCGCAATAACACTTTTAAATCCAAGTTTTTCTATATCTATAATTTCAGGAGGTATTTCACCAGTCAAATCGACTGCCTCTATCGGACCTCCTTTCTGTTGAGAAAGTCTGCAAATCAAATTAATAATTCAGTAGAAAATACGTTAAGCAATTTCATCTAACAAATTTTTTACAACAATCTGATCTTCTTCTTCTCCATACATTCCAAAAATTTTAAATTTGCATTTCAAAACAAATGTCTTTCACTATGAACTTTGTATTAAAACTTACGTCCACAATATTTTAGAGATGTTCACAATATGCATATCCCGCGTATAATTACCAAAGCTACGATCAACATCACGGAAAACTTTCAAAACGTGGTTCCCACCAGCCACAATTAACGGCTTGTAAGTCATGCCTACGAATTACCAATACAACAGAAAATTTACAAGACATTCCAAACAATAAAAATAAGCATTAATATTTAAGAAGTCAAACATAAGGTGCACCTCTTTTCATAAACAATTCTTTTCGACACTGAACAATAGTGAAAATTCCATGGTAGTGATCCTGATGACCATGTGTAATGAAAACTGCACTTAATTTCAGTAACAAATCTTCACAAGCTACATCACCGAATAAAGTGCGTAACTGACCTGGAAGCGTACAGTTTAACACTTCATTCGAATAGAATTTTGAAACTTCTATAGTCAGCTGCTTACTACTTCAATATTCAATCGCAGATGAAATTATCAGAAAATGAGAAAATAATCCGGAATTCGTATGGTACAATAACATGTAATAGGCAGAGTTAAATCTCAAACTGTAAAAAATTTTTAATCACATAGCATTGGGTTTCGCTACCAAAGAAATAATTAAAAACTAACCATATGATCCTTCGCCACAGTCAACGAATATACAAAAATTCTCGTTAAACTGAAGAAAATATGCACTGACATTACGGAAATTTGTAGGCACGGCTGATGATGTGCCAAGAAAACAAATCCTAGGCCAATTGTCCTCGTTTGCTAGCAGATTTGATGCTAAGAAATTTAAATTTGTGTTGTGCTTAACTATTGGCCATTCAGATTTTTAGAAGAAAATTATTCCACCAAAATACAAGCAGTTAACTTTGGAAGCTTTTAAAGCAAATTGTGCTCACACGTATGAATAATGCTACATTCGTAATAAAAAAGTGCATAACCATCCGCCTACATCTGACATTCCATTAAATAAAGATAAACAAATTTTTAAAAAAATAAAAAAAACTAAAAAATCAAGCAAATGATAACCTACTGCGCCTGAATAAATTAATAGATTCAGAAGTTGCCGAGTCTTCTTTGAGTTGCAGCAACAAATCAGTAAGGACTAACGATACATTGGGCGGTGCTAAATCTAAATTGACAGGCCTGCGCAAAAAATACCGCTGAAATGGCCTAACATAGAGACAGTTGCCGCTCTTTTCGCAATCATCATCCTACAAGTTTAAGATATAATTTGGAAATCGAAGACACTAACAATTCTGAAATGGAGAAAATAAAAAGATACACGTCATTTACTTTTTTTTTTTCAAAGTGCCGGTAGGGCACTTCTAGCAGAAATGATGAATAAACATTAAGAATTTCTAAATTCAAAGGCCTTCTATGATTTCACTGGAAATTTTCTACAAGAAAGGACAAAAAATGTATCACACAAACATCAAAAAAATACTTTGACATTCTTACAATCACTTACCTGTTGTATAATACCATTGAATCCTTTTGGATATAGAAGAGGAAATAACTTTGGACAAATATGATTCAAGATAACATTGATACGATAAACTGCTTCCATGTGAGGCAAGCATGGACCGCTGCCATTCACAATGATATGCTCCACGCTATGTCCAAATGAAGCCATCCAAGATTTGTATTCATCATTATTCAGCACTGAATTTTTAGTGAAATGAACGACATACCGTAGACTTCTGTCTCGGTTGTTATAGCCCTGCAAAAATAATTATTGAAAAATACAGAAAAAGCAAAATCACGTAAATACATTAAAAGCATTATGAAACAATAAATAAAAGACTAACAAAATAAAAGATAAGTAGAAATTCGATGAGCCAAAAATCTAAAAAACTTACTCGAAGTAAAGTATTATTTTGCAATGACTGAAGCTTTTTTAGATCACTGCACTCAACAATAAGGCAAGCATATAGTGGTTTAGCCTTTAAATCGCTTAAGACTTCTTCTGCCTGTAGTAAGACCTCATTAATTTGTCATTCTATATTGTTAATGATCAAATTTCCAGTTTCAATTCATATTTTGTTTCTGATTCTCTTAATATTTCTGATATCTCACTAAATTAAAAGTATTGTGGCAGTAAGAGTAAACTGCTAATAACATCTCATACAAAACGCTTATCAAACAAAAATCTTTTTTTCAAAAAAAAAACCATATTAGAAGATAACTGAATTAACAAAAGCTTCGTAACAATAATGGATCTAGATCATGTCTCAGATTCTCAGCATCTCAATTCTCATTCTACATTTACTTTAAAAAATTCACTTGTTTACTTTTTACACTGCACATGCAAATTTGGAAAAAGCATTTTTTAAAAAATAATCCTATCTCATAAATATGTTTACTGTTTCGTTACAAAAGACTGGAATTTTTATAATAGAATAAAAAAGATCAAAAAACAAACTTTAACAAAACGCCCATCGGATAACGTTATATTTTCCCCATCTTTTAGCTGCTTCATATGAGGACCACTAGGGATTTTTAGCTTCTTGATTTTTTGGATATCCAAGGACCTTTGTGGTGGCTTCAGTTCAACCAAAAAAGCTATATCCAACTCAAAAAAATTCTCAATTTTTTTGGGGTATTATTATTATTGTTCAGCACAAAATTATTCACCTCATTTCTAAGCGTAATTTGTCTCAATGCAAACCTTTTCTTGCATTGATCGCTGAGGAGTAGAAAATGTTGACACTGGTATAAAATGTACGGTCAGTGCATCGTCTGAGTAGAAACCGCAGCTAAGGGGACGCTCTTCCACATGCAAGTCGAATTATTCATTTAAAGGTCAATAAATTCTTCAATAAACGAGAAAATATTGAATGCAATCCATACAGAGTCAAAAAAGTTATATAACAAATGATTATGAATCTCAAATCTTTTTCCTCATTGTTATAGAATAAGTAATCCCACTATGAGAACTGTTCTAATTCCAACAACGGTAAGGCTTCAAATCGAATAAATCATTTAAAAAAATGATACTTTAGTAGTCACAGATGACGGGAAATCAGCATCGGTATAATCATTTTGGGACTCAAAATACTTCATCTTGTTATGAGAACCATGTAGCCTGATAATTCGCTCTAGTTTAGATGACGATGAAGCCACTGGTGTTTTGAGCAATCCTGATACACCGGCAAAATGTTCCCAAGTATCTCAAAAATTTGCGTGAAAATTATTAATGCCAGTTCAAATGTACTTTAGTTAGACTACTTAAATTTGATGCAGCATACCGACTGAAGCTCCCACATAATGTGAACAGATTAAAAATTTTTCGGAACATCTAAGCTAAGCTAAAGCTAAACTAGTTTACTAGAAATTCCAGGTAAATTACCTCGTGTAAAGAAAATATCAGTAAGATTGATAGCTTTCAAGCGATTTGCAGCCAGGAATCGTGAAGTGCCTTCTGGACAGTTAAACAAATAATCCTTGTAATTAGTATGGATAACGACACATGGCCTAAGGTGAGCTGTGCCATTGCTTATAATCTGCAACAAAATTTAACAAAACGTTTTACTGCAGTTAAAAACACTGTAAATAGAATTCTCTACAATTCTGCGCTGTCCCTGTTGTCCCGCTTATAAGCTATTAGTTATTCAGATTCTCGACTTTCTAGGAAACAAACCTCGATTGATACACTAGATGGAATTGCTGGAGTTACTTTTGCTTTGTTCATTTGTTGTATGTCGGCCAGTTCTTGAGTTAAGATTTCCACAGAGGCCAATGCTTTTTTACTAAGATAGGTGCTGTTACTATGTCTAGAAAACCATGACAGTTATAAGAATATTGAGAAATCTATTCCCAATAGAGTTAGATGCAGTCAGTTACCTATGTCACAAAATACTTCTTCATGAATACCTGGAAAGATATTTCCTGTATTCGCTGATTCGTCGATTCAGCGCTTGAATAATTTCTTCAGTATCCCGTTCTTTTTTAGCTGGAAGCAATATATACATAATTTTGAAGCGGGATATACTAAGTAAGTTTTTCACCTTACAGCCTTTGAAATCCTTTCCTAAATATTTAGTATTCTTGATCTATATTCAGCTTGGCTTTCAGTGAAAAATTTTAATCCGCAACTATTCATTAATGTTCAGTGGACAAAAGACCTGAAAGGTATTTCTTTTGAAATAACAGGATATCGTAGCTGAGAAGTCGGAAAGAAATTGTTTTTTCCAACAAGAAAATGGTTCGTCCAGCTAACATTCATCGGTGGAAGATGTCAACCAAATACTTCCAACTGAAACTGAGATTTTATTTCTAAAGAGGAAAGTTCGACATTAAATCAAACGAAAACACCTTTTACTTCAGTAAACTTTGATTATTAATACCTGAGGGATGCAGCACTGAATTCAAAGATAGTAAAATCGAAGAACTAAGCCTGGAAATAGAAATGTACCTATTATAATAGTCTCCAAAAATCACTGGAATAACTTCACAACGAATCAAATTATCACAATGAATGATCACAGATGCCTTATTCCACCCATAAATGCAACCAACAAACAAATTAGCGTCCAAACAATAGAAAGAAAGCACTAGTAGAGGCGAGAAAAGAGACAAAATCGCTGTCCGTTATATCTCACTGTTACCGGTATGCAAACTGCAGTCTCAGCAATATCACCATATTTTCATTTCAAGAAGAATCGTGATTTCATGACTGGAGAGGTCTTAATCTTTGCTGTTTTGCATGAATATTCCTTCAATACACCATCAAGATTTGAAAGGAATTATTTCCTTTTTCCCTTCACAAATCGCACCTGCTCATTCTTATCCATTCTTTTGTACAGATATCATGCTGATTCGTTTAAGATTCATTTATTTTTGCTTAAATTAGATTTATACAAGGAAATCATTTTCTAGAACTTATTTTCTGGTAGTTATCATATCACAATCAGAACTGTGGCATGTATTATTAAGCCTTTGGTTCTACGTTTATTTCTTTATCTGCTTTATCAACCACTTCCTTTCTTGGCGGAGATTGTGCAGCTGTCGGTGCACCCATAACAGTACTCTTGTATTGACTTAAAAGGTCTGCTCCATGTTCATCGCTTTCCATGACTGGAGTTGGTTTTTCCCAATCATATGGATATTCCTGAAATAGATAGAAGTATAAGTTTAAATCTTACTCGGGCTCAAAAGTTTTACACTTGTTTTTTCGAAGGAATCTCATCGCTCAAATTCAACTCAAGATAATAAATTCGTCGAACCTGACTCCTAGTATCCTGAATAGCATTACGCATCAAACTATAAATCTTGTCATAATCGGGTGTATCGAAAAATTTCGTCTTATCGCATATTTGGAGTATCTCAATGTATTTTCTTGGACAACCGCCGAACAATTTTTTTATGCCTTTGTCTTTGCGACACTGCTTTTTGGATACGCCGATGGCGTTGATTTCCTAAAATTGATAAACAGTCGCTTGTTTATTTATTCCTCACAATCTGCTCATTAACTACTTCGTGCGCAAAATGTTTCACGGGTGAAGGATTTGAAACTGTAGCACTTGTTTCATCGCTAGAAATGAACTATGACGAAGTTTCTTTCCACCATGTGAAATGCTTGCAGCAGTACTGATTTCAACTACTGTCTTTTCTCAGCCTCCAAGTATTTCTAGTATTCTTAGAAATTAGCACTCCACCTATTTTTACTTTCATATGAAGAATTGTTATTTCCGATTATTATTTTAATGAATTTCTTTTTTATTTGATCGAACCCTTATTTTACTGAAGATTTTTAACGGTGTTTGCCACCTATAACCTATAAGCTTCCAGGTCTTCAGAAATCATTCACTGCTCCCTAATAACTTAATTAAGCAGGATTTATTACTACATAAAACTATTCAATTATCACCGTCATATTCCTCCAAGGTAGCTTCCCATTGGTGAGCTCGACCACCATATACAACCATGATTCTACATCATCTTTCCGACACAGTTCACGTAATATATGAGCCGATAACGGAGCATACTTTACAGTACCCCGAAATCCAGTTAGTGCGCGAGGATTTCTCATCGTGCCATCTTCATGGATATACAGTCGAGCCATACCAAAATCAAGGACATATACCTGGAGCATTTTTTGTCTGAATCAATCAATAATCTTAAATTCTGAGGATGAGATACGAATGAGGTGTTCTATCATTGGCAATATTGTACAACAATCGTATTCTTTCTCTAGCAAAGATGCAAAAAGCTAATAAATTATGAAGTATCCAGGATTACTGAATCTTTCTCAGTATCACAGCTTCCTTGAATTGTTATTTTCTGATATATATTATAAATCTCAAGAGTTGAGAAATTTTTAGAAAGCAATACGTTTCTTAGTTCTTTGACTTCGGGTCTACCGATGGCGAAATTGCCTGGCTTGACATCGCGATGCAAATAGCCAATGTTATGCAAATCTTCCAGTGCTTCCAAACACTTAATGCCAACACTGATGGCTGTACCCAATGAAAATTTCTTGTTTTGAGCTTCTAGTCGCAATTCCTGCATTATTTCAGGTGTTGTTAGAATTAATTTTACTGTATCTGTTGTTTTATAATACATATTATTACGTATGTCGATTTTTCATTACGCAATTGCTAAAAGCTTTCATCTTTGTCCGCTTAATCAGCAATTTAAAATAAACCGTTGACCTGGAGGGATTTTCCAACCATAGTCATAACAATGTAGAAAAAATCTTTGTGTCTGCCTTTGTCCTCAATGGTACAAAAATGTCGTAGGCGATCTTGCTCCTTCAATTTACTCAGCACCGTTAGCTCCATTTTCAAGAAGCCAACTTTTTCATGGACACTTTCTACCTAAATGTTGTTAAGATTAATTTTCTTCTAAATGGCTTTTTAATTTGAATTAATCAAAATGTTTACAAAACAGCTATTCAAAATCTTAATTGATCCTGTATAAAAAAGCAAATACCTTAAGTGCATATTTTTTGTTATCCTTGGAACAAACGTATACAGCACCAAAAGCACCTTCTCCAAGTTTCCCATCAATCTTCCATCCTTCCACAATGCTTCCAATTTCAAGTTGTACTAATTCTCCCATCTAATTCCAACGGCCTTCATAAACTTTTTCCTTTTAAAATCAATGGTTTGAAAGGATGAAATGGTATGTATGCAATACTTTCTAATTAATATTGCTATGGATTCGTTACACTCCAGACTTACCGTCTTCTTGCAACTGAATAAATTAACAATGGATTGCTAAATCTAATATCAGACTTTCATACCAATTTTTGTAAATTCAGTGCTTAAATTTTATTACTAAAAATCTTTAGGAATTTGAATAACTACTATTAGGAATATTTTGCCTTAATATTCAGCTCGCTTTGATAATAATTACAGTGATTACTGCCAGTGATTCTACTGTTATTAATAAACTTAATTTGAAAATTTGAATTGATCATCTCAAATATTTCATAATTTCTATTTCCCACTTTGTCATATTTCTATTTTTTCAGTTTTATCTTTTTTGTGATTAAAAATATCGGTAATCTTTGATTTTTGAAAATACATTATGGTTTTTACTGCGATATGTTACATTTTGTGCTTTTTATTCTTTCCCGTCAAAAAGTATTCTTTTCAGTTTGAATTGTTAAAATCTTTCATGCCTAAAATTTCCCTTTCATCGAGTGATTGATTGTAAAATCAGAGGATTAAACAATTTTGTAGCTCTTTTAAACTTTACAATAGGAAGAGAAATATGATCCCGATATGCATCCTCGATTTAGCACATTCTCTTCATTGCATTTGACATTTCAGCAACTCGTAATTCTAAAATACTTTAATTGGGAAGGTTGTGCTGAAACTGCGCACATCACACCGATACGTATTGCTGAAACTAGAACCTCGGACCATCGGTTACAATGTAAGAAGGAGGGAAAGATTATCAGATATGTATGCATCAAAGGAAAACCGATAAATTAAATTTTTAGAGATTTGAATTTTTTGTCCCTCGTTTTTTTAATTGATGAAATTGGTCCCGGCTCCGATTTTAAAATGAATTTAACTTTACCAAGCTAATTAAATTACCTATGACTAGCCACAATTTATTAAATCATAGCCATACTTACTAAATCATATTAGAATAATGAAACTTAGGTGATACAAAAAGGACTAAATTGTATTCATCATATATTCGAGTACATTATTCCCTTCTCGAAGTTCAAACGATTTTGATTTTTTAAAAATTGATTTTTTTAATTCTATTTTGATGGAATACTGCAAGTAGAAACTCTATTTATGAAAACGACATAAATCCTGGTTAGGAATATTCAACTGATTCACAAAAGCGAAAAGTTGATTACAACAAAAACCAGTTTGCAAGAATAACAATAAATATGTCAACCAGTAGGTGTTGAAATTCCAAACCGGAATAACGAGTAATGCTTATTTTGTGGTTTTTATTGAAGCTTAATTTGTAAGGATTATTTTCTTCACAATGATTCATTTGTTTGATTTAATTGCCTTTTCAACACATTCAAACTTATTTGTAGTGCGAAGATTTCCACACGTCATCACATTAGATTTGGGAGATTTTCCTTTCAAATGATTGTCTCATATCGATAAAATTCAACAACAGGGTCAAAACAGATTTCGTTGCTGTAAACATTTAGAATGGATAATTTTAGAGAGGAATAGTGAAAACAGCCATTTAGAATGTTTACAACAAATCCATACATCCACGAATCGAAATAGATTTGAAATAGGTGAACTGTAAAAACCGTTTCAGGGATAGAGATGATGAAGAAAAGGAAAGGTAAGCAAAACGATAGAATCCAAATTATTCTGTCGAACTAGATTTTACAATTCTATTCCCTATGAAATAAAATGCCATCAAAAATTTAAAAGCTGTACTAGAATACTCATGCGATATGAACGTTCACATTCAACTACTTGTTTCATTTTTCAGGAATTGACATTGAGTGGTCGGATTGGAACCAACAATTATTCCCTAGGACCATTTAACATCCAATAAGTATTATGGTAATCTCAAAATGGTCTTTCTTGGTGTGACTAAGATCTTATATTAGTGCAGTAATGATATACGAAGAATTCTGGACAATTTTTTTAAAGTTAAAATTTTTGAAATTACCAGTAAAGTAATTAATATTTTGTAAAACTGAGATTTATTATGAAATTATAAAAGATTTGTTGACCTAAAAGACTTACATGCTCATTGGGGAATGATAATTTGGAGTCCCGCAGCAAACACTGTCAGGACATTGATATTTTAGCACATAATTATAGTCCATTTGCTAAACGGACAGTCAAATCCAATAAAATTCCCTATCGATATTTCACTGACCTTTGTCAAACATTCCATATTGCAGCACATTTTTTTTTCCATGGAATGAACCAAATTTGATTAGAAAGTGTAATTATCCTTCTATTTCATCCTAGGCTGTTATTTCGAACGTTGCAACTATTATGCATGGCGAATACATGCAATTATTTCAAGTTTGGTCAAATTAACATAATATAGAGTAATGCCTTATGATTTATGATTCCAAATCATCAAATCTTCGTTTCCAACGATTAAAAGAAAATTATGTTGCAAGTTGCATAACATTAAGATGAGACCTCTGCGAGAACCAAGGAAATACTAAATAGCTACATCGATTACAGTCCATTTGCTTAAAATCTAAGTTACTCACTCTGCACAACCTACTCAGCGTTGATCTGTTCCTGATTTAGTTCTTTTTTTTAACTATTTAACTGGGACATTTCAATTACTAATATGAAAGAATGTGGCATTTTTGTGCACACAGTTAGTTATATTTTTTCACTATTTTAACATGATTTTATACTAATAAAAAAAAAAAAAAAATGATTTTTTACTAATATTTTCGCTAATGAAATTGAGGAGTGAGAAGTAGAACTCAAAGTTAACTCAAAGTGCATTTTTACTTAAATAGTAAGTGTAGAAAGTAATATATCTGCATCTATTATAAGCGATTATGTAAAATTCAATCCGTAATGAAGGGTGTGTCAAAAACCCCATATCGGATTCATTCTGGACTTCTAATGTTATACTCCACTCCAGCGTCTGATTTCTTTCTTTTCCGAATCCATCTAATGAATGCTATTCTCATATTTTGGAAATTCAATTTGGTTCAGAGACAAAAGCTGGGACTCATTCTAATGCTGCAAATAAACAAAACTGAAAAACAGAACCACGCTATTCTCAGAGTCTTTTGCTAAGTCTACGTGGTAGATTTATAAACTTGAGATGTCCTGGAAACAACTCGATATCACGTTAATTTGATAGTAGCAGAAGTTAATTTGATGTTGCGTTCCAGTATTGCTGATGCCTGCGTGATATAAATGAAAACACGAACAATTTAATGGTAAAAGAGAAGTGGGCTTTTGAAGAAAGGAACAGGATTTTCCAATCACCATGTTTCATTTCAAAAGCCATAAAATATGCAAATTCTTCACTGATACCATTCGTCTATCACACATTTTAGCAAATCATTGCCCTACGACAATACAATAAAAAAAGTTTGGTATTATAGTGTGATTACACATTTATAACATCAAATATTGAGAAAACTCATCTGACTTCTATTCGTAGAAATTTGCATCTTATATCACAAGAGGAGATTTCTTTTCGCCTTCAAAAAATTTTGCAAAGAAAAGTTTTTTGCCAAATAATTTTTAAAGTTTCACTTCTAATTTGTTACAGTTGTTATTTCATTAACTTACAATTTTTAAAATTAATAATCACAAGTTGAAAAACGAATTTTTTGAAATGTGTTGATGACAAGTCAGAAAACAAACTATTTGATATTTCCAGAATCATTTTGCATTGAACTTTATTAGAACTTAGACCAAAGTATTTAGTAGTTTTTATTCTATTTTAAAATGACTTCATTATTGGTTTCAACTTTAAGTAACAATTTCTTTTTTCATTTCATCGAATATAATTCCTTTTCATATATGCAATGAACAAAGACTTCTCAGTTTTACCAGAATCTGTGCAAATAATATCTGAAAAAAGTTTGCAATAAACCACAAGCAACCATTTGATTTAACCTTTCCAATAAATAATTACTTTAAGTATTTACTACTTTAAAAGAAAATGGTAATTTCAGAAATTGTTGATTCATCACATTCAAATGTTTACTTGTAAATTTTAATTATAAATACAGCGATTCATTTAAGGACCGCCCTGCAAGCTGCTGGACAATAGATTGGTTAGATATGGGAAAGATTGTTGAAAATCGCATATAAATTGACGGCCTGCCTTTTCGACTAGCTATCTGTCCAGTTTTCCTTCTCGAATCTTTCCAATAGAAAACCCTCACTGTCACCAGAATAGTTGCAAATACGGACAATGTCCTTCAATATATTACCACTTTTTTGCGTCATGAGTCCACTTATACCTGTCGCAATTTCGGTAAACTTTTTTTTCAAAAATTTTTTAAATAATTATCAAAACTTACTTGACATAATTTTTTCAAGCATTTAACTTAAACAAATAACTAGCAAAAATATTATTTCGAGGCTCCTTTCATGTTTCATTTATCGCAAAATATATGTTAAAGTTGGAAAAAGCCTCTAATTATTTCGTTTTCTGAAATTATCCTAATTCTTTCCGGATTCTCATTTCGTTCCAAAAACAATTCCATACGGTTACAAGAAGAAAGTCACCTTTACCTAAGTTAGAGTACACAGAAAAAAGTTCCTATAAGAAGTGTTATAAAACAACATTTGTATTTGCAGTGTCTTGCAAATGGTGTGTGTGGTCCCGGTTTTGGCACTTGTCATTCTCAGATTCAGCAACCACAATCAACATGTCAACCAGCCTGTGGCCCGGGATATCACTGCGGTCCATACGGTTGTACACAGTTGCGAGCACGAGCTCGTGGCGCAAACCTTTTCCAACCAGATATAGAGAGTGAGGATTCAAAAGTAAGCTTAGAAAAGTGTAAAGTTTTTGAAATGAGTTTAAGACTTATTATTTTAAATATTTAAATCTATTAAGAAAATAAGAACAGATAAAAAGCCAAAATTACTAGCAAAGGAAACTGATGTAACTTTTAAAGTTATAAATTACAGAGTCCCGACCAGCTGTTCATGGAGTGCTGTGAAAGAAGAGGACTCCCAAAAGCTTGCTTGCAAAAGTGCTCAATTCAAGATTACACCAAAGATGCGGTACCTTATAAAATAAAAATATGTTAGAAGTCTAATAACTTGTCAAGGATTAGGAATGCAAAGTTTAGAATAGGTCAACGGAATTCAACGGAATTAGGCAGAATTATGTTGCAGTCTTCTTTGTTCAAGTATCTCTTCTAACTTTGATTCGCATATTTGTTCTCAGTGAAGCGGGTTATTACAAAGCCGATACATTATTTGTCAAATAGAAGTGTCAAATATGAACATTTCTTTTTTTTTTTTGAAAACTAATAAACACTAAATAAGAGATTCTATTGAAGTGTTTGAAGAATGATTCAAATAAAAGATATATAACTTTGGGTTAAATACTTATTTCATCTTTCGTTTATTCTTGAAAATTACACAGGTGTAGATTTACCTGGAGGAATCATATTAAAAAGGATGGGTGCAATGCTTCCTAATGCACAACATGTGTTCTTTTAGTGAAGTAGTTTAAGTTAATTATCACTGAATTTAATTATTCTAATTAAATTCTAAATCTTTAACAAAGAAATTCTTTTCATTGCTTTGCAGTTTTCCAATAAATTTTTCGGGTTTGTAAGCAAATCTTGAGAGAACATTCAACTTAATGGATTTATTTCTTTCTCACTGATAATTATTTATATTTCAGTTGGTAAACATGTATTTTAATCGCGATCCTTGTCCAGTCTCGGCTGCTGCAGAAATACAATTCTGTGCTGCACAAGGACGCGATCACCGTCAGTGCTGTGCTCGAAATGGTAATCCTTTGTTGCATTTAAAGTTTAGTTTTATCTTTTGATAACATCAATTATTTCAATGTATTTAATTAAATTTAATATCTTATTCGCCAACAGCATCCAATTGATATCGCATAGTTAGGATAACAGAAAAATATGGTAATCAAAAATTTTCTCATTACAAAAAAAAACAAAAATCAATTGAATTAGAAAATTTTTTTCTACTTAACGTCTTGGAGAATAAATTAGTTACTTTCTGATTCGTTTATTTTTTTTTCTTTGTCAGTGAAAATTATATGGTTTGATGAATAATTTATAATAATTTGAAGTGTCATATGGTAAAATATATATCAGAGAAGTTTATTTTCATTCCATGTCTTGCAGATGAAGTACTCTTAATCAAAATCACTTTTTACTGTCTCTAAAATGACTGCTTATAGAACATGGTGTTCTTCTTAATATGATGTACAGTGGATCAGAATTTTAGCTATTCCTGTGAATTTTAAAATTAAATTCAATTGACTTAAATTTGTCTTCGTACTTGCTTTTCCTCTTTTTTTGCTGGAAAAGTGGTGTGTGCTTTTTTCATATTCTCTTGAGCTACTAATTTTAGCAATCTTTAATCATATTTGCGGCATAAATCATTAAGTTTTGTCAATTATAATTCATTTAATTGAAGGGGTCGGAACAACATTGGCCGGTGATAAGTGCTTGATATTCTGTGACCAACGTCCAGGCAACGTCACACAACTGGACTATAGCTATTTGATTTGCTATGATCGTTTTGAGAGTATCAAAAACTGTTTTTGGCATGACATGATGGCGCAGAACTCACTGCTACGATCTTCACGACATTTTTAATTTGCTGTACTACGTTATCGAATTTTTGTTTTTTCTCACTTATACTAATTTCTTCCATGTTGCTTTATTTACATACATTTCAACATATGTATTTATCATTCTTAAAGTTATTAAGATTACCGTTTATAGTAGAGGAATTCAAATCTATGATTGAGCATTGATTTTGAAACACAGAAATATAGACTTTCAAGTATAGGATAGCTTTAATTTAAGCGCATTTTAAAAGAATTTTTTTTTTTTTTGAAGACCTAAAAAACTTGAAAAGAAGCAGCCGATACAGTTGCAATTAATACGATCAATGATTTACTGACAACAAACAAAAGAATGTGAATATTATTTGATTTATGTCTCAAATGCAATTTCAAGGATCATTTGCTTTTGTCTTGCTCTCGCCTAAATTAAGGAATCTATTAACCGTACTTCACTTCACTTTTGTCAGAAGTTTCTTTTCTTGAGGTAAATTGCAAATTTTTCATATTTTGGAAAACTTTTCAAGTTTAAATAACTGGAATAAAGTTCTTGGCACTTTATAAAAAACTAGAATGACATTAATTTCAGATCCTGAAAATCTTCACACAAAAGTTATTGCCTTTCTGAAAATTTTCATGTTTTAAGAAATTTTTCGGAACTTATATTTAATTATTTCTTGTAATAACTTATTACAAACCATTAAATTCAAAAGTATTGCCGTTAATATGCTCAAATTTTCCTAATTTTATTTCAAAAAGAAAAAAGTCGCAACCTGACTAATGGTAAAAACAAAGGAAGAGTCTTTATTTCCCGAAATTTTCCGCATTGATCTTTGAGCTAAAGGTCAACAATCACTGAGCATGCAAATTAAATTAAATTAAAAGAAAACTTGAATGGTACTGACTTTTGATTTTATTATAAAATAGGCAAAACTGTTACTGTCTTGAAAAAGCACCGGAAGATATTAGAAAAATGTCACGCTTCTCCTTGTCTATGCATTTCATTTTAATGTCCCTGTACTTTGAGAGAAACTGCTACATTAACAGGTTTAGCCTATTTGAGAAGAAAACTCAATTTTGAAGTATTGAAACAAAAATAGGAAATATTTATAAATTGCATTACGTCTCCTTCCTTGATTTAATCTCACTTGGTTGTCGAAAATTAGTGATTTAGAAAAAATGAGACATGTATTACTAATGAATTAGACAGCCAACTTATAGAATGACACTGAAATGGATACCATCCTTGTTTCCACAAGTATTCAAGAAATGTGAGCAAATTTAGAAGATAGATGTCAATGGCAATGTGAGGTAAGAAAGTTTATGGTAAGGGATGATTCATTCATATCAGTGCTTAATCCTTGTTTATTTGTTTTTTATTTTATGAAAGACAAATTGAAAGTAAATCAAACAAGATTTATATCGCTTAAAACAAGAGTGAAAGACTATTTCTCTCACTTAACCTTTAACTGGGACTCCCAGTGGGAGATATTATCAGAATGCAATTCATAGTGGTCTTTTTAAGCGTTTTTATAAGGATGTGATTAATTATAAAAGATAAAAAATGGTGCGTGCTTCAAACAGCAGAAGTAAATATCGAAACCGATTTTATTTTATTGCCGAAGTCGAAAAAAAAAAACGTGAAAATTTCCACTTCCGGGGAACTACCGCGAACTGTTGATGAGCTTTTTTTATAGTGAACTGTGTAAATTTTGCAACCGTTTTCTGTCAACCCTTTAAGACGATGACAAATGACCGATTTAATAAAAAGTAACTATTTTTTGGAGTGTATGTTTGTCTGCAACCTCTATATATATATATATATATATATAGAGGTTACAGAAAACAATATATATATATATGTGGTGTGGGAGGAAATGTTTGTGGTTCACCAAAACTCAAATCATGTTTGGTTCCTTCACTTTTTCACTTGTCAACCATTTCCGGTGTTTTAAGAACGACGATAAAAAGATGCGAAGATTGTTAATTTTGTTAAAAGAAATACAAATGGCATTGTTTCCTTCTCCGCCTCCTTTTCGCTACCTCAGTGTCAAAAAACCCTAAAAATCTTTATGAAGAAATTCATCCCTTCCTTCATTGGTACTTCTGCGAAAAGTTCAATTGCATAAGGTGTTGATTTAGAGTGCTTTTGCTAGACACACGTCTCTATGACATTTCTAATCTCACGTCACCCTACCGTACTATTACCAATGCTACAGTTGCTTTTGTAGCCCAAATTATTTCAGACTTTAAATGCAAAAATAATTTTCGATGATGTCTTTGCTACCAAACCTTAGAATCATCATTGGTTCATCTTCTACACTTTATTTTATACTTTTGATACTACCGAACTATGCGATTGGATTAACCTTGGAATATGTTCCAGATTTGGTCACTACAACTAGAAAAAATTATGAGATAACTAGTCCAGAAGTAAGTTATAGTTAAATTATGCGAGCCATAGACACATATCTCTGTTACACTCTTCCAAAATTTTTGTTATCTTTAGAAGGAGGTAATTGTTGAGCTGAACATTTTTTCAATATATATAAACGGAGAGTGCTGGTAAAAGAGTGGCAAAAAGACGTATCCAAGCGAAAGATAAAATGCATTTTAAGCTGTTGGTTTGTTTCAAGATTCTTCCTATCCGATGAATATAATCGAATATGGGACAGTATTAGTTATTTATTTAAATTCTCAGGGACTGATGCAGGAGAAAAAAGAAAAGCAACAGGATGCAGAAGTTAGCCAATCGACTAATATCACAAATTTATTTGCAAAAGTGGGTTATGAAAGCAATATCAAGTTTGATGATGATTTGAAAAGGAATGTTGGAATGTTAATACGAATAACACCAAGAATGATTAATTATTGGGCAGCGGTAAGGTTTTTTTTTTTTTTTAATAAGCAAATAAATCAAAAACGGTTCTGTTGCAATGTTTCATATCACAGCTTTTGCTTGTGATATCAAGCAAATAAGATTTCAAATTCTTGACAGTTGCCTTTCAGGAACTGAAACAGATGTTTCAAAAGAAGCTAGAAAACAGAGAGTTGCCGGAATTTTCACGTACTTTGATGAAATTAAACGTATCAATCCTTAAGCCACGAATTCATAATATAACACTTCCAGGATTCAGTTACAAGGTCTATTCAAATTTTTGGTTATATTAAAAGAATGCTAGGCATGATGAATAATTTCAGTCCTTTTCAATTAAAATATTAAGTGGTAGAGATAGTGAGATGAGAATATGATAACGAAAGAAGATAATTCCGGATCTTCAATTTAATTTACTTATAACGTACCTGAAGTTTTAATAATACAAATCATACATATTTTGATTTATTTTTAAAAAATTTGTTTTAACATGAATAAAAAACATATTTTTTGCACTATTTGAAACGAAATTCGGAAACTAGTTTCAAGTTTTCCACAGAATTCGCTTTGTCTTATAAGGTTTTCAGTATTAATTTAGGTGCAGTGCAATAATACCTTGGAGGTAATATTACATGGAGGATCAGCGCAACTGTCAAGTTCTTATCGAGCAGTATATCGAACCATTCGTGAAGGATATTTGGAAGCAAATATGAGCAACTTCGTAATTAATTTAAGACTTAAAATTGCTACAACATTTGCTGGAAAGTTATTGGTAAGTATATTTGGAAATAACCAAAAGAATAGAAATTAGTCTAGTTTTCTGACGTTTGGATCTGTAATAATATATATGGAAAGACCTGTCTTAGAATAATAAGAAAACTTGGTCCATTAAGTTTGAACCGGAAGGGAACTTACCAATACTAAATTATGCATGACTTTTAACTGTAATGATTTGAAAAGGTCAACTAATCAAGTTTTGTTCATCAATTTTTCGAATGCATTACATATTTAAATATTTAGCTGGAGGACATAGTTTGTGGTGCAGAAGTAAGATCAATTGACATTAAACTGACACCGAAATTACACGAATTGGTTGATCAAGGCTTACGAGTAGAATTAGATGAAACCGTATCTGTTGTTATCTGTGAAGCTCTAGAAGCGTTCACAAATCAATTTGAAGAACGCTTGAATAAGTTAATACGCTCACCGGTTGTTGAAATTAAAGTAAGTGAGTAAGTGATATATGTATATTTTAAATCTTAAATGAATTCTGAATATCTTACTGTTTACTTGATTTATTTTGAAAATATTTCACTATCCACTTCATTTAAGAAAATTATTTCATCCAGAAGATTTCCTTGTAATGTTAGAATTTCACGAATCTTTTTTTCAGATTAATGATACAGTTACACGTCTCCTTATTGATACTACAATAAGCAATGATATTTCCCTGACTGAAGACTATTTCGATTTTCCACTTCTTGGTACTCCCGCAATCAAGAAATTGGAAAGGGAAGCGTATCTGATGGTTTGTTCACTTCGCAAACTTCGAAGAATCAAGTTTTTTTCCTTCGGAAGAAAGAATTTATCTGCCAAGTTTGATATTAGAAGTTTAATTGAAGTTGTTGCATCGATATATTCAGTTTTCCAGCTGATTTAATCTGCTACTTCGACCTTTGGCAATAATTCTCCGCGCATTATCTAGTCACATCGCTTTTTCTTGCTTTTCGTTCCTTTTTCAAAAATTTCGTCAAAAATTTCTAGAAATCACCGGACGATAAAGTGGAAATGATTTATTTGTATGTCTCAGAATCAGTACTAAATATATTCCTGAAGCAGCTCGCAACGTTTGGAGATACCGCGTTGCAATTACATGCAGATCCAGAATTTCAGAAGTTACTAAGCTTAAATTGTTCTGAGGACGAAAAATGCATGGGCGACTTGTTACAGGATACAGAATTATATGTTCCCGATTCAGGTGCGCTCTTTCGTAGTTTGTCTTCAATTTTTTATATTACTTTATCAGAAATTAAATTTTTTATTGTAAAACTCATCATATCAGTATAAAAGGTGACAGTTAATGAATACATTAACTTGTTATCTCGAATTGTTCCCGAATGAACTTATTAATAAATAGAAATCTATTAGGGAGAAATTATTAATTCTATATTGAAAATTATTGCTTAAGCAGTACGTCCTAAAACAAACAATTACAAATTAACTCAAATAGATAGATGAGGAGGATGCATACAATGGCTTATTGTTTGGTACAGGAAATGGAAGTAAAATATAAAGATGTAAATTCAGGTCGTATGGTCATCAAAATAAGCTCCCCGTTAGTTGCATCAGTTCGAAATGGTTTTGCATTGATTGATTTGCATCTAACAAGTTTCGTAACTTACAAAGAGGAAAGTATGGATGTGAAAGTATTGGAGTTCGAATGGCATGCAACGATACATGTCAGCAATGAATACCTGAATGAACATCTTGCTGCAACGGTATAAGTAAATCATTTATTTTATAGTTAAACACTCATGCGGTTGCCTATTTTCTTATTAAGGGCATATACTTTGTCACGATCCACGTGACAACAACTTATTAGAATAGATATGATATGTAGCTTTCTTCAAGTATTTCTCAAAATTTGTCAACCAAATCCCGTCCGCATACGTATGAAAACTAGAAGCCTATGATTATTTGCTAAATTAGAATCTTGCAGTGTCAATAGTTACTCTGTAGTAAGGTATACAGAAAGTAAAATTAGATTTATTTTAGTATAAGCCAGTGCAAAATATGGATGCATCGCTGCAAGTGGTTAGCATAATGATAAGCAATGTAACGCCTTATGTCGAGTTAGTCTCGAATTGTGATGAACATCTACTGCGATTAATTTCTTCAAAAAAAAGATTCTTTGAGGTTAGTTTTTAATGCTTAATTTTTTAAAACAACTCTTTTACTAATTCTTCATACTGCGAATGGAGAGAAAAACTTTTTATAGACATCACAACTGTGCACAGAAATTAAAAATTAGTCTTACGACACTTCGATATTATATTATCTGCCACCACAGATTATGCCATGAAAATTTTCAATAAAAAATTGACATCTTGAACTTTTGTATCTTCTTACTTCACACTTCTCCTTTTTTGTCACCTTTTAATTTTCATTAAATTCAGATTTTTACATTAGGGTACGATGCTTATTATTTTTTAGAAATTATTAACGCAACAGTGCTCACTAGCAAGAACAAAAAGTACACTATATAAAGCAATATATTGTACAGCAACTTTCCGGAATGGTACACTTGTGATTGCTACTGGCTTACAGTGGAATCCGGAATTGTATTATCAGTTCGGTTTGTTTAGCTAAGTTGGCTAAGTTGCATGAATATGCTAAGAGATCTGTATTGTGAATGAGTTCCATTCGCTGGTAAACAATCACTAGTGCTTATCATACTAAGCAGTATCACAATGTCATATTAATGCATCTCATTTTGTGTCACAAATAATTTAAATCAAGAACATCTTAAACAATTATCAGAACCCTTGGAACCGAAAACTCACAATACTATTTTTATTTTTTAGCACTGTACAGCTATTTAATAATCAGCTCATCGATAAAAATTTTCTGACTAATCATGCTTATGAAGATAGATGCTGAGTAGTAGTCAAGCACTTCCTAAATTTCTACCTATCACTAATTAAAATATGTAATTTGCATTTGTTTCTCAAATATGTGCAGAAAAGTGATGTACTATGCTAAAATTATAATTAATTTTTGCTCATCAAAAAACAAGCATAAGAAATAGCGAATTGAAGTGAATATCCATGAAGCATACTGCATAACATATCTGAGAGTTTGTATATATTTTTAATGATCTCATTCGATTGTTTATGATTGATTATATTAATTCATTTTTTGAAATTGTGAATCTGTGTACTTATAAATAAATGCTCATGGTCTTTGTAACATTCTTTAAAAATATATAAATACAAAGCAAAAAAGGAGGAAATAAAGTTTAAAGTTTAGATAGTTTACAATAAGCTCTCATTTTTCTTAGAACGACAAGCGCAATTTAAGCGTTTTTTCTCCTGTGCAACTAATTACTGGAATTAAATTATAAATTTAAATTACAGTCAGTTTTTATCATTCAACACATCCGGAATACTCGCATTAAATGAAGAAAGAACGTTAGAAATGGTCGTCTACTTGCAGCGAAAGTCAGTTGAAAGCTTTAAACAGATTGACTGTAACGAAATTCCGTATTTATTACTTAGCACGTTAAATAGAATTTCAGATGGAATTTGAATTCATTTTGAAGTTAAAGTTTTTATTTGAAAATTTTGGACTTTAATAAAAATTTTTATGCAGAAGAAGATATTCTGAGAAAATGTTTAGCAATAATTCATGCTTAATCCACAACTAAGATGCAAAATTAACTAGAATGTTGTGTTCTTGCCGTAACCAGACGTCGTCGATCCTTCATTTGTTTACTTTGCCTTTCGTTAAGATTTATAATTGGCCCATGATACTTGTGCTCTGGGTCCCAATCAAGTGGATCATCTACTGCTATGTGATTTGCCGAAACGATAGAAAAATACTCATTAGTTACTTAGATGTAAATTCTTTTCAATTAATAGAAGGAATCAAAGCAATAACAATTAATAGAAGGAATCAAAAAAAGCAATAAACTTCCAATGGTAAGCTATAATTCAAATCAAGCTAACTCGATTTTCTCATATTTGTATTCATTTAAATCAAAAGCTAAGCGAATTGATACCTTAGCAGCATGTTGTATACAGTAATAAATATGATCATAATCCGGTATACTTTCGTATTCCAGTGAATCAATATATTTCATTATTGTTGAAAATTCTCGTCTGGGACACTGTTTAAAAAAATCATCCATTGCTTCACCTTCACGTACCTCTTCTTTCCACTGCAGCACCTCTTCTTTATCAGGCCCCTAGAATTAGGACTGTCAGGTTGATCAAGTTTTACCTGAAATGTTCATTTACATTTGTGTTAATATCATATCTCTGACCATGGTAGTCGCCAATAATAATTTGTTAATTTGAATGCCATTCACTCTTCTTTCCTTCCGCAGCTTCTTAAAAATTTCACTTCAAAGGATGGATCGCCATTTTGATTTAAATCTCAAACCTTTAGTTTCCTCCACGGCAAAGAACCAGCAGTCCATTCAACTGTAATATAAAGCCATGATTCGACGTCATCTTTTCGTGACTGCTCCATTTGTCGCAGTGCGGCAATTGAAGCATAACGAGTAGTACCACGAAAAGGAGCGGAAGCACGAGGCAACCGTAAATCTTTATTTCCAGAGCTGTAATTTTTGATTAAAAGTGAAAACTGGAAGTTATTCATTTTATCTTATTAGGTAGGATCATTATTACAATTAAATCAAGGTTACTCAATTACTGAATATAGTATATCCGATGGTCGCACATATATGCTTTTAGATTCTTGCAAGGACTGACAACCATATAACTATTTCATTTTATTCATTGGCTTACAGGCATTCAAGTGGGCACAAAAGAAGAAATAATAATCCTGAAAACTCAGAATAGTACTTATTTTCAACCCTCTCCAAGACATTACCTGAATTGCCTGCATAACCCGAAGTCAAGCATAAAAATGGTATGATGTTCGTTGGCTTCCGGTCGTCCGATCGCAAAATTGCCCGGTTTAATGTCTCGATGTAAAAATCCAACGGTATGCAAGTGCTCAATTGATTCCAAACATTGTTCGGCTGCTTTTAATGCTGTATTTAATGTGAAACGTTGTTCTGGCCGTTCCACCCTTAAATCCCATAAATTTCGACCAACCTGAAAATTTTATTCATAAAAAGACCTAAAACTTTTTCAAATTTTGAAGTAAACTTAGTTTTTAAGCTAAAACATCATATATAAAAAAGTTGGGTTTAGAACTTCCTCGAATTATAGTAAAATAGATTATGCTTAAATTTGTCGAAATTAATTTACAGTTTTGTTCATTCAGTAGCATGACCAATGTTTATCAAGTTGCCATAACATAGATGACAATCCGCAAAAGGTGATAGTTTCTGCAAATGAAATCTACCAGTTTCATGATGATAAATCTGAAACGTTCAGGTTGCTTTCCACGATCGACAATCTCGCAAAAATGTTTGCTTCCAAGTGACTGAGCACCACGCAAAACTGTACAGTCCATTAATAATACCTGTGGAAATCTCACTGCTTCATTTATTACCTTAAAATTTAATGACTTGCCTCCTAATTGCCAGAAGTTTTTAAGCAGTTATTTAATAAAATAGTTTAATTTAAATGTATTAGAAAATATTACTCGTTTTCTAACATCCATTAATTCACATTTCATTGCAAAAGCAGCAGAATCCGATATGCGTTTTACTTCATATACTGCTCCAAAGCCGCCTTTGCCCAACAATTTTATTGACTGAACCAGCAAACTACTTTACTTTCTTGCAAAGATTAAGAATGAAAAGAAATTAATTTTGTTAGTTAAATATGGTTGCGGAACAATTTATCACAGAGTATATAATTTTGAAGTATCCGATGTTTGCATGGGCAAATTTCAGCTGTCACCTCATATTCTGCTTTTTTAGTGATAATAAATTCACCAGGCTGTGGTAATTTTTCGCTGAGTTTTTTTTCAGCCATTTCCTGGAAGACAGACATCACTGTTAGAAAACAATCAGGCAGCTAATATCTCTGGAAGTTCACTTTCAGAAAACGACGCATACCAAATCTAATTTGAAGAACTTGCGCCTTTTACAAAGAAATTTCGTTGTGGACACTATGTGTGGACATTTTCAAAGTACTAAGAATATTAATGAATGAAACTTTTGAAATATTTTCTTTTATACTAACAAGAAAAATTTGAATAGAACGAATTTGAATATTTTCTACAATGTATTTGTTGCTTAAAATAAGTGCAAAAATGAAAAATGCAACTTTTAATGTCAAATGCGTATATAAAAGCCCATGTGAAATCTCCCCTATCTAGCGAAGTTGATAGTATGAATTACGCCCGGAACAGCAATTTTCATTGAATCACTTGGATGGTTTGAATCATTCAGCTCAAATAGCCAGTTGGTATTTTACGGTTAGCTATGGCGCTTGATGTTTATCGCTATGGTTTCACAGAATTGTAGAAGGAGGAGGAGGCTGGACTGTGTTCATGCTTTACATATTCCGCTTTAAAGAAAGAAAAAAAGATTATTTGGCAAGTGACATTCTTTAAGTGACAAGCAGAAGTTGACAGCTATTCCCCATATCATTGCTCACTTTCATCTTCGATTATTTCTTTGAACCTAATTGGTATATACCTCAACTTTTTTTTCTAGCTTCTTTTTTTTTACAAGCATTTCTTGTTTGCTAATGTTTCTAATTAAATTTCAAGTTATGAAGCGTTCATCCAAAGAAGCGCTGAAGGGAGAAGGCGGTCGAGAAATTAATAAAGCATCAGTGGCATCTATCACATCATCGGCCAAATCTGCAGAGCAGAATTTGGAGCGTTTGTATAAGACAATTCGCAATTCAGCAAAAAATGAACGTGGCAAGAAATTGCGTTTGGAAAAAGCTTCTGTAAGTTATTTCTCAACGATACAAAACTGGTGATTCGTATGAAGAAATAAGGTGATGTCGAATATGCATATGCCACTCACAAGATTTCATTGTGAATATCTTTTGGAATGAAGAGATCAAAGACACAAGCACTTGCTTTTTTTTGTAACGAGCTTTAATCTTGTGAAGTGATTCGAAAAGTTTTTTTTTTTTTTTTTTGAATTGAACATTTTATAAAGATTACTAAATTTTCTTTATTGTGTGAGGTTTTGTCAACTTTTATTTCTGCGATCTTACCTGTTTCTTCTTTCATTTGTCGACATTTCTGTCAGGAGGTATCTATATATTAATTTTTTTTTTCTATGAATTGATTGTTTTGTTCTTAACACAAAACTATCTAAGCATTGTTGGTCGGTATCGCTCTCTTTTTTTGTAAAAATTTAATTTAGGCAAAGCGTGAGCGACAAAAATTGCGTTTGAAATTACGCGAAAAACTTGGCGAAGAAAAAATACCGAAGGAAAAGCCTCGAACAATTGAAAGTACTCGTGAATTTGATATTACTGTGATAGAAGATGACGACCAAGAAGTTTGTTCAGAGTTTTTTTATATATGCAGGTTTTAATACCATTTCTATAATGTTAATCATAGAGTTGAGCAAAAGACTTGTTTTTTAGCAAGTATAATATGTATGAAGATAATCATACATATTTTTTGGTTAATCTTTTTTCTTCATTCATTGGTTGGACTTTATTAATTGAAATTTGAAACGCATGGTTAATCAGTGTCGTTCATTTAATCTGGTAGATCTTTTGGAATTTCCTTTAATGACTAATAAGTGATAATGTTTTAGTTGTTAAGAAGTAATGTTTGAGAATTTTTTGACTGAAGAAAATAATTAAATATGTGCAAAGTTTAAGGACCAAGAAGTATACAGTGTCATTGTCTTTCAGGTTCAGCATGATGAAGCAAATGATGAAATGAGCACATACTTCAACGACGAAATACCACCGAAAATCCTGATAACCACGTCACCATATGCTAAAGTGGTTAGTTCTTGTCTTGTAGAACATTTTATCTATTTAGAGTGGTGCGTATTTTTCAATTTGCATGACGCAACACACTGCATATGCTATTGAGTTCTACAACTGAAGTACCATAATATGCTGACTATAGAAGCTTAGAATTAGTATTCCAGTTTACGGATGTTGAGAACAATTTCTTATCTTTCTGTTGATTTTTCTATTTTTTTAAGAACACATTCAAGTTTTGCTACGAATTACAAAAATGCATTCCTAATGCTGATATATTTACCCGTAAAGGAATCCCTTTGAAAAAAGTGGTGAAACAAGCAAAATCCAAGGAATATACTGATTTGATTGTAGTGCACGAAGATCGGAAGATACCAAGTAATTTTTGTCTCTTCTTTGTCAAATAATTTATTGTAATTCCTTTACATAAGATGAATGAAACAATTTGTGTAAAGATATGCCAGTTCAGCTGTAGTGCTTGAATTTTTTTCACTACTGCAAGTATCAAAAGTTTACATCACTTTTTTTTTGGTGCTGTGACATAATTATTATCATTATTTCCAGATGGTATTGTTCTTTGTCATTTACCAGATGGTCCAACTGCGTTTTTTAAAATTAATAGTTTAACGTTTACTAAGAATCTTAAGGTGAGAATTTATTGAAGTGCTATATTCTCAATAATTTTACTCGTTTGTTGATTTTTGTTAATATCCAAATTATACAAATAGGTTTTATTATTTTGGTTTATGAAGTTTTAGTTTTTTAAAATTTCATTTCACTGTACGTTCTTTAATCTTAACTAGTAAAAGGTTCGCCGAGAAAGAAACATTTCGGTTCTAAAGACTTGATGAATAATGTAACTTTAATATTGTAGAAAAAAGGCGAATCCACCGTGCATTATCCAGAAATCGTATTAAACAATTTCAACACCCGGCTTGGTCATACGATTGCTCGAATGTTTGCTTGTCTTTTTCCACAAAAACCTATGTATTCTGGGCGACGAGTGGTTACTTTTCACAACCAACGTGACTACATATTTTTTAGACATCACAGGTTTTGCATTACCAACTGTTAGCGAATTTAATTTTCAGATTATTTCATTGATAACTTTCTTTACTTCTCGGAACTGACAAAATTTAACTTTTGCTTTTCCTAATCAACTTAAAGTTCTCTTTGTTGCGATTTTTCCTTTTCTTGGGAATCATTCTCACGTTCCTTCCTGAACATCTTCCTTTTGACGGTTGTTTTTATTTCGAAATTTGAAATCAAATTTGAGATATTTTTCATACACGATGTAAAATTATTAAAATTGATATTTAACTTTTCTTTACTATAAACAGATACGAGTTCAAAAGAGAAGGTGAAAAGGCGGCATTGCTCGAGCTCGGACCTCGTTTCACTTTACGGCTGAAATGGCTGCAGAAAGGAACATTTGATACTCGATATGGTGAATATGAATGGGTCCTAAAGGTATTTTTCGTTTTACTTAATTTTGGATATCATTTCGTTCTTAATATTTGCTTCATTATATAATTTGTTAATCAAATATTTAATACTAAGATGTATTTTTTTCTGTTTTAGCGAAGATTTTTTCTTATTTGTGTTTCATTCCAATGCTACTGAAGCAAAGATGTTGAAATGAATTACTTTGTTTGGAATCAAAAGTGTTTTATTTTTTCATATGGTTTATTTTCAGAGGCATGAAATGGAATCTAGTCGAAGGCGATTTTTTTTATGACAAATTTGATAATGCCTCAATTCAGTTATATTTTTTGATAAATAAATTGTAAGATTCTCCACGTTTTGTTTATATATATTTTCCTTAGAAGGTCATATTGTATTGTATACTGTGAACTGTTGGATCACTAATTATTAATAAGGAAATTCACAGTGAATGATTAGGTTTAAGCTTGATGTTCTGCGAGCGTCCAAAAAGATTACACAAGATAAGCAGTACGACCATTTGAAATTCTCTATGCTTTAAAACCATATGAATTATTTCCTTTCCTTTGGAAGCGACCTTTTCTCTTTCTTATCAAGACTTATTCCTCGCTTGTATCAAGTGATAGTTATTAAGTTTCACTAACAAATAATTCAAGTTATTTATGCACCATCTTATCCATGTTGCTGCAGTGGCCGATTGTTTAATTTGCAAGGATATTTGGCTTTGACCTGCAGCATCCGATAAGTGAATTGCATAATGAGATTAGAAAGATTGTTCCAATGAACGCATGACATCCGGCGTATACCAGAAACTAGAATTAAACTTATTACAGTGTACTGCTCAAACTGCTGATTACGCTTTTATGGTATGAGGTATAAAAATTTTATTGGAAGTATAATTTCTGAAGTGCTAAGAGCTGACACGGTTTCAGACGGTTTGAATTCGTAAGCAGTGGTTAAGTGAGCAAACTTGATTGTTGATTGAATTACAAAATCAAGGCACCAAAAGGCAAACTTATGTTTTCCAAGGAAAGTGAGTTTTTTCCACTTCGAATTCAATAGTTAATGCTGTACATAAATTGGTTACTTGTTGCCTAACAGGCATGTTAAGTCCGTGTTGATCAGGTACAATGATGGTGAGTAATGTTTGAAGCAACAGGGCAGTGAACGAATTCAAACCAAATACTAAACCATATGATTCACCGATCATTTTCCTTGCCAAGTTCCACCTGCAAGTATAACCAGAAAAAATGCCGGTGATTAACTTGCGTTGGATATCCAATTTCTCAATTCAGAAAAATGGCAAATTTTGTAAAATTTTACAAAATTAAGCATTTCTTTCTCTTAATGGTCCAAGGATACTAAATAGGTGATGCTGTACTACATATCAGCCATAATGGGAGCAGTAAGTGGTGCTGATTGTTGCTTCCTTATAATTGCTGTAATAGTTTGCATTTCTCAGAATCTTATATTTAATAGAAAGTATTCCACATTTCTCTCAAACTTAGCATGAATTCGTAAAGCAAAGACATGAATTATTTTTAGATATGCGGAACTCCTAAGCTAAATTGAAGTCACAAATTTTTTGCTCAGCTTTAGTAGATTGATAATAATTTAGCAGATTCTGTAATAGATTCTAATAAGAAGAGATAGACATTTGTATGAAAAAGTCAATTGTTAAAAGCAGCTCTTTTGGATTTTAAAACGAAATTAGTTAACTCACTGCGCAATGGTAATCATCACTTGATACAAACTTCGATAGCCAATATAACAAACATACATAATCCATATGGATTGTGCTCTTGAATATACAATTAATATTAACGTATCAATCAAAGAAATCGTAGCCAGCATCAGTTCACCCCATTTATCCCAATTTATTTTAGCTAAACCCAATATTAAAATCGATATGGCAGCTGAAAGTTATCAGGATTATGCCATATTATTAAATATATCGCCTGATTCTAACTGTTGATCTTTTTAGAAAGTTTAATTCTGAAGAAACGACAAACATACAAACTGGTTAAGTGTTTGAAGTTGCCTATCCTGTATTGAAATTGCATTTATCCAACCCATCCGCTGTAATTACTAGAAGTTACTTCCAAATATCCTATCATACATGTGTTTTGTGGCTTTCTTTGATTTAGTCTAACAATTAAAATTCTAAAAATAAGCATATAACTACCTGTGGCAGTATACATAGCTTCCGCGAAACCATTTAATGAATTCGTGTCACCACGTTGTACTTCACCCCAAAGTGATTGAGCATATTGAGCAACCTTCATGTTATAAATTACATACTGATTTGAGAATATTTCATTTTTGCAGTGTTTCTCGAGATGTAAATAGCGAAATCAGTGACACTCTCGAAAGATGTTTGGTGTCATTGGTATGGTAGTAATGAAGGAAATTCACTTTCTCAAGTATCTGCGATGGATATACTCAATGAATACCTGAAGTGACATGCATGTTGTTAGTGCCCACCATATGGACCACTTTCGGATGGCAGCAATCTGATATATATGAGTTATATTATGACGCATTAAGCATAACTGGTATTGTACATATGCACTATACGTCTGTGGTAAACCGGATTGTTCGGCGGCCGTTTCTGAAAGGACACTGATTCTTTATAAATCAGTGTCAAAAAAAAAAAAAATGCATGAAAAATAAGAGAATAGTGAAACTTTGATTTGCCGCAAATTGAGTTCATAGCATTTGAATTCTTCATGACTAATTAATTACCTTTGCTATTCGAGTTGGAGAGCCTGACAATCACTTGCTTCCATTTCACATTCGGTAGAAATGCAGCAAGAATGACAACAAAGCATGGGATTCCAAAACCTATACTTTGCAAAAATTGATAACTTCCAATCCCCGTAAGAATAATTGTCTGAGCCAGAAGATAACTTATCATGCGTCCAGACATCACTGCTGCTCTCGAATAACTTGTTAATCTATGATATCTAGGCCTTGAGGACCAAAACAATCAAAACACTTAGAAATACAAACAAAATAAAAATGTTAGCGAAAGGTCATCCTTTAATCATTGATTATAATTCAGTATAAATCACTGATCACTTATAAACAATCGTAATAATTACTTTTGATACTGATCCTTTTCTGATTTTGAGTAAATATAGGAGAAGAAAGCTATTTCGGAAGCAGATGCTGTTCCGAAAACCATAATCCCCAGTTTTTGCGCCCAAACCATCGGGCAGAACACCAATATACCTCTCAAAATATTTCTCAGAGTCGGGAAATTAAAATGAATGATCCGGGTAAATCGTAAAAAACAAAATTTTAATTTAAATAATTTGTTCCGAGAAGTTTATACAAAGAATAAATTTGTGACCACCAAACAATTAATTAATTTGACTACAAAATTCACAGTTTAGGAGAGCAACCCGCTAAAACTTGGATTAAGTCCCTCAATATGAAAATCAGAGAAGTTTACTAAAAGTATGATGCTTGAAAATTACTGTTAAACTTGAATTAGACTAAAATTTATTAAAATGCTTACGTTAGGAGTTTAAAATAGCGAGAAAACGAAAAAGAGAGCCATATGTTCACATGCATGGAAAGTTCGGAAAACGATGAATGAAACATACCGATAAATGGTTTGTGCGACAACTTCTAGTAACATCGTTGGTTTGTAAAGTGTTAGATCAGTTAACAAAAGTACTGGTATCAGTGATAACAAATAACTGTAAGCGGCAAATGGATAAACCTGAAATTGAGAAGCATGCTAGCAGTACTAAAGCACTGTAGTGCTATTTTATGAAAGCTGTGTGGAAAGTTTAAAATCTTTTATTAAAAGATATTTAGAAACATTATTCACAAGATTTGAGATACAATACGAACCTCATTTGTAAGTTGTTCGCGTGTCAAGTTCAACACTTCACTTTGATATAAATAAATAAATGGTTCACCAATTTTAAATTCTTTAATGAATCCGTAGAAACAAATTAGTGCAGTCAGGAAATGCAACATTGTTCCAGCAATTTGTTAGTTAATTCCGAAGGTTTTTGTCAAAATCTTTTTTGCTTTTATGAATAAATGGATGCTATGCTGCGGAATTGAGTCGCACAATTCGAATTTGAAATCCCGCACAAAATAGCAAATTAACGAAATATTTACTCAGTGATCGTTGTGAACTGTTTATCAGTTGAAAGTTTGAAAGAAGTTTCTCTCTTTACCACAACTAATGCTACGAAATCGCTGTTTTGAAAAGCAGTTGGAATGTCACAAGAGGAGTGGAAGAAAAAGAGACAATGAATGACACAACTGCAATACTACACAAAGATTATGTGAAGAATTTCTTCCGCCTATTTTTTAGATAACCTTCCTGCAAAAAATTCTGAAATAAAATATGCAATAATAGAGTAGCAGGGGGTATTGATAGGTTACTGCATCATCAATTGGGACCATTCTGTTTGCTCTGATATTTAATTGCTTTTTATGTAAACAGCTAAATATTTGGATGGAAAAAAAATTTTTATAAAGCTTAAAGGGAAAAGATTGATAACAGTGATTAAGGTAGCAACACCAAAGTAAGCATTCATGCAATAAACTCAGTCAGACTGCATAAGAATTAAATACTTTCAGCATAATAGACAAAATATTATTATTTTTAGAAGTATTTTGTATTTTGTACTAGGTAATTATTGTTTAATGTGCTAGAGAAATAAACTACATAGTAAATGATAAATAAATCATTACACAACAAATAAACAGAGAAGTAGGATGAGTTTCTTTTTCATTTGCAGTGGGAAAGAGGTCTTCTTGTTCCTCTATCACTGTTTTTCAGTCTTTTTAAGCTTTCTCTTACCTTACAGGTTCCTATTATCCTTCAATGATACTATAGTGGAATGATTTCTGCGACAGTTCTCGAAGGTGCTTTTACTATCTTCCATTTCCTTGTTCTTTGCATATCAGTTTTTCTCCATCTTTGCTCCTTCATCACTTGTTAAATCAATAAAATAATTCGAATATTACAACAAAAACAATAATCATTTCAACTTTATGACAGCATACAATTACTTTCGTATTTCTAGCACTCTTTTTTATCTGCAACGCTTAGCTAATGAAAAATTAACTAATTTAGTGTACTTCAAAATATTAATTGAACAGAAGAAGTGAGTAAGAGAGAAGATTTTCTTAATAGATAAACAATTAAGCAATTCAAAATCAATGAATTCTTATCATATCTTTACAACATATTCTCTTCATATAAGTATTTTGACCAACACTGAATCCTTCTCCTTCTAAACTTCACAAATTTTAAATACGTCGAACATTTTATTTTGCATATTTCAAAGACCACAGAATTATTCGTCATATGTACTTCCCTTAAATAGAACTACCAATGAATATTAAAAAAAAAAAAAAGAAAAATGAAATTTAAGTGATGAATGCAATATTTACGGTGTTGTATGTCTATAAAGTAAAAATAAAGTGAAACAAATTTAGATCCTAAATGGTATACTTTTGGGAATAACTTTTGGTAACTTTTAAAAATGAGTAATTTTGTAAGTTTTATTATGATTAAATATGGATAAAAGTGAACTTTTATTTATATATTATTTATATTAACTATAATGGAATTTACAAAATTGGAACTTCCTTTTTCAGCAGAAAATTATAAGTATATATGACACAACAATGCAAAAGGAAAATTTCAAAAAACTTCTAAATTAGAAATATTCTTTTCATCTTTTTCTGAACTGAGAAATCTTCTTGCTTTACATTGCACTGTGTACGAGCCTTTTCATGTTGGCAATATTGCATAGAGTTTTCTTTTTTCACTATTCACTGGAATAATTAATTTTGATCAGTTAAATTAAACTTTAGGATCTGAAACTTCAAGGTTATTAATTTAATTAGCATAGATTCGATTAATATAGCTTTACAAAGTTCTTATCAGAATTTAGCAATTTTCGTATTCTTTGATGATGATTTTATAGCTTAAACTGTGCGTTGAAATATTTGTCGTTATAACTTTGTACAAATAAAAAAGTTTTGCCGAATGTGTAGCAGTTAGAGTGTACAAATTAAACTAACGCAGGGCGACAGCGTATTTGATTTGTCGGACTTAAATCAAGCATTTTTCTTTTGAATAAATCTCGAAAATCTAGCTAGGCTTCATTACTAGCAAGGTTGATAAAGAAGCAGTGAAGGTTAGATTTTAAAATTATAAATGATTCAGCTGCCGAAACTCAAAAATAAATTAGTCACCTATTAATCATTTGTGAATTAACTGATTCATATATGCTTTATTGGTTATACAATTATAGACGAATATAACCATTCGAGCAGTATAATAAGGTATTAATTTTTTCAGCAAATGTAATACAGTAATGGATACATCAGGAAAAATAAAATTAAATAATTTAAAAAATAAAGCAAGAAAATAGAAGCACAATCATTATGCTTAATTTCTTAAATTTCTCAATTTAATTGAAAGATTCTATTTTTCTGAAATTTCAAATACTTCTTATCAACACTTTCTTCAATCTACTTATGTACTTTTGTCGAAGATTTTAATTACGAATAATATTCCAATTTTGTGCTGAATTAAAATTGTCGGCATTAATCTTCAATGTCACACCTTATTATGTTATCAATTAGCTGTTTCATATTCCTCTAAAATTTCAGTTCGAAATTCCAATCTAGAGAAAAGCATGAGGGCAAAAATTTTGAGATCAAATAAGAAATGAAACATAAAAGTGTCAGCGGAATAAAAATTTATATCACTGAATAAGAAAAGTAAGATTTAAGTCTTCTGTTTAAACATGTTACGAAATGAACCAAAGAAATAAGTGCTCAATAAACAAATTGCTAAAAAAAATTGGGGAATAGTAGTAATTCTCGTTTTTTGATTCTTTCTCTGGAACCTTTAGTTTAGTAAAAAATAAAACAATTCTTTAGAAATTTCTTTTCACATTGATTTCAATGTTTTTAAGAACAATGAAAAAATTTGTCTTTTCTAAAATTTAGTATTCCTTAGATATTAAATTTCGTAACTCTTTTTGTAATATTTGAATCATACCATCCGCTCAATGTTTCATTACCAGCTGTCATCGATTATTAAATCTAATTTATTAAGAATACTTCTTGCTGGAAGTACTTTGCTCTAATTCTAGCAAATCGTTCGCCGTTTCATTTGCACAGTACAAATTCCAATATTTTTCCATTTAGCTCTGAAAAAACATAATTTCTTTGTAAAAGAGGTATAATGCTTCTTCTCTCTTTGTTCATAATATATTTTCATATAAAATTTTATCATCAAAAAGATTAATTCTTAATGATTACAGAATAGTTCAAAACAGTGTGAAGAATTTCTTTCACTAAGAGAATAAAATTGTACTCAGTGAAAATCTATTGCCATCACTTTACAAGAAGTTAGCGATAAATTGCCACTATTATTACAAACTTCTGGAAAAATTAGTGAATTTAGTTATTGAGTTCAAGCAGCCTATTCAGTTATTCAAATGAAAAGTCACATGGACATTTTAAAAGAACACGAAAATGTGCTGATCAATTAGCACTTCTCGAAACTGTTGCGTCATTAGTAAATGAAGATTCTGTTTGCAAATTTATGTTAGAAAATGATAAAAGTGAAGAATTTGTTCAAAAGAGAAAAAATTTCAAGATGGTCAAAAGCACTTTTAGTAAAAATAGTAGAATTCGTGTAAAATCTAGTTTCTCATTTAAATATCACCCAGTAAATTGGATTTCGAATTTTCTTTCTGCAAACAAAATCATTTTAAAGAAGTTTTTCTGATGTTTGCTTAGCAAGTAGTAAGAAAAGATAGGAATATTATCGAAACTGTGTTGACGAAGTTTGGGTCATTAAATGGGCATTTGAATTTCTGAACAAAAGACGCGCGTGAAAGCAAGAAAAAGAAAAGTAAAAAGAAGCTTTCTTTTGTAATGGTAAAAGTAGTAATAGCACTTAAATCTATATCCTTTCTTTTCCCTCGTCTGTTTGATTTTAATACAATTTCATTGACCAAGCATAGGCCATTTTGTAGGCCATACATAGTTTAGTTAGAGTGGTAGCACTATCGACACATTATTATGCAGATAGAAACAGAAGTTTTCACACAGAACAGATAGATTTTTGTCGTAGAGACTAGTTAAATTGACTTAACAATTACAATTAAAAATCTCGATGTCAGGTCCTACCGTTCCTTCTAAACCGGATATGGACCAGCCGGTTTGTTAACCACTTTATAAACGTTTCATCGGACAGCTACCAACATCCAACTTCATTTCATATTTTGCTTTAAAAATAGTTAAGGATACTTTATTAGTTAAATTCTTGGGAGAAAAAATCATTCAAAGTTAGCGTTATCTAGCAAAATTAAGTAAGAATAATTGTTGATGCTATCAAAATTTCAACCAGATTTTCAAGGATTTCAAAAAACGTTGACATTTTTCAAATTTACTCTGGCTCCTCGGCCCAAGTTCTAGCTGCAGTAAATCTGGGTTTTTGTTTCTTGCTTATTACATATCAACAAATTGTTGTTATCCATTACAGTGTCTAGCTATTAGATGATCATAATAGTCGATGTATCTGGTTAAATATAGAAATCAACTTCTTGTCCAAAATTTCTAATCAATTCAGTTCAAAATCTTTTGGCCTTAATGCTGCCATTTCTTATTCAACTTCTGGCTTCTTTTTTTGCCCTGTAAGTGATATAGAGTAAAATGAGCTGAAAATGCATCATTTTAATTTCAGCGTTCAAAAATTCGGTATTAGATGAAATTGTTTTGTATTTGCACCAACATTTTTGGCATTTTTTGCTAAAACTATCAGACAGTTTTTGAACCAACGATTTTCTAGTTATCCAGTCAGCTATGCTCCCTCTAATACTTACTATCATATTTTTCGCATTCAAACAATGTAGCGGTCAGTTAGGTTATGGTGGTAATGGTTACTGTTCTACTTGCGCACTGACTAATAGTGGCTCAATTTCGCGAGGATTTGGCTTTGGTGGCGGCAATTACGGTACCAATTCAATTTTTTTGCTGAAATTTTTCATTCTAATGTGGAGACAACGATATTTGCTAGTGTGATTTATTCCATTCTCTAAGGTTTTATAAAGATAAGAAAGCGAAATAGCTATACTAATTTCGCTCTATCATTCTATCAAATAAATGAGCTTTAAACTGAAATACAAAGTTCAAAATTTAAACTGGATTCAATAAAAATAAACTGATTTGTAAAATTTATTTTTGTGAAAGAGCATTTCAATAAGTTCATCGAATACCGCAAATTCAGATTTGACTGGCAAAAGTTTGTATTCACTACCCACAAGCAACAGTCTAATCATTCCAAGCAGCTACGGCTATAGTTCAAGCAGTTACGGTAGTGGTACAGGTTATGGGAGCACCCAGACTAATAATAATCTAAACTACGGTTCTTCCTCTGCAGTACGTTCTTTTGATCTTTAACAGTTCATGATTTATTGTTCCAAGATATAAAAAAATGTTGTTGTTAGGTCAAGAAAAAAACTTTGGAAAATTTTCGTTCCTTTCAAATTCTCAAATACCGAAATCTTTCAGACTGGGATACTGTCGAATAGCGCATATAGTTCTGCTGGAAATGGATATGTCAATTGCTACAATAATAATTGTTTACCAAGCAGTAGCCTTAATACAGTTCCTACTGCAAGTAGTGGCATAGGATATGGTATTTCGGGAAGCAATGCTATTTACAATCCCTATTCGTCGCTACCAGACGCAAGTTACAAAACCTACTCGTTACCCTCGTTTTACAGTGTACCCCCAAACATTTACACCAGTAACAGCCATTCAGGTCTGGAGACTAGCTATTCATTACCGACAGCATACAGCAGCTATCCGGCAATTTACAGTACTTACGGTAGTCAGGGTAGCACAAGTTCCCTCAACAATCTGCTTTCCCTTAACAACTACCAGAGAAGCCGGAAAGCAGCAGCTGCAGATGATGCTTCTGAAGTAAGAAAATCGCTGTTAGCGTCTACCTCGACTTTTTCGTGATATGTCGAAATTAATTCATAAAATAGTTTATTATAAAATAATTTCTAATTTGTGCTAAATTGCTTGAAATGTTTGCCATTTACAAATGTAATATTTTCGAAATCGAATCACATATCTACTCAGTGGGTTGTGCAAAGTTCTACTTAAACTCCATCAAGAAGGTTTACCGGACAATTTCCTGATTGCCCTATTGATTTAACTTTTTTCCACTCATTATTTTAATTTGAGCTAAACTGCAATTAAAATTAAAAAATGAATCTTTTTATTTTGCCCAATCGAAATATTTGATAAAAATAGATGACCTATCAATAAAACATATTAATATATCTCAATGTTTTTTCAAATTTAATATATTAATATATCAAATTTTTTCAAAATATTTTTTTTCTTTCGATATATGCAAAATATTTGCGCAATGCTTAACATTACTTTTTTTCCTTATAAGAAACAATAGTCGGAATTAAATCGAATTTGATTACTGCTGAAATAGCATATTTAAGTAGTTCGTTGCTTCTTAAAATGCTGTACAATAATTTCAGAAAAAGGTTTCTGCGATAGCTCTATTACTAATTTTATTTCTGTTCTGTATTCCCCATCTAACAAAACATATTTTAATTAATGAAATAACTACTGTAACAGCGGATCAGTGAGTAAGATATTTTGTATATTAAATAACTGTGCTATAAGCAAGTTACAATAAAATCAAATCACCGCTTGAAGAATATTCATCATACCATGGATTTATCACTTTCAACAATGATCGCAATAAAAAGTAACCAAATACTGCTGCTCTATTTCCTATTTGTGTGCTTTTGCTAAGGAACTCGAAGATCAAATAAATAAATATTTTTAAATAATGAAGCCAGCGACAATGATAAGCTGAAATAACAAACGTCGGAACAAGCTGAATGATAAAAGAAATAAAATTTTTTTTATTGAGAGTAATTAAACATGCAATTTCACTTTTTTCGTATATCAAGTTGCTTTTTAATTTAATCACAAAATCAAATCCAAAAGAATTTTATTTTAATCCTTTTGTTTTGATCCAACTTATTTATTTTTTTCCTGAAAACTACTTTAGGAATTAACAAATATTTGGTTCAAATTGTATTTAATTACCACTTGCGCTGAACATTTGCCATCATATTTTGAGCTGTTTAAAAAAAAAAAAAATTATAGTCTGGAATAGTTTTTTGAAAGTAACGGTATTTTATGCATGATTTGCAAATATATGAGAAGGTTAGCCATTTTTTGTGATCTAATTTCAAAGGCTATCTACTTGATTGATCACTTAGTTAATGACGAGAAAGCGTTATTTTTATTTTGAAGTGTTGAAATAATTAGTTAAAACTACGCGAGCTGAATTAACCATATTGACTAAGTATTTTCCAGTGGAAAAACGAATAAAAGGCATTCATCTGTTCACAAAAAGAAATTTCGTTTCACTCGCGAATTACAAATAGCCAAGTAGCAGTGGTAAGTAAAATAATATCGGCCAGAGATAAGTGAATTTTTTTTTTTAATAATCATTGATCAAATGAACTTGAGTATTGTCTGTTGAAAAATCTGACTAGTTGAAAATGTCAACCTCTTGCGGAACTTTGTTTGCAGCTAGGAATGTCTGTATTACACTTTAAGATATCTATCTCGAAGGCCAATTAATAATTTTATTTTCTAGCAAAATAAGTTTAGCATTGGTTGAAAGGATTAGTTGGTCTGGTTTTGCTAACATTTATTCTTTAAGCATGTTTCCTTAAAATATTTTCTTTTTTCTTTCTTAAAAATTAATTAATTAATAATCTTAAAATGTTGTAATCATTCTTCAAATTTATTGATCGTTTTGAAGAAAAAGGAGAAACAAATATTTTACACTAGCAAGTCACCTCAGCTGTTTAATTAATATATAATTTTAAATTTATTTGAAAATTTTATAGAACAAAATAATCTATAGATTTTCTAAAATATTTATAGAAGTTACCAAATTTTACACTTTTTTTTGTACTGCCATGAGTGGCATAGTGACAAATCCATAGCTGTCGGAATTTCCGAATTATAATCAATTGGTTTAAACTGATTTAAGTTCCAGCAAAAATATTGAAATGTAAAATTTTTTTATTGTATAAATAAGATTGTACAAATCTGTATAAATGAAACTATTAAAAGTGAGATTTTATCACTACTGATAAGATGAGGGAGAAAGAGAAATGATGCTGGGCTGTATATTTGGCTTATAAAATGAGCTGTAAACTATTATTGGTAAATTTGATGTCAAAAGTTGAAGGTCTCTAATTCATTCATAGTGACTTGTCGAGGATTATTTTTTGAAAGCTTTGATCAGCAATAATTTGCTGACTAACAAGAATTTAAAATAAGAATGGCTGTTGAGCCATATGTCTTGGCTTATAGGAGTTTTAACTTATTCTGCTAGCTTAATGTTTTGTTTGTTGTTCGGCGTCTCTACGAAACTGTCTTATTGCCTTGTTCTTTGACTTTGCTGAAAATACGTATTTTCAAATACATGGTAAGTTAAAAACGTTAGAAATGAGCACCTCCTTTTAACAAACATTCATTGACTAAGCAAATTGAAGTGCTTTCGATTATTTGTCGGTTAATCATTCCATCGATCGGCAAATTGCAGCCAATGCCGTTTGATCTGACAATGCTGAAAGCAATAAGAAAAAGGGCTAGAAGAGAAGACTAAATGAACTTGTGAGTTGCAAAACTTATCCTCCTATTTCTTCTCTCAGGAAATCAGCAGGAAGCAGAACCTTCCAAGCACCTATCTCTAATCAAATTCATCATTTATCATTTCTTACCAACTTATTATCTTATTCTTACTATTTTTCTTGTCCACTTTTTTTACTGTATTTTCTCCAGAACATTATTCATTTTAAAATATATATGCAGGACTTACTAAGATTCAGTAATTCCCTCACCTCCAGTTCTTTTCGAAAAGTCTAAAAATTTTAATTACAAGTTTTAAAAGAAGGTGCTTTATTTTGCTTGTCGTTGACTAATGATCATTTGATAGACGAAGGTCCAGTAAAGTTATTTGATCTTTTATTTTTAATACCCAATCATCTACCACTCTTTTGTCGCAATACTAAAATTAATGTGGATCTTTCAGAGGAGAAGAGTAAGAAAAAAATGAACAGTAGAGAAATCTAAGGTTTGACTACCGATTCAGTTCATATTTTTGCAAAGGTTGGATAGATTCTTTCAGTTTTATGGTGGATAGATTCATACTTTTTCGACAATTAGAAATCTGTTCTTTGGGTTCTTTTGCTTTTGGGAACACAAGCGCTGTCCTTCATTATGAGATTATCAATGATTTACTTAAAAGTCGGAGACCTTTCTAAAGTGTGAGTAAATATTCCTCAATTCCAAATTTTTTTTGTGAGGGAGAAGCGACCTTTAGCCAAATGCTAATAGCACCGAGGAGTCATTATTTATACAATTACAGTAATGACAAGAATGTCCACGGGTTATCTGAATGGCAGCATGCATAAAGTTGCCCATAACTTCATGTATAAACATGTCACATAAATGTTTTTATAAATTTGTGAGGCTTTTCAAAAACAAATGAATTTCAGTCATTTTTGGCATTCTTTTGAAAAAGAGATAGGTGTATCATTCAGCGATTCATTCTTTAGAGTTATTGAAACAATTTTATCAATTAATTACTTGTTAAAAAATTTTTTTGAGTATAACTGTATAACAGTGAAGTTACTGAGCACATAAATAGCATAATTAGTAATTGGATCACTGTCGTTTTCATTGATAGGACATTCCAACTTTCACATGCAATCCTTTGGTATTGTTGTGCGGTCTTTTTGAATGACTCGAATTTTGATTTTCATTTTTAATTACAAACTATCTTACGCTTCTTTAGCATTATAAACTGTTCAAATGGTTTATAATGTCAAAGTTTTTTATTTATTTATTTTTTTTCTTTGAAGTTTTTAATTATTTAGTCAACGTGACTATTTATTCGGAATACCATATCCTTCTATTCTAATCATTGTTTGATCGTTTTCACAACAAGTAAAACTTTATTTGCTGGATAACACATACTTATGTTTATTGATATTAGACATAAGTAAGGCCTTTTTGCACTTTTTTCAAACTTTCTCTCTATCGTAAAGCTCTTTTAAATCATTCTTCAAAATATCGAATTTCATTTTCGTCATCCTTTGCAAACAAAAGTTATGTCTCACATAAATTCATCTATGATATGATGATTAAATATGGCAGAAGAATAGAAAGAGAAGCACTCTTTGTGGAGAAGTCTCGCAGACTGAAGGCTTAAAGATCCTTCATCGCATTGATGAAATGAATATGAAGTCCACCGCTTAAGTTTCCGTTAATTGTAATGATGAGTTTCACATCACTTATGAAAAGAATTTCTTTTTTGAAAGAAAGGAACGGAATAAGTTTGAGGATTTAAAATCATCAGTGCAGATTGTTGCTTTTCTGTCTATTTTACAGTTCTCTTTCTTCAAAGCATTCGGTGAGTTAATGATAAGTTTTGAAAATACCAAACAGTTATGAAACGATCAGTTATCAACAATAGAGAAAAAGAACAAGCAAAACAACATAATTTTTCTGGAAAGCTTTTTCTAACCGGATTCACAATTTCTTCGTGCACTTTTAACTAACTTCAAAGCGTAAGCTTTTATGTTTCGTTGGAAAATAATTGTTGTCAGCTGTTCAGCAATTGTGAAAAAATGGTCAGATCAATGATAATGTATATCTTGGAATCGAATTTCTAAAAGACTTGGAGTCTAATTATTTATATAGAAGTTTATTAGCATTGATCGCATTCCAGCAAGTTGAAATTTTATCGCTGCACACACAGAAATATACTTATCGTATAAAAAGCAAAATTGTTTCTATCATTAAAAGAAAGCGAAGGAAATCAGAAAAATTTACTTAAGGTTTTCTAAAAAAGCTCAAAAAAAAGAACGAATTTGTTCGTTGAAGATAAGTTTTCTAGTATATTTCAGCAATTAGTTATGACCGCACAAACGATCAAAATGAGATCGCCAAAAAACTAAATTGAAAAAGCAAATGAGTTTTTCGAAGACAAGAAAAAAGATCCTTTATGCTTTATGTGTAAGTGCTTTCAAGATAAATATTATTTATATTTGAAGTTTCAAATTCTCGCTTCCCCTTGATTGATTGAAATAATTTTGTCTACCCCGGAATGAGTCATTAATTTTAAAATGACATTATATTATCAGTGACCAAAGCGTTCAGCTGTTACTTTTTCAATAAAGGTAAACTTCCTTATTTATCAGACTCCTCTCTCTCATTGCTCGCTATTTCCACTTGCTCTTGTCATATATTTTTATTCCAACACTCCGTATGAATTTTCAGAAATATGAATTTTTTATTTTATTTATTTATGTTATAATTTTTTATGGCTAAATATTATTGCATATAAACTGAGATATCTGAAGAATATTTCACTAGAGTAAAAAGTCTTGAGATATTTTGAAGTGATCTCTTCCATGTGCTGTAAATTAGTGAATTTTTTTGATCAAATTTTTGCCGCGAACAGAAATGCTCATTCTGTTGACTTGAATGTGTAGGAAAATTACACTTTTTTATCTTTTTGATAAGTAGCAAAGCATCACTAGTCTTAAATATACTAGCCAAAAAGTCTACTATCTTCTTGTTATTACCTCACAAGATTTGACTTTTGATCTTATCACAAAAATACGCACATCTGTCAATTATCAGTTGTTATTTGTTTTCGACAGTAAATTTACAACAATCAGTAAAAAATTTTTCATCAAAAAAGTTCGACAATTAGAGAAAGCCTTTGCACAAAATTCATTCAACAAACACAACGCTCTGTTATAATGTCAAACCAGTTTTAATGATTTGGATACTTTTATATCCTATGTTTTCAGATTATTTAAAAAATATGTGAAGACAGCTTACATTTGAAGCTAAATTTAAATTTATTTGACCAGAGAAAAGTGATATACATGAATTAACAATATTATGATGCATTTTTTTATTATCTTGTTTATTTTTAATGATATTAACACCGTTCATCAGAACTTAACTGTTGTTGTTAATATCAAACACTTTATCTTACCATTTTATAGAAATTGATTAAATATGTGGTATTTATCAAGCTAATCTTTAAATGTCTGTGAAAGCTTTTGTGAACATTTTACAATCTTTTTTTCTAAATTTTTCATTTGAAAATGCATCTTTTCGTTTTTTTTTTTTGTTCGTTTCAGTACATTGTAAGTCAAATTCAAGTCAACTTGAATGAAATCTTTTTTCTTTCACAAGATTTTATTTCATATTTTAGGTGACCATTAATTTTTGCTTAAAAAAGTAGCTGAGAAATGCTTTTGTTCGTTTACTTTCTCATTACAAAAGCATTTGTAATAAACTTTATAAAAAGTTCATTTCCAGACATGCCATTAATTAAACACATCGCTACTTAATCATATAACAAAAGTTTATTATTTATCATAAAGAAACTATAGCGCCCATAGATCGCTCAAGTAGAAAGTTTTTGTGTAAATCTCCTATTCATCACTATTTACTAGGTAAAAGCTGAAATGCTGTGCCGTTTTCCCAACGTACAGTCATTATTCAGAACTGCTATCAATCAGAACAATCCAGTCAGTCATTCCATTCGCTATCACTATAGTGCAAAGCTTTACAAGATTTCCAATTTACTGTTTATACAAAAGATACTTTTTAAGTATTAAATTAAGAAAAAATATCTTTAAAAAATGATAAGAATAAAGAGGAAGCAGGATGATAAGCTTGTAAATATTTCAGTCTAACCTCAGCTCATCCCTGTTCCTTTCTACTTCATTTAAAGAAGTATTTTAATCCGAGAGCTGTTTGCTGATTTTTTAATTTTTCAACGTTTTTTCGCTTCATTCTCGGTGATTCATAGCTGTGATTTTAATATAAAAACGGCGTGGATAGTGAAGCATTAAATTTTGATTGAGGTAGAAAATTACTGAAAATGTTCTGAATGCAAGAGAAAGCTACAAATTCAGACAATTAAAAAAGGAAATGAAGGTTGGACTGATCATTCATGTGAATTTTATAATGGAAATTTGTTAAAGTTAATCTGTTGCATTCATTTCAAGAATTCGTATCTCAAACTAGAAAAATGGTCAAAAATTTTTTTAAATTCCAGTGTTGTCATTTCCAAGAGTTATGAATTTATGTCTCCTTCACCATTTCAGTGATTTGTAACAAAATTTACATTTATGTTAAGCTTGGCGCAAGACAGCTAGAATTCGATACGTTTCTTATAATTTGTTCCACTTTATCAGCATATCTGATTGTGTTATGAGAATTCAATAAAAACTATTTTCAGTTACTAATGAGAAATCACATATCGCTACTTTGCTTTCGACTATGTCAACATATTATTATGTCATCAAATATTTTAATACAACAGCGTCATCTTACTGTATAAACAACTACAATCAAAAGAATATAGTTCAAATTTCTCTCTTTCATTTTTCCTTAAAAAAATATTAATAAATAAAAATTTATTTTAATAAAAATTTTGACCTTCTTTTTACAAACGCTCTAGAATTATTGCGAAGTAAACTTAATCGCATACGACTTTTTAAAGATGCGCTCAATTAGTTTAAATTGTAAGTTAAATTAAATGATTTGAAATTCCTTAATTACGAAGTTGAAAATTACTTTAACTTTTTGAAATAATAAAATTTCAGTATTCCTCGTACTCATAAAATGCGCTTGTCTTCGCAGTCTGATGGTGATGAAGCGACTGGAAAAGGTTTATTACCTTCACGAAGGATATTTTCATCATTGGTAATTGCTTATGTAATTATAACTAATTAGAAGATTAGCAGACTGAGTCTTACTATGCTAAGTAAGACACGAGTTAGCTTGAAGAGGAAGAACAATTGAATCACTAACTTCTTCGAAAGACAATTGAAATGGTATCAGCATTAGCTATGCTTATAATTAGTGATTAATTAATAACCAACCGCAATATCTTCGTCTCATATATTATATTATTTGATATTATATTTTACAAAACAAAGTAATTTTGTAAGTTGTCACGATCAACTAGCAGCCGGCATCGTAAGAAAAGGCAATCACAAAAACAACTTTCATTCGATGTGGGCTTATCAAATCACCAAAAGAGAAAATCGAGCAAAAAACAATCAAAATATCGATCACTTCGTTCGATGCTTTACGGCCTGAATATGAAACAGTAAGAATTTGCAAATAAATTTTAAAAAATAAAACAAAAATCTTGGATGAATAAAACTGCAGAGTTTCCGATGTTATTGAGTAAGTGTTACTATTTGATTTCTTGTCCAGAAAGCTTAAAAAATGCCTTTTACTTTATTTTTTTGCTCGTTTGTAGAATATGCAACTCAAATACTACCATTAAAATTCTTACGAAGTACTTATCACATCGTCAAATATTATGATGACCTTTGAACAATCATCTTTAATTCTGCAATTCTCTAATTTATATTTTGTTTTTATTACTCTTTTGCATTTCTTGAATCATTTTGCTGATAAAGTTGCAGAATCAATTTTGACCATTTTTTGCACCAACTTCACCCACCAAAAATGCACTTATGAAAATTTCTAAAAAATAAAAAGTGATAAGAAACCCAAAATTGTAATAGTAATTATAAAAATATTATTGTAATATTTTTATGTACAATCTGCTAAATTACCTGCAGTGCTAAACACATAGGACAAGCTTGTTATCTTTTGTTTGCTAAAAAAATAGTGCAGTAAAAATGCGTCGTATGTTTGACATTTTTACTGCTAAGATATTCGCAATTGTGAAAGTTGAAGAAATGATCAATTGGAAAACAAAGGAAACAGTCTCCGTGTTTCGAAATATTTTAATGAGAATTCGAAAAAATAAATTAATAATGACAGTTAGAATAATAACTTATAACTAATAATAATTTTCTCCATTCCTGTAAAGAACATTCTACACCGAACCAGAAATACCAGAAAGGGAGATGTGGTGACAATAAGAGAGACCCGAAATAACGGAACAATTGCAAAATACGATCCGTTATTACTTTGCAAATCCTTAGTTCTGGGTGCAACGGTAAATTTTCACCCGGTTACGTATTTATGCCATATACCCTGTGTTTTTTATATAATAAGTCACTAATGAGACCATATTTTCATGATGATTGGGATTAAATATCTACACATAAGCTAGAATTGACAATTAAGCTTGCCATATGACAAAATAGGTCAAAAGAGCTAAGCAACCGATTCAGATCAAAATAAAAGATACGCACTTTGATGAGAAAAACGTATTTCTGATTTCTACCTGAAAATTAAATAAATGTTTGGTTTGCAATTGAAAGGAAAAATTTGGTTCTGGAGGATAGAAGCATGGATTTTAGATCAAACTCTTCCCAAAACACTTGAAAGTTTAAGAAAAATACTTAAGCAAAAAAAAAAGACGAATTAACTTAGAAAGTGGGGAGGAGAAGTAGTAAAAAGTAAATCAATCGAAAAAAAATTTTTTTTTTTTAAATTGACGCAAAAAAATGTTAAATGAACTCAAAAAGTAGAAAAAAAAACTTATATATCATGAACAAAATTACAATCGTGGATTTAATCAACTTTTTCCTAGCCTAGTCCTTAACATCCATTGCGATAATAGCCATATGCTAGAAATCCTACCCTCAGAAGAAGTTTTGTTATCGAAAGGTAAATTGGCTTTTCATTCAAAAAGAAAAAAGAAAATTACTCTTCCGAATTTTTTCATTTACTTTGTTTGGTTTCGTTTTTACCTTCGGAACAACCGCAAAATTTAAAAAAAAAAAAAAACTAATAAAATCAATTAATTGCTTCAAAACAAAGAGCACAATTAATTAAAAGCTACTCATTTCTTTCCCCTTTATTCTTAAACCTTAGTCATATCCATCTTTGCTTTTTTGAAGAGACATTTCGTTTCTTTAACATACTACGACACATCGATTAACAGGATCTAAAACCTTTGTAATCGGCACTGTACTTTTAATCTTTACATATCCATTGCTTGTGATAATCAAACTAATTGTTTAATTTGTTGACCAATTTTCCATACATACAATGAAGCAAAATGATATTCTTAGTGGTTAGCAATAGCATCTACGACTTTCATTATATAAACAAATAAATTTACTTCATTGCTCCGTAACATACGCAATTTATTCTTATTTCCCAAGCAGAAAAGGAAAAAGGAATCAAGCCAGAACTCTGAGTAATGATTATTTATGTTGCCTTATTTCTCTTGGCCACACTTACTACTGCACCCTTAATTTTTGACAGCTATTTTCAGTTTACAACGCCAGTACAATAGTATTCCTGTCAATAGGCTTTACAAAATATCTCCTTAATACCAGATCACTAGCTACCACCACATAGCCACATCGATGTTATTACTATCTAAAACTGTTCCTTGATTTAGTTTTGATTTCATTTTGAGTTATTTAGGCATCTTTTGCATAGCTAGAAGGCTGTTTTGAACTTATTACCAAAGCAAAAATTTGGTCCATCTGTTCACATTTTTTCTAATCAATCATTTATAATATGATCTTCTTTGAAGATAAATAGCCACGATGATGACTTTAGATATTTATAAATCTAAGCTTAATTAGTTTCAATCACTTCTTTTCCTATCAGTTATTCTGCAGTAAAGAATTTTTTTTTTAAATTTTCTAAAGAATATCTTATTAAACAAGTGACCAATTTTCCTCATCAGCTTAATCGCTATGATTTTTTGTGTTTTTTGAAAATTATAAAAAGATGATACATTGAAGAAAATATTTAAGACAGAGAACGAATTTAATGGAAAGAAGTATAAGTTGTATAAGTTGACTTAAATTAAAGATTTAGTTAAGTAATTGAAGACATATGCTTTGTTTATTAAAAAAATTACAGTCACGAATTCTTACTGCAAAAGAATTTATGAAATAGTTGAATTATGGATTACAATTTATTCACATTATTTATGAAAATATCAGTGAAATTTTCCTGCTTATTTCAAAAAAAAAAAAACAATAATTTTCATAAAATTATTATCAATAAAGACATTTTTTCAAGAATATTTCAAGCTTTATGGAAGACGGGCTTCATCACTTAGCTCTTTTAAATTAAAATGAATTTTAAAGTTTTCAGTAGGTAAAGAATGATTATGGCTTGCTTCAGGGAAAAGGAAGAAGCTCAGCGAATGAAATTACTGAAACAAGAAAAAGGTTGGTCTTTTATTTATTTCCTAACTTACTTTCATTTCAAATTGAAATGAGAAAATATGAATAAATGATGCTATTAATAAGCCAATCATTCATTTGTTATTAATATTATTACTACTATCACTATTTTCTAAGAATATTAAAATTGCTTAAGCAATAAACAATGCGAAATATCCTCATATTATTCGGAAATGTATCTTTGTTGTTTTCCGCGTGTTCTCAATTTGAATTTGAATACATGAATGTTTTCCCTCTAGTTAAATCAATCTAGTTTTACTCAGCAAAGACAAGAATTATATATATATATTTTGGCTAATGTTTTACTATTTACGAAAAACTTAAATCAAAAATGAAAATACGAGAGATAAGAAATAAATTCTAAAGTGGGAATAAACAGAAATAATAAAATATTATGAAATTCAAACTAAACTAATTGATTTCATCTCAATTTAATTTTGATTTCCAATTCTAGATAGGTACAAGCATCATCATTTTTAGTATGTCGAAGTGTGGACATCCCTTTATTACTTGTTATAAGAAACCGATGTATATTGTTTTGGCAAGCAAATAGGTTGTCACTTAAAACATAGTTAACTTTGTGTCCTGCCTGTTCACTTCTTCCTCATCCCTTAAAATTGATTTGTTTGATTGACAATTTGATTGTTAAATGATTTTCATAAGTATCGATAGCAATGATTTTTGCTTGTAAACTTCAATTGCCAAAGTCATTTACTGAAAGATGAAAATATGCTTAATAGGGCGACATTGAAACTTTTCAGTTCCGCAATGAAAGGAATAGAAATGAATAGCTTTAAACATGTTTTCAATGATAACTTCTTCGAGGCTTATGAGAAACTATTAGCAAATTGGTTATATACTATAGAATGTAATTTCAATTTAAAATCATATATTAGATCAGATCAAATTAATTGGTAATCACTCGGTGAAATTATTACAACTGTTTGCGCACTCCAATTATTGTCATATTATCTCAAACTACTGTTACTAATATTGTTATAAGAACTTCACAATTTTTCAGTCTAAAGCGAGTTCCGAGTTTCATTATTGATTGAAACTGAATAGATTCCAAGCGGATCATGAAAAAAGCACTTCTTGTTCCGGAAAATACAGATGATTAAAAGGTGAGTGCTGATAAGTGCTTAGGATTTTATATGATCCAGTTAGCATTGTATTTGAAATTGGCTAAAAACACGGTAATTTGGTAGATAGCAAGCCCAACAATCTTTTATCCACGTCATCAAGAAGGAATGACTGATGGATACTAGCTTTGTTTGTGTTTGTATGTGTGTGCGTCTGCGTGTGTGTATATGTGTGTTTGTGTTTATATGTACGTGTGTGTGTCGTGTGTGTGTTGTGAAGATACACTTTATTAAGCCTTTCCAAAATAAGTTCTGATTTCCGTCTCCAAATGCCTCGAAGTGCCTTATGTCTTTTTTAGTTATAAAAGTTCTATTCATTATTGACTTTTTAAAAAGTCTTCAAAATTTTGAGAAATTTTTCAAAGAACAACCAGATTGAATTTTGTACGGTTCTTAGTTCAAAAATATGTTAAGGTTTTTTTGGTGAATCGCAAAACGAAAATGAGATCTAATTAGACTTATTTTGAGAATGGATTCACAAAATATACAAGCATTGCATGTCACCCTAAATGCGCACTTGGTAAATGTATGTTTGAGTACTCTTTATGTAAAATTCATTTTATAACTTTCAACTGAAGTATTATGTCTTAATAATTGATAATTGAAATTTGCACTGGATGATTATTATAAAATTATTATAAATTATTTTTTAATTATTATAAACTAAAGAAATATTTGATGACATGAGAAAGATCAAAAGACACTACGAAGTCTAGGTATTTTCATACTATTCCTTTCCGATTTTTGAAACCGTCAATTATAGTAAGTTAAAGAAAATGCAAATGAGCGCCAGTATGAGATTGATGATTTAAATAACAAGAAATTAGAACTAAAAATCGAGTTCTAAATCATAAAGCCTAGGTGATCGTTGTTTTATAAATATGACTCTAACAAATACGACAAAATTTAAATCTATTAGCAGAGAAAACATTGGAGCACATCTTCATAAAGTGTTCTCTTCTCAAATTTGCATAGCCATTGTACACGTTTCAAGCAAATGGACAGCCTTCCTTGTATGAAATTTGAATGCTGAATTGCTTAAAAGACAGATCTTTTGAAAAATTAATCTATACATTGAAAACTTTCTCTTCAGAAACTAATTTTAGAATATATTAGCCTTTTCAGAATTCTCTCCCGAACTGCATCAGATCCAATTGCAAAACTTATAATCAGTAAATATTAGCAATGCTGTCAGTGCTTACAGCATAAATCGCACCTATACAAATCGCTTCAGTACATTTCGAGTTATAGGTCAATCCTGCAGGTCCAAATGAAACAGACTTACAATATTGGATTAACTGAATTGTTGTCGCTTATTGCCAGTTTTCTCTTGTAATACTTCCAGAGTTCTGCTGACTGATGTGAATTTAAAAGCATTCCGAGAATTTTAAGAGCTCAAATATGCAATTTGTTATAAAAAAGGGGGAAATCATTTGATTTCATCACTGCGCTTCTGTTGCATATCACATCATGAAAGACCCATGTGTTGTCTAATTTTGCTGAAACATAAATCGGTTAAAATGGATTTAAAATATATCCTCTTATTGTCCATAACTGATAATAAAATGCTACTTCTTTCCTCACACATTAATTAAATTTGTTATTATTCCCACATGGATGTAACTGGAAGGATTAAAACTTTGGAATAAGAGCTAATGCAATTTATGCGCCACATAAAACATGAGCAAAGCTTTATAATTAGGAAACAATACACATATGGCTATTCTAGACTATTTATATTGTCTACTGGGTCGCAGTTGCCAGGCTTAATTCCATTGTACATTACTCGTTAGATCGGTACTTTAACGGGAGTGCTATTAACAATAACCAACATTTTTATCTGAATTTCAAGTTCTAGAAATTTAGTAGAATTGTTGAGTATTTTAAAGCGTATGGTTTATGATTACTTTTGAAACACAACTACTGAGATGTTTTTTAGTGGTGTAGCTCAGATTAGATAGCATTTACAATCAGCTGTTTGTTGATTCAAATAATCAGCCTTCGGTGAAATTAGAAATTATTTTTAATTCTTGGCAGGTGCAATTCAAACAGTTCAGTCTATTCATCTGCAATGAATGTCATAGTCAACATTCTATAGAAAGTTTCAGGTTGGTTTGGCATGCATAGAATTCCTCTAAAACGCTTGCAATACATTATTGTAGCCATCATTTTCATTTCCAAAAAACATTGAAATTACGACAGGTAGGAAAAAATTTCCGCTTTAATCAACAAAGTCTTCTATTTTTTTTAAGTTGTGCCAGCAATCCACCAAAGGAGACATTCGTCTTGAATCAAGAGAGATTTGCTTGTCAAAATCGCTTTCCGATTTTGATTGAGTCTTTCCTGAAATACTTCGACAAGTCACTGAGTGGTCATTGTATATTCTATACGCGATTCATACAAATGCACTTCCTAATAAGCAAAACAGGTAAATATTTGCATAGAAAATCTCAAAAACGATGGGTTCATCGTCATTTTCCCAACACTAAAATCTCGAAATCAGAAAGTTTTAGTATTAAATGCAACACAAAGATGAGATTCATTGATTTGTGTCTCTCATTTTGATATAATAATAACCCTATTTCTGACCTTCATAGGGAGAAAGAGAGAGAGAGAGAGAGGGAAAGTTAAATCTCATATTTGTTGTTTAACACATAATGATTCAAGTCTTCATAATTTAAATATTTCCTTTAGTAAAGGAATTTTTAAGATAATTATCACTAGTGTCATTATTGCCTGCAATTAGATCATCTGCGAGCCTTTACCTAACTTTTTGCCCGTCACATTTGATAGAAGAAAGTTTCGGAAGAATTACAAGGAGGAATTGTCTTTGACTTTCCATAAACATCTTTTGGCTATAATTTCGAACTACATATACTCCCGTTGAGAATCGTGAGATAAAAAAGTAGATTAAGGAAACAAAAGTTAATGGTTTAAACAATTCGTTAACGAACTGCTGGAATTAATTAAATGGGTGTCATAACGTAGATACCATAGAGGGGGATGAATTGGCTTTTTTCATTGGAAATGTTTAGAATAAAAGGTTTTTTTTTTTTTTTTTTTTTTTTCATCTATAACAAATAAATCAAAAAGCGCAGCGAAAGAAACAAATTTTTTCAGAAAAATGGGGTGTTAGAAAAAAAATAAGCTGCGAAGAAGTTGATAAAGAAGGGTTGACGGAGAAAAGGACAAAGAGAAGTTCAGTAATGATGATAAGTGGAGATAAGGGCAGTGATGAGGATGATGGTGATGCTAATGATGTGATAACAGAAACTGTGTAGTTCAGTTCATGGACTTACCTCACTCACAAATCTCTTTCCTCAGCAAAATAACATTTTGTCAGGGCCAATAACATATCATTAACCAGAGAGGTGAAGAAAACAAGGGAAAGAAGAGTTAAATCCAGGAAGAGTAAGGAGACAAAAGTTTTCAGTTTCGTTCTTTAACCCTTTCAGTTCCCTCTTCAGTTTCGATATCTATCAAACTACTTAGCCTACTCTCTAACTTATTAGCTTTAGACTTTCCATCTTATCTCTATCTTCCTTCATCCTTAGATCCACCTGTTTTTGAATCCTACTTTACGACTTCCCTTTTCCTTCATAAGCTCGTAAATTTGTATCCTAGTCCTTTTCCACATCACATTTTGAATAATATTTCTCCCTTTCTGTCCTCAAACACTCAATATTATTGTTATGTACTTGTTCATGTTTTCCTTGCATTATTTCTATTTTCCGGAAACCGAATCATCCTCTAAACGACGCTTACTATTACAATACTGAAGCATACTGAGGTTCATTGCCTTTAGAACCATCACTCTTCTCTGTCATTCCTTCCGTATGCGCAGCAGATGAGACATTCACATACTTTGTTGCTTTTGTTAGTAATATCATTAAATCATTTTTCATTGTTTCCTGCAGAAATCTATGCATCCAATTTATAACATTTATTTGCTAAATTGCCATAATTATTATTGATCTTACAGGTTATGCCATTCCTTCCACTCAGTTAGCAGTGGTTACTATCGGTTACGGAGGGGAGGGGAGTGAGTTGCATGTGCGACACTGCCGCATCAACTTTTAGGTCCACTTTAGATTTCAATAGGTGGATTGAAACAACCAAATCTGGGAAATTTGTTGAAGAAAGAAGTGATGACATCTAGTACTGGCGGGTGGTTTTTTCTCTTCTGTTCATTCTCTCAAAGCCACCTGTTCCCTTTCCCCTCGGCTCTCTTTCTCAATCGCTTTTGTCTGCTACATAATAAACCCTATCTGTTAAGGATTCTGCCTCGAATATTTATGTCCTACTGATCAAAAATGTAATAAAAGTCGATAACAATGAATAGTGCTAGTAAAATAATAATAAATTAATAATTATGTAAATTAATTTGCTGGAGGAAGCATGTTACATCATATCTCTAAGGTCATTTTTTTATTTTGTGTCTTTGACAACAGCTAAATTCAACTTCTTCTCTTTGTTAGTCCTATTCCAACCTTTAGCTTCTTCTCTATAAGTGCAGTATTTGCGCATCATTTATATTAAGACCAGATGAGGAGCGATTACTTTTTGTAGTTTTCTTTCTACGTTACGCAGCTGTTTCGTACAAAAATTTCCAAAGACTTTGTTGAATTTCAGAAAAAAAAGTTAAAACTTAGACTTTCTTCGTGTAAATCTCTTTGGGAAGCGACCGTTTGATTTGTTGACTCTATTTGTCCCGAAAGACAGAATGATTAGTAGCATAATCCTCTTACTATGTTTGTCATTCTTGAAGCAATGGCTATTATTTTTGACCCAATAGTAAACGACTAGTGCCATTCTAGCTTCAAGGTATTGGGATATTAGTTTTCTCAAAAATTCCAGACTACTAATTTGAACAAAAATTCTTTAAAAAAGGCTCCAAAATTCAAAAAATGTGATGCTAGAGTTTTGATAATGCCAGCTAATTGTAGTGATATTCAGTCTTCTCTCTCTCTCTCCCTGAATTTTGATTTAGAAACAGCAAACCGAATTTTGCCCAGAAATCTTTATCGGATATTTAATGGGCTAATCCGTACAAGCAAGTATTCAATTATTCATTCAGAATTAATTTCTCCATTACTTTGAGAAACTAATTTTCTAAATTGTTATTAATTTCCTCTCCCTCCAAAGATCACATATCAATGACTAAAACATTATTAATATCATTGATCAAAGTGTTTTTCTCAGTCATTAATTTTGGTTTTGTATCTGTAAGAGAGTTTTTCACTGCTAAATTAGAAGTTTTTCGATAGAATAGTAGTAAAATAATCAGTTTCTAAGACACTGTTCTTCTTGATATCCTATGACCACTTTTTGCTTCCATTAGGAAGCACTAGGAGCTACTTCTTCTCTATGAATTTTTCAGTGTTGTATTATTGTATGTCGAATTTGGCCTTAAACCCATTCAAGTAGAGCTCATCAACAAATTCTGCATCCCACTGCTCCTTATTTATAGTTGTTTGGAAAATCATGTTGCATAGCAATAATGTATTTTTCAAATATTGTGACATAAGTAAATTGTGTCTCAGCAATTGCATTTTCGAAATTTATGTTCGACAATTGAATTTCTGAAATTTGTATCTCGAAAATTGAATTTCCAAAATTTGTTTGCTGACAATCTTGATAGACATTAATTTTTGTTGATTAAAAAAGCACCAGAGATCTACTACCAACCCATCACAGTTGGGTGGAAAGGAGAAAGCTTCAGCACAAACTTTAAGCTTCAAGTTGAAAGAAAAACAAACATCGATTCCAAAGAGAAGTTTATTTATTAGTCTTCTTTCAGCGACAAAAAAGTTGCGCCCAGCCTTCTGCATTCTTTTACTTCATCATGTGAGAGGGTTTGCATACGTATTATTTTTGCCACCGGTCGACGACGTTTCGTTACGGAACTCAAATATAGCAATAATACGCCTTAATGCGAAAACATTTATTCTTTCCTGTTTCTTCCTGCTGCGAAACCGAAAGGGTTGCTACGATCATAAGACTATGTTTTGTGATGTAAAAATCTATGCGATCCCCATCGATAATCAAGAAATAAACTATTTTTTTAATTCATTTTTTCGTTCATTACTTTGCTTAATTCTGATTGCTGGAAGCAAATAATGGCGATGACACCAGAAATTACAGTAGAAAAAGCTTCCATTGCACCAGAAACTCCAGAAAATCAACGTCGCCAATATAACAGAGTTAAACAACAACAAGGACAATTGCTGGAACCACAGCAGAGTTCGTCATCCTATGATTACTGCCATTATTATCATGATAATTCAGATCATCGGCAGAATGCTTCTCCATCCAAACAACAGTCACTTTCATCACCCTCCGTTACTTTATCATCACCAAAACTGACATTTCGTGAATCGCTTCGTGACTTACATGTTCCCAAAATTTGGTCTAACTTACGAAAATCAGCTTCTGAAATAAGTCTAGTCTTGGAAGCGATGCGTTCCGGATCTTTACAAACGCATGGAATACCACCTTTACCAGGTATTACGGTTGGCGGTGTTACGGTTGGCGATAATGCTCCCAAGTCGATCCGTGTTTCGGCAGTGAAAAAACGAAAACGTCGTAAAGCATTAGTCAAGTGGCAAAATTATTCACCGCATCATCTCAACGAACAAATACGATATGGTAATTAATTAAATCACTTTTTAAATTTTTCTAGCATATGGATACGAAAATAAATAAGTTCCTTCTTTTTCTTTACTTTATTTTATCAGATAATTCATTGAAGGACACAGTTCTCTACTTGATCTCAAAAGTCTTGACAGCATATTAAACTACTAAAATGTTTTCTCATTAACTGCTATAATGTCCACATGTTTTAATGCCATTTCTCATCGTTGCCAATATTAAAAAAACTTAAAATTCTTTCTGTTCTACATGAAATTTTCCTGCGTATAAATATTATGAAATATGACATATTGACCATAAGTTAATTGCATTATAATAGACACATTTACGCCAACTTTTGGCAAACTGACACTTTACTCTTTTTCATCGATGGAACAGTTGTTGTTGGCGCAGACGGATGTTTAGAGAAAGATTTACAACTGGAAACGTTCTTCAACATTTCCAAGAATCATTCAGCTGTGCACTATGCTTTACACATTGTGGCAATTATTGGATATGTTTATGTAGCAGAAACTGCTCAAATATACCTCATTAATGAAAATTAAGAGATCGATGTGAAAGATTAATTATTAACTAAGCTTAGGCTTAACTTGATTTAGTATTCGATTAAAATAGTATAAACATCCTAATTAATGGTGGCACAAAGATGAAATTATCAACTGATAAACAATGAAAGAAAGAAAAGATGCATGGATCTAATGAAATCACTACAGATGGTTGAATTAGAATGGGACAGTTTGGAAAAGAATTTGAAAAAGGAATGCTTGATGATTCTGTCGATTTTTCGTACTTTATGTAGTAGTAAAATTGATTTCCACTTTAATGAGTGTTCCAAAAATTATAAAGGACAAAGCGACAAGCTCAACTTTATTTTCTTTAGAAATTGCAACTTATCCTTTGAATCGACTTGTATTGTTCATACATTTATAATATAACTAATTTATTCTATTTTAAACTAGAAACTCATATATCTTTTATTCATGTTTTTATTACACAACCTTTTTCGTTATATTAAGTTTCAGAAATAAGGTATGCGTTGTAAGCTTAAATTGAATTTCACAAGCAATATATCTCTGTAATAAGTTGCAGTGTTTATGATAGCAGCGGTTTAGAAGAACCGAAATGATAAGTTCAGAATGTAAGTGCTGGTTATCAGTAGCGTGTCCATTGATCATAATGCATAGATCACAGCTAACAATTGATCTTCATATTGCTACTACATTCAAAACTATTTTGGACAATTCTAATTTATTTACAGAATAATAAGAGGAATAAATTTCAGTAGTCTTACTGAACGAATTACAATGAACATTCTTCATGGAGTGCGAAAGAATTAGCTGAAATAGAGAAATTAATATTTCTTTTTTAAAGTCATAAAATTGCTATTTGTAGATGTTCTCAAATTTCCACTATTGCAAGCTATCCATTCTTCTGTGTCCATTAGCTCAGGTTAGAATCTTTTACTCACGAACTTTTCAAGTTTTATATTAATATCGTAAATTGTTCTTAGCAATCCGTATTTCTCTTTTACTTCATAAAATTTGCGCTAGATAAGGATGAAATTAATAGGACAATTTGGATTTGTGAAACTGGAATAAGATATGATAACGACTAAAAGAATGTTTCATCCTTTATGAGAGGTAGAATTTGCTAATCACTATAAGATGCTAGAGCTTAATAATCATTATAAGAAGAGCCAACAATTACTTTAATGATTATTCGATAATCACGATTATAGTGATCATGAGGTAGAAGATTACTAAGTTTTCCTTTGAAAACAGGGAATATGCCGTATCAAAGGAATTCAAGGCTAGAAAAAGATGAGATTAGGTACATAAAAAGTAAAATTCATTCTGGTTCTTGAGGTATTGGAATAATGTCGCAGAGAGTAAAAAAGCTTAGCAAGCATTCCATTTGAAACATTCAAATGCTATGGATTCATTCTTCTCCTAACGAAACCGGCAAATATCCGGTCCTTTTTAATGTTTTTAAAAGACTTACCAAAATTTTACTTCCCTAGCCTAACTTTTCTGAATAATTTTTATTAATATTGATCTTATATGAGCTTCAGTACATTAAGCTTCTATATATTTATTGTATTTATGCAACGAATCTTAACACACCTGTGAGACCTTAGTATTCTTTAATCTAAAAAGTGCAGATTGTCTAGTTTGTTTGGTCAGTTTTTTGCCGACTTTAAGTTCACCAAAATAACACTTAATATGATTCAGACCTGTATTTATCTGAATGCACTGCTTAAGGAAAGGTTATTTCCAGAGAAGTTCTTTAAAAAAGCTTTGAAAAGATTTTACCTATCAAAACTATAATAAACATGGAAGTCTTCTGTTGCAACAAATCATCATACTCTCATTATTTCGTTTCAACTCAACTGAATTGAGATGGGTCTTGGACTTAGATAAAACTAAGCAGTTATAATTTAAACAGTTTACAATTATTTATCTGTCATTTAAGTTTTGCATGCGTACTAATTGAAGCGTACTAATTGAATGTCTTTTGTACCTTACTGAGCAAACATCGTCACTGAAAATGTTTCAAAATTATGAAAGTTTTGAAAAAATTTTCAAAAAAAAAAAAAACCTATTAAAACCACCTGAATGTCAACAAATGAAAATATTGATTAATTCAGTTTCTTCTATTTACGCAATCTTGACGAATTTCAAAGTGGACTGATACAATACTATTTGCTTTACTTAGGAAGTGGTTTCATAGTATTATCAGAGATTTTGTGGTCCCATTTTTGAGCGATATGAAAGATACTGTTTAAAATTCATTTCATTTTTAGATAGATAGCAGCCTGCAAGTCTGTCACTTTTTTGTAGAAGAAATTGAGGATAACTAAATGTACTGAAATTTAATGATTTCTGTCATTGAGCAGTATTACTAGCCATGAAGTTAAGCATCATATTGCATATTTCTATAAAGAAAGAAAAAAAAGTGGAAATGCTAATTATGCTTAACTAACTTTGGCCAATTATAAGAGTCATATTCACCATCGGACAAAGATTGTTGAATCGTGTCAACAATGGGACAAGCTACTATGTTCAATTAAGGAAAATTTTACGATACACTTGTTGGAAGATTGTCATTCTCAAGAAGTTCCACCTCAGATACATACGACCGATCAGGAAATATGTTTAACCACCTGACCATCAAAATTCACATCTTTTTACAATAAGTTTATTTTACCAATATTTTATTGCTCACTCCTGTAATTCTGTAAACATCAGTTCTGGTCACAGATACTTTGCATCTGTTTATTAAGATTGCGGAGTGCGCTTAATCATTTTTTATAATTCGCAAACTTCATTATCCTCAAAGCCATCACGAATTTCCACTAGAAACAGCTTATCTTTTGACTTCATATGTTTGTTGGTTTTTTGTCATAATGAACTGTGAGCGGAAAAATGACAATAATATTTTTAACTTTGGACAATAATTTTAATTAGCATTTTCATGAGAATCCAAAATGTTTTAGCATTTTTTTATTTATAAATTTTTTGGATCTGTATGTTTCTGGAGAAAGAGATGTATTCAAGTTATTCTCCATAGTTTAATTATTATGAAAATCATTTGCTACTTTATAGCATTTCTGGTTCAAACTTACCTATTAAATTACCTGAATATGGATCGTGGATATGGACCATTTAAGATACATACAACATCTGAGAGTTCAATGAGTTAAAGCTCTCTGAACATTTTCTTTGTCAACAAAAAACAGATGACATTGATTGTCACGTCACACATCACCAATTGTACATCCTGCTATGAAATATAATATTTGAAACATTTCGCTAAAATAAAATCGATGAAATCATCAAAAGTGCATTGTTTTTTGCAGTTGAACTATATCTTAGTCAGTAATTAATAATCATTTTTCATATCATTAAAGAAAAAACTTTAGACAAAAGTTTCTTTAAAAAAGTGTACTATATCTATTTAACAGATCTTTAAGGCTTATCGACTAATTTATAGGCATTAAAGGGTTACTTATCATTCTATAAATTGTACAACTTACAATAGATTGAATGCAGAAAACTTTTTGTTGATAACAAATTAATATCAAAAAGATCAGCTATTTTGTTTTAGTTGCATGTTCTTTATAGCAGTATCATTTGCAAGAAAACATAAAATATTCTTACTTTCAACTCTTCTCATGTATCTCCGTCCTTACTTCTCAATTATGTATTATATTTCCAGTATGTTTCGTTTAGATTATATACCTAGAAGACTAACTCTGTTAGTTTATCATTATTAATAGTTAGCATTCATTCATATGAAATAATATTGTTTTATCCATTGAAAAGCAATGGAAATGCCTTTAGAATTAAAACATTTTAATGTAACGCTTGCAATTACTTTTTCTTTTTTTGCTTTTATTGTTTTAAAATCGTTCTCACTAGAAAAATTCATTTGTTTAATTATCGAAAATTATTGTTCTTTTCAACTGCCGCATTTAATCGAAATGAATGTATGCGGTTATTTCAGCCATTGAGGTTTTATATTTCACATTATCGAAATTTCAACATATTAATTTGTAGTATCGCTGATTTCTTCAGCATTTCGATCAATCAAATTAAAAAAAAAAAGAAAGAATTACTTGATTGATTTCTCTCCGCTGAAGTTTTAATTTACTCATCCTCTTTTCATATTTTTTGATCGTTCATTTTTAAACAATGACAAAACGATAAAACCCAAAAAGCGAAGTAAAATTTTCATTGTTTAAATGAATTTGGTTTACATTTTACTGAAAAACAAAGATTTAATTTAAAAGGTTTACTGCAAATCAAAAGAATTGGTTGCGGGATTAGTTCATTTCAGTGCAAGAAGAAAAAGCGATGCAGGCAGCACCATCAGCGCCCATTGATGCATCTAAATTTGTTGCATATGTTACGGAACGACGGAAAAAGAGGATTTTGTTTAAAGGAGAATATATTGTGAGTTTTTTGAAAGGACAACAAGCGCACTTGTCACACTGCTACTGATATATGTACAAATATTTGCAAATTAGCTGTAGTTGGTTAGCAGTTTGTCTCGCAGAATTTTTTTCGTTTTATTGTCATCTCTCAAATAGGTAATACAAGTCTTTTTTTATCAGGTAAATGGCCCAGCTGTTAAGCAAATTATGAGGAAAATACTCGAAAATTTGCAGATGATATTACGTTCGGTGAATCCGACCAAATGTCGATGTGATATCGGTCAGGCAATGGAGAACCGTAATCAATTCCCTGATACGCTGCCATATGATTACAATCGTGTCATACTACGTATGCTCCCTGGCGACAAAAATTCCCACTACGCTAATGCTAGCTACGTCAATGTTAGTTCTTAAGATTGTACTTTTACTTCAAAATTTCACAAACATTATGAATTTTAAAATTCGAAATTTGCAATGAAACGAAAATACACTACTAGACTACTAATAGAAGTTACCAAGCTTTTTTATCTTCTGTTATGTTTTACTTCTGTTCTAAATTTAATTTTTTTCCTTTTTTTTTACATTATTCCAGTCTTCATTATCAAAACTGATTATTACAAACAAGATTAATCCTTTCTCGAAGTTCTTCGATGAACTACTCCTTTTCTAATTTTTCAAAGCTATTCTCATAGTGAAACTTTAAAATTATTCCATTCTAAAGAAGAAGAAGAAGGAAAAGAAATGCAAACACACAGCGTCACTCATTAATTTTCTTATTTAAGCCAGACAAGTGCGCCGCGAACGTTTCATTCAGCAATAGTCTTTATATATTCGTCCTTTCTCATTGATTTCCCCTTCTCAAGCAACTAACTAAATAAATAAGCAATTGATATTATTTTTGATTTATTTCAGAGTTGGCTACGTGAGAAGGCTTATGTTGTAACGCAAGCTGTTAGGACCAAACCCGCAATAGCGGAATTTTGGAGATTGATTTGGGAACTTGGGTCAAATTGTATAGTTATGTTAACTAAAGTTTTTGATTTTATGCGGGTTAGTTTGATTTTAACAATCCATAGTTAGTTTAGTTAACTCTAAAGCTACTGCAGCATATTGATTAATGACCTAGAACAGTATTTAACTTTTGAGTGATAATGATGGGTTAGTGTTTTTAATAATAATAATAATAATAATGAGTATAAGCTGTTGAAATAATTCTATCAAAAATATCATAAAAAGACAAGGTTCCTTCATTCAAAATAAATATAGGTCATGTGTCTTCAATATTGGCCTGCTACATCCAGTGAATATGGCCAAATCGAGGTAGAAACATTGGAGACCAAAAGTTACGCTCATTTTGTAAGTTCAAAGTTGCAATAATCAATAGAACAAATTGCTAGTTTAACGATGTTTCTTTAGTAGATAATTTTTTTGAAGATTGTAAAAATGAAGTTGAATTTTAAGTTGAATGAAACGTCTCATTTGCCTATTATGGCATCTATATAATAACCAATCAGTCACCTGAGATAGATTTAGAAAATAAATTTTTGAAAAATATTCCGGAAAAAGAATCTTCGGTCACTCGCATGTCATTTTTGTTCCTCATTTCTGAGATTGTATTCTAGAAGTTCCATTATTAGTAGACTGTGAAACATCTCCATATATTCCAACTTACATTTATTGAAAACTAATAGAAGACAGGGTTTATAGATCATACGTACGTTACGGTTATCAAAAGTGGATCCGGATGTGGGTCAGCAATCTCGCGTGATTAAACATTTTCATTTTACTGAGTGGGAACTGGACAGTTTACCGTATATTAGCGCCTTTATTGAATTACGTCGACGAGTTCGTCAGTACACTGACAAATTTCGTGCCGATGCACCAATTGTTGTACATTGCAGGTTTGTTTATTTCTGATTACTTTGACATCTTTTCAATAAAATTATTTGTGGTAATAGAATTTTGAAGAAAATATCATCGGAAAATATTAGTCTCCAAAACATACTTTTCCAAAAAAGGAAAAAAGAATGAAACAGACATAATTTAGCAAAAATATTGAAACTAACTTTTTTTCAAAGAGAACTTCTGTTCCTTTGGCAAAAGTAGAGTACTATAATAGTATATTTTGGTGAATCAAAAGTCAGATTCATCAGTGGATAATATTTTTAATTTCTTTCTATAAAAAGCATTGACGAAAGTCAGGTTTATGACAGAAAAGTCTGGAGCATGAGGGTGGTATTATCACCGTCGAATTTTCGATTGTAGAATTTAATTCTTTTAGCAAATCTTTCATCCAAAATGATACCTAAAAATAAAATAGACTTTGTACAACTACTATTAGTGATAATATATCAAAGAAAAAAGCTCACATAACTGGAAATGTGCCTTCATTTTATTCAGAATAAAATATGATTTGAAATTGGAAATAAAAGTTTGATAATAGGGGACGAAGAGAGGAAAAGGAAAAATAATTTTTGTTTACTTAGGAAAAATCGTGGCAAGCAAATTACTAATATTTAGAGAAACTTGAAACAGTAAGGTTGAAAAGTTTAAAATTTCCTGTTGGCTTGTGTAATTCATAATAAAATGAGCGGCTTGTTGACCATACTCATTAGCACATCGTCCAATAAGCACATTTGTTGTGCATCTCATATCACATAATAGCAAACTACATCGATGCGCACGCCCTAAAAATGAGCCTTCTTTTGGCCTGTTGAGCCAAAAAAACCTTGGGTGGGACTTACAGTTTTCTTCGCCCCATAAATAAAAGAAAGAAGTTTAACTAAGTAACACAATATTCACCAGTAATTGTATTAGCAGTATCTATGTAAGGACCGCATCTTTTTGCGCCACATTCAAGCTTTAATGCTGGTACTGCATGTCTATAGCAGGGCAGTAAATAAGTCATCTGAAAAGTATCAAAGTATTATTTTGAAATCATCTTTATTCATATCTTTCAATTAGAGAAAAATATGGGAGTGGATTTATCCCTGGTTTCTTGCTAAGTTATCGATTCTCGTTGAACTAGCAATGTTCTTGAAAAGAAGTGACAAGTACCATGCAGCTAACATTGCTTGATTTTAGCTATTAGGATTTGAAAACAATTTGACAAATTCAAGCTTAGATTAATTCTCTTATTCAGTGTAACACTTAAAATGGTTGCCCATCTTTTATAGTTACTACTTACAAATGACTTTTCAATATTTTTTTTTCAAAATAAAAAATTGACTTCTTTATAATGATGCTTGCAAATGAAATCATTCATATTGAATTGTATTATGAAACCACAATTACGTAAGCACAAACTATGCTGATCGTCTAGGTGACAAAACAGTTTGAGATCGTTTTCATCTACTAATGGCGGAAAACTGATACTGCCAAATGCCATGTGCGCCTAAAAATAACAGTTTGCGACGGAATGACTGTCCATGATTATGGCTATCTTACTCCAAATAAATGGAAAAACAGAACATTTCTGTTTCTTCGAGGAGAGGAAAATGTTTTGAGAATTTAGATAATTATGTGTGAAGATGAATAGGATTTGTAGTTCAGTTTACACATGTTTCCTTGGTCTTTTAATTCTTTTTCTGTTATAAAAGCAGCTCTTCGATCGCTATTTTATGAAATGATATTTTGAAAAAAACCGAAAACTTGTTCCAAAGTTTCTTTCCAAAAACAAAATTTTTGTTTTGCTCTGACTTTTACAATTTGCATCTAGTAGACAGTGGTGTGACAAACCACCACTGTCTACTAGATGCATACACAAAATTATCATTTAAGTACCTTGACCATGTCAAGACCGAGTCGTAAATTGTCGTTACATTTATTTTGGCATATTTTATCCTTCAGTGCTTCCGAATTCACTGTTCTGAATGATTCCCAGCGAATACGCTGCTCTTCCTGCTCCGCCAGATCCGATTCGATTTGTGCCAAGTCAAATGCTCGCTTACTTCTAACAATCTTCTGTAGGGTCAGCTCTAAAAATTATCCAGCTTGATTAGAGTTATTATTTTAATTAATTTCTAGATATTGGAATTTGTTTGGGTTCTTTCGATTAATTTGACATTTTCTTATGAAAATTGTAAAAGTTAGGATGAGAAATACCTTGACTTCATTAATTCGAGGATTTTTTCAAACACTAATTTGTAACATTTGTGAGTTTCGAAACGAATATTTGTAAATTACTGCCACAGTAATTTACAAATTATCAAGCTAAATCCTCAAGTTTTTCTAATCCAAAAAAAAATAGTCAGTTTAAGTATTTTTTAGTTAGAAAAAAGTACGGAAAGCAAAAGTCCTTAATCCTTAATTCATTTTTTACTTAGCAAAATCAATTGACTATACAAAGAACAAAAACCATAAGAGCGCAATTACTTTCATTCTTCCCTTAAAACACTTCAGTGTGCTTGATAAAATTGCTTTTTTGCTGTGAATAAATTGATGGAAAACAGTTGCATGCTTCTATTCTAATATATTTGTCAACATAGATTTAGATGTATTTATATCCTAGTAATTACCAACCTAATTTATATATTGTTAGATGGATAATACTAATAAAAACGGCTCATAAATAAATAATAACAATTAGCTGAAATTCATTCAGGTGATATTTTACTTCACTTCAATTAATTTAAATTTGAACTAATCAGAGGAAATGGTATAATTCTTACCTGTTGTTTGCATTTCAGAAGTTATAAAATGCAAAAACAGCGTAAGAAAAAGCTTCACATTGCAGTGCAAGGAATTCATTTCAGCAAATAATTTTAATTTCATTATTTTCCCGTTGTTTAGTGACAGTTCATAGCTGTTGTGTTTCCTTCTCCAAACATCAATTAAATCGAATTTATTAGAATCATTAATATCTAAAGACGTTGTTTTAAATGTACATAAATTAAATTCCAAAATGCGCGCCTCATTACGGAAAATAAGCAAAGATTGCCGGGATCTGGGAAAAAATTGTTCAAAATTGTTGTTAGATTGCTTTTAATGCATGAATACAAGTTTGATTCTTAGCATACTGTTTGTCGAGCACAGATATCTATGATCGATGAGTCTTATATTAAGAATCAAACTTGTAATCGTGTTCCCAAAATTATTCAGTAAGACTTATTTAGATTACAAATTAAAGGACAAAGAATGTATGGATAAGTGGTTTTAGTCTTTTTTGTATTTTTCAAAGTTAAAAATATCAGAAAAGATTGCATATTTTAATCCATGCAATTCTTTATTTCTATATATCAGTTTTTTACTATAAATTATATTATACAAGATTCCGACCGATTAAATTCTTAATGGTCTAAATTGTTGAGGGACCCGTGATACGTTCATGCGTGTCAAGATACGTTTCTTTACACGTATTCAGAGCAGTTGTTTAACCTTATTAGAATCGATGCATAAGAGATCAACAGACTTTGTGTCAATAAGTTTCTGCAACGCACTGTTAATATATCGAGCAGAATTCATTTTAATACAATTCTCTCTCTCTCTTCCTTATTATTTCATTTGATAAAATTTTCGTATTTATTTAGTAATTTCTTACGGAGGTAATTAAAGAATCATGTAATTAATACCCAAATTGGAATTTGAAGGATGGGATAAAATTAAAAATGCCGGAGTTTTTTGAGAGTTAATTTCTGTAAAGAATTTGAGCTCTACTTCGATCTGAGAATTCTGAACAAATCTGACCTTTTTTATTTCCTACTTATTTTTGATGTAATTGTTGAAGTTTAGAATTTTTGGGCTTCTATTTCTGGAAATATAAAGGATGATTTTTCTCTTCACAGGACGGAAGATAGCATAGCTTAATGAAACTCTTTAATCAGAATCGTTTACTTCACACGATACAAGGAAATACTAAAAAAAGAAAAAAAAAAAAAAAAAACGATTAGAAACGAAATTCAAAACAAAGTATTTGACTACCGCTAATGTCTCATTAGTGAAATAGTTCTTAGCAACATCTTTTTTCGTTCCATTGTTGCGCAATTTCTGTTTATTATTAGGTAAAATTTTTAGAAAAGAAAGATGAGAGGAATAAAAGTCCAGAAATGTGTTTTTGAGCATTCTGAAACTAAATTACCTATTTTTTAACAATTTGTTAAATCCAGCATAAAAATAGACAACAGAAGAAAAGAAAGAGAAAGGTAGAAGATCGAAAGAAATGGAAAATGATTTTCGTTTTCTAATGCACCATTTTCTATAAGATGCGTTGTTGGCTTTAATAGCATCAAATGAGCAGTTCTGGGCGGTTCTGCTCACTTTCTGTCAATTCATTTTATTTTGAGCAAGAAAAGAAATCTGAATTCATTGACGGCTGTCATATTTTCTCACGTTAGTTCTCTTATGGAAAGGGTCAAGCATTTTAATGACTTCCGTCAAAACTTGTTTAGAGACTTGTGAGCAGAGTAAAATTCACTTTTAGATATTCATTTCGAAAACGTGGATTAGTTTTTTAAAAATTCACCAATTTTTAACTTTGATCTAATATGTTTTTATGTAGTCTTTGTCTACTTGATATAATCTATGAGAGAATAGGAAGTCTCTTTATTGTGTTCATTTTTAGACTTAGTTATATATATTAGTAAAAAATATGGAGAAAAACGGTAATCAGAACTCATTAATGCCAGATTACTGCTTTTTCTTATAATAAACTTTTCTCAAGGTAATAAAATTATTATTTAATCAGAATTTTCATTTCTACTCAACTTAATGAAACATTTGACATTTATTCTATATTCAAATTCTTTGAATTTTTAAAAAATTCTTTGAATTATTTGTGCTGGGACTTGAGTTAGACTTTTTAGCTTATCAAACACTGAGTAGGGTACCATATTAAGCTAAATTGCAATAGATAAGCCTATAAGAATTACACTTGCAAGCACATCTTAAGGATTTATTTCAATTTTTAATTCCATCAGTTATTACAAGATGAAGAAGGAAATAAAGACGAGAAGAAAAAATTGTGGAATAAGTGTCAGAACCGAAGCTATCTCACGTTTTTTCACATGCCACTTGCAAACGCAATGTATTTTCTTAGGAATTTTTGAAAATACATTTACATTTGCATGTTTTTGCAGTTTTCCAGTAGTTAAGCTAAATCTTAGATTCAATGCGATAATACCTTTGAATTTTTTGCACAGCCTGTGCAAACTTATTTTTGGACTCGTAAATATAAAATAGTGAAAGTTGAAAACAAGGCATGTTTCCTAAAGTAATAGTATCATTGTTGCAAATAGTGGGTTTTGCAGTGCAACTTAAATTCCATGTAAAAGTGTAACTGTAAGAAATAAAAAATTGATAATTCTCCGAGTCAATTTTTTGAGAATGTTTTGATTTTATATGATCGGGCATAAAAGTCATCCCACTGGTTTCAATTCAGCGAAAGCAACACAAACGCGTTTTCCTTCCTCTCTATTTGATGCACCAAACCTTGCTAGCTAGTCAAACAATTTGTCAGTTTGCTATTTTTGTTTTCTAATTTTACAATCAGAAATTGTTTAAGTTTACAATTAGAAATTGTTTTCGTTCTGCACCTTGAAAATGAAAAGTTCCACTTTTGTTGCATATGCATAATCGCTATTGCTAAAATTCTGCAGTTCTCAGCACTGATTTATTTAAAATTATATATATGTTAATTAAATTAAGATATGAAGTTGAAAATTTTGAGAAAAATTAGTCGAGTTAATCAGATCCTCTACCCGTTTCCATTTTTAGCAACGGTGGCGGTCGCAGTGGCGCATTTTTGGCATTGGACGCAAATTTGGAACTTTTGAAGAAGACAGGACAGATTGATGTATATGAATATGGTAAAATATTAATTAATGCTCGACCTCATCTGATCGATTCGGTAGATCAGTACCAATTCATTTATGATGCTCTCGCTGAGGTCGGCTTAACTCAAATGAATTTCTGTTTTTTTTTATTTTGTTATCTGCATGCTGATTGATTTCAGCTAAAGCAGTCCCTATTGTCATCCAATCTCCTTTTTAGCCTTAGGATTTTAACCTCTTAGCACTTGGATCCGAATTTTCTTTCAGTCTTTGTCTTAACTGCAATCTTCAACTCTTAAATTAGTAAATGATTCCTTCGTTGTTTCAGTACCTACTGAATATCACACCTGGAAAATTTTAGGCAGTCTTGTGTAATATCGAACCGATCGAAATGTGGAAATTGAAGAAAAGGAGTAGTATGTACAAAGCGAAGAAGAATCGCCAGGTAATGGAAGCACAGGTTGCTAATGAAGCTAAGGTTAATAATATTTTTATAATTTCTTTTCACTTTTTATTATCCAAGCAAAATTTTCACAAGATTTTGAAAGTATTTGATGAGAAAGCTTAAAAACTTCAACCAAAACTTCAATTTTCGAAACAAATATTTTACAGTTGCTAGTAATGTTGACACCTACGTTGAGGATTGGTGATTGTGCTGGTGGTCATCGGTTAGAGAATCGCGGTAAAAACAGGGACGTAATGGTAGTACCACGTAAGTTCTTATACTATATTATTTCTTTCTAATTAAACTATTTCCTTAATATGTCATTTAGATATTACAGATATTTTCAAAGCTTCTTTGGAATATGTATTAATGGCATACTTTTTTCGCTTATTCAAATTCAGTTGCAGCTGACCATGCTCGACCGTATTTACAAACGTTACACGGTGAAAGCAAAGATTACACTTATATCAATGCAGTTGAAGTAGATGGTTTTAGACGGAAGAATGAGTTTATCGTAACGGAGTGGCCGAAAAATTCAACACTGGATAGTTTCTGGACGTTGGTTTTCGATCATAGTTGCCATACCATTATTAATTTAAGTAATCAGGGGCGTTCTCGAGTAAGTTTTCTTTGTAAAGCCATTTAAAAAAAAAAAAAAAAAAACAGTAAATAATCCAAATAACTGACGAAAGATGACTAATTAATATTACGTTGGTTTTCGATCATAGTCTATTCATTAAATTTATACGAATTTCTCATCCTCAAAATAAGTATTTCGTTTAATAGGTACTGTACTTCGAGCTTATGCAAATTCTAAAACTCTGCTCTTTCAGGCATATCCAACATTCCTACACAGCAAAGGAAAGCACACATATGGGCCTTTTGTTGTCGAAATTTTAAATCATCATCAATATCCATCAATGACCTCTCATATGGTCAAAATTATGAAGAAGGTATGTGTCTCGCACCATTAAAATACATTAAAATCAATGTATATGCAAATATTTTCGAATCAGTTGATTACTATGAGAAATTCATTATTTTTTGCCTCTTTATGGTCGTTTATCTTTTTCCAATTTAAACCACGTTTGTTTATCTACTTTTTACTGAAAAGTTCTTGTTCTTCTGCCAAATCTCTCAGTGTAAATTTGTTTCTCGACTTTTATTTTTTTGAATTTTTCCAAGCAAAGTTTTCGAATTTCCATTTCTTAAATTACAGTTTTCACTTCAGCATATCAATTTCTGATTTCTCTTACACTATTACCATCATGTACTGGAAAAGTGATAAAAGACTGATTTCAACAATTCTAAAAGCATATATCTTATCGGAACGAAATATGTCACTGTGACACTGAAAACTGTCAAAGAGTAAAAGAATTAAGACATAGTTTTTAACCAAAAATTGCGATAGAAAATGCATATTCTAGAAAACAGCTCACGTCATTTGTGGACGTAAATGATTTGAAACTCGTCGTGGCATGTTTTTCTGCCATTCCAAATGTTTTGTATCGAAATCTTTTCTCTATCTATCAAAATTGAATATTCTATTGTTATCCAAATTAAAAAGAAATGAAATGAATTTTTTTATACTTCATGTTATTAGTATTGACTTCATTGTTCTATCCACTCTACTCTAACAAGAATGACACTTGATGGTCAGTTGACGGTTCCATTAATATGTATGAGATCAAGACTCGCTGCTTAAATGTGCAACTATTGCTAATCACGAATTTAGCGAAGTTCTCTCAAACGGTACTGACATGAAAATTTCCTTCACGAAAGAAATTTTCATGTCAGTACCGTTTGTATATATTATTTTAATCCTAATTGGTATGTTATTTTTTATTTTAATCCTAATTGGTATGTTATTTAAATCCTTCAATACTTCTGAAGTTCTTCTACATTACGGTTTCTTAACTAGATGATAAGATAGTTGTTTCTACCTGAATGAGACAGAAGTTCAAATTAAAAATGAATGTTTTAGTCTGAATTTTACCCGAATTAATATTCTTTAAAAATGAGTCACTTAAAGAGAGCTAATATATTTTTCCTACTTAAAACAAAACAGACAATATGTGAACAGTATGAAGAATTGAAATTGAGTAGAATTAATTGCTTCTATGTAAAGGGAATTAAGAGTATTTGACTTGAGCAATTCAATTAGTAATATTGTGAACACACTCACTGTGTGATATTTTCTCTAAATTGCTCATTTTTAACTTGTTCTGCTTTGTTTCATTTCTTTTTAACAAATTATTTTTGGTAGTATTTTTCTTTTTTATTCTTTACAAAAATTCCTTGCTGAGTTTTCTTTTTTGGAAATTCACAGACAAGCCCGACATACATTAAAATTCTGAAAGAGAGAGGGAAGGAGTGATAGCAAGTATTGCAAAGTGAAACATCTAAAATGATATTTGAAGAGAGTAATCCAGTTGGGTAATTTCTTTTATCTTAATTCACGTAAGATTCCAACAATGCTAGTTTTATTTCTAAAGATTAGACTAATAAACTTAATTTTGATGCAAAATTTTTTCATTTTTTAATATCGTTTCTCTTTTGTCATTTTAATAGATAAGTTTACGATTTACATTTATCTTTGTGTGGTATTTTTAATTTAATTTGGAATGCTTTAAATCACCAAAAAATACAACCTTAAAAGTTACAATATTAAATCTGCGCTACAATGCGAAAGGCTTTAAATAATTCTGATACTAGAAATATGTTGCAATAAAGACAAATACAAAATAGTTTCTTTTTTCTTAAATTATTCTTAGGATTGTTGAATGATTTTCTATATCCTCCTATTGCTATTTTCCTTGTGGTGCCAACTTTGCTTTCTGATATGGTACCTATTCAAAAGATTCAGATACTTTCTACGTCTTATTAAAAGTTATTTTCAAAAAAGACACAGCACAATAGTATCAAAAAGTAAAGTGGCTTTATCTATTTGAGGCAAAAAATTAAATGAAAATAAATGAAATAATTTCTTTAAAATGGAAGTGTTTACTTTCGTTGATTTGTTCACTGATCACTAAATCGATAATCCATAAGTAATTAGATTCCCTTTCTCAGATCAATCAAGAAGTTCTTTTTTTATTTTTATTTCTCTTCTTAAAAGTTTTGCTGTTGTCATTCTATGCATATTTTCAGTTATTTATGATCTCAGAAATAATGGCAAACGGTACCAATCAACAGCAGTTGGAAGCCGAAGTTAGAATATGTTGTGTTATACAGGTAATAATACTTCAATGAGCAAAATGACTTTGACTTATCATTTATTGTTTTGAAAATTTCTCCAACAATAAAGAAAAAGTGAACTTGTGAATATCTAATTGGTAGACAATTAACACTTTCTAATTTTTTATCTGTGCAAATTTTTAGCTGAGAAAGAAACGAATGTATGCCTTAAGTTATTTGATTTTTAGCAAGTCACTTCTTAACTCAAAATTTTCAAAATATTTTTTAATTATACTTTCGAAAGCCTTTAGATTCGAATGTGGCCAATTGAAAACAAGGTTCCATCATCAACTTCTGGTCTTATTGATATGATAAAAATGGCTCGCAGCTGGCGGAAACGTGCCCCAGAAAGACCGGAAACAAAACCCACAATTGTTATGTCACAGTAAGTACAGAATCCATTCTACACTTGTTTTTTATAACTCTAAATTACCAGGAAAAGATAGATGTCATTTTTTTGAGCATAAAAACAAAATTGGGAAGTTACATTATTTGAATAAAAATATTTTGAAGTATGTTAAGTGCAGAAACTTAGTCAAAATTTTAGTCTGAATTTTATCTAATTTAAAACATAGTTCATTCATTCATTAATTCATCTGACATTTTTTAAGTTGATTGAGTACACCAAAACTCAATTTGCTCTTGAAATTCCAGTTACTGAAGGTAAATAAATAGATTTAAATGACGTCATTTTTGAAGTAGGCCAGAAATGTCAGATGAATTAATGAATGAATCATGAAGTTGATGTCTTTCATGCTGTCAAATTGATTAGAATGAACAGACCACAACTTGTTGACAGAGTAAATTTGTTCACTCACTAATTTTTGTTTTATAAAGTCAAAGATCCATGGAATTATTTTCTTTGATAGATACTTCACTTTTTAATAAGTTTATTTCCAGTAATGGTGTAAATCGATGCGGCATTTATATAGCTGCTAATGTATGTATTGATCAAATGGATATGGATCATGAAGTTGATGTCTTTCATGCTGTCAAATTGATTAGAATGAACAGACCACAACTTGTTGACAGAGTAAATTTGTTCACTCACTAATTTTTGTTTTATAAAGTTGCAGCTAATTAATAGTCAGTGCTTATTGGATTAGAAAGTGTTAGAAAATGACTTATTTATCTATAAAGTAATCTTAAAAGCTAGTGCTTATGTTAGGAATGACTTATTTATAAAAAGTAATTTCAATGACACTTTGTAATTGTAAGATTCGATATAAAAGTATAATAAAAATGACTGTTTTCCAACTTATTTTCTTGCTCACAAGAATAGAAGACAACAGGTTGACAATCTTATTTAGTTGTATAGCAATTTTATGAAAGAGTTCAGTAATTAATGACAATTTATGTTCGATTTCTGAGTGTCTAAGTTGTGAAAATTATTTACAAATTAAAATTTTATTTTCAAGAAATATTTTTAATAAAATTTTAGTAATGTAATTTTAAATATATAATTCAGGATGAATATAAATACTTGTATGATTTGATGCTACACTGGTACATGACCAATCCGGAATATCGTATTTTTGACCAAAAAGAGGAATCACGAGATTCAGCATCGCAGAATAGTTCGTTACGTAATTTAATACGCTCCAGTAATCCAACAACTATTTTGAATGCTAACCATATTAGTTGACGATGGATGAATTGTAGGGCACTAATCATTTTGGTCATCTTATAACACCAATGCTGATCGATTTTCGCAAATAATACGGAAATCATGAGTAAAAAGAAGAAATGAAGACGAAGAAAAGTTAGCTTTATTCCAGCTTTACTTTATTAATCCGGTTCAGAACAAAATACTACGGCTATCACTTGTTATTATCTATCATTATTTTCTTCAAATTTGAGCTTTTCAGAACACTTATTATTAGAAATTTAGGATAGTTATGTAAATTAAAGTTGGAATAATTATTTCTGTAAGTTTCCCAGATTAGATAAATGGTAAAATAGCTTTAAAAAAAGATTGAATGAAAATTTTTATCCTTCTTGCTTAATCCTTATATTTTGTTCCTGACCTATCAAATTTTTGAGCAACCTAAAAACTTCATGAAAATCGGGTCATCTTTTTTAAGTCTTAGAGTAATTTTAGAGCAAATAAAATACTTAAAATTTGTTTCCATCGACATTTTCTAAATTGTGGTTTCTTTGATATGTATAAAATTATGGAAACAGAAACACATTTTCCATTTTTATGTGTAAGTGTGTGTTCAAGAACTACGTAAGTTTTAAAATCGCTTGTTAAATTTTTTGAAAGCTTTTTTCCGAGAGCTTTCCTTCGTTCTATACTTTTTGTATTACAATTGATTCTTCTGTGTTTCATTAAATCGCTGCTCAAATGTGATATTTAAAGTTTTAATTTTGCTCAATAGCACTGTAGTTAAGTATTTTTTTTTAACGTAATTCGCCTTTCTTGCAAACTATGATTTGGCTCTCCTTACTGGTTGTTTCAAAAATTGAAATATTTTTTGCTTCAGTCTACATTTATCATTATTTTCTAAATTCTATATGTTGTAGGCTGGTGAAGATTTTACGTAATTTAATTCTGTCGAAGTCTGAAGCTTGAAATAAAATGTGAAGCTCGAATTCTAGTGATAAAGAGGGAAGAAAAATGTTATGCATAGAAAGGATTCACAAGCCCAATATTTGGAGAGCAGCGGAAGCAACTCAGAAGCTTAAGAATATCCGTCTAACAGGAAAGTCAACCGAAACATTTAAGGAAAGCAAAATAAACTCTCTCTCTCTCTCTCTGTCGAATTTATTCTGTTATGTTGGAATCATGCTGAAATGGCCAGACCCTGTATTCAAAAATCTGCAGATCAAGAGTTCATTACTTTTTATTCAATAGTCAAATAGAATCAGTAGTATATCGCACTACTGAATCTGTCTTCGATTTTGTTTTCTATTATCTTCATAGCGATACTTTTTTGATCCTTCAGGTTGATGCACTGATGTTTTACTTATCAAAGACTACCAGACACATGCATTACCTCAGCTTTTATTGAGGTGGTCAAAGCCCTCCGTCTATTTACCTGTCAGTTTCTCTGTGTTCGTCTTTTTACCTTTTGTTTCAGTGTTCTTTTGCATACTATTATTATTATTTGTTGATTTGAGCAGCAAAGTGACAATGAAAAGATAAATTTCAGGAATAAATAAAGAATGAAATGAACAAATGATTCCGTTTTCGCTATTTCCTTTTTACTTACGGACAAATACTTAAAGAGTTATGGAAGGTAATGAGAAGCTTAAAAAGCTGATATTTCATTTTTAGATTTTACTGGGACAGCCAAATTGCAGTGAATTGCATTTTCACCCTCTCTTATCAGCACAATCACAACTATTCAAATAAATGATATCTTGTGATCTACTTTTATTCCACGCCATACAAGCCTACAAAAGTTAGGACAAAGTTAATTTATTAAATTTAAGGGAAGCTGATATTTCGAATTATCGCGTAATATTGTGCACTAAAGAGATAAAAATCAATGATAATACAAACTGAACATATTGAAATATTTATTCACAGATCAGTTACAATAATAAAGCTAATGAATAATTTGTATTTGTTGATTTCGCAAATGGCAGATGTTACTTTTACTTCTTGTCGTATTACCGAATATAACATGAAATACAAATAAACATTCCCCAATTTGATCGTCACAACTTCTTGCGCTCCAAAATTACAAAAGATGAATCCACTGGACGCACTCATTTTTTAATATCATGCTGATATTTACTTGATACACGACCAATTTAGTCAAGAGGTGCACCACTTTGAGTCTGATTATTCTGGTTATTTTCTCTGATTATTTTTTTATTCTCTTATGTAATTCCTTTTTTTTTCCTTTTCTCTTTAAAGCATAAAAAAGACAATAGGAAGTTTCCTAGATTGAAGATATGATAAGCTGATCAACAATTAATCTTTTTACCTATACGACATTTTTTTGACCTCAATTGATGATATGTCTATATCTCTTGTGTAAAAATATTAGGAAAATAAATGTTGTCAGTTAAAAATCATGTAAAAAGTACCTGATGCGTCCATTTTCCAGCAAAACTGGTGGATTTAATGAAATGCTCGTTAATTACTGTGATTTATTGTTCTTACGATTATCAGTCCGTCCTTTAATTAACATTCACGTATCCGATCCTGTACTACTTCAAATAAGTGTACTGTTTCAATAGAAAGATTACTGTACAAGAATTTCGGATGAATAACTAAAAAGATGTTTTGATATCTTTTTATTGTTCGTTTGTTCCATTTGTCATTATTTGTCTTAACACAGCATTTATTAAAATTTCAAAAATTAAATTCAGCATATTTTGTACAGTGCTACTATTACACACATAGAATGACAATGATACCAATGGTATAAGCAACGAGAATGATGAATGATACGACGTTATTGATGGCGGTATGAATTTGTAGCCAATCTTGGTGATAATCTTTCGCTGAAGTTCCATCCATTTCAGTACACGTTTCACTTCCGCAACACAAGCTAGTATTGAGAGCAGAAGCCAGCAATGTGTATCGATGTGCTAAAAAGATATCATTTTAAGTTAATTAAATGAAATATAATAAAGACACAGAGGATAAATCATATCACATGGAATGAGTAATTAGCGAATAATCTTGAAATATGAAGAATTGGATTCATTTGTGCAATTGCATCAGAAATCGTCAAAAAATCCCGCTTATGAAAAAAAAAAAAACCCTTTAAAAATTTATTTTTAAATCCGACGCTGGGAAATCTGATGTATAAGATTTCAAAAGAACCTCTTTATTCAGCCAAAGATTATATTTCCTTCCTATTGGTCATACGAATAAATGTTTCCTTCAGAATTCCAACTTATTTCTTCTTCTAATTTTTCTCTAATGTTTAATTAGAAAAAGATTTTTTCTAATATTTCAATAAAATTTTGATTCTAGAAATTTTTAAAAAGAATAAGTAGTTATTTTATAGCAGCAACTATTAATCCTCAAGCAAATATTTATTTTTACCAGGTGGCAATTTCCGCCGAATCCGTGACATAGCGCTGATAATAAGAGTCAAAAGTAAACTAACAACTGTCGTAGCTAGTGTGAATACGTAAAATGTGTCTGAAATGAGTTTTAAATTTGATCAATAAGCAATATGAAACTCTTAATTCCCTGTACTGTTTTTTATTTTCGTCTAAGAATTCTCGTCACTGCTTCCAGTTACTTTGTAATATAATTCTGTTCGAAATGACCTTTCTAGCAAGTAGAACTGTTATCACTGCTTTTGCAAGAAGACTGAACTGAGAATAGAAATAAGCTATAATCAATCGAAAAACCTACATATGTGTGGAACAGTTTCACCGAATCCAACTTGAGGAGCCTTTATGGCCAGAAATGTGAAACTGACCAGCTGAATGAATATTGCAAATAGTTTCACATTAATCTGCAAAACAAGGCATTTAATAACCATAAAAAATTCAAATTTAGAATTTAATAGTAACCGCAGGAGAAGGCAGCAATATTTCAAATCATATCAAGAAAGAAATTTGCTGTTACTGGTAGGCAAGTCTTTGTGATATGTCAAAAAGGAAACAATCAATTGCTTAATGAAAGCGATTGAGTCTGAATAGCAGTTATCTAGACGAAGTGAACCAGTCGAGGGTTAATTTTCGAATTATTCTGTCAAAGCGAAATAAGCTAGCTATTAATAACGATATTTTATTTGAAAGTAAGTACTTGATCACGAAAAGAGCCGAAAAATGGTGCGATTACAACAAATAATGATGAAACCATCATGGGAAGAGTAAGCTCGATACGTAGTGTTGACGATCGACGTCGTACTTGTAAACAAATTTGCAGCATTTGTGTTCTGAAAATTTCCCACATACATTGCACTTAGCTTGCATAAAATACAAATTGATTCGAGGAATTACTTTAAAAGAAATGTTGGGAAACAACAGGATACTAACTTGCGATCATCTTCATCCGGTAACACTTTAATTGTTGCATCTCGTACATGCCAATTGGTCCTTAGCTTTGTGAGATCCAATCCATCTGCAGAATAATTCAATTTCTTCTACAATCTTCTCCTATCAAAATTTTGCTTTCTGTGAATTAGATCAGAAATAATTCCACTTTGACAAATTAAATTTTGAGTATCACCTTCACCCTGAGCAAGATAGTATCTGATGTAATGAGGATAAAGGACTGATTTCATCCGAAAGCAGCAATTCTTGTCATCCTGCAATGAATAATTGTGTTAAGAGACAGATAATTTAGCTTTATAAAACAAAGCTGAGAAATTTATATGCTCATTCAAATTTTTAACTAACAATTCCTTGAGAAAGTTATTAACAAGCAGTAGGAACTAACATCTGGAAAGTTAGTATAATCAATATCGCAATGAGCTTGCATCTTAAATTCCAACCGTCCAGTAACATTACCGCTGTTTTTCGCCACAATATTATAGAACTGTGCGTAATCACCACTTTGAGATGATGTTTGAAATCTGCAACTGTTAGTGATTGAAGTTTTCTTTATTACTTCTTATCAAGTATCTTTAACCTAAAAGAGTGGTTCAAAAAGTTGCGATCTCTTTAATGATAGATAATTATTAAGAAAACAAAAGTCGGAAGTGCTACAAACATTTACAAATTTCAAACATACTTAGGAGGCGAAATGATCATTACACAAATAAAAATAAAAAATTGTGACAAACAGAAATCAGCTAGATGAAAGTTGTTTAATACTAATACGAAAAGATTGTTGCTAAAGCGTGCTAGATTGAGCAGATTTTTAAGGAAGAAATGACAAGAATGACTATCATGAGGAAATATTTAAAAAATGCTAAAAAATCAGTTTCCTTCAAACCAACCAAATATTTTTAATAATCAGAATATTCATTTAGAATTCTTGATAAAAATTCTGGTAAAAGAAGCTTCTAAACTACTGTCAATTCAAAATTTTCATTGAGAATTTTCGAGCCTACTTTTTGGGGAAAATCAGTTACTGCTTTTATATGTTCCCAATTAATATTTCCAAGTACCATAACTTTGAGTGATAACTTCAAGTAAATTATCATAATTCAAAACAAATAATTCAAAACATACCTGTCGCTATTAATATCTGGTACCCACAACCTGCCATATGAACGTATGTTCAGCGTATCAGTTTTCCATTCATTCAAATCCCACTTCATCCTACGATCCTTCCATGACTCAAAATCACATATATTTTTTTTAGCTGCTCCGTTTGCATTTAATTGTAATTTATGAAGGAAGATTACTTGGAAATAAATTTATCGATTGTTTCTTTTTATCTCAATAACAACTCTGTTAAAGCTCCCAATATTTTCATATATTCAAAAAATTTCAATTTTCCATATAATGATTTCTTATTTATTTCTTTATTCATTCATTTTAAATGAAAATTCAGAGTGTTTTTACAAAAATAGTTTAGTTTATTCATATAAAAGTGCAATTCGATAATTTTTGACCCGAATTATAAATGTATGGAAATGCCTTTGTACCCTCTCTTTTCAAACGTAAACTGTAATTTTATGTCCGCAGTTGACACATTCAGCGCTCCTGGATTAATGTTATAAAATTCATATGTAACCTCAATTTATTATGCTGTAATATCTGCTTGATCTGAATGTAATCCTAAATATGTCATTTCAACCACAGTTTTTATAAAATTTAAATTTATGATGAGAATGATTTTTTCCGATAAGATACAGTCAACAGTAATTTCTATGAAATTTAAAGAAATGACTTTAACTTATATATTAATAACTGAATGAGTTTTCAGTAGTTAACCAATAAAACTAAGTTGATTGCATCGTTCTCTCTTGCAATAAGATGTAGTTTTCATTCCTCTAATTACTAGTTAAAAAATTTTTCTTTTTCATTTTTTATACAATCATCATCATCTATCAAGTAGTTGTTCCCTCTAAAAGCTTCAAAAATTGTGCGTTGATACTAATTCATAAGATTTGAAATTGTTGTTACATTAAAATTTAATGTTTTGTTAGAATAGATGACAGCCACTGCTAATCATATTATTCATGATCTTTCTTAATATTACATTATATTTGTCCGTCTTCTTTTCCGATACTTTAAACTATATTAAACTAAAACAATAAAGCATTATTTTTGGTTGAAGAAATGTCTTACACACCCTGGTTGGTAAAACATATTTCTAAATTTATTAATTTTAACTCATCTAATTATTTAGTTATACCTACACTTAATGTAATTGCGGAAGAACAGAGAAATTAATTTTAAAATTCTTGGGAAAATGAAACATACGATTAAAAAATGTCCATTTATATTCATCACATGCCAAATCTCATTCTGAAAAACAAAAATCCAAAGTTTCATGTGTCTAAAAATTAAGAAATTACAACGTTTACTCATTTTATACGAATTAAAATTTATAAACAAAAAAATACGCATTACTTTGTGTTTTCGAATTAAAATGATACAGATATTTTTGCAATTTTATATAGTAAAAGCAATTATTCCACAACTGAAAGTTGCGCTAGAAACTGAGTAAAATTCAGTAAGAAAATCCAGAGGACATACCATCCATAATTGCTTAAGTGTTATTTCAAGAATTTCAGCATCCAAAGTTTCACCGGCAGCTACACTTGGAGGCAAAATGCTAATAGCATTTGATTTACCTTGCATTGCGCTGGCATCTTGGCTAAGCTTATAGTACAAGCAATCCTCTAATACCTGATATTTATGATGCGCCAACTCTTCCACATCTGAAAATAGAAAATGGAAATAAATATGCTAGCTTATTTCTTTTCGAGATGTTATACATAGATTTTTTTTATATATATCAATTTTTTTCATTACTGTTTTAAACTTTTTAACAAATGAAGGATGAAAACTTTACTAGTCAGCTGACATCAGTTTGAAAATAGGTTGATGCAAATATCATTCATACAAACGGAAAACCGGTTTTTTTTTTCTTTTTTAGATTAATTTTGGAAAGAATAATCTTCGATGCTTGTTGAACAGAAATTGCAATTGAAAAAAATAAAATAATCTAAAATACTTCATTTTTCAAATGGCTTGTTAAATAATTGCAAATCTTTTAAAGATAACATTTTCTTGGCAATCAATTAAGATATTTAAGTCAAATATGATGAAGTGTTGCAACAAAATTAATAACAGCTAATCACATAGATGTTTCATTTAATATCATACCTTAATATTGTCATCAGAATAAAGGGTTATTGACAGAACAGAACAGTTGCAAACAGTCTCACTATAACTATCACTTTGTTTTATTTATGAATGCCACAAAATTATTTTATTTTAACAATCGAGCTTACAGATTTCGTTTTAGAGCATTAAAAGTTAATGACATTATTTATAATTCTATCTTCATACACCAATAATTAATTATTGCCGTTGCAATTTGATTCTTTAAGTATAAATTTAAATTTTACAATGATTAATAAGGTATCTCTCATATTTGATTGTATAGATTTAACTGCTTCTGGTAATTAATGATTCGGACTAATCAATAAATTCATCATATTGAGAAGAGATCATTGAGTACTTGGAGGGAAGAAATAAAATTGGCTGTGTAAAATAAATAGTAATTTTATGTTTTGCTTTACTAAATAGCTATATCTTTCGAAAAAATCCCATCTTAATCTTTTTAAACAGTGACAGTCACTAGAAAAGCTTTTTTAAAACAAAGCTTTTGTTTTTTATCCATACTATCGTATTGTTTATAGAGAAGATCACGGTTTTGTTTCCCTGTAATGAACACTTAAGATTCGTAGGTATTACTAATCACCACTTTCATTTATGCAGCTAACTGGACTTAAAGATTTTCCGACCTTTCAGCTGACATAGAGAAATGATCACACCTTTCCTTATAAAACCTTTCTAGCGCTTGAAATGCATCGCTAATTCGAAGTACAATTTCAGTGGAGTACAAAATGAATAATCGTTTATGATTTAACACCACTGAAGTTAAATAATTTCATGCATTGAATTGCTTAAAGATAAGTTTAAAGAAAAGACAACAAATATTATTTGAAATTTGAACATTATCGCTTTTTGCTCTTTAATACTAAAAGTACCTGTAACATTGTTTGCAAATTTGCATAGTTCTTCATAAGAAGCTGTAACAAAGAGAAACAATCCCAACACAAATATTAATCGTATATAATTGGCCAACATCCTGCAAAACCAAAGTGGTGTTCACATTTATGAGACGTGTATAAAAGGGAGCGGGAATTTCGGAAAGCCAAAATATCTAAGCCTACCTTTTTCTTAAGCTATTTAACAATGATTTCTAAAATAATATAATTCCTATCAATTTGTATAGTATCAGTGATGATGAGATGATCATCATTTTGTTTTATATTCAGAAAGTATGAAATGTCTTTTTGAGATTGCAAAGCTTTTCGACTTTTCCAAATTACATTTATTTCATTACTAGCAGAATATTTTTGCATTATAAGTTTTAAAAAATGGAAGCTAAACGGTGAATTTCGAATTGAAGTTTTCAAGTAATTTTGTTACCAAAGATTAGAAAAATGCGCTTTGGTCATTTGTAGTTAGGAAATGGCTACAGTAGAATGTTTCGAATTACTAAGAAGTTGCAAATGTACAGTGATAACATGTTTTTACAATTGAAGAATGAAATCGTTAATTAAGAATAGCATTGTTTTGGATGTTAATTTTGATTTTATATTATTCTGCAAAATACCAATGATAATTTATTAATTTTCATCACAGTTTTGCTAAAATCATTCTTACTAATATGGTGATTACAAATCTATCACCCAGTCAATAGTACTGTGCTACCATCGCTTTTTACCACTGATTGCAACATTTGCGCTAAATTCTGCAACAAGCAGCCATGATAGAGCCAATTTACTGTGCGGTTTATGAATGAATGAGAACCTGAATTGCCTTACTACAGGTTATTATACCTTAGAAACAGTAATTTCGATTTCATTGAAAACATGCTAGAAGGACTGACTGCTTTGTAACTAATCCCGCTGTCACAATTGCTACACTGTTGGGATAGAACAAGCAAAATAGAGTAAAGCATTGAGCAAGCCATATGTTTTGTTTACCCAAATTTCGTATTTGTATAAAATGAGGCAAATTTGATCATCGAATGACGAGAAAGAGACGGACGAGAGTGAAGAATTGCAGATAGTTTGCTTAATAAAATGTCACTTGATGGGAGTTTACTGAATGATGACGAGAACTACTACACCAGCGAAAGAGGGTGTACGAAAAGGTGTCGTAGTAAGGTTGAAGTTTAGAAGCCACACATCCCTCCTCTAACGGCCAGAGCTCTTTTCCTGCTTGATTTCCAATCAACTCACACTTTAAAACTTCATTCACTACTCTTTCTATCACTTATCAGCAGTTTTCATTTTATGAAAATTGAAAATCCAACATATCATTGCTCACGATTTCAATAAAAGATATTCATTTTCGCCTCATTAGCTCTAAATTTCCAATTATTATGATCATCTTTTTTATTCTAAAATATTTTCCTCCAAAAGTTTTTTTTTTTTTTTTTTTTCAGTTTAAAAAAAAGTTTCCTGAAAGAAATGTATTTGCTGTCAAAGATGAAGAAGAAGACAAATATCTCTTCAATTCCCTTCCTATCGCACCACCACCTGAAAGATTCTCTGATCTTGTTGCGTGACTTTTGTTGCCTTCTGCAATCATGAAAACATTGATTGTTTTTTGTTTACTTTAAATAACACTAATTTTCTACACATTAACGATCAACCCAGTCTCTCGAAGGTTTTCAAAAAATATCATGGAAACAATAAAATGAAGTAATAGCTTATATCTTTAAAATTAATCGCCAAGCATTCTGTTAAAATGTTTTTACAAATATCACTTAAAAAGCAGTAGATGGAAGTTATTATTTGATTGTAAAGCTAAATCTATACCTTTCTGAAATATGATCACCAAGAAATGATGAATTTAAACAAAAGTGACTAAATTAACCAAATACTAAATTATACTTTTCTTGAAAACCTTGAAACAATGATACAGTTAATAAACAAGACTGTGAAAAAAAAATAGTAAAAATGTTGCAAAACGTACGAAAACATTACACATAAATGATTTTGTATGATACAATGAGCATCGGTCATTTGCAACTAATTCCTTTAAAAATCAACAAACTATCATTACTGCATAGGCATTTTGTAGTAAAATATCTCAGGTATTAAACGTGATCGATCTTTAAATTTTAAGCCTTGCTAATTGTGTCATTTCTTCAAGTTTCTGTGAGGGATCTTCTGATGTCTTTTCTACTTATCTTGAGAAAATTTGTTCCAGGCGGAGACGCAGCGCAATGTTAACACAATCTTCTCTCTGGAGGGCTTAAAAGAGAATTCAGTCATTCTGTATTAAAATTTAAATGTAGAAAAAAGTTTGGAAATTTATCGAAGTGAATGAAAAGGAAGTACATAGGTCGCATTATCAAAAGTTCGTTTGAACAATCTGCGCAGCTATTCCATGATGGTGATCGAATGAAACCTGTTATTTTGGTAGTTGGGTTCTTGAGTAGGGAACCAATGCATTCTGTTGTCTGTTGTCATTTCCTTGCTATTCCTGTCCGAGTGTTTCTTAATGGTTGGCTCACTAATGTTTGCATAAATTGAAATTCAATTGAAATCTATTAAATCAAAATCGATTCCTTTGTGAACGGTAATTTAAATGACCAACAGTTCAAAAGATATTTGGAACAAGAAGATTTCATGTGGGACATATTGCGTTTGAATATTAATCTTATTCTACGGAATAATGTATTATTAGATTTCAGAAATGATTTATAACATAAATAAATGTAGTCAAATAACAATTCTTTGAACCCTTCGTAGAGCAGCACGTATTTGAGATATAACAAATATTCTGGAATTATCATTCCATTTATCAATAAGAGCCGAAAAATGTTGAAGAAAGTTGACAGCTACTTAAAGTTATATGAGTAAAGGACAAATAATGAAATAGTCACTGAGTAATCTTGACAAGGTGACACATATCAATATTAGAAGTAATATGTCTTTCGCATTTTTAAGCGTTATCTAAACTGGTATTTTATGTTATAAAACATCACAAACTTTATCGATTGGGTTTTTCGTTTCATAATTGCCATTGTAGAGTGAAAATAACATATGTTCACATTGATCACCAGTTAGTGAATTGAAATAATAGCTGGAGTAGGGTAAGTGGATGAAATGGATAGATTAAGAGAAATATCGTTACTACTATAAGTTTACCTTTTAATCTTCCCAGAGGAGAAGCAGCATTTCTACAGCATAATTAGTAATGGATGAATGTGAAATACAATTAAAGATGATAAGAAGAGAGACGTGGAACTCTGGTAGAAAACAGGTTCCCATTCAACTGATATGCATGAAGGACGTAATTTTTGTTTCTTCTTATGAACAAAACTTATGAATTGATTTAAAATCGATTGGTTATGTATGTCACTTTAGAATAGAATTGTGGGCGCTAAGGGATGTTTAAAAATATTGCGCTCTCTGAACGATTTTTAGCAATCATGAAATTGCTTTGTTTTTCATTTGATTATTGCAGCATCTATTTATCACAAGTATGTTAGCTTTGAGCACAAAAGTTCACAGACTTAAATCACAACAAGTAATTAAGAAATTAAATGTCTGAAAGCAACAAAAAAGTTTAAAGCTTCAGAAGTTTACGATGTCAGTACTATAATGGTCTCATGATTAAATTTTATCCTTAAGTGAAGCATGAGAATATTTTATAATAATTGTACTTCATGTCCTTGAATTGAGCGCTCTTTGCCACTGATACAATTGTGCCATCAATGATACGACTCAAAAAGAATTCACAATATGCGAAACTCTTCAGTAGAGGTCCTAGGTTCTAAGTTATATCGGTTGATACAGCAGATATGCATGTTTAAGAATAGAAACATTATCAGATATGCAAATAAACGAGGAATCAATTGGGAATTGCTAATATTTAAGATATCGGTAGTGAAAAATTGATAAATTGTTGAAGATCGAGATTAAACAAAAATTTTCAATTGGTTTAAAAAGCTGCAATTTTCATGTCACAGTTTTTATCGCGTTATTGAAAGTATTTTCAATTTGTTGCAATAAGTGAAAGTTTTGATTCTTTTGAAGCAAATTCTTTTTATGCGATAAAAATGATTGCAGATAGATTTTCAATCACTTTTGATTGAAGCTTTTCTTCTTTAGTGTTGATGTATCTGTCAAAAGAAACTGCTCTTTAACTTGCAAAATTGCACTCATAAGCACGAAATTTTACTTATTATTATGAAGTTGTGCTTCTAGTCTGTTTAAAAAATAAATTCAGAAGTATTTTTCAATCAAAAACTGGAAAGGAGGAGTACCAGCAAATTCGCTTCTTCAGCTCATAATGATCTTAAGAACATATTTGTTTATCACATTCATCTATCAATTTATATAATGCTTTATGTTTTGATGAAATTTCATTAACTTTTTTAAATTTTCGGGTTATTTTCATTCCCAAATACAATTTTTTGTCTTTTTTCTCATAGTAGATTCAACCATCCATAAATTAAAAAATTTTGAGGAAATCAAAAATATTTCCTGAAAGCTTCAACATAATTGATCCCCTAATTGGGATTTTTGATTTGATCTTTCATGTGGAAATATATTAAAGAACAACGACTTGTAAATGAGATGAAAGCATTACACGATCCCTCTTCTTTCGTTCGTTCCATTAATTAATTCTCATTCCTTTTCTCTAAATTATTGACTAACAAATTTCATCTTACAACAAACACAGATTTCATCTAATAAATTTCTTTCACTCACTTTTGTAATTTATTATTAATGAGGGAAGCAAAAATTCACGCAAATTTTGATTTTTTTTGACTAAGAGAGTGTAAATCAATTTTTAAAAAAATTGGCAATAAACAGAAAATAAAGGCTAGTTCTACATTACTTCTAGCGAATGATCCTATCTAAGATTGATTTTAATGTTAATAACCGTGAATTTTCAGATATCACATCAGAAAAAGCAATGCAATCGATCTATGAATAGATAGATCGATTACTCAAGGACATAAAGTTGAATTTTGACTTAATTATCAATGTGTGATAGAAAATTGGTCTCAATTATAATGCTAAATTGGGTTGACGTAATCGATCCTGCTGACAAATTCAATGAAAAACTCCAATTTCTGTTGCAAAATTAATTGCAGATTACGGATGAATGCATGTATTGAAATTATGACAACTGATTTTGTGAGATGAGATAAAATCTATATTATTTTGTAATGCCATTTACAAAACTTTTCGAAAATTGAAAGCATTGGAAGCATTGAAAGACAGCAAAATCTTGCAATAATTACAAAGGTATAAAATACTTTTTGAAGATAAGAACAGTTAACAGAAATAATTAGAAGAGAAAAGAGTACTTTCAAATTAAAAAATCTGCTTAATTTAACAGTATACTAATTTTTATTATATAACTGCAATAAAAGAATAAAAAACAATTTAATCAATTAACCATACAGATCGAAATATAATATACAATATACGTCTACATCTGTGTATCTGATACCCAAAGTAAAGTGGTTTAGTTAGTATGTCTGATTACTGGAAATAAATTTTGTATGATGAGATTAAGAGTTTCCACGAAGCGTTTTAATTGAGTAAATTTTGGCTGCTAAATTTGCTTCAGAAAGTGTAAATCGAATTTCAAAGAAGCAACTTCAATTTATGGAAAAATGGAAAGGTAAGTGGATAGCGTTTATGTATAAACAAATCATTTTATATATTCAATACGGTAAGATAATTGGCTCAGTAAAAATATATTCAAATTAGTTAACAAATGCGTAGCGTAAACTAAATGATAATTTTTGAGAAACGAATATTGTGAAAGATAGGAGACAATCTGAAACGTTTGTTCCTTTCGAAGTCAAATTCTTATTAATGAATAAGAACTGTAAGATACAAGCATAATAGAGCAGTTTTAAGTTGAACTCAATTTTATCTGCAAAGATTAGATCGCTATCAAACTTGTTTGTCGGTATCCGCATTTTCCCTCTCTCAATATCTGTCGCAGATTTTAATATCGCAAAACCCTAAAATATTGTATGAAAGTAGAACATATGAGTAAGAAATATGTTGTATTAACTCTTCGAAAAATAATGTCTATACTTTAAACTCTTTGTTTCCAATTTTAAGTTTAGGTTTATGAAGTTTCCATTTTAACTTCATACATTGTTTACACGTATCAGCTCGTTATTTAGTTAATCTCACTGTTGTTTCATCATTAATTGTTTAAACATACGAGATTAAACTTAAGTTGCCTCCTTTGTGGCTTGTCAACTAGTAATTAGATTTGCTTGTAAATCAGATCAACAAATCTTTGTTAGACTGATTACACTTTCGGAAGCTCAACTTCTTATTGTAAATCATATAGTTTATTTATGTATATTGCTTGTTATATAAAGAGCCAGGAGAGTTCAGCCATGAGGTAATCCGACTACAAAAAGGCATTTTCGCTACTTTTATCTCATTCTTTTTTATAAAATTTATTGTACTATTGCTTCTCTGCCATAACATCACCTTAATCTCATTACTAAAAGATATTAATAAAATAGCTAAAGTGAAACAAGTCAAAATGTCTAACAATCGATAGCTTAACTGATTTACCTTTCTAATCCGATTAATAGAATGTGGAGACCTGGAGATTGCCAATAATGAAAAATATGCACTAATTTTTGTTTCGCTATTCTTTTCTGTTTGTTTGCTTTCTCTGAGTAGTTTTAGAACAGTCACAGCTTTACATCGCAGATAGTTCAAAATGTCTTACTTCCAAAACTTCATTTTCGGATGTTAAATTCTCCTAAGTTATTCAAGGTCACATCGTTCCGCTATATCACCAGTTCTTCTACCAATAGGTATAAGACTCTTTCAGCTTATGAATTCACTTCTCATCATGGCCTGAATTGAAATCATTTATAAGAATCAGATTTATTGAGATAAGGTACCTTGACCAAATGAAATTGGGTCCCATTATACAACTACAATGATATCTTTGGAAATTTTGAAAGGTATGAATCTTTTTTTCCATGAATATCATCAAGGCATCTTTTCAATCCACCTTTTCTGTTAACGTTGTGACACAATGTAATTCGATTTATGTAGTATAATTTTTTCTTCCAATTCTCTAAGCATTGTGACCACGCAAGGAATATTTGACCCAAATATTGTTTGCTTGGCTCAAAAATTTTTTAATCTTTTTTCTTCCGAGTTAAGAAATCCACCTCGAATTTGAAAGAAAATAAAAAGGATTTTTCATTATTATTGTTATTATTATTAATTATTTTGGGCAGATTTCTGAAGTATCGCTTATGTCACCATATATAGAAAGCTTTTACTGCTGTAAAATAACCGATGATTTGCTTTTATTCAGAATTGTTTTGAGATTTGTAATCTCTAAATTTATCAGATGATGTAAAGTAGAAGCAGAATGTGACACTAAAATGCTTCATAGGTGGTTAGTGAATTAATTTTATAAATAATCTGTGCACATTTTTGTAATTTGAATTTTTCAACAATTACATATTGTTTTGCTCTACTTTTTTGTATAAATCATATGAAAATTTATAACATCGAAAGTGTCAGTTATAATAAATGTGTGAAAGGTATCATAGAAGACAGAAAAACTGATATAATAAATAAAAGATGCCTGTAGCGGAATAGTCTTGAAATGCAACTTGCACTAAAATTGATGAAACGCACTAAAAGTGATTGAAAAAAGACTTCAACCTTTCTGTAAAATGACTAGAATGAAACTGAGCGATTCTGAATTTGATGCCACAGTTCACCATTTTTAGTACGAGAAGTTATAATGTGATTACAAGATCTGTGATGAGTGATGCATGAAATAGTCACTGATATTAAGATAACTGATAAGACGATAACTCCGATTAGAGCCAAGAAAATGAGCTGCGGCATGCATTTCACCAAAGAGCGCCTCACAGTATCTGTAATGCCAAGAATAGTTGTGTCGTGACGAGTTCCAGTTAATGGATATTTCTTTTCTGCAAAAATTAATATGCAGAATGAAGGACTTTATTGCCCTAAAATTTAAGAACTTCAGAAATTGAACTTTCAGTCTAACTAGATGTGTTTGGCTAGTCCTCAGATATGTTTAACTTTTATGAGGTTATTATAACACATGCAGAGCTCATTTTATTCAGTATATAAAAAAGCACAAATTAATTTAAGTAATTTTTTTCGGCGTTTGGATGACTGTGAAGGATAGTATATTAAATCCATAAAAGTTGTTTTCCACCAGTATGTTCAATAAATAATTTGAGTTTTAGTATCCAAAAAATGAAGTAAAGTAGCAAAATGTTTACCAAAATAGGCAACTTGATTAGGTGACTCAAGAACTGTTATGACACCACTTACGTCATATGAGGAATAATGATTTTTTTTTGATGAATCCAAAAAAGAATCTTTTTTTGTTAATCTATTTGTGAAGGAATTTCGTTTTGCTCGTCGTTCATAAATGCTAAAATAGATAAACAAATACATAGTAATTTTTATATATTTCCAAGAAAAATACGGGAAACGGAATTAGATTCCACTTTTCTTTATTTTACTATAAGCAAATACATCAAGGTAGCTATATCTTACCTAGGTTCTACTTGTATTTCTTTTTCAGAGTTCCTTGGTAGTGGTTGCACGGATGGAGGCATCGCATCGCTACTCTCCGAATAAAACCCATAATCATCAGTTGCCGATATAAAAAACGGTTCTTCTGTATCCGATGATTCTGTGATCGTTGTCGTTGACAGTAAATGTTGTGGCGGTGTTATCAAGTTGAGCTTTCTGGTTGTTACATTCCAGGATCCCTTACCTGTTGTTATTTCGGTTGATTTTTCTTGTGCTGCATCTGCTGTTGATGTTCCGTTTGCTGGTATCATCGGGATAAATGCACCGCTCGAGTTGTTGCTCTCTCTATCATTTTCTTCTCTTCTTGGACATCGAACATATGGCTGAAAAAAAATTTTTTTGTATCATATTTGTTACATTTTCTGAATCATATTTATTACATTTTTCTGAATCATACTCAGAAACCGGAATATGACTGTTTGATGAAATTTAAATTATTACTTTTAAGAAAATTAACAAATTGAATAAAGTTAACAAAGTGAGATGACATAACTAACTGCAGACAAATGACAATTATCACTTGACGGTGCACAAATACGGATTTGACAAGTAAAACGGGTTATTGCCTTCCCGGCAAACTTGAAAACATGCATCACCTGAAAGATATCAATTTCGGATGCATATTGTAAAGTTATTTATAGTTATTTCACGAACACAACCAAGCATAATCAATGGAATTTTGTATTAGAGTAGATGCTGTAATTAACTATCATAAAATTACTATTTCTAATGTATATAATTAAAGCTAATTAGAATTAATTTTATATGATATCAGAACAATAACCACCAGCTTATCATTGCTGCAATTTATAAAGTCAATTTTATTTTCACTTGTGAAGCAGTTCGTCGGTCGAGTGAATATACAGGAGTTTGCAGAATATACTGATCAACACCGCACCTATATAAGTCATATTTTAATCGCTCTAGTTCTCTTTCCTTAAATATTCCAAAGTTTTCAAAAACTGTCATATATTAAATTTATATGAAATCTTATTACCCGTCACCACTGATAATTAAAATATGATTTCCTTCGCCATCTTCCACATAACAATTTTGTACCAGTATTTGAAAGTTTTCTGAAATATTCGATCAGAGGTGGGGAATTGAGGTTAAAAAGTAAAACGAAAAATATTCACGCTACTTACCACCATAACATTTCCAAACATGATAAACAGTTTCTCCAACTAATGCGTAACGTATAAGCGGTCCATCGATTGAATTCCGCCTGATCTGGTAACTGCATCTAGGTGTTACCAGATCAAATTTTGGCTCTAGATCAGATGATGTCGACTCGCTAAAACTTACTTAATTGGAATTATTTGACACACACAGAAATACTCACAATTATAAGAATGAAGATTGTTGTGAATAACTTTCTTCAACTCATAGATGTCAAATGTCGCGCTTACCTTACTGAAAGTGACTGTTGAAAATTCTCAATGATATCTGTACCCAGGTAAACACATTGGGCGCAATAGGAACGGTCATTATCAGTGATGAAAACAGGGTGTAGCTGTACAGTTATGCAAATCTTATAAATGACAGACGACGGGTTTTTCTGAAGTTGTTTAAAAGTCATAAAAAAAGAGAGTCCGCCATTTTCTTGTTTTCATAAAAGAAGTGAAACAGAATAATAAGTTGATTAAAAGTCAAAAAAGCTTCTCCAAGCAATTTTATACCGTTTTCTTGATTGTCATACCACAATTTCCGAGTAGCAATGTGAGCTGACTTGCGTCCCTAGTGGCACAATCCGGATCACCAATATGGTCTTCTGCATAAATATGCGACGGATTTGATTCATTCGTTTGGATCTAAGATAAACAAATTTTAACTAATAATTATTGCCGATGGTAGAAGATGACTAATAATAATTGAATTTAATATTCAAACACAACACATTAAAAATAGAACTTATTTGCAAATTGTATGACTTATAAAACAGAAGATCTTGGCCAAAAGCAGAAAATATAAGCTACCAAGATTAGAATCTTAGATTCGTATCTTTTCTATATAAGAATGTAAATTTCTAATAGCAAATAAATGAATTAGTGATAAAATTATTTTGCGATCGTATCATATATGTCAAATAACAAAATTTATTATTACCGAATTACTTATTTATATTAAAAAAGATACTTGAATATGAATTCTTTCTGGTTCGCATGTAACGATCGGTTTTTCCAGAATTGCATTTGAATATATTACGCTGAAGTAATTACTACTCAGAATCTGCAATTTGCGCTTCTTAAGAAAGAAAAAATAATTTATAACTCCATTCAATTCCAAATCTTAATGTGTTACTAATTATATTATTCAAATAATAACTTATTTCTATAGTATTTACCAACTACTATTATCAACTAATGTGATACTCATCAGACCATTATTATCAATTAACTTACTGTTATGCTCATCAGCAGATCAAGATTTAAGCACATATTGATAATCCTGAAAAACTTTACCAAACATGTACTTATTTGTTAATGGCTTCATAATTGAAGAATCATATTAAATGCCCAATAACTCAATTTTAAGCAAATATTTACTAATAAAGTAATCCAATATAACTAATTATTATCATTACAAGAATTTACAAGTGTAAACTTAAAATTCTTTTCAACGTTGTACATCAACTTTAATTCAAAAATAGATCATTGGCTTAATTAAAACAATTCATTAACGATATTTGAATTTAATAAAGTACAAATCAAGGAACTGAGGTTGTCACTTAAACTTTCATTGACTAGACTAAGCAGTGTTCCACGATAATATATTCGTGTCATCGCAAGAAATGCAAAAAAAGGCGTGCAATGAAGACCTTTTATAAAATCTTAATCAATTAAGGCAGTTTGTCCGAGCACTCATCAGGATGAATGCTACTACTTCAGAAATAAAATTCGACTTGTTTAGACTCGATCGAGAATTAATCTTCATCTCCATATCTCGTTCATAGCAATATGTAGGCATTACAACCTGTTATTTCATTATTATTATAAAGTATTTGAAGATGCTGTAACCACTTATATAAAAAGCAAGAATCTCTTCATCACCTTTCACATCTACCTTCTTTTAAAACCCTTTGAAAAATTTTCATCCCTCAACTCTTTATCTTTTGTATATCTCTTTCTTCTTCATTTTATTGAAGTACTAATATCAGCCATCCACATCCTCTTCTAACTTTATTAGAAATTCCTCAAATTCAATTGTATTAATCTAATAAACCCAAATTTTTTAATTTCTGCGTCTCAGTTCTTTTGAATTTTAGAGAAAGGCAAATGATTCCATCATTTTTTTTTTACATTATAATCATGTGGAAATTCTTGAAACTTTGTAGAGAACTTTGTATATTATATATTTCTGGAATTTTCGTTTTCTTAATTTCCGAATTGTGTAAAACCAGAAACAATGAGGTGCCATTATTTTTAATTAAAGAACAATCAATCGATTTTCTCCAGAATTTTGCTGATGAACTTGAAGATAACTTATGCTGTGACCTAACTTTGCTTTCATTGCAAGCCTTGTTTTAGCGGACAGATGAGAAAAACAGGAGATCTGTTACGTTACGTGGGTTCAGTTCACGTTTCCGAGAAACTGTTATTGTCGCTATGATTATGTGATAAAACTTTTTCTTACTCTTACAAGGAACGAAGACATTTGTTAAGTGAAATATTTGCTTAATCATTGCTTCTATTTCGTTTAGGTGTAAAATTCGCATTCTTCAAATTGTTTAAAGAAACGCCATTGATAAAAGTTAGCCAAACAAATTCTTTATCTCTCGAAAAGAGAACCGGACTCGGAAAAATTTTTAATTCTTATTTTGTTTATTCCTTTTCCGTTTCAACAAGTAATCTCCAGTCAATGGCTCAAGCAGTCAATAGATAAATGTAATTAGAAGAGAATTCTCTACTTCTGCCATTTTCTAAGAAATCTTCTGAATTCTCTCCGCTACCATTTTGTTATTCCTCAACGAGTTTGGACCGTTTTAACTTCTAATAAAACAGTGCTATAATCAAAATATAAGAATAATGAAGAATTTTTTTTTGAAAACAATAAATGAATGAATATTTGCTAGCGTTCTCAGTTTAATAAAATTAATGAAATTTGAAGATTAACGAATAAGTAAGATGACAATTGCCAATTCCGACATTCTAAAGAAATTAAAATGCTAATGGTAATATCAAAAAGAGCATAGATGTTTAAGATTTCAATTTGAAGGAAGATTTGTGACTATGCAGCACTATAAACTTTGTTCCTATAAATATGTACCTTAAGAGAATTCAAATGCAGAAACAGAGAAGCAAAAAACTTTGAGCAAAATGTCCTCTTAAATAAATTTTTATGAAGAATTTCACCTTCTTAACAGCATTCTCAATTTATATACTTAGTTTTTTTTTTTCAGAACATTATTTTCATCTTTCTATTAGACTTATAATATGAATGGATTTTCCCTTTTTTGCCTACTTTTCAACATTTCTAATCACCACTTTTTGCTGCAAACTTTCGTAAGCAGATTTTCGTAGTCCTCATTGATCGATACCAGGTAAATTTAAGGTGGTGATATTGCATAAAACTGAACAGAAGGAACACATGCTGATGCCAGTCAGTGTAGAGAATATCTCTGCTAATTTGAGAAGGACTTATTGAAGATCGTTGACGAATACTGAAAATAAAAATATGAATTTTGCTTTTTAATTACATTAAAATAAAATCAGTAGCTTTGAAAATATCGTACTTCATTGTCTTTTGCCATCCTTGTTTACTTTAATAGGATATATTATTAAATTGATGAAATGTTGAATAACCATTTTTTGTGAGCTCTCTTGAATTTAGTAGCATTTTTAAAGTAAAATGATAGTCGAAATATGTATAAATTATGCAAATTTCTTTCATTTCTTTCATAAGCATTTGTACTTTTTCTATGACAAATTAATTCAATTTAAACGTTGTTTACAAATTTCATTCAAAGAAGCGGTTAGTTCCTTTCCAATGCCACCATTAAATTCGCGACAAAAATTTCCACAAGGTATGAAAAATTAATTTAGGTATCATACATTGTATTCACATTATCACTGCCTCGAAAAGCAATGCAATTGTGAAATCTTAGTTCTTTAAATTAACTTAGGCATTAATTTAGTCGTAATTTAGAAACTGGTTGCTTGTAACTGTTAACAGGTAGTGCTTGAAAATAATGGGCCATTTGCAAAATATTCAATCTAAAACCGAAAGCGGAAAAAAAACAGAAGGCTTTTGTTGATAAGAATCGGACGAACGAAAAGAGTTGCCTAATGCTACTAAAATATATACTGTCATTATATTTTGTTCTATTTCAGAGAGCAAAGGTCAAAAGATTCAAAAAAGAAAAAATTCTTCTATTTTTCAGAAAAACTTCACTGTTGGTAATACATCATCAACTGTTTTCTATACTTTATAAATATTTCTAAAAACATTTAAAAAGTTTCCAAATCAGAGACTTTTGAATTTCTCTTAGAATTATGAATTAAAGTGAAAATTAACAGTCCTATTATTAGTGATGGTTTTACTGTTTCAGAACAAAAGAACAACAGTGGTACTACTATCAAGGCGATCCGAACGTACGTTTAATGCAATTCTAGTATTATTTTATTATTATTATTTAGATTCCATTTTGATGAATTTGTTTTTCTCATTAAACAATGGCTTTTAATTACTGATTAATTTATTTTGTGACTCTCTTTTTTCTGATTTAATACAGATAATTCATGAGTCTGAAACAGGCATGACTTATTTGATATTTTTAATTGGCTCTGCAAATTATTATCTCAAAATATATTTCTAAAAAAGAACTTTCGTGTTTTTTTTCTGATATTGTGCAAAGCAAGTTTGCAAAAATGATGCAATCATGCTTGACAAATCGAGCCCAATTTGTGTGGTTTTTTTTTAAAATTTCAACTGGACAATAACTGCTTATATTGGAGCAATATTGAATTACTGATTCCTAAAGAAAATCATCGATTAATTTTTTAAAATTTTTAATCGGTGATTTTATTTATCAAAACATTCAAATAGTTTCCCTTTGCGTTTGTTAAATTTTTTGGCTGTTTAAAAGCAAATATTTTTAACTTTTAAATTTATTGATATTTCAGTATCGATGAGCATTTCAGTATCGATGAACACCATGTTATCTATACAGGTTGTTGAGATTCGCTCAGTTTTCTTCTATAAGTATAATTAACTGTTGGCTTGAAATTCGGATATTGTCTTAGGAGAACGTCATAGAAACTTACCTATCATCTTTTCGATTATCATGATTAGTGATTTCAGCATTATTGATAATCACTTTCAGGTATCTCAAACGAGATTGCAACAAAGCTAGTGCTAATGTTGATGGGCTTTATGGTCACTCTAATCTTATTGTGCATATTTTTGATACTTTCTATATATATTTATTACAAAGAAAAAGATGAAGAGTTTTTTCTGGACAATAAGGGTGAACCAGCAAAGGTGAAAGTTGACAAAGGTAAAACTAGAAAAATGTGAATGCTATAAAAGCAATAAGTTTGAAATTCGTTTGCTGTTTACAATACGAATAATGTAGAAAATTTTTTTACACAACTTTGAATTAGACATTTTTTTGATGCCAGCACTGCAGAAATTTGTGTAGATGAATTTTAATTGAACCAGTCGATTTCAGCTCATTCGCCATATATTATAACTCCGGAACAAAAGATCACTCAACAATTGCTATCCACCGAGGTAATAAGAAAGAAAGAATTTAGTTCAAGAATTCCATTATAATTCCTATTTCTAAAGTTTATTGAATATTCACAGATGGTGACATCTATCGGGTGTTCAGTAGATGATATCGCTCAATTGTTGCGATACATAGCTTTATATGGTGAATTATCAGAAGATGAAATTTACCAAACTCCGCTAACATTTATCCGTTTAGTGGTGCGTGGTAAAACAAAATTCGATAAGGACGGTAGGTTCCATTTGCACCTTTGTGTTGTAATCTCTCATAGAATTATTAGAGTGACCATCTTTGACTGTAAGTGATTCTAATGGTCACTAACTCGTTCAATATTTTTAGTCAGTGATCGTAATTTTTTTCTTGCAAATATTTTGCTAATGTAATTGTTTTGAATAGCAAAATTTGTGACGAAATAAACTGAAGAGGTCATTAAAACGTTGACCTAACAGTTTTAAAAAATTCACAATACAAAGAAATAAGAAATTCGCTTAAAATTAAGATTTATTGTAATATTCAGTTCAACTACGCAATGAAAATTACAGATTCTAAAAGGGAGCAAAAACCAGTTCCGAAATCAGAATCAAAGCTAGGCTTGTATAATGACAAAGAGGTTCGCCTCCTCTCCATTACTGTATCTGTGCATTCATACTAATAAAGTAGATTATAAAATGCAGGATAATAAATAGTAGCGATGAATTTTCAAAAAAAAACAATAATTTCTTCTTTTAAATGCAATAATTTTCAGATTTCAGACACAATGAAGAAATGGAAAAAGTGAAATCACTTAATTTATAGCATCATTTAACTTTATTAAGCTCTTTTTTCTCTTTCTAAATACATTTTTTGAAGCTTTGCATCAGTTTATTTAATTTAATATACTCTGAAAAATTCTCAAATTTCAAATTTTTGAAAAATTTCGTGTTTTTTATTGAAAACAACAAAAGGAACGAGATTTTTGGTGAATAATTTTAGGTTCTATTTACAGAAACATGCAACAACGACAAGTTATCTCACCCTCTAAACCAAGTCTGTTTTGGCATTTCTGAAATTTTCTTTCAGTATCTTATCAAACGTTATAATACTTCAGCACGTTATATTCCGCAAAACTTTTGTAACTCTTTATTTCAAGAGAAAAAAACTCGTGGAAATGAATTATCCAACAGATTGATTAGTGACAATAAAGTAAAACGAAGCTCGAGAAGAGGCAATGCTATGGTAAATAATTAGTCTCGAGAAATGTTAGTTAGAGTTGACATGACACAGATAAGAAAAGAATTGGGATAAGGAGACCTTGTGGACATTTTACAAGACCCTTTGAAAAATAATGGAAAAAAAATAAGAAATTAAGTATTGCAATTTGTGGAGAAAAAATTGACTGTTAATTGCTTAATGAGTTGAGATTAATAGAATGAAACTGTTGATGTGAAATAATTTAAACTTCAGAGGAAAGGTAAAAGGAAGAAGAATAGGAAGAAAAAAAGTTCAAAGTTTGTTTCAATTTTATATTTGTCAGCATTGATCGATTCAACTATTTTCTTTAGTGCAGAACAATAATTGGTATTTGCTTGCACTAGCTACTTTTTTTCCACAAATTATCGTTTATTTACAGCTGCAATCCTCAATAAATATGAAATAATGCATTGCAGATCGCGACTAAGCCGCCAATTGGTTGAGGCGGCATCTCCACATGCGCACGAAAGAATGCTAAATAAGGGTTCCTCAATCCTTTATATTTTTTATCCTGTGTCACCTATGACAGCTATGCAACACAACAAAACAAATAATTTTTTTTTAGTGTATTTAAAAAAAATTTTAACTGCAGGGCTAAGGATGAAACGGTCAAGAAAAGTACGGGGTCTTCGTAGGAAAGAAAATGGTAAACATTTCAATAGTTGATTGTCAATTTTTTATTGAATGAGTAAATTCATAAATATTTAGATGATCAATGAATTTCTCTTTTCCAGGAAATTAATGTTAAAAGAATGAAAGTTTTGTTTATTCAGATGGAATACAAGTGAAAGCGAAAAAGCGCAAACATTTGAAGGAAAGTAAACATCGCAAGAAATACGAATTTCATTAAACGTTTTGTGATTTTCATACCGAAAATTATTGTTTGTACTTGAAACATGTTCGAAAAAGTTGTTCTGATGATAAAACAGAAACTTCGAGATCGACTTATTCTGATATTTTGCACATTAATTTAATTAGTATCATGTAGTGGATTACATTTCGAGGAGTAAAACTGTTGAAAGAATTATTCTGTTCTTCTGCTCCTTAAGTGATTACGGTAACCTCACTCACTCTTTATACAAATTTCGTTTTGAATTTGTGATTCTTCTTGCTTCTCTTACTTTTTATCTTATTAGCTGTCAAATACTTTATGTGAGACAGAATTTCTGAGTGGTTTTCTCATACAAAAAATACCTTCCTTTGATATAATAGATCATAACAGCTGTTGAAAGCAATTCATGGAAGTATCTTTTTCACTGATTTCAATTGATATCAAAAAAGATTTTAATTTTTCATTTGAATCCGTCAAGTTTGTTTATAATATTCCTTTTCAAAATGGCTGGAAATTCATTACCAAACAACTATAATTCCTTGCAAGCATAAGGCTGTTGGAATCAGTGATAAATGAATGTACAAAGTTGTCACCGACAAGATAAATACACCTAGCGATTCTTGCAATTGAGAAAACTATTAGCAGTATAATACGAAAGATTTTTTGATCTACTCAGTTTTAATAATTGCAGGTAAAGGCTTCAATTAATACAAATTAAAAGCGTTTATTCTTATTTAATCAAAATTCACTTTAGATTAATGGAAAGATTGCGAAGTATTTTTGCCAAAACTAACTTGTATAATTAACTTCCAACAAATGACAGTTGCAATTTTTGAGAAATCAATGGAGAGCCAAAATTCACATTTGTATCTTTAACAGGTTATTCTACCAAGAAAAGATGCTATTTGGAAGGAATGGTACATAAAAATAGATAAAAAAATAAAAAAGCAGATATTAAACTATGCACAAAAAGCAAAAAGAATTTTGTTGTAATTTGCATTTTTTGATGGACTATAAAATAATGCTAAAAATTGTTTCATAAAAACTATTTTCATTTGCAGTTATTGTAATATTCCAAAAAATTTTCTTTACTGAAGAATTAAAAGATGTCGGATAAAGAATTCTTGGAAAGCGGAGAGCAAGAGGGAGCATGCCCAAGTTATTTTTGGTACTTGATTGGAAGTTTTAGTATTACAGCGATAATAATCGTATTTCTGATCGCTTATTTGATCATGTATTCTGATCATTTCATGTGGGCATTACGACGAAATCCGAGACCGGTCAGTTTAATAATCAAAAAAAAGTTATTTAAACTGTTGATTAAATTTTCGGTTTTGATATTCATTATTACGATCTGTTACGTTATTTCAGTCTATAAAGACGAAAAGTAAGAGCAAGGGAAGCAAACATTCAAGTGACAAAGGTGAATCAACTACAAAGGGAGGTTAATACTTACTTCTTATTTGAATCAAAATATATTTGAAAGCAATACTGATTAATTATTTAGATTAATTACGTGTGGCAAATTTTTCAATTTACTTAATTAATTATAGTGAGCCAAATGGATGAAGTAAGCCAACAAACGAGCGCACAAAAAGATGCGCCGCGAGATGTGACAGTATAATTACTTCATTGGAGAGAAGAAAATGAGTTGTTTTCTGTTCGTTTGATACACATAAATTTGCTAATAATGTATTGTGATATTACACTTCTAGTGATAACGATTTACATTCTAATTGTGTTTAATAATACAAAGTTTTGATCGTAATCCAACGATTATAAAGAAAAATTGAAAGATATAGCTATTTGGACAGCACATATCAATAGATTGAACGGTTTAGAAACGGGTATTGAAAACAGATTAAGATTATAAGGACAGATTATTTTAAGGTTGCTAGGAAATTGCTTCAGTTTCCATGTGATTTAAATCTTTTAGGATTAATTTTCTAAACCAATGTAAATAAAACAGAATTACTGTTTATGGTTGCATATGAATCAAAGACAAGCTGAGAAAACATATGTGATTAAATTAATTTTAGATAAGATAAAAATTTCTCAGCTTGAATGAGAATAAAATTCGAAAATCTTCGAGATAAATCAAATGCCTTAGAAGTGGTCCCAAGTCATAGATTTTATAATTCTCTGCAGAAATCTTTCCTCAACCTAAGATCTAACCTATACCCTTAACCAATGATTAATGAATGCACTGCAAATTCCAATGTGAGATTTGCAATTGGTGAATTCAAAATATAAATCTCAATTTTTTACTTTGTCAATTATGACAAAGTAAGAAAGCTAGGATCGATGTCACATAACTTTATAAAAGCAGAAATTCGTACCAAATATAACAAACAACTAAAATGAGGTACAAATGAAATCTAGGTTTGACCTTGATATCTTGGTAATGAACGACCCAGCATGAAGTTCATCTGTTCATTAAACACAGATTGATTATAACTCCAGTAAGAAAAGCCTTGCACTCAATGCTCAAACCTTTTTCGTCGTGAAGAAAAATGCAAAGTCATATTCTTGGCACTTTCAATTTTTCAATTCAAATTCACTGCCCAAATGTTGTGATATGAGATTTAAGCTGTCTTGGAGAAGATCTAAGAAAGAAATCAAAAAATAGGAGATCCAATACTTGAAACTTTATTTATTTGATTGGTAAATCTTAATTTTTATAGTCAAATCTTCCAGTTAAAGTTTTGTCATCTTTGTGCAACGGTGTGTGAGATGAACAAAGAGTGATAGATCATTTGTATTATGTTATAAACAAAGCATTAGATATAAATTGGAAATGAATAATTTGCATTAGCATAACTCGCCACATTAATGATATGAGATATCATTATCACAGCATTACTAACCATTTCTGATCAAAGTAAACTGAAAGAAAAACGGTTAAAAATTATCTGCGACATTATCCCATTCAATATAATTTAAGATATTTTTTTCTTACGTTCATTGCTTTTTGCATATTTGCCAAGTTTCTCCGTCAACTTCTTTAGTAGCATTTGTTTCAGCACATCCATATTTAATGCCTCAACAGCTGATTTCACCGGAATGTCTAGTCCGAGATGTTCCATCGTGAACAAATCATCATTATTTTCATCAACTTCTGGTCCATTTTCTTGAGCGCTGGTTTTTTTCTCTGCAATTTTCCCATCTTCCACTGTATTCATTGTTTCTTTGAATTGTTCCGCATCCGCTGCTTGAGCATGTGTTGCTTCCGCTTCTTCCATGTCTTCTGCATCCGCCACATCGATTTCTGCTCTCTCCGTTGCTTGTACCTTTGCTGTATCCGCTTCTTCGATCTTAATTTTCTCTGCTTTATTTATCAACTGAGTAGTATTTTCTGTGTTTGAGGACTCATTCGTGTCACGTTTTCCTAAAGTTTTGTCACCTGGATTTTCTGCTTTTGTAATAACAGTCAGTAACAACAGCGCAACAAGAATCGAAATCTGAAATCCTCTTTCTCGCATTTCCGAAATACGAAAAGAATAGTACCACTCTAGTTGACTTCTTAAAACCACTTCCAAACAATGTAAAACTTGAAGCAATCGACTGCGCTCTTACAAGTCAGAAATGACAGTAAAGGAAAATTCAGAAGAAATAACTTTTATTCACTTTTTTAATTGGTATAACCGTTGATTGCTCATTTTAACTATAAAAGATGGTCCATTTAAACATATAGAACTTATTCTAATTATTAAGTTTCTTTGAGGCAGTAGAATTATTTATTAATAAGTATTATTTATTAATGAAATAATAAATTGTTCATAGCTTTTTGATATCTTTTTTATGCTAGGCTTATTTTAAAATTTATTTTGCAAGTAAACTTCATTGAAGTTAAAGTGGGATCAAAGGATATTTCTTTCCGGTGTAAATAGTGTATTAGATTTGCTGACTAATGATAACAGGTAAGAGCACTTACGAATTATACATAAAACTATCATTTACTGAACACCGAGTCTACTGAATAAGCTAATTAGCTGCTTAAAATAGAAATAGATGCCAAATTTTTAATAATAAAAGAAATGAAAAAAGAAGAAAGACTACACGTAGAGATCGTATAGATGTAGTAGAATCAGCGTGAGAGAACGCATACGATTGTGAACGGAATTGATAAGTTACAACCTTATGACATGGAACTGATAAAATGATCAGTAGAACGAAGAAGGTAAAGCTCAAACAAGTTGTTCTTCCGGAAAATTCATCAGGAAAAAGTCAAAAACGATTTTTCCATTTGAAGGTTCTTTGTACAGCAGTACTTTGTATTTAGTTATTATCGGTTTTCCTAACCAAATGTACTCATAAAGATCATTCTGCTGCTTTGCAACTAATTATGCTAACATTTTTCGCAAATATATTTGAAGATGAAATCTCAAGTTCGGCTACAAAAAGAAATTTACACTCCGGTACCTCAGATCGTTTACTTAAAACACATATTTTGTTAATTATCCATGAAGTTAACTTTATCAGTCAATCAGTACGGGACATCAATTACAAATTACAAAGCTGACTTTAAACGAATTACAAGTTGTCGGATGGAATGAGATTCAATTCTAATTTTGGTCGTTCCGATTTCTCATTTCTTCGATTCAGATTTCATTCCTAAAAATTATGATATTTCGTCTAAAAATTGAAGGGAAATTAAAATATTTAAAACACAAAATAAATATTGAAATACTAACATGCATGAAAATTTTTTATTTTATACATAAAATATGTAAAATATAAAACTGAAGTATTTCTATTAAGAAAATACAGTTTCAAATCAAAAAAATATCCAAATTTCGACCCATTTCCATACTAATATCGCTTATAATATCAAAGGTATTTCATCACAGCTATATTGTGTCAATAAGATGAGATCAAACTGAAGATTGGGGAGATATGCTTAATAATATCAAGTAATTAAGAGCTTTCTGGCATCTGCGAGGTCTAGAAAATTTTCCATCATTTCATCCTGCGACTCCTCGGCATTCTCAAATCAATGTTATTTTTGAATTACGATTTCTCTTAGATCATTATGATGTCTTCCATGCAAGAATTTAATTTTTTTTTTTGTATTCTCTAAAAAGGTTAAAAATATAAAAATAAAGAAAAACTAAGAGAGGAGAACTTGAATTATTGTTATAGTGAACAAAGTTAACCTTTCATATTCTTTCCATTGCTTTTCCTCCTTTTTCTTTTCTTTTTTTCTACATCATCGTTTCCTGATGATGATACTCTAAAATTCAAGTGGTCCAATGCATTTATTCTCACAAATTGAAAAAATGCAGGTTCATTTTGTTTTTTTTTTTTTGATTTGTATTTAGGATTTAAATGATTGTTCAGAAGAAAATTTTAAAACAAACGAAGTAATGAGCAATGCTGCTGTCTTAACATCATTTTCTGGCTTAGCTTGCTGAAAAAAATCAAAATGCATTAGATAAAACATTTATGTTGATAATCTCTCAGTCTACTAGTAATTGAATTCGAAATGATCATGGAAATTTTTGAATCTATTAGCCATAAATAATTTAAATCTGATAATCAAGAACCTTTCCTCTTTCGTTACTGCTCATCGGTGTTGTTACCTTAGATGTTTCTAACTTTTTCATTTCAAGCGGTGCAACCTTATTTTCCACAACTACTTGTTCGCCAAGTGGAACACTTTCAGTGGTCAATTTTTCAGCAGGTGACGATTCATTACTCACCTCAAATTGTCAGCTCTGTATTTAAGTAAGAATATTCTCAAAGTTAGAACAAGACAAATTTCTTAACTAAGCTCGATTTCAAGAAGCAAGGGCATCAAATTTATTGATAGTAAAAATAGTGAAAAAAGATGTCAAAAAGGAAAAAAAATATGTTATCTACGATTTTGAAACTCTGTTATGATGACAAATTAGTATGAGCTCATTTTTGTAGTTTTCGATAAATTGAATAAAGTATAGGAAATGAACTCTAATTGATGCTTTATAATTACTAATAGTAACCATTGTAAATATTAGTAATACAATAAATTTTTTTAATTTAAACTGGGTTAAAAGATCATTAACAAGTGATGTAGAATGAGAAATGCATAAAATTGAAAGCGAATCAGAAAATAATTGACGCCTGTGATTTCTCAAACAGTAATATGATAGAGAAATTAAAGTATATGTTATTTTCCTGTGTAATCTTTTACCCACCAAAAACTTGTATAATAATAAAGTTGAGGTGAAATAGATTATAAAGGTTAAAAGGTAACAGTTAGATATATTTCATTATAATCGCAAGCAATTTGCAAGCGACAGCTAGTAAAATACAAACCTCGCCAGCAGAAAGCTTTGAAGAGGATTTCTTTTTCTTTTTCTTGGATTTTCTCTTCTTTTTTACTGGCTAAAAGCTTTATTTTTTTTCGTTTTAAAATTACCGTTCATCTATTATTTCCATGAATAAGCAAGCATCATTTAACTGCGTATTTTTATGTTATTGTGACGTTTGTTTAATCGCTTAACTGAGTAAAATTTCAACTATGTATTTCCGCCACTCTTCCTTCAGTTGATGTAGAGGAACTCTTAGCCTTAATTTGTCATCACAAATTTGAATGAATTAACAGTTGGTACCACAGCCAAACGTATTTCGCCCTTTAACTCGTTTTCATCTTTCTCTTGAAGAATTGCTCTTAACTCATCAACCTGAGATGAAGTTGATTGTGGTGACTTCGTAGCAGTTAACGATTCAGAGTTTGGAATCGACTGAAATGATTGAAAGTCATATATTGCCGCGAGCTGCATGGATGGCTTCATGTAGTTGAGCTTCGATTTTTTGGCTTTGGCTACTGGTTAGAAAAATTCTAAATCGAGAGTTAGAATTTGGTTACTAGAAGTTCATCTGTTCACCTTCTTAAGGAAGTTAAAATGAAAAGAGCTTCAAGCGCATACAAATTAGAATATTTATAGCAGCTGCTAATATTCGATCTTAACTCTTCATTTAACAGGTGTTTGTCTACCTTATAAACTTTTTACACTCTACCTGACTTTGCTGTTGTCCTGGAACATTTTGCGTCCCTAATCTTCTGCTGCTCTAAAATTTTTCCCTTCTTTTGAAAATCATAAAGCTAATAGATGGCTTTGTACTTCTGCTAAGAATAAGAACAATAGTTCATTTCAGAATAATAATTTACCAGTTAAATGGTCGGTTTATATTCGAGTTAAATATCTGCACTCAAAATATATGAAAATGTGGTATTAGGAGATGACTGTTAATATATTTTATGAATAAATTTATATAAGAAACTTGATCTAAGTTTTTGGAGACTTAATTTTTTTGTATTTTTGTTATTTTTATATTGTGCAAATAATTTTTGTTATTTTTGTAATGCTTCCTGCAAAACAAGTCAGTCAATTGTACAGAAATCTTGAAGTTGTTGGCACTTGGATATTTAATTTTAGAAGTCAAATTGTCAGTTAAATGATAACTGACTTTAATGAAATAATAGCATGCAAAGGCGCAAGCTACAACAGCCACAACAAAAGCAGCTTTGACTTTTTCTATTTGAGGTAACCGTGCAGTCATCAAAAAAGATTTACAAAACGCCTAGAAAAGGCACTTTTCGCATTTAAGTAACATTCCTTGATCAATGTGTAATTTGCATAAAATTATTGCAACGATAAACTGTACGGAATGATTATTCTTTCTTTGAGTAAAATAAGTAAAACAAACTTTGATAAGAAAAAGTGACATGAAAAGATGGAGACGAAAGTACCACAGACGCTTATTTCTAATTTTTTCCAGAACCAATAGTGTCTTCAAATTTAATAAAGGGTATTTTGTTTCTGGCCTGCTGAATTAAATTTCCTCCTTCAGAGGTGAGAAGAATGTGAAAATAAGAATTTCAGAATATGCTGAATGTTTCAATAACAATTTTTTAACTTGAGCAAAATGTTTCAACCCTTATGTTTCTCTTAAATTTTTGGTAGGGATATATTTTTTTTCTTAAAGTATCGGTTGCTTAATAGCTATTGTTTAATACTGCTAATGCTTATGGTCTAAAGCCGTTCAAATTTGTGGTAAAGGCCATAATTCATTTCTTCCCGGTCCTTGCTTGAAAAGAAAAAAGAAGCGGAAAGAACAGCTGAAAGATTCATGATGACAGTATCCACTCTACCATGTAAATTACCCATTTAAAAGCTAGTTAAAAGCAAAATACCGCAATCGGCTATCCCATTCCGTTCATTAGCGAAGCACTTTTAGAGATGATGAAACAGTCAGGCGGGTGCTTCAAGTGGTTACTGAAATAGTTTCTGAGAAATGGAGATTTAGAGAATTTGAAATGAAAAACAATGAGCAATGAGTCAGTCAGTTAACTGCGGTTTTGAAATGATTTGCAAAATGGCAATCAATTCTTTTGGGTGATATGAGATCATTAATTATTAAAAAGAGTAGGGCATAAGACTAAACGGAAACGCAACCAACTGGGAGACACTCTAAATCATTACTTGTTATTAAGACTTTCAATAGCGATCGAGTCTCAAAACCTTCGAAGTGATACTTCCAAAATATAATTAAATATTTGTCTTTTTTAAATGCATCTATTTTGTTTATTGCTATATTCGCTTACCATTCTGTATTTAAGGGTATAAATGGATTTCAATCTTGAAAGAATCAATCCTAACCTTTTGAAAAAGCTGTCACCAAAAATCAGCCCATTCAAATTACTTCAGAGGTTAAAGAAAGGAAAACTTTCATCATGTCTTATTCAGTTTTACAGCCCTCACAGATAATCATGTGTACCATAAGTTGCACTCACCTGTAATTAGCAGGTGAATTTTATTCATTAGCTATAATACAATATTAGCACAATATTCAGGTTTTTCTCTCGAAATTCTTGTGATAAAAGAAGAAATATATTCTCTAATTAGATTTTTCGCAAATATTCTCCGTCTGGTCGCTAATGAAAGGTTAGAACAATAACAATTTAAAAGATCAAAGAAGAGTAGGAATGAATTAATCATAATGGAAAGGATGGAATGAAAGGTAGAAAGAGTTCAGAAACTGAGGACCATACCGGGAATGAAGTAAACAGTGGCTGTTGGACTCTTAGATTATAGGAACTGAATGTATAAGGAAATGACTAAGTCAATTGAGGAGTGAGTGCTATACATTGCAAAAATGACCAGCAATAAACATCGTCCATCTTAGGTCATACACATATATATATATATATAATTGCTGCAATGCATTTCACTTCATTATATTCAATAATTGCAATAAAAATTGTGATGTGAAATAAATTTTGGCAATGATTTCTATGAATATTTCAGGCTCTAGAAGTGCCTTTCATCCCATTACGCATGCAAATGTAAGTTACAACTTCGTTATTTCAATTACTTCATCGCAGACTACGACAAACCTATAACGAGAGATCTAGGAACAATTTTTATAAACAAGATATTAAGAATTATCCTTATAATACAGTAAAATACTATTTATACAAATTAACCTAATAAAATCTGTACATATAGACAGAGTAAAATATGAATTGGCACGTGTTACCTGCATCAGGCTTTGTACATTGATCTAGTTTTGCAGATTCACTTGCAATTATACTTGGACATTGATATACACTTTCATAATGAAAGAACAAATTGTAATACTTCATTATTCAACATGTTTACATAGCTTCTTGATTTACGAGTAGCCTTATTTGTTGATCGAGGAGTGGATCATGCTGTTTGTTTGCGAGACAGTTTGGTGAAGAAGAAGAGAGCAGGTAAAATGTGTTACCTGCTGTGAGTCTTTTTCCGATTTGCGGTATCACAGTATTTCGGTGCTACACTCCGACCGCTAACGCATTAGTTGCATTTCCTGTTTATACACTTCTTTCTTTCCGTTTACTTTTTGTAATGAAACCGCTGTTTTATTTTTCTAAATGTTTCTATTTCAACTATGCGACATTTAATGGATGTCACTTCCTTTCTTACCATTTATATTTTTATCAAAAAATGACGACAAAGTAATTAAACTTGAAGCATTTATTGTTTCAGAAATATTTACTTCCTTCATTAGTTAATAATTTGCCAATTTAATACCATATTGTCTGCACTTTCATATTCTGATTATTTTTGTATTCTTCAAAAGATTTGAGCGCCAAATATGCAACATATACTGTTACACATACTTCACACTTCCAGACTTTCCTCTGCATAGCAAAAAAAAATCTGTGATTTGAATTTTTTTTTTCATAGTTATTTATTGATATTATTTTTATAATTGTCACGTTTCGATTTTAAGGAATTCAGTTTTAACCAGTGAAAAGTTCTCTGTGTCCTTTATTTTTATTGTTTTCAAACTTACTGTTAAATTTTATTAAATTTTGTTCATTTGTTGGCATTTTATTTTAGGAAATATTGCTCACTGTGAAATGATAATAAATAAAAAACATCAAACTGAGTAACAAAGTAATAGCTACTGGAGCATATGCAGAAAAATTCATTTAATTTCTGTTCTTTTGTAGTAATAAAATTTATTTAAACAATATTTCTATATTCCATTTATTTATAAGGTTATGGTAGAAAATCATTCTACTAAAATTTTGTTTGATTCTCAACATCCTGAAGGTAAATAATTATGAAACAACATTTATGTTCTAATTGTTTGTACCGATGAATCAGGAAGTAATTGAATTAATGAAAACATTTTTAAAAAGATTTTGAAAATGTAGTCGAATAATATAAAGATTTTTTGCAATATTGAAGGAGTGATTTGGAAATGATGAAAGAAAGTTAAATTTCCATTCATTCAAGAAATAATTTTGCATTTCATAATTTTCACAAACCTCTTTCAATTGCTAATCTCTTAGTAAGTTCAAATAGTCGGCAAAAATTAGTTCCGTAATTTGGAAAATCCGAATTTTTCGTGCAACTTTAAAAATAATCGGTTTCAAATTGAGCGACAAATAATATTAAATTTTATAATATGGCATCAACAGTAACCTCTATGAGTTTAGCTTTATTTGATTTTAAGATATCTTAAAATCAATGGTTCACATAAATGTGCAACCGAGTAATTCGGATAAGTAAAAAAGTTTTTCCTATGGTATCAATAGAAATATTCGTATTAAATTGGACTTGATTTAAATTTTGTTCATTTTTGTATTACAATTAATACTCAATAAATCACTTCAGCATTTCATTTTTTTGGCTGTTACAAAAATTAAAAGTTAAATGAAATTTGGATTGTTATAAATCCAACAATAATGCACCATCCATTAGTCTCATCGTTTAATCTTATAAGGAAATTATAATGGAAAAAATTGCAGAAGGTAGAAGACAAGCACTCTATAAAATACCGTTGAAAAATAAATATAATTAGGATGTAACATTAAACATAAAAATGTGACATTATGCAGTTTAAGCATTAATATATTTAAAGTTATATTAAGAAGTCGAAGTTTTAGTATCCATTTCTTCTTCTTTCTAGTATCTTTTAATATCTGACATCGATAAAGAGAAATAATTATTGTTTGGCATTGAGAAATGAATGCAATTCAAAGCATTTTATCTTTAACATCAATAGCAGAAGCAATGCAAGGTGTCTAAAGCTTCGAGAGATTTAGAGGTTAGCTTTGGACTTAGAAAACCTCAGTACTTTTGATATTATCCGAGATGAAAGGGAAAAGAAAAGCCTAATTACCGTTCATTTTGCTGTTGATCCACCCCTTCCGCCAAGTCTGTACAAATGATTGGCTAGAGTTTGGCACTTCAACTGCTGGGCTAACGATATCGATAGTTCAGCGTGCTTTTCACCCCGCCCACTTCCGTAACGAACCACAGATATGGTGTGTCCTTCTTGGAAGATGGGTTGGTCGATCATAATAGTTTCCAAGGCTTCCGAGCCAAGAAAAAGAAGGAAATCAGAGGGGAAGGAGATGCCGGACGTTATCGCCGCAGTACGGGAAGGAAACTGACTGCAAATGGATTCAAAATCGGATGTTCGACAGCAACCAGCTAATCCTAATTCTGCGCCACTACTGCCTGCATTACAAGTGGCAACATCGGCTCTACCTGGACCAGCTACTAGTACAAGCTCATCAGTAAGCAAAGATCCACAGCCAAACATCGCTCTTACCAATTTTAATTTCGGCGCTTTTCAGGTATTGAAGAAAATAATCGGAAATCCCGTCTTAACTTACAATGTCTTTCTCATTTTCCCATATTGGCTAGTTTTTATTTTCTGCTTTACAAATAATTCTAAACATTCATCACTCTTTCCCTCCAATCTAACCAGATATCTAGCTCATTATAGATTTCACCTTGCATATCACTAACTTTCATTACTCTTTTACTCCACTTTAATGTATCTTATAACTTTTGCAGCTATATGTTTAAAACATTCTACTGTATTCAATACATATTACTTCAAAGATTATGATCAACTCCTTCAAAAGTTTGATTAGTTCAGATGCAAAAATATAGATAAATCTATATCTTTTTTTTTTTAATTTGTTCTAAATTATTAAAAAATAGCTACAAATGCTTGCGCTGAATGCATTTTTGATCTACCATAGTTTCACTTTCCCAACATAATTTTATGATTTGAAATCTATGAAATCATTACGCCTGTTAAAGTAATTGTAATTTCATGAAGCTGCTCTGATTGCTAGAAGTTGCATTTTATAACCCATAGAATTAAAATCATATTATTTAGTTCAGCAAAAATTTGCCGCATGATATTTAAGGGTAGTAAAATGCTGAGCATGGTTTGGAAGATCTCTAGTTGCAATTACGGTTATTGACCGTTGTTAGCTTTACTTCCGAATTAGCTATTTTGTTGTTATATTCTGGGAACTAAATCATTTTTCTGCACTTACAGTAATGATAGAATTTAAGGTTTCGAAATAGATTAGCAAAATAAATTAAAAATCAAGAAATTTTGACGGACTAAAATTAAGCAAAAGGCTTGTTTATAACTTAGTAATTATGTACCACTTAAGTAGAACTATTCTATTGATAAGTAAAACACGTCAATTCTCCTTTCAGTTATCAGCAACCAATGCGAACGTTAACACTACAGCAAATATGGTTCCCATTTCACAGAGGAACATTTTTTATGACACAAGCAGTACTTCGATACAAACGCATAAACAGCAAATCACTCATCAAACCGGTAATTTTTCTTATTCAGTGCTTCGTTGTTGCTTGAGCACTTATTAGTTTTTTCTTGAATTTTAAATTGATCCTTTCATTTTATCATTCATTTCCCAGATTTCATATTCACTGATATGTCTTGCAATACAAAAGAATAGGGAAATTAATGATGACACAACGATCTGTTACTGTAGATGTCACGGTAACGCGATACTTTATCAGTACAACATTCCTTTTGTAACCTCTCGAAGACTCAGCAAGTACTGTGAAATGCACTTAAGACTGATTCTTTTTGCGCATTATCTCGAAGAAAGCTTTTGGAAACTAATTTATTATATTAAGCATTCTTTTCTCAAAGCAATGACTTCTAGAAATTAACTTTCGAAAATAAGTCCTTCGAAATGAGTCTTATTATTGATATGGATTTCAATTAACTCGTTTTGTGTCTTCCTGGAAATGCTTTTTAATCCCTCTAATACTTTCGTGATATAAGTAAATTAAAATATTCCAATTGTCTAGTTTGTTTAATTACTTTTTCTGATTCAAGAATAAACAAAAACGAAATTCCCTTCACATAGCATTCAAAAATTTATTTAAACAAGATTCGTCTGCATAGAAACTAACTCTATTTATTATACAAATTATAGCATTCTCTTGAATAATGTGCGCTTGAGATAGCTAATGATTTGTAAAGAAGGGAATTTTGAAAAGCTGACAGTTTTATTGATTTTTAGTTGGATTTTACATAGACTTGGAGGATAATGGTTCTTGATTTCCCGAATTCCTATGTGAAGCTGCAATAAACTCAAGCAAACATGTCTTGTTGATTTTTGTGCAAATTTCTAGTGTCAATTTTCTTGGAGGGATATTTTAATAGCGTTATTATTTGAGAAATGAGAACAGTAGCAGAACAGCAAGCAAATTTCATTACAAAAAGTTACGTCTATAAATTTGAAGAAAGAATAATAGTCAATTTGATTGGAGCGGTACAAATTTTATTAGGAAAATTTTGAAGTTCAATAGCTATATTTTTCAAATTACTTTTATCTCGAAATTTATTACATTTCAATTGCAGAACATTAAGGTTAAAAGGGACTGAAAAGAATTAGGCAGAATTGAAAGCCAGTTCTCGGGCAAAGTAATAAACTGATTTCCTTCCTCGGAGGCAAATGTTATTGCAGTCAAATTTGTAAAAAGAACAAATAAACATTTATCGAAATTTTATTTTCCAAACTTTTCTTTGATCTGTTGAATGTTGTTTGAAATTCTGACTCATGTCAAAAGTATAAGCTTATTTATTCATATTTTTTTCTCTTGCTTTATTTTTAAGTTTAAAAAAGAAATAAGTAACAAAACATGCAAATGTTATAGCACATATCAGATCAGGGATTCGGATTTCGTGAAGCCTTTTTGAAATATCACATACTGATCTTTTATATTGAGTGAACATAAATTTGATTTTATTACTAATTACTTTTTACTAATTTACATTCTCATATTGAGTTACTGTTCAACTTTCTGACAATGTACTTGTTATTTTATCCTGTCCTTCCTTATAGGGATGAATTTGAACGCTAATTCATTTCATGCTACGGCACCAACTCATTCGTCGACAACGACCACAACTGTAAAGGAGGAGGTAAAGGTATGTTTTTAAATCATCCGCCAATTAATATTACCACAGATTGAAAATTATGCGGTGGTATTAATCGGCGAATAATTTAAAATATTTAGTATTAATTTTCAACTTTCGATTTTTTAAAACGGTTGAAAAAAATAATTGAAATTCAATCAGCTGGGATATAATTTTGTTGTTCAAGGTTGTGTAAAATTTTAGCCAACAACGTTAAATTCATCGTGCTTCAGTTGCTCATCATTACGACTACCGACGTGTCATACAACAGCATTTGGACAACCTGGTTTGTGTACATTTTATTACAATGGGATATGATCCAATAATTCAAAGCATGCTTTTAAGCGATCAACAGGAGTCAATTTATGCTAAGCATTACTCACCGTTTTTCAATTTCCTGTTGATTTGCTTTGATTGGTTTTAATTAATCAGTCACTGAATATTCTTTCACTCCAAATTATCATCTCAATTAGGAAGTCAAAGTAATTTTATAAACACTTGAAATCTATAATTTCAGTCTGATTTTCCATGTATTAAATCTAAAAATTTTTTAACATTTAGTATTACATTTATATACAGTTATTAAAATCAATGAATTTAGAAATTTTTTAAAGTTCTAGAAAGTTTGATTAACAATTTTAAACTAATTGTGGCAATTCTATACGAAGCATAGTTTGGTTCATATACCCAATTACTCATTCTTTATTATAAGTGTAATTGTTATAGCTCCTAGCAAGAAAAGCGAAACCGATAATAGGGATTTCTTAAAGGGAGCTATTATTTTGTGGTAAATATTGGCACATTGGCAAATATGTTTCGAAAGCTTATTGTCGTTGTGTAGCCTACATGTGCGCTCAAATGAGAGTGTAGCAAGCGCTATTACATAGAATTAAACAAAGAAAGCCGACAGGATTCAGCCCAAGATTGTGTTGATAGTATCAAGGGGGCCAATATCGTTTACCTCTATCCCATCCCGTCACTGCGCTGTCTCTTCCTTTCGTTGAAAGCACTCTATCATACCTTCAAAAAGAATGCGTAATGAGATAATAGGTTCATAAGTATTATGCAAATTACTGTAATCGATATGCGGTAGTTGCAATATAATGACAAGTTGCATTTCACTTAACATCTCTGTCTTTCAACCACCAAAATGAAACGAGAAGTTAACTAGATTGATTTTTTTAAATGAATGAAGTCCTTATAATTTGAGTTGAATTGGTTTAAAAACAAAATAAAAATCAGAAAAAGTCTGACAACGCATTGAAGCAAATTTTCAAATTTATGACGTATCTTTTTATTTATGTTCATTTTCCCTACCTGTTTGACCTGTGGCCTTCTACAGAAAGGTTGCTTTTGTATAATGCTTATGTCTGAAAGAAGAAATTGGAAAAGAAAAAAGTCTTGTTCTCTATGCAATATACACAATTTATTTTGTTAGCAACTGAATTCTCTGCAGTAAGTAGGAGTGAATTACCGATTTACACTGCTGTACAAGGTGTCACATCCTTGTACAGCAATCTTAAAAACAAGAGACATATCATGAATAGAGTTGTTAAGACCTCATAATCTAACTTGTATCCTTGTTCCATTCCACAAGTGCAATTTTGTTTCAATAGGATGAACTAAAGCCTTTCAAAAAGTGTATGGACACGGCAAGGCTTATTAAAAGAAATTTTTGTTCAAACATTGTTAGGTATTTGTGGAAGAGGGCAGAAAGGTCATCATGGATCAGTAAAATTGGCTTTAATCTTATAAAAAAGCTTTTTAGTCTCTGCTTTCAAACGAAAAGCATGGAAATGAATGGGTAAGGAAAGGTAGATAAATAAGTGAAATCAAGGAATGGCAGCTGCAGCAGTCTAACAAAAACATAATGAGCACGGCAGTACCCGTACGACAATTTTACTGAAACGTCCATCATGTAACCCTAGTCCTTAACCCCACATCAAAATCGAACACTAATTATTTCCCTTCAAGATATAATTGATAGAACAATAAATGGGGCAAATCTGTACAATTTTATTTACCAAAATCAAATTCTAATTATCCAAATGTTTAAATGGAAAAATATTTGGTCGTTTTTTTTCTTTTTTTTTTTTATACTTTTGAAATTTGAAAACAATTCATCAAGTTTTGATAGAGTTGCTGAATTCACATAATATCATTAGTAATATTTACTGTTTGACGTAATTTTTGAAAATCTTTTTGAGTTAATAGGCAAATAAATATAAACATGAAAAGTGAATTGGTCATCAGTAATAAGTATTTTCTTTTACTTGCAAAGTAATCCGATTGAAATAAGGCCAAGACTTGCTGGTTTATAATGCCGATACTAATTGCATACTTTTCAACTACCGTAAACTTGACTTTCTTGTTATAGTTTGCTAGTGTACTACTAAGCTAATTAAGACTAAACCCTTCAAAGAACAAAATGAGTTTCTGTTCTGACTGTCTTAGCTGTGTAAGAATAAAGTAAGGGTCAACTGCTTTCTATCCTGTTCTTCTTCCTTTTCTCTCTTTCCCTTTAATTCCATCATCTTCAATTTAAGGCATCGCTAACTCCAATGTTTTCATAGTATACTCATTCAGGAGTCTGCTCAGCCTCAAATTCAATAAGCCTAATCAGAGGCTTTCTGTCCCTTGCTCTTCCTTTTGCACCTCTTTAACGCCAAAACTTATTTCACATGTCTTGAAAGATTCCAAAATGGAAATCATGACTTCATTTGAATGAATTATACAAAGAATGAATCAATCAAAACAAATTCAATCATCCAAATGGCGGTGCACATGCACGATAAAATGATGAAGAAATGATCATCAGTGGAGCATTTAAACAAACTGATTTTCTACGATATCTCGGGATTGTCGGGGAACATTCTTGGCACGCTAAAACAAATATTGGCAAAATATTTAATACTTGAAGAGTTGGAATGATAGATTTGGACTTACTCATAGTGATTTGATGTTTGTGTCTACAGAAATGTAACAGAAAATTGTTACTTATTTCATCCATCAGTGATTTGGCTGTTATGCTAATATCAGTATCATATTTTACTGCAATTACCTGTGTGAAAAATATATGGCAAAAAGTATGTACCTGAAAATTAACAGCTTGAAAATAATATTTTAAATAAGTTTAATAAAGTCTTCAGATCCGTATCAAATCTTGGGTCCGACAAGTAGTCGACTGGCAAGTGCAGGTTAGTTTTCACAATAACTACTTTTGTTTCGAAAATATGCGGTGGTTGTTTTTCAAATATTTCGCTAAAGAAGAATTTTGTAATCTATGAAAGAACTGCAATATAATGATTGGCAATGAAAATTACAACATATTAATTTAAAAATTTTATTCAGCTATACAAATAAAAACTATCAGGTAGTGGACAAATTCAACTTTGGCAGTTCCTTCTGGAGTTGCTGTCAGATAGCCGCTATGCGGAATCTATCACTTGGGAGGGTACGAATGGTGAATTCAAGTTAGTTGATCCAGACGATGTGGCTCGTCGTTGGGGTGAACGAAAAAGCAAGCCAAATATGAATTATGACAAAATGAGCCGGGCGTTGCGATACTACTATGATAAAAATATTATGTGTAAGGTGCATGGAAAGCGATATGCTTACAAATTCGATTTTCAAGGTTTGAAAAGAAAACTGATACTTTATTGTCTAACAAATTTAATAACTAAAGTTACTGTCGCAATTATTTTTGAAGAACAGTTATTTTAAGCAAGAATAAAGAAGTTTCTTATCATTTAATTCTCTTGTCGCATAAATCAAATAATACCACGGTCTCCTATTTCGCTTAAGAAAATTTGAAAAGAAGTTCTGTAAATTTTAGAAAAAGTAAGACACTATAAACTAAGTTTTAGGAATAGCGCAAGCTCTACAACCGCAAACAAATACCACTTCATCAGATCTGTTCCAGCAATCACGACTACATTCTTCAGAATTCATCCATGCACCGTGGGCTACCGCAAATTATCGCACACTTATGACACCTCAATTCCAGGTTCACTTATAGCATTTGTGATAGTAATTAAAACGAAACTAAGATAAATACATTTATTTACATAGCTTTTATTAATGAGAAATTAAATGCAGTAGAGGTGAAATAAGACTATAAAATGCTATATTTTATAAAGACATTATCTTATCGCACTTTCTTACGATTATCTTTTTTCGTTTCCATGTTTACAATTAGAACTTTTGGATAAATATATTTAAACTATTGTTTAATATTTCCAAGATCCTGATATTTTAAGAATGCGAGCTTTCAGGCATCTGCTGCAGCAGGGGCTTTGTTCAATCCACCGGTTGGCTATGCTAGTTTTGGTACATCCGGTAATGGTGCCCTGCAGGCACGTAATTTTCCGCTCTATGCGTCATCCAGTTACCCTAAATGTATATAGTACTAGTCGATCGATGTAAGATAATAGTCAAAAATGAAAATTACTGTCCATTAATTCAATTATAGATCAAGAATAAGAAGATTATTTTCTGAATTCTGATTTTACTTATTAGATTTCCCCATTTAACTGAAAGATGTTTATATAGTTCTTACGTCTGTGTATTTGATATGAATTTTTCTTGTGCATGCGCATTATTCCTGTCGAAACACTGATTTGTCTTTGATGTCAACTTCATAGTATTATGTTTCTCAGCATTTGAAGATTTTATAAATGAGCAAAGTTTCAGAGTTAGCTTTAATAGCAGAAACCCTTGAATACAAATATACATCATCATCATTCGTTTTTTTTTTAATGTAGATAATCGATAGTCTTTTATTTTTTGCGAATTTATTTTGTTCCTTATAACCGATCTCACTGTAATTTTATTCGCTTGAAAATCTCTAATTTCTGACTTAACGTATTATGGCAATGTAATAACACAAATTGAGATTCCATAAAATTTTTATATAAAAATTCAAAATGAAAAAATTGTACAAATCAAGAGGAAGATATTCAATAGTTTGTTTTTTCATCAATTTTTCGCCAATTGGGTTTTGGTTAGTTCATTTGCTCGGGACGAAGAAAACCAGGTACCACCAAAATGGTATTCTCGAATTTATCTAAACTTATTTTGAACTTATTTTAGACCTTACTTTAGATTTTACATTAGATATTCAAATTTTAGATCTTTGAACTTATTTTAGCAAATTTTATCGCCTAGCTGTTGAAGAAAAATACATCTTTAGAGATCTTGACTCCGAGGTGGATGAAATTATCGAGTACTATCCAAAAAAACTATAATTTTCCCTTTCACTGAGCAAAAAGTGAAATTTTTGATGTCAGCTTCTACCAAACAAAATTCATCACAAATAAGTTATCATCATTCCTTTTATAAGTTGATATAAGCTAACCATGGATAAATTAAAAATGAAAATTGCAAGTACAGACAATGGTGTCAACTATGTGTCAAAAGTTAAAAGGTTGATCATCCCTAAATTTCATTCTGATATCAACAACTGATAACTGAATGAAATATGCAAATAAGGCCATCTCATAACATTTATAAATGCTTTCTTAATTCATGTTTATTTATATTTGTGTTTATTTATTATCACTCACATAATAAAAAGTGATAAAGCTGTAATAGAAATATCTCTTCCAACAGATTCTCAAAAAAACTAAAATTTCCGGGTAAAATTGCAGTTTGAAATTGTTATACTATTATAGCAATTAGGTAATGCAACTTCTCATGCATTTGTAAATAATTTCAAGTGTTGGCGCTAAAATTCACTTTTTTACATCACATAACGCAGTAAAAGTTAACCTTTCAGCACTTGTTTTTTTCGAGAAAATTTGAACAGAAAAGACAAAGGAAATATCTCTGAACGACATTTTCGGGTTCCTTAGAAAGCAAACACTGAAATTCATGTAATCGAGAGTATTCTCTTAATAGCATAATTTGGTTTAGAACACGATCATTTTCTTCATATTTTCCAAAGCGATTTATATGATATCCTTATCGGAGCAAAGACTCAGAGATTACTGATATATCAAACAAAAAAAAAAAAATCTTGCCAACCACATTTTCAGCGTTAAAGAAGATTGTCCTTTCAATTAAACTTGAGTTAAAAATTAACCAGCTGATATGCCCAATTTACACTACGAACTTTCTCCGAAAATTTTTTTTTTCTGACATCAAATCGAATAGATAATCTGAAAATGCAAATAAAGTGTTGGCTTATTTCGTGATGAGATACTTAATTTCATTGAGGGCCAGAATAAAACCAGTAAACGAGCGACTTACTGCTTCTGGGCTTTTAAATCGCGTTCTCATTTCTTATGAGCTTTTTTTTTTTTTTGTTTAAGGAATTTATTGGCTTTATACGGATTAGATGAAGTAGTAAGGTATAAGACAACTGTTGCTTAGAATCTTTCAGAATGAGAACTTCATGTTGATGTGAGGGAGCATTTCCGAATAGATCAACGACAAATTGCTGTAACTAATTTACAACTTTGTGATGATCTGTGTTGCACACCTTTTGTACCACGTTGCAACCCATATATTCTTACGCAATTGCTAGTAGGATGCAGTTGTGCAAGTGACTTACTAAAGCAAACTGCATGTAGGACTGTGCAGTTATTATTTAGAGTGCTGGATTTTGTCGCCCCATCCACCGATGCAAACTGAGATAAAAAATGAAGCGCAATTTCTTGTTATTGATGTGTTGATGGGCGGAGCATTGCACCGTGTTAAATTCTGTTAGGTTGCGTACATGCATGCATAAACGTATACGTAGTTTGTTAATATAATTGTGTTGAAACATCGAGCATTTTAACGTTTCTTTGTTAGCGATGATTGCAGTTGAGAGGTAGAATACCAATCAGTCATGATTCAGGGCTTCTCTTTCACATAAAACATCTTACTGGTAGTTCCACTGGTGTGAATTAATAGAGATTTCTGGATTGTGTTCTTTTTTGTGGTCATCACTGACTTTAATTCTCCCAGTGTGATATACGGACCATTCTTTTATTTTTGTGTTCCTTAAATGTCCAATTTACTTACATCACTTCCAGTTATTGTTATCTAGTGTTTGATAACTTGAATATGCTTTTTTTTTCAATTTGAACTTCTCTAATTTCTAATGCTGAATGAATTCGTTTTTGAAGCATACGTATTTTTAAAGCATAAAGCGAACTTTAAGAAAATTGATGAGTGCGGCAGATAACTCTGAAGTTGTTGGTGAAGGAGGAATGCAGCTGATGAAGCATAGCAATCCAGATGCAGCCCTTGTATTACTCTTCGGATGGGCTGGTTGCAGCGATCGATATTTAGCAAAATATTCCAAATTCTATGAGAAAAAGTAACATTATCAATCCCGCATATTAATAAAGGAAAACCGCTTGTAAGAGCTGAATTGTTTTCGAATGGACAGACAATTCTAGAGAACAATTCAAGATCTTAGCTATTTTTTAGTTGTTTGAAACGCAAACGTCTAGTAAACCGGACCCGTAACATAAATATTATGTCTATAACTGATTTCTCAAAATAGTGAGGGATATTTCTTTCATTATATATGGATAAAAATGATTTTATTAGGAATGGTGGAAAGATTTTACGTGGAAAAAGTGTAGCTGGGTCTTGCAAAGGTTATAGAGTTTCGCGCATTTACTGATGCTTAGCATCTCAGCCACTTAAGTTGAATTATCAATTTATTTAGTTTTCTCATCAATTTTCCCTTTCTAACTTTCAGTTATTTGATTTCAGTTACTCAGTCTTGCGCTTTACGGCTGATATTCAAAAAATCCGGTCTTTCTCGTCTTATCGGAAATTCGCATTGGATATTTATGAGAAGATCCTCGAAACAACAACGGCACTTTCCATATATTGTCACATGTTCAGCATGAATGGTTGTTCAACATTTTGCGCCTTGTGGGATCTACTAGATACTGTCGCGGATTGCGAAGCAATGAAGTCGAAATTTAAAGGCTTGATTTTTGACAGGCATGTTGAATAACTTTGTCTTGTTCGAATCATATAGTCTTTTTATAATCTGAAAGGGGCAGAAAATTTTGATTGCAGTAGAGGGCAAAAACTGAAAATGTCGTATGTCCACGCTTCGCTTTTCTTTGATTAATAACTGATTAAGCTGTAATTATCAACTATCTGTCATTAGAACCGATTATAGAGAATTGAGGGCCTTCTCTCAATCCATCATGCCAGTGCTAGAAAACCATTGATGATGCTGCTGAGATCGAGGTCACAAATCAGAACTGGTGTTACGTAAAGGAAATTTCGCGTTGTAGAAATTTTGATTGTTGCAAAACCGAATTAGCGGTTTTTGGAGCGATGTCCTTTTGATGTGGTTTTCTGTGTGTTGTTGTGTAAACTACTCTTCAGTCACTCTGTATTAAAAAGTTAATAGCTCATATGTTAATAACTGACATTAGTAGTACTGTTTTTAATCCTAAGATTGTCAATTTTTAGTTCTCCAGCATACGTGACACCGTGGCAGGCAGCAGCAGCAATATCATTTGCTCTATTGCCACCGTCCGCTTACGGCAAGACTTTACGTGAAACTTATCGTCTTATGCTAGTTGGCTATTTTTCAATACATCGTTCTGTGATTTGGCTTCGATCTCAGTGGGACAAAAATGTTTATGAACGGAACTATTCTTATTTCCGGATGTTGGCAATGAAAGACTTGCCGAAATACCAACTTTATATCTACAGCTCTACGGATTCCATCTGTTCAGCTGAAAGCATCGAGCAGTTTATAACGCATGAGCATGAACGAAATGCAGTAATTTCAAAATTGTTTTTCAACGACACACTTCACTGTCAGCATTATCGACTTCATCCTGAAGAATATGAACAGGCTTGTGTAGAATTTCTCAATAAAGTATGATAAATGGTAATAAAATTGTTAAAATCAATCCCTTCCCTAGGTAGCACTACTTATTCAACTTTAAATTTTGATCATTCCAATCTGATATTCATTCACCCAATATTTATTGTTTACATGAACATTAATTAGCTCTGATATTATTATTTTATTTGTCAAGTAAATGTCTTTAAATTGCTTTTGTATGATAATCACTGTATTGTTCATTTATAAATTTCGTATGACCATTAGAACAGTAATATACGGTTCATAGCATTGTATTTCTGGATTTCTTCTGACCACTACAAATTTCCAAATCGTTTCTTATTTTTTATTTAATGGAGATTTATGTTGCTTTGTGTTTGGTCACATTATGCTTAGTTAAATTTTAATGATTTTTGTTGATTTTTTTCTAAATATTCGACCTACCGTAAGCATAGCGGAGATTATATGAAATAATTCTAGATTATTCTAAGAAAAAGGCTATATGCTACAAATTAAAATTTTTTAAGTTATCGTCTGTTCGGAGAATTATTTTAAAGAAATTTCAGAATTGATCCTTAATGTACGCTACTGCGACGTAGGTAGGTATTGGATAGCGTCTTAAATTTTCATAATAGTGATGACTTCAAACACTCGATAAAGTTTGTTGTAAACAACCGATGTATATTTTCTGTAATTTTCACCATGTATATGCTAGCTAGTAGATGTTATTATATGTAATATTAGTAATAGTATGAGAGAAAGAAACAAAAGGTAATTATGTGTTATTTGGTTTTGGAAGTAATAAGAAATTTTTGGCTTCCATCTTGACTTCTCGATCGCGCAGGAAAAAAATTTAATGAGTTTTGTTTTTTCTTATTTTCTCATTTTCTCTTTATTTTACTAACATTTTCTTATTACTCAAGTCGTTGTTTTTTTGCTTTAATACAGTGTTGAATACTCATCAAATAAACTTTCATTCATTGATTTGGTCTTAAGGAAGGATGAGCGTTTCGGGATGCAAAAGTAGAGTCCAGGAAGAAATTCTCTTCATCATCGATTAGAAAAAAGATGGAAATAAGTCAGTTTTAGGATATAAAATTCAGAAGTCTTTAACTCTTTACCTGAGGATGGAACTTTACAAAAAAAAGAAATTTCTCGTATGAGTTGTCTTTCTGCATTTATGCTGATCTCAATTTACTTTAGGATTAAAACAATTTAGTCACGTGTAAACGCTTTTTTGTTCATACCTTCTTTAAATAAAGGTTCAGTTTGAACTTCTCATTTGTTAAATTATTGATAAATGTCTCTTAGCCATTGTCTGTTTGTCATTATTCCTTATCACCCAAGCGTTTTTACCGGTGATTTCTTTCTTTTTCACATTAGTATCAATCAACTCCTTTTGCAGTAAATATTATTTGTTTTTAATTCTGGCGACTGTTTTTTCTCTGATGAACATAGTCAAAAGTTTGATATAAAAATTTACGCAGATTTACTTTGCGAACTGCCTATTAGGAAAATTCCTGTAACATGAGTTAGTTCAGTCTACTTAGTTAACTCAAATCTTTTTAAAAATTTTTTCTAAAAATACAATTCTTCATGGAATGTTCGTTTGTGTCATCCCCATCATGTCTCGTAATCGTAACAAACAAATAGAAAGTAAAGGGTAGCAATGTATTTAATGATTTTGGAGGTAAGACTGAATAACTTAGTAAAAATAACACTACCACTGTTTAATAATTTGAAAGTTTGCAATAAGTCTATGGGAAAAAAAGGCTGGTTGCTTGAAAGGAAAAAAAATGTTTTGAGTGTCTAAATTCAGGACGTAATTGCTGACAGTTCCGAACAAGATATCAGAATTTCCTGCGACCTTCAAAAGAGGCACCATTTGAAAGTCCAAGTCAGAAATGAGTTTCTTGATAAGTTTTCAATAGTGGCCCACTGTTCAGTTATCTAAAATTCTTAGTGTATAGATTTCTTAGAACTTTATAACTTTAGGTGAACCAAACGTGTAATGATTCTTACGCTTGACAAATCCATCCCCTCGCAGCTATGATGTTGCAAAATTGCAAAAATTAATTTCTAATAATATTGGACAAGATAGCAATTGCAGTTATTAAACTATTAGGTAGGTAATTTCCCCTATAACCTACAAAAAGCACAGTGTTTGAAATTTTAAGTCATAAGTGAATATATTTACATTTCAAATGCATTTTGAGAATATTCCAGATTACTTTGTGATCAGGTTGATATCTCAGAAGCATTTCCGAAGGAATAATGTAGCGCCATACTTATTGGTGTCATTAACTATTTAAATGAAGATGAGAATATCTTGAAGCAATGATCTTTGAAAGCTCAGATTGAACTGTTGGCAATACTAGTAATAGTGACGTATAACATGAGAAACTATTCCATTTTATTTTATCACTAACTAAGGCAACTTGTGCTTTTGAAGAAGTTCTCATGAATGCCATCTATTTATTATCATCTTCGTTTGAGAAAAAAAAAACAATTAAGGAAAGAGCTGCTATGTGAAGATGGATTCAATGAATTCAAGTAGTTCCAGTGAATGATTCATCATCTATATCTAGTTTCTCTCAAAAAATATCCCTGCGGTAATATCCTGTTCATATTTGTCGCCTTGTTTAATTGTCATCATTCGACTTCCTCCTACATGTTATTCATACTATCCTTAACAACTTCATCCTGCACATCACATTCCACTTACTACTCAGTATGTTCGTAAGTTCATCTCTCATTCAACAACGATTTTTCACGAACAATATATATTTTAGTCTTGATAAACTAGCATTGATTACTAACTGTTTTTAGTGTTAGTATTTTTGTTCAGGATTTTTAAGATTACATACTTATTTATGGCCATATAAATAGATTGTGGAAATAACAATGAGCACCGCTGCAAATGGTTTCTATTTATTTTGCTCTTTTTTCCATTCAGACAACAACCACTATTAGCTATCGGTTTGCAGTCAAAAGGTTTTCACTTCGTTTACAAATTACATATGCATATAAGGCTGTTTAGTCACCTGACGACGAGTTCTACCCGGCAATGTCATCGATAAGGCCGGTCCGGTCCCCTCAAAGATTTATTTCGACAAACGATATTTCTGTTCGTATCTTCCTTTGCTTCTCTGTTTCTTTTCTACCTGTCTTTGTTTCAATAAAGTTTCGTGAAAGGTAAAACAGACGAAAAAACTTTTTCAAGTCCTTTTTTCTGCTTTTCATCGCCTAACACTTTGATTCCCCCCATGATGACGTGGCGCCATTACCACTGTAGTGATACAAACGTTGAAAAAATGCTTCGTGTTGCTCTTTCGAGCTACTGATACTTTCCTTATCTTCTACTTACATAGTTCATCAGTTTGAATGCTTTGATGGGCGTTACGAAAGAAATGTCTGTAGATAGTTTAAATAGATAGAATCATTTGATGTCTATATCGGGAATTCATGAATTATCATCAAACAGTTTTAGTAGTGGGATGAGGTGAGCGTAGCAGTACATAGCAGAATGGAGAGAATATATAATTGAACACAGCAGAATAAGTGATTGGTTTTAAAGAAATTCCCCGCATAGTAAAAATATGGTAGATTGAACTTATTAGTTTGAGGACGCAATATGCGCAGTATGTAACGGCATATGGTAGCACTGATCGACGATTCCTAGCAGTGTGTATGTCTACTTAGGTTTATCTAATTCAACAAAACTACACTGACATACTCGGTTACTACTGTCTTTATTTATGTTCCTTGCTTTTTTATAGATATGAATTTACGTCATTTTGATACGAGTAAAATAGACGATGCTGTGCAATGAAACAATTGAGCATCGTCATGTCATCTTCGTTTCATAAATACTCATTGAATCACTAAATCTCCGTACAGTGATCCTTTCGTCGCTCTCTAACTCATCAGTGATCTCTCCTCCATATCACTGATAACACCTCCATCTTCACACACATACAAGAAGAGATGAAAATTGGGAACGATAGAAGTGGGAACTGTTTTAAAAATGATGACGTCATGCGGAGAGTGTTGAAGAAGTGCGAGAAGGGGAATCGCATAGCTTGTAAGTAGAGTGTACCTACCGACCATACGAAAGATCGCATACTTTGTGGAGGGCACCAGAGAGCATGACTCATCCCTCCAACTGACTCCGCACTGACTCATCCCATTTCAGGCTGAACCGACACAGCACAGCACCAACCACCGTCGAGTATATCTCTACTGGTGTTCTCCAGTGAACTGTATGCGTGTGACCGACCATCTGCTATACGTATCCGTGTGAAGCATGTGTACGCTGACAGTGTTTTTGGGTCTCTTTTGACTCTGTGAAGCAAAAAGCATCCCGCTAAGAATGCCTGTTGCAAGTGTTAAGCTGTCATTTCCTTCTCGAAATAATCTGGCTGGCCATAGCTTTGCATAATGGACATCGATTTTTCATGCCTTTTCATTTATTTATTTAACTCTTTCATTAGGAGCTTATTACGAGTAGTAAATAAATTTCATCTTTCGTGAAACTTGTCTATTTTAAATATTAGCTTCATAAATGATATTCACGTTAAACTATTGACAGCCTAAAGAGATTTTTCGTTAGTTATCCGATACAGAGAGGAGCTTAGATCAGAGTGTTAGAAGATTTCAATGATTTCCATATATGTGACATTTTGCTCAAATCTCCTTCACCAAATATCGATGCATTTCCAACACAGCGAAGACACGGCCATCCGCGTCCCTGTAGCCGTAGCACACGCCAGACAACGTAAATGTCACGTGGCACTACGGGAAACCCCTGACAATACCAAACATCCATTTCCTTATTATTTGTTTACGTAATGATCAGGGCGAATAATGGGCCACTATGCAAACTGCCATCTCAGTGTTGTTATCTGATTTGATTACTTATGCTGGTGTAGAATCCCGGGATGAACTGAGTCAAGTTTTGCTTCTAATGCAAGGTGAGGCAAGAAACTGCTGTGATGACCTAATCAGATAGACATTATGGATTATTCGAGAGTGGAAGGTTTTCTTTCAAAACTTTATTAATTTCAAGCAAATAACTCTCCCTTAGTTTTCTATTTCATATGGTATATCTTTAATACGATAATCCATATATTGCAAGAAGATTAACTAATAGAATATCTAGAGAAGTTTCTTCCTTCATATGAAAGATTGATTTGACCAAACTTGAATATTTCTTTATTATTGTAATCTAACTGTAAGAAAGAAAAATTTTTAATTTTTTGTCTATAGTGAGGAAATTTCTAGTTTTGAAAACTCCTGCTATGTTATTGTTCATAATTTAAACATTAGCAACTGTTTTATCCTGAAATAGGGAATGTTTGATACTTTATATCCTTTCAAAATAATAAGCTAAGTATGTTGTTCTTGAACCTCTTCATTGATATCCAAGCCGTTACTTCGACGCCTTTCATACCTTCCTTATAATTTCTTGAAAAGACTTAATTTTCCGGATTTTTTTGTTACTGAGCACTACTTTGTCCGATGTTCTTAAATTTTTAGGATTCCTGAAAAGAAATGTCAACAATGCCATCTTCTGCAGCCGGAACAACTACCGATTTGTCGACAACGAATACAACATCATTAAAACAGCTAAAAAACAGCATGCATCTCGATTTCTCGTCTCCTACATCATCAAAAAAACAAGTAATTAGTGCTGACCTGTTGGATATCATCAAAGCATCACCAACGATAGGGAAAATGTTTTCCCAAGGTAAGATTTAATATTTTATTAATCTTTAAATGTTCGTTACTGCTTTATATAAGCTTTCGGAATTGGCTCAGAAAACTTTACTGGAATATATGGCTAGATGAAGTCAGATTTATAATACTATTAAAAATATATATAATATTATTGAAATTCATGTTTTTATGAATTTGAACATTTGCCAACCTACTGATTTGTTTTTAACATTGAACGTGTTTATTTGTAAAGTTATTGTTTACTATAGGTACAGCTACGCCGACCCCAACGAAATTATTGTATCCTTCTGAAGTTACATTGGCACAGCGACAGTATGCTCAAGGTTTTATTGGTAAGAAAATTAACTAAGTTATAATTTTATTGACTTAGTTGCCAAAACTTGAAATTCTATCGATTATTCCTATTCTCATTCTACTTTATCGCTGTTTTACAGTGGCAGCAGGTTGTTTGTTTTCTGAAATCTCCCTAAGAAGATTAAGGTAGTTTTCCTTCACAAATATTACTAGATTATATGGACTATTCACTATTTTGTATAAGAAGAGTGCGGCTTATTACATTCTACTGAACTATCATAAAATTAAAACAATATTTCCCATATGAAGCAGAAAAATTTGTTGATAGATTGTAGTATGAACTGAAGCACCTGAAGTACATTTGTCGGCGAGATCATATTCATGCTGTAGAAGAGTTTGTTATTTCTGTTAAAAAGTTTGTTTAAAAAAATCTTAGAAATGTGTCATAGATATATTAAATCTAATTTTATTTTTCATTATTATATTTACAACTAAACTTACGTCTACCATCTCCTAAATTGTTGTAGACATCGTTATCCGTTATTGTTATCAAATGTTTTTCTGTCACTTCTCTCGTAAGCTCAAAAGTGATTTTCGATGTGTTCGTTATCTGTTTCGTCGAAGTCTTGCGTAGTTCTCCTGTGATAATCATATAGACTAATTTGTTAGTGATTTTTTTTTTTTGTATTTGATACCGCTTGTTACTTTCTCTCTCTCTTTCTCTCACTATCCTTCTTGCTTAGATGATATTAACAATTGTCTTTTCCGGATCAGTTTTGAGGATGAAGTTTCTTTTAGTAGATTAAGGAGAAAACTTGGTTTTGGGTTTTGAGAGCTTAAGTGATTCTGACGACAGGTTGAAACATCCAAACTTTTAAAGATTTCCGATTTTGAAGTAAAATCAATTTGTGTTACTTGTTTACCGCTTTCAAAGTTTAGAAATAGCTTTGTAAGAGATACTTCGCTACTTCATTGCTCTCTAGGAACGATTGATTTTACTTTAAGAGTTTAGATATTCTATCACTTAGCGCACTTGCTTGTATTCAATTAATGAAATTCTTCATGTTTCTACAAAGACACTTCTCAGTTACTGCATTTGTTTTCATTGTCATTAGAAGTACAACAGCATCATTAATATAAATAAATCCTGGAAAGGATATTCTCTATTATACATGGATTGTTGGGACTTCCCATCAGAATGTTGTCATAGAGAGATAGGTGGATTATACAAATGACTTCCATTCTTGTTTTGTTGCATTTTTTCAAAATATTCGTTCTAGCTTTTTCAATTTTCAAAGATCATTGTATATCACTTTAACTGACTTTTTTTATCAAATTAATTTCATAAATAATTTGACAACAAATGAATTGGAATGAAACAGCAAAGCCTAGTGAATTTATTTCCTAAATTAAAAATAGAAAATATATTTCGATATATCACAGCATAGACATAAAGCTTGATTACTCAATCATAACACTACTTCGTTATTCTATTTTCAATTTTTGAAATAAACTCGAAGAACAATGACAATGGCCTGTTTGATGGTACTGTATGCTCAATCCAGCATTCCCCGCTCAGCTCTTTCTTCAAGAAAATCAAACTTTTGATGTTATCGAACGATTGAGCGGTAAAGGAAGCATTTAGGAGTACAACAAAGATGTTTCAGATGCATTGACACAGGTGCAACAGTTGAACGGATTTGTGCCATCACCAGCACTTCTCAATTCCCCGAGTTTTCTGGCTCCTTTATTTCAGTCAGTTGCCGCATCAACTAGTAGCAACGACCAAACGAAAACGGTTACAAGCCCTGTGCTAACTAGTCCAAACAGGTAATCTCAAAATTTTTGAATTCTGCCAGTTTTTTGGCTGGAGTTTGATTTCTTAAAGAAAACAAGCTGGCAAGAGAACTTGTTGCTGAAAAGGTTATTTTTCTCCTAATTACAATTCTCTCACTGGCTTCGTTTATTTAATTTATTAAGAATGTGTTTCCTTCTTTATTAGCTGCTTGTAAGCTGCTTCTACCCAGTGCTGCTGCACTTTTAAAGGCAGAATCTGTGATTTGATTTTGACAGCCATCTTAACTTTGCTTCTACTTAAATAATATGGAAAAAGAGACAGTTTATAAATGCATTTTATATTCAATGTAGAAATATTTATGTCTTCCAGTTATTGGTTTTGAAGAAATTGGAATATGAGGATTAAGTGGAGAGACTATATTATACTGCAGAAGTTCAGCGTAATATAGGCAGTGGTGAAAATGTTTTAGGATGAAATTCACAAGGAGTAAAGTATTTCTGAGATAACAATTTGTTCGAATAATAACATCAAAGAGTTATTAACCACTAGAGCAGCGCTAGGGGCAGCATATATGACGAGACTCGAGAAAGGAACGGAGATGTGACTGCTGTATTGTTTGTGCCTGTCAAGCGGGATTTTGTAGGAGACTGTCTAGCTATCGCAGAGGGGAGAGATGTGCTGTAGATGCTGCAGCTGCAGCTGTTGTTGGAGGAGGAAGAGAGAGGTACAAGGCAGGGTACAAGGGAACAGGAATAGCAGCATCATAACACACCTGTGCTGTGTATTGCTTGCTCGTCGCCCCCGCCTTCTCCATTCCATCCTTCCGCTCCGCCCGTCTCTCTTTGCACTCCTCGGAAGTGCGCACGGACCGTTCGAATTTCATTCTCCACAAAAACGCACACAAATGCATTTCTCCTCTGTTTTGGCTTGCTTTGCTTGATGAATCAGCAAGCAGCAACAGTACCAGCTGCAACTTTGCATGTTACACCTCTCCCTCATCTGGCAAAGACACTGCACCCATACCGCCTATCTACCGTTGTAGTGCATTGATGGTTCCATCCAGGAATAAGCTTCTTAATCTTGGCTCAAATATTTCTAATTATCTTTGAGAACTGATGACAATATGTCGCTTCTGTGCATTCTTAGTGCAGCATCATCTTTTCTGCTTCATATCATTGATATGTAGTCCCAGATTTTCACAACTGACTCTAATATGTATTAAGTTTAACGATACTTGCCTGGCCTGCTTATATTATCTGCTAAGTGACTGATACTTTCCTCTCTCTGCTTTTGCTTTTGTAATTACTATATACTTTTTCTCTTTATCGTTTACTACCTTCAGTCCTATTTAAGAAAAGTTTCGATTTTGATGGCTTGGGGAATCGTTTTAGTCATGTTATTTATGAAAAGTTGAAGGCGATTAACTTTTTTGTCACACTTTCGATCTTCACTTCTTGAATTATTCATGCATCTATCTGAATGGTAGATCTGATTGAAACCCATTTTTTGGAATAAACATTTTTCTTTCCCATTTTCAATTATCTAAACTTCATTTGAATGCTTGGTTTCTCGTTTTCTAAAAAAGATATGTGCTTCTTCAGTTAAACATTTCGCTGTCCTTCACTTATCCAGTCTTTAAATTGTGTATCCTTATGCTGTAAAAAGATTTCATCTTTTTTGCTTCTTTATCAAAGTTCTTTGTTTCAGGGAATCGTTGTCAGTAATAATGCAGGCAGCTATGAGTGGTATGGGCTCGCTTGCGGGTTATAGTTTTACCCAGTTAACTCCAACCCAACTTGCTACTCCTTATGCTGTGGCAACGTCGTCTACGGCAGCAACAACAACAGCTTCTGTGCATCAACAATCGGTTGGTTCATCATCAACCACTACAGCTGTTGTGTATCCTGATGATATAGCCATGAAAAATGAATTACCAGGTTCATTGTTAACTTATTAATACCGCTATACATACCTTTTTCTTTTTTTACTAATATTGTACGTACAGCAACCTTCTTTTGAATATGGCTTATACTATCAACTGCAACATTGTTATTTTCCTCCGAAACATCTTCGTAATTTCAGGTTGCAGTTCGGTAACATCCCTGCAGTCGGAAAGTATTAACGATGCATCAGCTTATGATGCTTATACAACTAGTGAAAGCAATCATGAAATGGAAGCATGTACATCATCTATACGTTCAAGTGCTAGTCCTAGAAGTCAAGAAGAACATGTTTTCATGGGTCCATTCTCGTACGTTTCCTTTTGCAATTTAATTTTCATTTTTGGGGCGAATCAAGTCTAGAAGTTTTTGTTTAAATTTTCTTGAATGCACTTGGTGTGAAACAAGTTTTTATTTTTATGCTCTTGACGGATGGTATATATATATATATATATATATGCTTGCTGATTTTTTTCGTTTTTTTGCTGATTTGATGTTCTCGTGATAGTTTCTTCCCACTTTAGCCTTCAATTTTCTATCTCTTTTGTGCATTTCTGTCTTAGCTTTAACTTTTATCAAGAAGCATCAGGAAAAACAAAAGAAAGTGAAATAATTAAGCTAGGCACTGCAGTTAAAACATGGAGGTAAAGTGTTTTAAAATGTCACAGGAGCATCTGATTAGAATGGAAGAAATAAAGAATAGTTCTAACTATGAAGATGCTCTTTGCAAATACGAAGAATGATAGTCTGCTTTAAAATGTAAAAAGCTGATCTTAAAGAATGTACCTATCAATATTTTTAATATTAATATGAAATATTTAGAATTTGTCCTTGAAATTTCTTTATTATAATATAAGCTTTTTTCTTGAATATTTCAACATAATAGTTTGAAACTATTATGTTAAAAGTGGACTTATAGGTCAGACCAATAGATCTGTAAGGTGTTTCTGTTCGGTTTTGTACTGAAGTTGGGATAATTTTTTTTGAAAATTTTTTAAACCGTATGAATGTTCTGGCTAAATATCATTCCATGAGCAGCAAATTCCTTATGTATTCAATTATATGGACTCAAATCCGTTTTGAGTTGGAAAAAATGCATTGGCTAAAGAAATTTTTGGTAGCGTACTGCAGCATAAGGAGTCAGTGATAGGTGAATATAAATATATGGTGACATATGTGACAAAAAACCAATTTCCAACCTGTCTTTCATAAGATAAGTTAAAAATTGTTGGGAAATTTTGTCGTCGATCAGATTCACGGATGAGCATCATTAATATACAAAGTTATATAAATATTTTTAACAAAAACTCCAGTACATGTGTTATTTTGATACCTGGTCAAGCTTGGTCCTTATCACTAATTAATTGTCCGTTTCACAGCTTCTGTCTTCATTCAAAAAACTGAAGTTCAATCGGAAAATGAAATCTGAAGTGGAGGATGGCCACATTTTGTGAGGTAATTTGCTGCATTTTTCCTGTAATGTGAGAAATCCGAATATTTAAAAGACAATACATTTTGCAGTGGTGATAGTTATGATGCACTGGAACAGGAGAAGAAGAAGCTGGAAAGAAAGAGGGCACGTAACCGTCTGGCGGCATCAAAATGTAGACAGAAGAAACTGCAAAAAATAAATGATCTCGAGAAACAGGTATAGTATATAATGATTATTATTTTTTTTAGAAGGCCTTTTTTATTTGTTTATTTTACTGACAAAGTAATTTATGCTTTTCCTCACTTTTTTTTTTTTTTTTTTTCAAGAATATGAATGTTTTTTTACTGTGACTTCCTCAAATTTGCGCGTGCTCAGAAGTTTGATATGAATCGAGTAATTTTACATCTTGGAAATACCAAGCCTATATGGATTACGTTTAACTGGAATTAATCTTTTCGAACTACCTTGTCATTCTCTACATTTTTTGCGGAGATCAGTGGAGCAGATAATTTCTACAATTAGCTGTTTGTTTTGTCTTATATTTAGACTTTCTAGTGGAATATCTGACGTATTCAGAAGCAATGAGTAGAATTAATGTCACGATAATAAATGTTAAGTGTTTAAATGTTTGAGATTGAGGGTGGTCGTAATTACGTTGAAATATCCTGCTCCAATATACAGAAAAAAAAAAAATGTTTTATGTGCTTTGTATGCTGAGTAGTGTTGCCACACACTGTATTACATTTTAAAGATTTTTTTGTTTATTCGATTTCTGAGTTTAAAGTGGACAAAGAAAAGATTAAATTTTAGAAACAAAAGCACAACAATTTTGTTGGTTGTCTGGTATCATTGCAAGTGTGTTTTTTATAAATTTTCAAAGGATTTATTTTGTTGAAGTGTGAAAGGATTTGTTTGTTCGTTTTGTTGCAGGTGGAGGAAGAGAAGCTTAGAGCGAGTCGTTTGAATGAGGATCTTAAACTTTTGGAGACATCTATTGCTCAGCTAAGGCAACTGCTTCAGGAACATCATAACAACGGCTGTCCTGTATCTGCTAAAGTGATCTCAACATAATTTTAGTTAGCACAGTTTTTTTTTTTTTTTTTGTCCCTGCTAGTTTTTATTTGTAGTTTCACCTTCGAGGTCATTCATTGTTTCTTATGAAGATATTGTTTGTGTTGAATAATTTTAATTTTTTGGATATTTCCAATTCATTCCAGCGATTGCGGACAGTTTTGAATGTTAAATATCTGATTACCGTATTTTTCGCTGTCACGAATTCGAGGTTGAAAAGGTATATGTCTTCATTCAGATTGGTAACAAAAAGGAACTTCTCGATTGTAATTTAACATTATCTTTAGCAGTGAAATTTCGGTTGTATGCTGTTGAATGACTCTTATTCCAACTTCTTTTAAAATAGTTTATAATTCTAGTTGAATTTGAAAATGAAAATATGCTCTCTTGGGAATTCATTGCCAGTTTCCTGATTTCATGATGCTTTTCATCTGTATTTTGTGATTCTATTTCTGCCTTATACATTATGCATTTTATTTGCCGAGAAGCAAATAGGTGTGTTTTTCTTATTACTTTTCTATGCTATCCGGAATCATTCCTGAAGAATTATAGCGATATTGAATTGTACTAAAGCGATACTGCAGTAAGCAGGTCTTCATTATTCGAAGCGAATTTTCCATTTTGCTTTTTTGGTCGGATTCTACTCAAACTTATGAATCATGCGGTCTATCGTTGTCTTTGTTAATTTCTATATGTTACTGGGCTAGCCTCTATCCTAACTGACATATTATTTCTCTTCTTTAATCCGGTTTTATCATCATTTGCATTTGTAGCTGTTTCCATAACGGAAAACTTTAAATTCTGATGTTGTGCAAAGCTTCACTTTGGTATTTTTATTTCAAGCTTCCTTATGTTCTTTCATAGTGGTAATGAAATGATCTTGCAGAAACGGTGGTTGAGGTATTAGATGGAACTTCTGGTCTCCAATAGTGTTTAACATTGATTATCTTTGGTACTTCTGAACGGCTTTGTGATTCTGTTTGTTGTCACATACTTGAAAATTGATAAGTGCTGATATAAGTTTTTCAAATGGATAAATTTTGGGCATCATGTTGTAAATTTTCACAAATGCGAATTTTTAAGTGTATCGAGTTGGGGTGATTTTGCATAATATCATCAATTTCTATTTATGCGAACTGCAGTCATTTCTCAATTTATATTTCTGCAAATATATATACTCCTTGTCAGTGTAATGGGGGAGAGCAACTCGAGTACTCCAGTTTTATTAAGGGGCAACTAGGGAAAAGATTGGATTGTATGATAAGCAATTTGAAGTCATGAAAAAGGTGATTCCATTCCACAGTATCTACTGTAATGTAATGGAAAGAAGTCAGATATTAAAACTGATTTTGGTAAATTGACAAATTGTTGGGTATTTCTCTTCTGAAAATTGACATTAACAAATAAGGAGTTTAGTGAAAGACGTGCCGATTTGGGAAATGAGTTAATACAGGCATTTGGTGAACACTTCCTTGCTGTTGAATATGCATCGTTTAATTTGAGACTAATTTCCGGACTGGGATAGACTAGAAGTCTATCGTGATTCCGTACTTTTTAATATAAATAAAGTTTCACGATTCATAAATTCATGACATTTTTATCAGAAATCAAATTTTTAAGAATTTCTTCAACATGTGTGTATATGTTTTTTTTGTTTGAAAATTTTCATATTTGCTTCAGTAGATAATGCGAGATAACTTGACGAGAAATCATAGCAAAGTAATTTCCAGATGCGTCATATATAGACACCTTTTCATATTTAAATCTCAAATTCCACTTTGTTTTGTGGGCATCGCTCAAATTTCTGTCTCAATTGTTCATTTCAAGCCATGAAATTCTACATACTGATTTTGTGGTATCATACCGTTGATCTGTTATATCATTATTACCAATTATCAAAATAATTTTATTATCCTTCGGGTGACAAAATTGACAGATCTTTTATCGATAATTGAAATATAAGTAGCATATTGAGATGAAAAAAGGATAAACTGCGCACAGGAATTTGAAATATAAAAAAAAAAAAAATACATAGCAATTAAATAGTTTTGAAATCATAATCCTTATCGCCTGATATCAAATCATTATGAAAATGTTTTATGGTAAACTCTTAGCTGAAAAATAAGATAATTACTGATCTAATCTTATTCACCTCACCTTCTTGGCGCCTGCATACTTCCTTCTAATTGCCTTGAGTTCCTTTAGTTTTTAGAAATTTGTACAGCTTGATTAAGCAACTTACTTTGTTGATGTTTTTTCTTAACTATTTATTGGCACTAAAACTGATGTAGTGATAAGTATTCCTACTTAAAGTATTGCTAAAAGAATTAAGTAATTCCTTCTTTTTTTTTATATGTCCTTTGCTCTTTTATTCTTTCAAATTAATCCATTATTTCAATTATGGTAGAATAACACTGTTCAGCAGTTGCAAATAATCACATTTTTATCACATCGTTATCGCTATCTTCGCTTTAATCATTACTTCAATCATAGCACAAACATTTCTTCAATCACTTTCTTTGAAAGTATTTGGAAATATTTCTTGAAAACTCGGATGAAACTGGCTTATGTCTAATTGTTTTCATTTGATTTTTTTGAGCTATAATGTTCATTCAGATGTATCCATAATATCTTACCCTATCTTCAAGGTACATCGGAAAGAATATGAATTATTTATTCATAAAATGGTAGCTGAGTAAATCATGAATGGTTTGACTGGGATCTTGAAAATAATCTGTTTATCCTAATTTGTTAAATGCGAGATTGAATGCTGCATCGATAGTAAGGACGAGAAAGAGTCTACAAATGCGACATTTCCACAGTTTTTTTAAAGTATCGGATTTCGAGGTACTTTTTAGGACAATATAACTTTGAGAGGCAAAAATCTGAACTTGTGATAAAGCTCTAAATTTCATATAAATTGGAGAAACTAAAATTTGGGTCTCTTTATATGTCCCAAAATCAACAATCACTTGGCCAGACATATCGTGGGTTCCCACAGACCAGAGAACTCCTTTTGTTCAATATCGTTGTGGGTGTGTCGGGTTGGATGGAGTTGGGGCGGAGTCTTTCACCTCCTTGACATCTTTGGACTATTAACTAAAGGTGTTGGGTTTGAACTGGTCAGGACTTCCTAGATAGAGATCGAATAGCCGGATGTTACTGATGATAATTCCTGTCCGGTTACTATTGCTATCATTAATAAAGGGAACACTAAGTTCTCATGAATCTCATAGCTGCGTATTTGATCCCGCGAAATTCAACGATTCGCTACAGAATGTACCACTTGTAATAAGTGCCACTGTATTAAATGTCACCACTGATCCCAAGGATAATCGCCTGCAGGTAATTTGAGATTTAATTAGTCTTTACCGCTCGTAACTTAAAGACTAGTTAGAACCGTTTACCGGGACTTTTGAACAATTTTTCTCTTTTTTTACTTAAATGCTTAGTTAAATCTCCAAATTAATTTTTAATTCAACTTATGTTGATACCAAATAACTACAACTATAATTTTCAAAAATCATTAAATCCATATCATCCAGAAATTTTTTAAAAAACTCTTTTCTTAGCTTCATGCACTGCCAATAGTAAAATAAATGGTTATTCTAAAATGACTCACTTCCCTCACAAATGTTCTACTCATTTATGGGAGAGGCTTTTTTCTTCGCTTCACAGAGCTATTTGTGCTTGTTGCTTATGCTAATTTTATCCGTTCAAACGATTATCCTTTCATTCTTTTTATCTCTAACCTTTGATCCACTAATTCTCACCTTGCTAAGTACCATCCTTTCCTCTCTTCCGTCCTTTCTTGGTTATGTTTCTCCCCCATTCTTTGACAAACAAAAAAGCTTTCGATAATACACAATATAGAACTGAGTCTCGTAGCAGTTAACCCAAATCAATAGGCGGTATGCTATACCGAAAGAATAAACTATTGATTTGAGTGCTTAAACTTTTAGAAGATCGAGTTATAGCAGTCATCCTGCACAACCGGATATTTATCGGGACGTTATCTGCCCCAATCAGGGTCACATAGTTGTTACGAATACTTGTAAAGGAAGATTCATTATTGGTTTTTTGTTTGGTTAAGGTTTTATTTTCAATTTAGGATCTTCTATTGATATCAAAAATATATGTTATTTACAGTAAATCCTATCCAAATGATATATCTAAAATTGGAAAGTTGCTCAGTTCATTGTGACTGCACTTTTTCTTCTATAAAAGCAGATAATTGTCTTCTAAAACCTAGAGCTCATCTATTCCTCATGAGATCAATGTCTTCAGCCAGCTATTATCTCTCTTCTGGATAACATGTTTGTAAAAAAAGTACAAAAACGGATAACAAATAAGCAAAGAAACAGTTCAATCATGCAAGTATTTAAAATAACAAATGCATTTATTTATTTATTTATTTATTTGAATACATTTTTGTGTATTGCTTGAATTAATTTATTCAGAAATAAAAAGGAAAATAATAATGGGTTCGGTTTTAGCACAGATGGATTCCCATAACTTACGATTGTCCTTGCCACCTTCTATTACTAACTTGTCGAGCAATTTATCATTGATCATCATCTTGTTTAAACAACACTTCTACTTTGTTTATCGCAAGCATTTTTATTTGCAGTTTATTCAAAAATTTTCTAAACTTTGAAAACAATGAAATGATGAATATTTCATTTTTTTATACTTCTACAGTCTGATAATTTTGATTGCAGAGATACAATAAAGTTAACTGCCATAATTATACATTCAAAATATTTTCACTTTATACAGTCAAACCATTCTTTTCTGGCCTATTTTCATTACATTAATTTCATTTCTTTGGTAATAGAAAAGATAATTTTCTTTGAATGCAACTGACTTATGCAACACATAACAATTATTTTTGTTCTATTTGCAGGCTGCGACAGTTAGAGTGAAAAGGATTTTTAAAGGTATCAATATTATCAATAATAGGAAGAAAATAGTCATTCATGGATTAGGCAATGTGCAGGTAGATATTTCCCTTTTGTATCTTTTGTCGAAAATTTCATTTTTTAAAAGCATTAAGAAAGAGTGTTGATCTTTTTTTTTTCTTTTTTTTGATCAATCCTTGTTACTGTAATTAATGATGTTAGCTTGCTTTAAATACATTTTGACTCGTTTCTAATCCTATTTTTCACTTTATCATTAGCTTAAGGATGGATTTTTAATTCTTTTTGTCAAATAGCATTAATAATAAAAATTTTTGAAAATTGCTGCTCGTATTTATCATTTTTCTGTATAAAGAACTTAGTTCAAGTAATAAAGGAGAATAAAAAGCAAATAAAATAAAATATGCAAAGAGAGAATAATGAGATGTTTAGTTGATTTATTGATAAATGGTAATATCAAATATATTAATAGAACCTTGATTCTCTTTTGAAATTTTGCAGTTCAAGGCTGGATTTGTTATCTGATTTAGTCTTTGTCTTTTTTTGTTTCTCTTAAGATATTTATTTATATGATTGCAGATCTGCCGAAGTGTTCTACATGAACGGGATACAAAGGTAATCCTCTTAAACGAACTTAATGGATTGTTTTATCTTAATTCATCCTTGGTTCCCATTAATCTGAATATTCTCGACCAGCTCAATGCTCGATTTCAAGGTAATCTTTTTTGTTCATTCCTCACTGTTTTAAAATGGACCGAATAATTGCTTTCCGGAAGCAACTGGAAGCAAGACTGATGCATTAACAATAATCTCGGTAAAACCAAACAGATATGAAGAAATTTTTATGAAAACGTGTGCCTTTTTATCCTCTTTTATTACTGACTGTTACCATTATGCTGAAGTTTAAAGTTAACAGTTAAGATGATCTAAGCAATCTGGTGTAGATTTTCAAAGAACCTAGTTGAAAATATCTTTTGAATAACTTGCAATTTTCTTTATCCATTTGCTTAACTATTTTGGTAGATGGAAAAATAAATTCCCTCAGTCAATGATTATAAAGAAAAAAACTATCTGCTATAAATCTTCCTTCCAACGAATTCTCCTTTTTCTATGTTCCACTTTTCGTATACTCAACATTCTGCAATGTTTCACTTCAATAGTTTTATTGCTTCTTTTCTCTCCATTTATCCTTATCCATTACGAAATAGCAATTTGCATAAATTTGTATTTGTTATTGGTGCCGAAGAAATATAGACAACAGCGCCTAATTATCGCAGTTCCCTACTTTTTTTTTTGAAAGAAATCGTTTTGTATCCATTTACAGCCGTTGTTCATTATTGACTAACGAATGATTGGTTCCTCGATATTTTGTTGCTTTTTCTTTTTTTTTTTTTTTTCGGTTCTCTTAATTGGATAACATTTGGAGTTATCGGAGGTATATTACTGGATTTTGTTTTTCCATTCATCTGCCAAATTTATAACAAATTTGAATTACGATCTTCTTGAAAGAATGAAAGGAAAGGGAAAATGCTTCTTTTTTGGATCTATTGGCAACTTTCTTTCTAGTGAACTTGAACTTTTATGACTGACTTTTGTATTCTCAGGTAAAGCAAAGAAAATAAGTCAGTGCCTAGAATGTAAGAATTCGAATATGAATAATTTTTCGAGCTTCTCTAAACCACTGTTGAAATTTTAATTAAATAAAGGCAATCATCAACCATATCTTTTTTATCCAGTTTAACAAGTGATAAATTGATATCTTCTGACAAATGATAAACTGATCTGGAAGAAATACTGATAGAGGTAGATTGATTGACCATGAAAATTTCTTTATCTATCAGCATCATCATTATTGTAATATAATCCTATTGCACGATATCTGGTTTAGTTCTCTGTAGTCATTAGGCATTAGGTCTAATTACTGGCCAGAGTAATTCCCAAATTAGCTCCAAAAAATATAGATTGAATAGAGCTTTGGTCAAATTTTATAAGGATTATCTCCTTGTATATTTTTGGTTTAAGTTTAAATCTTTTTAAATCTAACTTTGATCTCTCTAACTTTAAGGTTTAACTTTAAATCTCTCTCTTTAAGTCTAATTTAAGTCAAACTCAAGGTAATATGAAGTATTAATAATTACTTTTCTTAATAGAGACGTAAATACATTTTAGGATTATCTAGAGATATATATTTAGTATTCTTGGCTGCGATGAAATATTTGATTCCTTCAACTTTGATACTTGATTCATTATTCCATTATGCCTACTTGTGATTTTTTCAGGTTGGGTGCGCAAGAAGCAACGACACATAAAACGAAGTGAGGATTTTATTAAATACTCCAATTACCGGAAATTTCTGAACGTATTGAAATGAAAAATTGAAATTCAAAACGTATGATGGAATAAGGGAATTTTACTTAGAAGCAATAATCCAAATGAGTCGTAAACTGAATAAAGCAATCTTTTTCCTTGCTGACTTATTCCCTATTTGAAGCATTTTTAATTAAACATTTAAAAAAATGTTTGATTTGTGAATGTTTTATTAAACTGAACAATGATCACCATGTTGCTCAAAATCGTATGCATTTGATTAGTAAAAGATTTTTTCAGCAAAATGTGAAGAAGTACGATGTCCTTATGGCGCTAAGTGCCGGCCAAACAGGTTTAACCTTTCTGTAACCCTTAAAAATTTTGATAAATATTTGAAATCTGTCGGCAGCAGAACATTTTGGTGTTAAATATTATTGGTCTTTTATATGCAAGCTACCCAAATTAATGTTGATTAAGATCAAATTCTCAGGAAAAATTTAAATCTGTCAAAAAAACAACTGTTATCACAAAATACAACTACACGTACAGTACACTTTATAATGCAGACACACTTTCATAACTAAGTGTTGCACAGAAAGAGCAGTGCTAATATTTCAGATTTTATGAACTATTCGTTCAAATATTAAATTTATCTAGTTAAATAACTTAATCAAATGAGAAGAGAATTGCAGTGGTGAGTGCGAGTGTCGTTCTTTTTGTAATACAGCTGGTCCAACGGTGTGCGGTACGGATAGTGTAAGTTATCTCAGTGAATGTCACCTCGCCGTACGCTCTTGTCTTGCGCGTTCGGAATTGAAGTCGGAAATTAGAGTCAAACAAATTGGTGCATGTGGTGAGTCTTTCATTTATCGATGATTCCATTGGGAAATAGAACTAAACAAATTCTAAAGACAAATTGATTTTCTTTTACACTTCCAGAAATGAGAAGGGAATTATTGTATATATATATATATGGCAATACTACTTTTAATTATATCGTTGAAATTTCTCGATTTTTGATTTTTTACGTTGTGACACGAAGAGAATGACGATATCTACCTTACAGTCAGTCCACCGGTATCTATGTGAGTTTTACTCAGGAAAAGCTTTCTTACGAGATAGACGAGATAAATTATCCCACTTGCCATGGCCTTACTGATTTTTGTATTGCAACCTAAGTGGTAACTTTCATTTGTTGAGTGAAGGAAGTTTGATTTCTGACAAGAATTTTCCTTTTTTTTAGGTGCACACTACAAGAAGTGTAACAACTGTACTTTTTTCTTTAACTAAGTTTGAACTTATCGATTTTTTTCCTAGCCTTTAAATTTTATGTAATTTTTACTTGGATTATAGAAACGAAGGGAATTATAGAACCACTATTTTTAATTTCTGAGAGCTTGAAAACTTACTCTTTTTTGCTTCTTGAAAAAAAGAAATCAGATTTCAATGAGCTGAAAGAGTTACATAAAATAGTGCCTTCGAGTATTACTGAAGTCAAGCAGTGATTTCTTCTCAAACTGAAAATTAAAAAATTGAAATACTTCTCGTCTTCCATCTTATTAGGAATAGTCGGACGATGCATATAGCTAGAAATTGGCTATAGTTGTCGAAGCAAAAAAGCCCAGCAACTAACAACAACAACTTCTTCTTTTGGCTTCATCTTGCTGTAATCTCTCACTCCACTCCATTCCACTGCTTCAGTTTCAGAAATAAATGACTGAAGTGGAATCCTATTTCTTCAGTCAACAAAATATCACGTCCAATATTATCAATCTGAAATATCTTTACTAATATTTCACTTCAGCGCAATGGAATAAATTTTAAAATGATTCCTTTTTCTTATATTCAAAGTCCTATATTGTCTTCCTTTACAAGTAAACGATTTTCTACATTTGATTAGTAATTCATTGCTTATATACCATCTCTGTGTTCCGAGGATTTTAATTTTGATTCAATTCAGTGTTTTATTAAAACAACGCTGTTATTATCAGTATCAACATGTCGATTTACTGTATATTCGCTACTCTTTTTATTACATTGAATCTAAAATTAGTTCTAACTTGTTACAAATGGACAAATGGTAAGTTTTCGTATACCTGAACCTGACCTTAAATTGTTTTCATGCTACCGTACTTACTATCAGTTGACAGTTTTCCTCTTTTCTACTAGTCTATCGAGTTGAAATATCAACAGTGAAGTGCAACTTTGAAAGTATGGGCATAAAATATTACTCTTATATAAATTGATTATTTTAACTTTTCCGAAATATGAAATTAAGTTCTTTGCTTTTTTTTTTTTTTTACTTTTCCACTACCTTTTAATTGCTTATTTCAATATTGCATCGTTATGTTACTCACTTTCTGGTCAACCTCTTCATTACTTTGACTGAAGTATTCGTAGATGATCATTTTAGAAAAACGTAATCCCTGCGAAGATCTGCGATGTGGACCTGGTGAGCAATGTGTAATATCGGAGAATGGAAAAGGTTATATCTCAGCACATTGTGTATGCCCAGAACAGTGTGACAATTTTGGTGATAGTGTTGAATCGTCGCCTGTTTGCTCTAACGACGGAACCGATTATCCATCTTTATGCCATCTTCGAGCACATGCTTGTAAAACGAAACGTAATGAAAGTGTGAAATATTATGGTAAATGTGGTGAGTCCATCTTTATAAATTTTTCTAAAATTCGATTTTCATGTATTCAGGTCACTAAAAACTGGACAAAAAGTTTCTAAAAATTTTTTATGGTTTCCTAACTTGATGTCAAAATATTTAGGCAAAAGTGCAAGTAATGTTGGGATCTTTCGTGTCATTGAAAATATTTAAAATCGATCTGGTATTCGAATCGGTTCTAATTATTTAGGATCTTAGATTTTGATTCAGAACATTCTATGATATTCGTCTAATTTAGCTAGCAATTCCAAAATTTTTTGGATTTTTACCAATTTTAAATTATGTTAAATTGGGGATTTCAGATCCTTGCAAGGATTTCATCTGTTCCGTAGGTACAGTATGCAAGGTGACAGCCGATCGGCGTGCTGAATGTCGTTGTTCACAACAGTGCGCTATGCATTCTGATCCTGTTTGCGCTACTGATGGAAATACGTAAGTTATCATTAAGAAAATCAATTTCACAAAATACTTAGAAACAAATGGAAATGCAAAGATTTGAAAATGTGTGAGGAATTAAAATAAAATTTAAGTTTGTATCAGTATAAAATCGAAACAAAAACATTTACTTTTTCTGAATATTCTGAAAGCTGTCACCATGTGAAAATTGAATATTTTCAACAGTAACAAATGTTAAAGTGCAATTCATAATTTATATTGTTATAAGTCCTGATTTCTTTATCTGAGGTACGAAAATGAGTGTCTTATGTCAGTGTCAGCATGTCGCCATGATAATGAAGTCCTCACTTATCACAAAGGACGCTGCAAAGGTTTGTTTTCCAGCAATTGTTTGTCGCATTCAAAGTAACTTTTTGGTTTTTCATTTTTCTCAATACTGCTTATTCAAACTCTGACGCTTAGCAGAGGATATTATTGCCAAAGATCGGTTTATTTCCGCTTTCACTCTTCTTGGAATATTCTGTCAAGTGTCACGAATACACATCAAGAAGTTACGTCGATCTGTGTTATAATTCAGTTAATAGGCCTTTTTTTGTAGATGACAATCCATGTAAATTGATCCATTGCTCAGAATTGGAGACGTGTCACATTCAGGAAAATGGTAAAGCCGTATGCAGATGTATTGAATATTGTCCGCCTATTACGAAGCCTGTTTGCTCAATCGTTAGCATTTTGCTTAATATCAGTAAACTGAGTGTTTCTTAAGAATATTATTGATTTAGCTTTAGTGTCAGAGTCAACTACTTCAAATAACAAACATACATATAAAAAAATCTCAATAACAAATAACATTAGAGCTCATTAATCGTCTTCTCTTCATAGTTATTTATCTTTCTTAATAGACCCTTTTTTACAGATGAAAATCCATGTAAATTGATTTATTGCAAAAAATTACTCATAGTCAAAAAAAAAGTCATATCATATAAAAGAACTCTAAAAGAATCCTTTGCTTGAAAGGTTATTTACAATGTGCGCAGTTGTCAGACGCTTTTTCTTATCTTTTTAACCAATTTGATGACCCTTTTGTTAATATTCCAGAATGGGAAGACGTATGATAACGAATGTGTGATGCTACGTTCCGCATGCATGTCAAAGATGCATAATGCAGTACGGCATGCAGGTCCTTGTGGTAATTTCTTGTTGTTCTTGTTAGTAAATTGGAAATGCGTCTTTCTCTTTAAAAATATAAATTTGCTTTCATTGGAAGTATTAAAAAGATATTCCAATGCTTTTTCATAGAACTTTGAAGTAACAAGCAATAAGTGTAATTTTATTAATTAGTTTTTTAAGTGTAACTTTATTAATTAGTCTTGAAATTTTTGAATGTAGTACATTTTCTGCAAAAAATTAGGATAAATATGGAATTAGACTGAAGAATTTATTTGAAAAAGTGGCAAAAGAAATTGCTAGAGCCATTCTAAAAGCACTAAAACATAAATAATATGAAGATTTTGGTGTATGCGCTGGTTATGATGGTTGTCGACCATTCGAAATATGCATTGACCGAGATGGGCATCCAGTATGCGAATGCGAAACTTGCGACTCGCAACTCAACGAAGTTTGTGCATCCGATGGCATCACATATGCAAATGAGTGTAAAATGCGTCTCGAATCTTGCTTGACTAACAGATTCATTTATCAGAAGTATAGTGGAGTGTGTGGTCAGTTTGAGGAATATTTATTCATAAGCTACGAAGTATCATCGTTCCAGTTGTTTGTTTGCTTGCTTAATTAGTTAGTTAACTGAGAACCTCTAACAGCAAATTCTTTAAAACATGGATTCGCTCATGTATAAGTAACAAGTGTTATTTTAAAATAATTCTCATTTCTAATGAAACTTTCTGAGAATTAACCGATAAAAAATTGAATAACCTCTCAGTATTCTTCAGAAAAATGAGTGTTTTTATTCAATGACATGACAGCTGTTTTAGATTAGTTTGATTCCGAAAGAAGATCGTTCTAGAAAGGTTTAAATTATTGAAGCTTGAATTTCTAATGAAAAGTAATTTTCAAACTTAATTATAATAGATGGTTGCATCAATGTTCACTGTGAATTCTATGCTATCTGCGTGTCGGATGAAGCTGGCGGTGGTTCTTGCCAATGTCCAAATCAATGCGCTTATGATGATTCTGGTTTTCTATTGGCATTTTTAATATACTATAGGAGAAGATGAATTTGGAAATACTGTAAAAGAACCAGAATGAAAACACGTAACCTTAGTCTGACTTTCTATAATAAGTACTTAATCTGGTCGGATCTTTCTGATACAGATTTTCAGGAATAGTGTGCGCAACAGATGGTGTCACATATCGCTCAGAATGTCACATGCGCCAAGCTGCATGCCAGCAACAAAAATTCATAGTCATTGCTTTTCGGGGTCCTTGTGATAGTTGTTCGAACATCGCTTGTCTTGATGAACAACAATGTGATGAAAGCATTTGCTCTTGTCCAAGCAGCTGTCCGAATGCTACCGAAAATAGTATGGTATGATTAAGTCTTAAGTTTTCACTAGTTTAAAATACCGAAATCATAGTAACGTGACATCCAATTATGTTTAAATAATTCCACCCATATTCTTCACAAATGAAATAAAGGTACTAAAAACTATTTGTAAAATTCTTTGGCTGAATGTGATGCTCAATGCCTTGTTAATTGATTTTAAAGAGAATGAAATAATTTTTAGATATACAAATATGATCAAAATTTTAAGATATATTTAATGGAAAATTTCTGAAGGTGTGTGGGGCTGATGGAATGCTTTATCCATCGAAATGTCATTTGAAGATGGCAATCTGTCACAGTGGTTCTGAAATATCCCTCCAGAATCTCAACAATTGTAAACAGGCATTACGTAAAATTGGTTCGTCCGTTTTCCTTTTTTAATTAAATTTTTGCTTGTATGTAATACATCAAGTAAAGACAATAATATTGATGAAATAATTTAAATGAAATTCCTGCTGTGAAATCTTGGAGAGTATATCATTACAAGAATAGCGGCTGTTTTTAAATTTGACACATGGACTTAAAATAATCAGTGTTACACTCCCGGCAAAGGCGTTTGCAACATTTCTACATTAGCTTACATCATAATACATTGATCTGATTGTATTCGATTACAAGCTGAATGATTAATCCTTTGAATGAAGTTTAACAGGAATAATTGATAACATATGCGATGTGTTGGTGATATTATTGGTAATAGCATCTTTACTTTTCTAATCTCTTTTAATTTGTAAAAGTTCTTTTTTTTCCTATTTTTCCATCTATCTCTTTCTGTCTTTCACTTTTGTTGACTTTTTGAGTTTATTTTGATACAAAAATAACTGGCAATCTTCATGGTAAAATGATTATGCTGTTATATGGTGATTTATAGATAGATATGTGTCCGTCACGTTATTTCAGAGCAATTTCTCAGAGTTTGCAGACAAATCTTCAATGCTTTACTAAAAATAGTTCTTGCTAAAGTGACTTCATAACTTATTTCGAATAATAGCTGTAAGATTTAACAGGAATAGTAATGAGTCATGATGAGTCAGTATAACATCCCAACGAAAGGTGTGCATTGCTGTCTAATGTCCATTATGTTCAATGCTAATGTTTGATATGTTCTAATATGGCATGTAAAAGGGCGCTCATTGATTCTAGTCTTGGCTTCAGCGCTTCAAAATGAAACGTTTTTAATATTAAAAAAAAAAAAAAAAAAAATGAAATTTTTGAGGTGGTGGATAGCGATTCGACTAATTTAATTTAATGTATTGTCCTACTACAGTAATTTATGATCAAATAAAGGGATGTTTACAAACTCTAGCTGATAATTTTAAGCCAAAACTAATAGTAATGAAGTTAACTTCAAGTCATTGGTCTTCCTTTTGGCCTTCCTTTCTTCTAGGTTTTCATTTCTCTTTCTCTTTTATTTTTCTTTTCAGATGCTAGCTGTCAAGCCAAGTGATCTGCTAAAAAATTTCCATAATGTAGCTCCTTCGCACAGTGTGATTGTTTAGGTGAATTTTTGGCGATAAGTAGAAGCGACCAACAAACCTGTTGCTTCTGAAAAATTTGTGCAGTGCTTACCTAGAATTATCTCTTCGATGTATGCGTTGTAATTTCAATTGTCCCGCTAGAAATGATATGGGAGCCATTTGTGGCTTTTGTAGCTATGGAGAAGCCTATAATTGGACATGCTTCATAGATTTGGCGTCCTGTAAATAGCAAGAACCTATTTATCAAATGACACAGACACATCTTTGCATTATTACGGTAGCAGTAATACTGCCATGATTATTTCTGAAGTAAAATGTTGAATTAAAAGGAAAATTGTTGGGGAAAAGCAAATGATTCAAAAAAACCATCGTCAACATATTCTTCAACTCATTAACGTGACTCTTAAAATTTCATCACTCTTTTGTAGATTTCTTTAAACATTTATATCTCTAAGATCTTATAGCAACTTCCTACAAGCAAATTAACATCATTGTGAAATTTCGTCTTCACACATTTTTTCTGTATTTTTTGCAAATGTGCATTTCAACCGCCAGAAATACAATATGAAAATGCAATATAGATAGTATTGAATTAAGAAATGTCTTCAAGATATACTTTTAGCTTCTTCAATTGTTAATATGAAACTGATTAGAACTGCTGGAGTCTAATTACTATTAAGTTAGCGTTGTTTTACAATTCAAGATCTAGGAAGAACAGTTGTCGGGGAAGAGAAAAGAAAGTGAAAAATTGATGTGCAAAAGTTTATGGTTCGTTTGAGCTCAGACTGCATAATTTTGCAGATGAATGCAGCTGCAACCGCGTTGGATCTTACAGTAACATATGTGATCAGCATGGACAATGTCGATGCCTTCCAGGTGTTAGTGGGAAGAAATGCGATCATTGCGCATCAGGCTTCTGGGGACTGCATCTGATAGCGAAAGGTGCATTAGGATGTCAACGTAAGCTATTTTCTGTTCACGAAGGATATTTTTATTAAAACTTCATTCTATTCATTTCATCTTGCAGCATGCGGGTGTTCGGTATTTGGTTCTTCACGCTTTGACTGTGAGCAGTCTTCTGGTCGTTGTCAATGTAAATCGGATTCATATGGTATAAAATGTGACGCTTGTGATCCAGATTCTATTTTAACTTCAAGTGGCTGTTTGAAAAAAACAGAATTCCACGCTCCAAAGTAAGATAGCTTTTAGCAGCTGCAAATCTTTTTTTTCGACTTCAACTGGATAAAAATTTGAATAATTGATGCTTTATGTTTTATTAATCTCAGCGAAGTAAATTTCTGTTTTTATGAACTTTCAGATGACCTTTTTGTTTACTTATCAATAATAAGATACGAGGAAGATAACTGATAAATGGACCATCTTTTTAGTGACTATAATTTTAACAAAATATAAATGTTTGACTAATAGGAATAATAACAGATATAATGAAGTAGTGAGTATATAATCTACAATCAAAACTGTAATACAGCAATTAATGACTGATTATGTAGAGTAATTTGAAAATTATGATGAACTAAGATAGGAATTATAATTTAAGAGACTGCAGTGAACTAAGGTGTCATCATGGAGCTGTGTGCGTGATTACTTCATCGGGAATGCCGATTTGTAAATGTTCTAAGCAATGTTCACTGGACCACCTTGGAATAATAGCCGAAATGACTATTTGTGGATCCGATGGTAACACTTATGATAATATCTGTGAATTGCAACAGTTTGCATGCTTACATCAACTGGATTTGGTCCCTTCGACACTTGGAATTTGTTCACAAGGTGTCCCTTACTGTATCTATAATATATTTATATAAACTGTTGTCTAAAAGTTGTCGATTGGTTATCTCAACTTACAATAATGATAATAGCTACGGCACTTTATATATATATATATATATATATATATATATATATATAAAACAAGTACTTTTTAGATCTATGTGATAATGATAGCGAATTATTAGTGTAAGTGATAATAAGTAAGTACTGTAAATGACAGCATGCTAAACAAAAAACTTACAGGAATCATGCAAGGGATAAGAGTTACTGACCATTAATTTAAGTTTTCAGTGTGTCATATTTAAGATAGCAGAGAATCTTATTAGTTTTAATACTCCATTTTGCTAAATTGAAGGATATATTTCAGATGGTAATAATGAGATGCAACGCCGTCGAGAACGTAAATTAGATACAACACCAATTTTGGGAAATCTATGCGTAGATGATACTGACTGTCACGTTTTTAATACATATTGCGGTCAAGTGAATTTCTTAGAACTGAAGAACTGTAAGTGTAAGGAAGGATTCTTTCCGTCTAAGGATATGACGCAATGTATACAAGGTAAGAGGGCCTTTTTCACTCTGCTTCCTGATATTAATTAGTGTTTTCAAAATAAACTTTGATAAGTCTGTTTTATTTTGAAAAGGTAATATGAAGCAGGAGCTAAAATTTCTACTGTCTTCATTAGTGCTATCATTTTCATTTTATTACACTTTAATGATCTTTCCGTTTTTCAGTTTTCCAATCCGAAATTCGGAATTAATCCTAAAACTTGATGAAACAATATCTTAATTTACTACTCTTCCTTCGACAAACAAAATTAATGTTAAAATCATTGTACAATAATTCATAGGGCAAATATTAAATCATTGTTAGTTCTCTGAAATATTTTCTGGGTTGTAATTGTTTTAAAAAATAAGTGTTAAGTCCAGAGATCGAGATTTTCCAGAAATAATATTTGGAAAGAGAATGACACTATTTTTATAACACTTAGGCAATTTGTATTATAGAAAAGAATAATAGTAACACGAATTCATGGTTACTGGATGGATCTTCTGGAATGCAAATTATAATTAGGAAATCGTTGAATCACCTTTTTTCAATTCAAATGCAGGTGTGTGTTGTTTTTGAGGGATCACTCATTTGAAATTTATTAATGGTTAAGTAGAGTTGAGGGTTGTTTGCAAGAAAGTACGCATTATAAGTGCCTTTTTCAGTGTTGTAAGAAAATGTTTGATCTGTTATTGATTTTAAAAAGATTAAATCCTTGAATAGTTAAAGTTCATGAAAGAATCCTTGAGCACTGTGTTGCAGTTCAGCAGATTTAGTATAAAACCTTTTCTGAATTCGTCTTCTAACTTCAACAATCTAATTAATCAACAGGTTCAAACGTACAACACTTCGGGAGTGCTGCTATACAGTGGTTTGAATAAAATGAATGATTTCATCCTTTTGTTATTGTCAAATTTTAAACTTATATTCAGGTATTTTTTGGTTTTAATTAACAAAGACTTTTTAGTGATATGCTTTTTTGATGGTGTATACAACACCAAAAACACAAGTTTTCGTTTTGTATTCGAAACATTTCCACGTTATATGGTATTTAGATTCCACTCGAGTTAGCTACGTTTTATATTTGTCTTATGTTTACTGATGAACACAACTAACACTGAAATGTTTAAGTACAAGAGTACATTTTATTTGTTTTGATGAAGGGAAAAGTCTTACCCTGAAAATATCAATCGACAAGTTTCAATTGCTGCAATAATTTATAATTGGATGATATATTGGAGATTTTGTGGTCAAACAACCACTCTTTGTTACCATTATAATTTTTTATTGGTTAATCATCTGTCTATGTACAAGCCGTTAATCATCTGTCTATGTACAAGCCATCATCTGTCTATGTACAAGCCATCATCTGTCTATGTACAAGCCGCATCTGTCTATGTACAAAACGTATGCTTATTAGCATATTGATATTTATTTCAGTTTCTCTCTGAGTAATGAAATATTTGTCATGGAATGGAAATCATTATTGGACATAAATCGCTCATACATAGTTACACTTACTTTCTCGCATAATCAAATTTCTTTGATTGTTGATGACTTCGCTCCAGTAGTTTTCAAACTGCCACCTGCGGTCATCAGTCACCCACTTAAATTTGATACACCAGTATATCTGGGATACACACCGGTGCTGCTTCTCCGGTATGACTCATTAAATACAACTACTTGGTAAAACAAACCAATTTTCCAAAATCAAAAAGCATTTATTTTATAAATATCCTGTATGCTTCTCAGAAATTTTGTTAGATGAATTTTTTGTCGAGCAAGTTCTAAGGAAAAAGCGAGAAATTTAAAATTGGCAATTTCCTACACATTTTTCAATTCTTGGATTGGTTTTTTTTATGTGCCATACGTTTGGTTGCAGAAAATTTTTACTATAAATCTTAAATTACAGCTCGCATTCAATGCAAACGGCATTAAACAATTTTACGGGTTGTTTGTCGAATATTTTTATTAATGGGCGCGAAATATCGACAACAGACATAAGATTTTTGGGCGATATCGGTAAGATTGCTATATTAGACTGGGTTGCAACAAAGTTGTATAGGGAAAGAGGAAATTGAAGAGAATTCACATAAATTGTATTCATCGAAATCTTATTCACTATGTCATTTTCACCTCGTACAGTAACATTTTCTTCTATTGAATACTATTAAACTGGTCTGAATAAATAGAGTGTATATTCGTGGTGTAACAATTTTGAATATGGTATCTCAAAATGATACCAAAGAATCAAACAATCCGAGGGCGTATTGTGGGAGGTGCTGAAGCTAGAATATTAGAATATATTATTGCACGGTAACATTATTTTGGATATAATAACTGCTGAGTCACTATATGAAGTCTTTGTGCTCGCACAGAACTTGTATGCTTCGAGATTTCTCGAAATAATAGCTTCTGATTATTTGTTTTGCCAAATTGAGACTCCCATTCAGTATGACGTAATAAATCAATGTGGAAGTTTCGTTGTAATGATATATGACATGTTAAGATGTAAATCACCTTGCATAAGAAGGGATTAATTTTTGACTTTCTTGTTTTCAGAAACTTTCTTTCAGCTCATTGCTCACAAAATATATGTGTAAAAAGTTGCTTGAATGGTAATTCATGCCTGTTGGATGCGACAACTGATGATAAACCGTTATGTCAATGTATTCAACATTTTAATGGTTCTGTTCATTGACGATTTTCTTTGACTGATCCTGACATTACTTTTTTTAATTAGTAAATCTTAAACAAACTTCCCTCTCTCTTCACTAGCAACTGAAAACGCATAAATTTTGTTACAAAAAGTATTAGTGACAATGCAAATGTGCATTGCTTTATTGCAAGCACTTAAATTCCTAATATGCTTTGCAGCAATTTGATAAAATAAAATGTCTCCACTAATCGACCATTTTTGTTAGTAATATTTATCTTTTGCATGGATGGTTTTTTGTGATGAAAAGATTCATCAAGGTAAAAGAGTTGAAAATATTTGATTGAAATCGTATATTCTTCCCTTCCCTGACTTCCAAGCATCAACATAATCAGTTCATCCTGTCCTCAAATTTCCATCAAGAATTAAAATTTTAACTCTAAGAATTGCAGGCCAACTTTGTGAGCAGCAAATATGTAGAAGTAGTGAAATCTGTGGCGACAATTCATCTAATACCAAGATGATGAGTGAAGAACAATTAAGTTTGTTTAATTATTAAACCATTCAGAAGTGAAAATTTACAAGAAGTCCCAACGTTAATTCAGTGGCACGAAAACATGCAGAACAATACTATTGCATGATAACATTAATTTAGGATATGATAACTAATAACTTTCTGTTCGTATAGAATTTGTAATATTCGAGATTTCTTGGAATAACAACTCTTGGTTACAGATTAAAAAATTAAAAATTGATTTGTGATCAATTAGTTTGAGTTTTGTTGCAGATATGAAGTTGAACCACGCAGTTCCATTGTTTGCTGGTGATGGTTTTCTAAGCGAGAAGTTAGTGATGGATGTGAAAGAAAAGCTAGAAATAGAAATATGGTTAAAAGCAATGAATCCAGATGGCCTGGTATTTTATTGGACTAATTTAGACGCTACCACAAGGCAATATACGGACGGCTATTTTATAGCATTAGTGTTGATCTTTTCAAAGCCCCACTTCTTCTGGAATTTTGGCTCTGGGATCATTTATAGCAGGTTCATCAATATTTTATTCCTGATCACAATTAACTTTCAAAGAGCGCTCTTATAAATTTCAAATGTGCAAGGAATTATCAACCAAGTTGCATGTTAAGTTCGAAGATACCTAAGTGTCAGGATGTTCGGCATTCTTGTTAAATTGCATTTAGTTCAGAGAGCTAGAAGAAACTCTCTAGCGAGTTTCATCCTTGCTCCTTGATTCTTATAACAGAACACTTTTGATGAAATCGATAGATGAGTATCATTAAATTTGACTTATTCCAATCATTAGTTTATTCTCTGAAGGACTGATTTTGTCATGAAATTAAGCTGTCATTCTGTAAAATTGAGTAGCTGTGTCATTATCGGTTAATATAACCCGGTGAGTTTTAGTAGGATTATTTGTCTTCTCGATTATTACTTTTGGCATTATTGAAGGAGTCATCTAAAAAGAATTGATAAGAAACGAAAAGAAGTAAAGGCAGAACATCATCCAGTGACTTCACTATTTAAATAAAATATTACTGGACTATTGTTTTTGATTTAATATACTTTTTAGTATATTTATTATTTTTTAATAAATATTATATTATTTAATATATGTCGATCATTGAAACAGATTTACTAAATATTTAGATAGCTGAATATTGAGAATCGGCACTATGGTAATGATGTTTAGTTAGGTTTTATTTCACTAATTCACTTTTAAGTCGAATTTCATAGCTATCTCTTTCAAACTTATTTCGATAGTTTTAATGTTGCTTAGGTCCACTGCATCAGTTTTGAACGATCAATTCCACTCCATCCACTTTGAAAAATATTTCCGTAGTGGTTCGCTTCAAGTTAATGATGAGCAGTCTGATACCCGGATTTCTCAGGTTGTTTACTGGTGTTTATATTTTTTTTTTAAAAATGATGAGTTTTGAATCTAAGAATTGAATTATGAAAAAAATCGTTCTTCAAAACTAAAAATGAAGTTTTGGAAAATCTGGGTAGTAACAAATTTGCATAGAGTTTTCGATCAATTTTATTACGACTCATTTCAGATATTCGGTACAGATTTTCTCTTAGATCCACATATGAAAATATGCTTTGTTAGACGCCAAAAAATTTAATTCTCGAATTTGGGATCTTTAAGACTTACCAAGATTTCATATACTGTAACTTAGGTATTATTATTAAAAAAAATAATTGATAGATTGGCTATTCACCAAACAGTACAGTGATTTTCATCGGCGGTGTTCCAAACAAAACGATCCTACCAAGCGCGGTACCAGAACTTGGGATACCATTTCGAGGTGCAATACAACGACTGACTATTAATGGACATAGATTTTCTGAACTTTTCAAGGTATGTTGTGTAGCGCATATGTGATATTTTCGGACAAGGTTAAATTCTATTATTTCTTGTCAAGTTGATACAATGATATCGCTTTTTGTTCCAAATGAAATTACCTTAAATGAAATGAAAGATAACAGACAAGCCCTATTAGTAGTTGAAATAATTATATTGACTATTTTTGGCTTACTTTACAATTTTTTGAGCATAATGCCACACCCGTTCATTTCAAAAATTACCGAAACATAGCAAAAAAATCTTCAATCAGTGATTTCTCTGTTAGCATCTTTTTACTGTTCAATTTTTAGTTTTAAACCTTTCATGGGCCTCATGCAATTTTAATTAATTCTTGTAGTCTAAAAATCAATCAACAGCTAATGTTCAAATTTTATGTTCACGAAATGTTTGAAAATCCAAATTAAAATCTAACTTATTGTTTCACGGAAACGAAAACTAGACGTTTTGTTCGGCTACTACAAAACTTTTATTGAACAGGCAATGATCGATGAATAAAGGCTTATTTTTTAACTTATTAAGTAGCGGCAAATTTTAGAAGCTCAGACTACTATTATTGGAGTATTATTCAGATATACTAACTTTTATTAACTATAGAAGAAAGGCTGCACTTTAATTAGCGACAGTTAATTTGGAAGGGTTCACGTCAAATATAAGGACTTCTATTTACCTACGAATAAATAAAATGATATTGGAGATAATGTACATTGATTAATTGATGAGGTTTTTAAATTTTATTTTACTATAGAAATATAAATAATGCAAGTGCACAGCATCCTATCTTAGCAGTTATGGGTCTTTTTGAAATGATCCAAATTTTAAATTCAGAATTTCCTTTGCACTTTGTAAATAATGCCTTTGATTAAGGCTAATTGCTATTCATTTCATGAGACATTTGTAGGAATTTCAACGAACTGGTCGTATTATGCAGTATGATGATGTCCCATGTTCTAATGTTAAGAGTGGAAATAGGAACTGTCTACGGAATCTTAATAAATATGGTTGTCGATGCCTGAATGAATACCAACCACCGGAATACATCCAGCAAGGTTATTACACTGAACATGGAATAAGAATTGTAACAAATGGAAAAAGGAAAGAGAAAAATTCCTTGAAAGTAAACATAAGCTACCCTCTTCATTTTTTGTAGAAAGCCATTTTCAATCTGCATTAATATTGCAAAATGGCAGCTATATTCCTTCTTGATAAATTCTTCTTGAATTTCTAGAAATTTTTTTTTTTTTGATTTTTGTACAAAGCATTTTGAAATTCATATTTATTGGTTGGGTTTGGCAGTGCATAAATTTCATCTTTTTTCCACTTACCTTTCTTTCTTCTGTTTCTATTATAGACCATTTATTTTATTATTGCTAACTATGAAAGTTGGAGTTTTTAAAATTTTTAATTTGAATTTGGATTTTTTGTCAATTTCCATATCATTGCTTGGATGAAGGGAGTACCAAATATTTAAAGCACAATTAGTTTTAACTACAAGAAATTGATACAGTTATTTCTTCTTTACAACTCAAGTTCTGAAATCGAATAGTGAAATAAGGATGGGATTGAAGATTACTTCAGTATCCAATTTTATTCTTAAAAAATGGTAATAACTGGTTTTTTCCGTCATATTATTCTGATCAAATTTATCATTTTGCCAAGCATTGCCAAGAGGTCACAATTTTTATTTCGAGGTCTAAATCCTTTGATTTTTGTCTATGATCGTGAAAACAGGAAAAGAGGGAGCAGAGCTGTTATGAATATCTGAATTTTACATTTTTCAAGAAAAACACTATAAATATATTTGGAAATCTAAGTTTTCTTCTTACATCCATCGCTTATTAGATTTTTGGAAATATAGATTAATACCTGGATATATTCTACTTCCAATGAACGATAACTTATCAACAGACTTGCTGGGTCAGTTTTTTTCATATCAAAGTTCCAGTGTTTCAATTCTTAAAATTATTTCTAGATGAGAAAGCAGGTGCAGATCCGAACGATAGCCTCCTACTTGATGGACGAAACGAATATGCTTTAGTTAAAAAGATGATTTCAAAGTATGAATCATCGTTATTTGGTTATGAAATCATATTTTTTAATTCACTAGTTAAACATATTTTGCAGTGTTAAAAGTAGTACAAGTCTTATTGCAACCATCTTTTTTGTTCACAAAATATTATCCTGCGATCGAATGTTAGGAACATGCATTAAGTGTAGTATTCTCTACCAGTGTAATATGTAATCAGTTGATTATAGATTTATATTCACACATGAGTGAGTCGATAAAATAAAGTACTTGAAGTTAAAACCTGTTGACAAGTTTATTCCTTAACACTTTATAATTTCTTGGGATCGGAAATGACAGCAATGCTTCATGTTTTAGAGAACATCCATTTCCTTGCTGTTCTTGATAAAGCTTACACCAAACACAAAAATTTTTTTTTATCTCCTTTTTAGGAGACGTTCGAAAATATTGACAGACTATCAGTTTATGATCAAAACGAACAAATCAGAAGGTTTAATCTGGTGGGAAAGTAAGAGGCATATGATCCGTTCTAATTATATAGCAATATTTGTCCTCGCTGGACGACTTGGTTTTGCTATAAATTTGGGCAGCAGTCCAAAAGTTAAAGTAATTGGATCAAACACAATTGTAAATGATAATCGGTGGCACAGTGTTGCGCTTTTACGGTTTCTTTTCACTTTTCATTTTTACTCTTAATTTTCGGTTGAAAATTTCACTTATTTCTTTCATAACATCACTTATCCTGTGAGTTGATGTGACTGATCTTTGAGTAATTATGCACCATACTTTAAGTAATTTCAGGGAGAAGCGAAAGTCGTTGCTAATTGTGGACAATGAAAAAATAACTTATATTTCTCCATCCCGTACTGCGGAGTTAATGACTGATGGAATTATTTGGATTGGCAAGTTTCTTTCTTTACAGAAACTAAAGTTGTAACTCATTTTCCAAATTGAAGTTAATAAAGTTTTTAAGACTCAAAAATTTATGCATGTTTAGATTGTTAGTTTCATTTTGATGGTGATAATTGCTTCGCTTCTTCTTCCCCCTCGCTGTTGTTCATATCTGTATAAGATAGTTATTGCAAAGGCTTAGATGAACTTTCAGTTTCAGGTGGGAAAAAGAAAATACCGCGGAGTTTTCCAGTAAAAATACCGTACAAAGGGTGTTTACGAAACTTACGAATCTCGTCACAAGTGATTAATATACGACGGGAATTTTCATTAAACAAAACGTATCGAAGATGCGAAAATTAGATGTTCTATTAAACGAATAATTCAGCGTTTTAAGTTTAATAAATTCGGAAATAATATATTTTTTATGTCTGATAGCTATTGATAATTTAGGGTAATTTTGATCATGCTAAATATTTTTTTGGGCATTTCTTTCACTGCATTTCCAATTACATATGAATATTCAAATGATATTTTAATTTTTATTAAGTTTTTTTTTAAGTTTTTTTTTTTTTGTTTTTTTTATTTTTTTTTTTTATACAATTTTTTTTCATTTTTTTTTTCTCACAAATAACTCCTTCTTTTGAATTCATATTACATATATTAGCTTCAATTTATAGCAAAAACAATTAATTGGAAAGAGCAATAAATAAACAAATAGATTGAACAAGTGATATGATTAAAATTAAAGGTGACTATTACTATCCACGATATAATTTACAGAAAATTTTTGCAATGCTTCAGGCATAACATTTGCAGTCATTTTATCAGTTATTTTTCCATTCATTTATTTCGGTTATCATGTAATCATTTTACTGTTTAATTATAATAAGTATAAAATCGTTCTGATCAAAAAATCAGAATTATTGCTTGATAAATAGTACTTGTTTTATACATACTAGTTTAAAATATTTGATCTTTATCTCTCGGATTCTTCACCGATTTTTGTTTTGGATTTTTGCATGGTCCAACTTTTGTCATTTTTTTCTTCTATAAGTTCTTTATGTCTGTTTATCGTAATTTTTAAATTTTCAGCATAAAAGAACGTTTTGTTATTTATCATTTATTAGTGCTAATCAATGCGCTTATAAAGTTTTATTAAGTTGGTTGCTAATAAATTAACAAATTGATTGTTTCGATTCAGCCGTGAAAGAAATTTATGAGTGGCACATGAGAGATTAATGATTTGTTATGATGAGTAAATTAATTACACGACATGCGAGACATCAGAACTTATCCACTTTCACCTTTTATATCACTTTTGATATATAGATAGACTGTACAAAGGCAGTAAAACAGTAAAGCTGACAGTGATATAATTAGATGACAAACAGTAAAGCATTTTTGTTACACTGATAAAATGTGGTTTGATGACTCAAAACCAATTTAAAATATTCTGTGGTGATATTGCCCTAGCAGTTAATTGTCACGCTAAGGCAATTGTAATGGTTTTTATAAATTTCCTCTTTCAAATCAAAATCAATTATTACGAAAATACAGATAGGATAATTGAGTGCCCCGGTGCTTGTCGTTTTTGTAAGATGGAGAAGCAGCAAATTGAAATAAATCATTTTTCTAGGGAAGTAAATATTCCGAGTTAAGTAAATATTTCTTTTGAGCTGGTTTAAATAATAATGTTGTAAAATAAACTAAAAAAATCCGGTTTTAGAATCCTAGCAAAACTTAACCTTATTCTCTAGCTATGCAACACTTCTCATAGCTGACGAAAAAATAGCTTTTTCTTGTCACTCCATTTGAATCCATTTATTTACCAATTTGCTAACTTAAAAGCTACTGTTTTTGTAAATGGTTAGTTAATTTCAATCAATTGTAAAATTAATGATTAAAATATTTCCATTTTCAAACAGTCTGTTAAGGAAAAGTCATGAAGAAGAAATGAGGCAAATTCCCGTTATTAACTATAAGATAACTTTTATATCCAGTGCATTTGATATTTCACAGCTCATTTTAATGAAGTCCATCCTGTGTCGCTTCTATTGCAGGAAGTGACAAGTGATGCTACAGACATTCTTAGTCAACTTTCGCCAGAACAGGTTGAACGTATGGAAGTTTTCATAATTCTTTACTCAAATCATGCAAAGTTATTACTGTTATTATCAAATGCTCAAATGTCCATTTTCAAAATTCATTCAGGAACTAACTATTGAAACCTCTTCAAGTGCTATGCACGTTTCTTTTGCATACATTTAATAAACTAAATTTTATTTAGAATTTCGGAAATACTTCAATATGTTTGACAAAGAAAACAAAGGTTTTATCAAGGCAACACAGATCGGCCAGATTTTAAGAACTATGGGTCAGGCATTTGAAGAACGAGATTTGAAACAGCTTATTAAGGAGTTCGATACTGACGGTGCATCATTCATCATTCATAATTAAGATGACACATTGCAAAATATAGTTCTGAAAATTCGAACTTTTTTTTCTTTTTTTATCTTCTAGCATATATGAGGCTTATTCCAAAACTGAATCAGAATCATTAGTAATCATGTAGATGGGTGAATTAGCGGAAGAATTGGATAGAGAATACGACTCTGTTCAAAATATGCAATTGCTCTTAATTTGAATTGTGTTGTACATGCCGATTAGAAAAACTGATCACTTTCAAACTGGTAACATCTCCCTTTTACGAGATGAGTTTCAAAAGTCTTAAACATGCTTCTATTATTGGCGTCAATCATTAATTATAAAAAAAAATTATTGGTATCAGTTAATAAAAGTCAGAATAATTTAGAATAACTTTATTTTTTATATTTTTACAGGATCAGGTGAGATTGAATTCGAAGAATTTGCAGCAATGGTTGCTAGTTTTGTTGTTGAAGATGAAAATGCCGGTTTAGAGGAGGAACTGCGAGAAGCGTTTCGATTGTACGACAAGGAGGTAGTTAAGAAAACAGTCGATAACTCACAGTAGTAAAAAATTTTCGCTTTCAAGTTGAATTAATGAGGCGAGACAAGAATCTGATTATGAATTCACTTCAGAATTATGTTATTTCACATAAAACAATCCCTCTTCTTCCTATTTCTATTATATTGACCTTCCCAATAAGTATTTATAATTTTCAATATTTTCTGCTTCAATTCGTTAATCATAGCAGAAAACACTTTCACATACATAGGTTTAATTTCATATGCTTAACTGCAAAGGAATCCAACAACCAACGAAATGACTTCCGATATTGATTGAAATTAACTAACCATTTACAAAAACAGTAGCTTTTAAGTTAATTTTATCGTGTGGTTTTTGAATTATCCAATCATAAGGGCAATGGTTACATAGCAGTATCAGATTTGCGTGATATCTTACGTGCGTTGGATGAAAATGTCTCCGAAGAAGAACTAGATGAAATGATAGCTGATATCGACACTGATGGTTCTGGCACTGTCGATTTCGACGGTTAGAATTACATTACTGTTCTGTAATCTTTTTGAAATATGAATATGAAAGTAAATACCAGCGTTGTTTTATCGTTTACTTCCTACCTGACTTTTTAATATGTTTTCTCCCTTTGAACAATATACCTTCAGAATTTATGGAAATGATGTCTGGCGAATGAGCATTGTTCGAAAACATCGCAAATATAATGCAACACAGCTCTTGCAGTATATTATTGTCAAAGTCTTAAACGATGCAATAAATTGTTAAACGTAATCTTTGTTTCTGTTCTACTCATTCCACAGAATATCATGAAGTGTTACGGAATGCATTCATTACATCTGGTGGAAACACTCATACCTTTCATTTAGTTGCCATTCAGTGATTCCTAGATATCAAAGATATGCAATAATGTTGTGCTTTTCGGCTTCTGATTCAGTGAAGATAAGCAAAGAAAGTGTATTCAATTCAAATCATATCGAAATGAATCACTTGAACGGTGGAACTGATAGCAGCAATATACACTCTAGTCCTGAAATTTATTTAATCAAGACTATAGATTCCAGAAAAGGAGAGGAGAGTGCTAGACTCCTAATCATGCAATGCAAAGAACAAGAATAGTGACATGCTTATTAACTTATTCCAACATGAGACAAGGCTTTTTCAGTAATGGACTGCATTGAGATGACAGATAAAATCTCGGTTTGATTGCCGCTTTAATCTTTGGTTTTCGTCGGTACTGGCGTGATGTGTGTGAGTTGTTGGGGTTTTGTGGTAGTTATGAAGTAAGAGCGGAACGAAGGAGGTAGCTGCTTATCCATTAATTAGTTGGCGAGCTAAAGAAATGTTAAGGACTGCCACCAGACTGAAATACTCAGCTGGCAGACCGTCTATTGGTTTGGCATTATTTGGATGTAAAAATCGTCCTGCATATCGGATCGTTGTATTCCCAGACAAAGCATACGGACGTCATTACGAAGGAAGTATCATCGAAGAGGTAAATAACTGCTTTTTTTTTATACTGGTAACACATACACTCTGGAAGTGAACTTTTCATATCGAAAGTAGTACTCGTCAGATGTCATTTTTAAATGATGCAAGGAAATTGTTATCTTGCATCTATCCGCAAGAATTTAATGAAGTTAGTATGAATATATTTGGCAAACCTTTCAGTTTACTGTGGTTTGACTAAAATAAACATGGTCAGTTTATCGAAACTGTCAATTTAAGCTTGGCGTTTTCGATCCGTTGCCCAATTTTCGGAACGAGAAATTAGTTGCATGTGATATTACTCGTGTCAAATATTGGATTGGAGAACGCAACGCACATATATCGCCATCTCTTTTAGAACTTTTAGGTAGTGTCTTTAATTCAGTAATATATGTATTTTTTTCCCCTATTTAGTTACCATTCCATTTGCTTCAATCAACTCATGCCTATTTTAGAAATCAAACTTTCATATTTTTGTTTTGGTTTCTGTGAGATGTTGGATGGGAGATTCTAGAAGTTTTAGGACTTTGGGGTGTATTACCAATACATCCAAAGACATTCATCCGTGCGCGATATCATCTCGAAGAACTGGAAGAAGCCAAGTTAAAAGTTCATTCTTCAACATCTCAGTCAGGATCACCAGAAGTAGAATCGAAGAAAGAAACTGAAAAAAAAGAAAATCATCTTCGTAATTAATAGAAAATTCGGTGAACTTGAAAACCAGCAAGTTTCAAAGCGGATATTTTTAAAAGCGTAAAACAAGGTGGCCAATACTGATTTACATAAACTGTAGTGATATGTTACATATTGACGGTGGAAAAAAGAGAACCTCCTCGCCCATCAAGTATTTCCTGACAGCACCGTTTTATATATGGAGCATGTTTTTTGTCGATTACGCTTGTGCAGAATGTCAGGAAGAGGTTAAGATACTACCTCGCAGTTCACATGAGTTCAGAATTGTTCGAAGTCTTTATATTTTTGAAAATGATACAAAAAAGTGTGATGAGGCAGAATTTCTATTGGTACCATCCCGAGCTCCTTTTTGTGATTCCCATGATTTAAGTGTGACTTTTTCATCGGTTGCTGTGTTACCAAATGGAACCAACATGTAAGTTAAAATTTTTATTAAGGAGTGTAAGATTTCTACAAGAGTACATTTTCGAAAGTTATACAGGATAGGCATATGACTAATTTTTGGTGACTTTATTTTATCTGGTTCGAGTATTGGATTTAATTAAGCTATAAGTTCTTCTGAAGTAAACTGCAAATGCTTTAATTACATTGTTCCTCTTCACTCAAAACTTTATAGGCTGCCTTACATTTTACTTAATGTTTCCATTTGGGTTAATAATCCAGTCTCCTCTGTTTTTCTTCGTCTGGAGTGTTTGGGCGCTCCAAATATGGAAGACGATTATTGTCATAATCACGAGGTTTGTTAATGTTCCAAATAACTTTTACAGGAATATAACTATCACTTTATTTTTTCTTTTAATACTTATATAGAAGGTGGTGTGCAGTCCTTTTTCATTTGTTTTTCGAGATAATGTATTGTTTATGTCAAGTCTTACTTATTTATCAATATAAAAATTTGTTCGATACAGCATTTTTTTTTTCATTGTATCTTCAATTTAAATTGTTCTTTTTTCGGAAAATTTACTGTCAGGATTTTTTACATTAAAATTGCTGTGGAGCTCATAACTTTTCAGGAGCAGTCTCGGAGGTGGGGGCGTATGATATGGCCTTGTCGTTCTCTAACCCTTTCTGAACCCGATCTTGTCAGTTATCCATATTTTTTTAATTATCATTGTTTTCGACTTACTTCTTATTCACATTATCGTTTGAATGTGTCATATGCTCCAAATGCTTGCAGGTGCGTTATATTATTTTAATGAATAAATAAAAAATAAAACAATTTGGTAAATTAGTGACCATAGGCTGGTTTGTAAAAATCTCGGTCATTCAAGAGGTAATTCAGAATAAACTGCTGAAAGTTTCACACTGAGTATGGTGGATACTGGAATTTATTTTATTCGAATCACTATATTTACAGGAAATCGTTTATTGTCACAATACCGGAGGAGGCTCAAATGAACCCTGCTATAAGTCGTTTCTATGATAAAGATGCTGCAAGTGGTGGTAATTATTGGTCACCACTTGCTTCCGTAGATTTAACCTTGCGAGACGTAAGTTCATAGCTAAAGAATAGACGTTTATAATGATTTTTTGTGGGACTTCAAATTTCATATAATTTAAGGGTATATTATTGCTTTTGAAGTACTGTGTATGATTGTTATGGTTTCTGCATTTGTTTTGATTTTCATAAAGTGAAGATTCCACGTTTGAAACAACCTTAAGTAATTATAAACAATGTGTGCCATAAGGAGAACAAAACTGCTATTGCAGTAATGCGTGTCATGCGAACCATTGTTTTGATCTCTTAAGTTATTGCAGTTGTCTTTATTATTAAATTTCTTTAGCTGTAACAAATTGAGAAGGATTTTCTAGTCTTAAAAAAGTGTTTTTGAGAGAGTGGTTATTCGTTATGAAAAGCAGCCAGCTTTAGCGGCTACTCCAATCTCTATTGCTGTCTTTGAAACGATCGCTTCCTCTTCTGCCCATCTCTTTACGAATACATTAGATGCTGGCGTCGTTGAATATGCATGGAAGAACGTCCCAGCTGGGAACTTTACTGTATATTTATACGTTAGTCGCTTAGACTGTGATCTAATATGTAACAGCGATACTGTGGATAAATGTACTTTATGTCCAAGTACAAGAATTTATTTCACAGTTGAGGAAGATAAAATTTGGTTTTCGGCATCAGTGCATGGTTTATTATCTCATGGGACTTGCGTCGTTGGTTAGTTTCTGCTTTTTTAAATTGTATTAATTTCTAAGTTTGTTAACAAGTCAGAATTAACTAGTAGGAACAATGAAATTTAAAATACTGGTCCCACATTACATTCCAATATGTTATTCTGTATCTTCTAGGTTACAAAAGAATTTCTCCTATTTAAATCAGCACAGAAATAAGTTTGCTTTTAAGATAAAAGCACATAATTACAATTTTTGATGGAAATGCATAACGAAGTTCGATTCCGAATTATCGTCTTGATATTCGGAGAGCGTGAAACAGCTGAATTAATTGCCTTTTTCGCTTTATACTCTAGACGTAGTTTTTGTATGTATCTAAGTTTGTCTTTACTTTTTTTCAAGACTCTAGTTTCTCAGTGTCTTCTCTTGTTTCATTTGTCCTTCAAATCATCTTGTTATAGCGATTGTTACAGCGATTGTTTTAGTCAACGGGTAAGGTAAAGTCTTTAAATTTGCGTGCTTCTTTGAGAAGCTTATATTCACTTACATCTGATATTTAGTTATGGCATCTGACATTCAGCAGTACTACATGAATGTCATTCATTTATATCAATTGTTGTCTTTCATTGTTTAAGAATGTTTTCTTTTGGATGTGTTAGCGTTTTTTCCTCATCGTATTTTTTTCGGATAAAGTGAAATTATATTTCAGGTGCTTCGATGCTGTGTTTTGTTGTTACAATAGGTTTTTTGTTCTTTTTCTTGGCGATCAAATGCTTTCACAAAGTTCCATTACGAGAAGTATTACTTTCGCATCGAACAACAGTTTTTATCGCTTATGTAGACGACTGCAAACCACATTCTGATTGCATCGCTGTACTTGCAAAAGTATTGCAGCACAGTGCGAATGTAGATGTATTCATGGATCAATTTGAGTTGAAATATTCGGGTATGTACATTTTTTTAGTGCACTAAATTTATAAAAGTAATTTTTTTGAAGATAAAATGATTTCTTATTCAGACTTTTTGTGTTAAATGAATAACGAATTTTCATTAATTGTAGTTGAGTGCGTTTCGTTACTATGAAAATTCTCTCAGTCCTGATTTTTCTCTTGTTTGCTATTCTAATTTATCTTCATTCGATGCAGCAGAAATTTCTACTAAAATTAGTCGAAGTCTGGTTCAGTTTCTTTCTTTCTTTCTTTTATTTTCATCAACAAACTTTATTTGAAATTGACATATTTTAGAAACACTTCCATTGAGATGGTTCGTCAACAAATTTGCAGTAGCTAATCATGTAGTGCTTATTTTTTCTGAGGGAGCAAGTGTCATCCTTCATGGGGAAAGTCTTATTCAACGACAACCGTTTCCTGAATTCTTCTCTGTTGCGCTTAATATGTTGATAGCGGTTAGTCCAAAATAATATATATGTTTTTGGATTCTTGCGTAATACTTGCAACGAAATCTTAAACAATGCTTTGCTTAATCTCAAAGTACACTGAAATTAAGGAAATTCGATAAATTCATTACGTGTTTCTTATTACCTTCTTTCTTGAAAAATTCTAGGAATACAGTAAAGATGTCACCAAACAATCTGGAAAGTTACTATCAGAAATAAGGCCGCGCTTTGCATTTGCCTATATGACCTATTCTCCATCTTCAGTGATCCCCGAAGAGCTTACTACTTTACCGATCAATATATTTAAGCTGCCTGAACAGGTGTGCTTTTATTTTTAATACAAGTCTCTCTTTTCACTCTCTCGTTTCTTCACTTTTCCAAATGAATTTAGGTTCAGAATCTCATTTCATGGTTGCATAATCAACCGTCTGATATCTATGTAGATGTTTGTGTTGATATTTCGGATTTGAAAAGTGCCGTGAATGAAGTTGTGGAATACCGACGCAAGAACGCAATTTGGTTAACAGAAAGGTTGCAAGACAAGCACAAAGTAAAATTAACATATAATTCTATAGTAGCTATGTTAAAAATAATAAAATACTGTTAGTCGATTTCAATATTTTTGAGGAGATTGTTGAGTTTTATTGCAAATATAATTACAAATCATTGATTGATATTAATCAAAGTTTGACCTCTCTTCCTGTTTATAATCTTTTTTCACATGTTATGACAGAATTTTGGATCTGCTTTTGCACTACAAAATGTTCCTTTCCAATCAAACCGCTCGGTGTTAACACCTGAAGAACAAATTAATATTGCGGAAGTGTTGAATTTGGAGCCACCCGATATTCATTCCTCAATAGTTAGTTATTTCCATATGCCATTCTTTGATTTTTGGGAATTTATTTTTCGTGGTAAAATTCACTGGAATAATTTCTTCATTGCAGGAAGAAATTCGTTCTAAGGAAGATGACGTGTTTGCTTTAATAGGATCACCCAGTGATAGCAGCTTCGATTCTGATGATTCCACTTCCAACAGGAAGCATTTACAGTAATTCTTCACAGAAGAAAAAAAAAAGAATGGGTTTTTATAAAAAATCACAACCATTTCATGTAACGCATGTCATATGACTCTTTATAGCATTATTTTTTGTTAACAATTATACAGCGTAAGATATTACTTTTTCTATATTATTATTTTTTAAGATTTGTCTTTCGTTGAATTTTTCTTACATTGCTTTTTACGTGTACGTTTTAAAAATAGTTTTTATACTTTTTTATATGTTTTAGTTGACATGCTTGATCTCCTTATTTGAATTGTGCTGTTTTGTGCTTTGGTATTATTTCATTGTTTGAAGTTGTTTATTGTTAATGGAATTTTGCAATAGTTTTCAATAAATTCAAATTTAAATTGGTTATATCCTCTGTGTCTTACGGTATCTGTTTTCAAACTCATTACTGCTTCACAAACACCAGGTTGCTTAGTAAAACACTTGTGCTTATGGAATTAAAACTTATTTTAGATGAGCCGTGTGACAAAACATCGAAAAGCGATCGCAAAGCGGGTGGAGAAGAAGCATACTTGTCCAAGTTGCGATGCGAAATTTTCTTTTCCAAATAAATTACGGCTACATGTCAATTCAAATCATTCTTGTAAGTGTGTTGCGAAGTCTTCAAATTGCTATATGAGAATTTCAAACTATTTAGTGAGGTGTGTTTTGAGTGAGCGTTGTCCTTTTCTATTTCTTTGCAACAGACTACTGGTACAAGATAAGCAAATTAAAAAAAATTTTGTTATTAGCAAATTTTCATTTTCTTAGCATTCAAAATATGAATTTCATAGAATTTATGATTCTTAGTAGCGAATCTTTGTGAGCTGTGCCCCGAACGTTTTAATCGTTTCAATGAACTACGCACTCATATGCGTCGTGCGCACCGAATTATACATCAGTGTCACTTGTGCGCATACTCATCTAGTGTTAAGGCGGAACTGAGAAAGCATGTTGTCAAATGTCATGAAAATGGTGTTCGCTGCACAGTTGATGGATGTGTCGCAACGGTAGCTTATAATAGGTTTGTTAAAAGTTATATTTGAGTATAAATTTTTTCTTTCCTTATTCATGTAATTTTTTTCTCTTTTAATGGTGGGTTAGCAGATTCTTTGATGTTTTCTGTTGATGTGTGTGATTTGAATTACTTTGCACATTTCTTTTCTTGCAGATTGAGGCGGCACATCAAGGAAGTTCATTGCAATAGTTTTGAGGGTAATCTGATTCTAGATAATCACATATTAAGAGCATCGGCAGAATCTAAAAACGACCTCTCCGGAGATCTCCACACGGAGGCAAAGCTTACTCCGACAGCAGAGGGATCGGTTGCTACAAATGCTTCTTTTGGGATCGAATTCGTCAATATCCATGGTAGCCTTTCGTATGTTGTAATTAAGTTTACAAGTATAACTAATTACTGGTTTAATTAACTAGTTTTAACAATGTTTTTTTTTTTTTTTTTTTTTTTTTTTTTGTTTTTAACAGTTCATCTTTGAAGACTCGGAGGTCCTGTTGTGACGTTTAATCTTGATACTCATATTTTGTTGGAGTGAAACTGACATTTCCTTTTTTCCATGTCTTAAGCAAAAAAACCGTGGAGAATTTGTAATTTTTTATTTTTCAAGTTTTGTCTTTATTTTTTTGCAGAGATTAAACATTTTGTCAATAATCATGTTTTTCTGAAACCTTTTTTTTTTTTTTTCTGACTTTGCAGTAATGATTTCATAGTACATTTTCTACCACTATATTAGTAACTTTGTGGTAATTTTTTAAATTAAGATATTGGTAGTACTACGCTGTTTTATTCAGGTCAAATTTTTCCAATGTATTAATTTATTGAAGTGGTGGACAAGATGCAGGAACCTACTAACAGTCATGTTTCACCAAAAATACCATCACAGAATGCAGAGACGTCTAGTCATATATCCTCCGCAGTACAGCAGTATGGAGCGACATCTGGAAATGACTGCGGTGATTACTGTGGTGGGGCTAAATTTGGAAAGGTATTTAAAATGGAGCGAGATAATTCCAGAAATATCTGTCAGGAGAAATCTTTGGAAGTACCGACTCAGCTAGATAGTTTAGAAATGAAGGACCAAACAATGTCCAAAAAATTACCTTTCGATTGTACAGAAACAGGTATTTTTCCCTATATATAAAAAAGGAATATACTATTATTAATTTTCTCTTATTTTTAATTGTTTTCTGAATTAACACATGTAGATTCTCACTCAATAGAAAAGTTATACATTTTGACGTTTTTTCAACGGAAAAAATTAGGCAATTTCAAATGAACTGAGAAATGAGAATGATCTGTTTTAATCAGTTATAAGCATCTATTTTAAATAGTTATGTGGTTTTCTAAGTGATTTCAAGTACATAATTTGAGTTCTTGATTTTTTTGTTTAAAGGGGAATATGAATGCCAAAAATGTGGAAAGATTTTTCATAATATTTGTAATTCTCGACGACACTGGAATCGCGTACATCTTAAAATATATAAAGAAAGAGTAAAATTGAAAAAATATGCATGCGAAATATCGAACTGTATGCAACGTTTCTCATGTTCTTCAAAGCTTCAAGACCACGTATTGGCTGTGCATAATGGTAAATTTTTTTCATTTACCACAAAAAGTTACTGATGGAGTTTGTAATTTTAGGTCATAAAGGCTACATTAGTTGTTGTGGCTTCTGTTTGTGAAAAATGTAGTCTGAGCTGCAAATTTTCATGGAATTAAGGAGATTTGTTACACATTTCTAACAAAACAAATTGTCGCAATACCCGATTAAAATATTGGAACCCTTGCAGATCATAATGAGGCAGTGCATGTAATTTGTTTAATCGCTTGTAATGAAGTGAAGAAATCTTCTAGATTCATTTTCGAATTAAAAGTAAGAGTGTAGTTAAATTTATGTGTTTTGAGAATTTGAGAAGCATATACTTAACAGCAAATTTTGAGAAACACACAATAGCAAAACTTAAATTTTGGTATTCAAACTTAAATATTTCGTTGCAGAGGGTGTTCCATTCGATTGTGAAACATGTAGTAGAAAATTCAGCAGCCGTGCATCATTTGCTGTTCATTTGAGACGCTATCACTTGGCAAGTATCCGAGATGTACCACATGGGTTTACGGACAGAACTGTTGTTAATGCTACTAGCATCTCTGATGAAATTCACGTTACCGCTCATGATACTGTGAGTGAAATGGAGGCAGTTGCCGATAATATATTGGGAAAAGAATAATAAAGGAATTAATGGATTTATTAGCCGTTTCTATAATTTCTTTACTGGACTTTATGGAGGAAACTTTGTAGGAAGCTTTTTGTTCAATAGTTACCGGACATTTAATGATTTTCAAGGCTTCTGTAGAAATTCACTATTATTTGAAGGTTTTATACTGACAGATATGACTTAACATGCATTTCCACAAACAAATGGACCATTGCATGTTTTTGTGCTTAATGTCTATATAGGACTTTTGGTTTTATTGAGATTTAGAAAAATCTCTTTATCAAGAAGTTTTAAGAATGTTGGTTTCAGTTTTTTCAGCAATTTCTTAGCCTTTTCCGTTATGTAACTTTTTTAGCTTTCCACTATACTTCGTGCCTTCACCGGTGGTGCTGACTGTTTTTTATGGTACTGAAATTATGTTACATCCTCTCGAAATGTTATAATGAGAAAACCCCGATAAAAACTTTTATACAGTTTCTCATTGTAATAACATGTTCGATTCAACTAGTAGTTGTAAATGTAATTATTTGGTGGCATTAAAGAATCTGCTACTTTTAATCAATAGTGTAATGTTTGCCCATGAAGTCGCAATTTTTAACGTGTATGATCCACAACTGTAACCTTTCTTCTAATGAAAGTAAGGTTAACTGTGATCAATTTTAGTCCAAAAATGATACTGAGACTGAAATTATTGGATAAAAAGATGGATATGGAACTGAGGCTAATTGTTCTTCAAGGAAGCCGAAAATTTGCTGGATGTTTTTCAAATAACCTAAATGCGCAAATTTACATTCGACCAATTAATTTAAATTACTGCTTTATTAGACCTAGATCTCTCATGTGACCACATTATTTTTCACGGTCACTGACTTAACTAAAAGCACAAACTTGCAAAATAATACTCAAAAGGATCGAATTTCTTAAGCAAACCGTTTTGGAGCATAACAAACATCTCAAGCTGAATTAGGAAGAAGGACATCCTAACTTCTGTAAATATTACAAAAGTTAAATAGATCCGAACAGCATTCATCAAGAATTCAGGAAATTGAATTGGAAGAATCACAAATAACTTTATGTTTTCGAAACTTCTTCCAGTTTGAAATCCCTGCTGTATTCATCCAGTACCATATTCATTTTTATAAAACGTTCTAAACAACCCTGCAGTTGGAAGATAATAAAATAAAGAGAGAAGGTAATAGAAAGTTTAGAAAAGCAGGGCAGTAAAAAACAGTGTAATGAATAACTTTAAGGGAATTAGACCAAAACACTCTCTGTAAATAAGTTACTTCGGAACGATATCATACGCATAGGAAAAAGTTGAAACAAGCTTTTCTTTTCATATTGTCCGGAAAGGCTGCCATTATTATTATTATTATCATCCAATTACCCAAACTTACCACCAATACAATAGTAAAATATTAGAAAACGCACCTTCTGCTGGAACCGTTCCTCATATTCCAACTGTCTTTTCAAGAAGTCGCAGAAATGTTGCTTAGAGTGATTGTCAAGCTTTCCAAAATTTATTCTGAATTCATCACTCGTGAAATTACTGTTGTTTACATCCCTATCCACAATGTTATTCATAAGATAATCAAGGAAATATGAACATCCTTCGCTATCTGATGATAGCTGTAACGTCATCCGAAATAAAACGGACAAAATATTATACTGCCTCACATCTGTAAACGATGATTGATATTTTACTCTTAATTTGACTTCTCTATGTGATATTACTCGTCCTAATGAAATATTTAGCATGAGACCAAGAGCTATCTAGAAGTTCTCAAAATCTAACGACACTAAGTGATTAGTTAATAAACTATATGTAGCAGGCAAATGTAAGTTTACACTAAATCATTATCGGTCGGTTAGTTGATACGTATTGTAAGTAAAAATAACCCAGAAGAGTACTGCGTGGCTTAAGCTCAAGAAAGGCAATACATGAATAATAATAAATTCCATAGAAATCAAATAAGAATACGAATCGCTTGCTCGTTTTTGCTTAACAGTGCTCAAAAAGAAAACCAATCCTACGAAACATTCGATCAAGAAGTAACGAACAGAAACAAAATCAAATGATACCAGGTGCAACACTGATTGCTATATTTGTTGTAATTAGAACTGCTTTGTTAGCTACTCTTAAATGATGCGTATCTACTGCTTTCTGGAACACACACTCGATCCTCACTAGACCTTTTAGGTGATAGAACTGACTGAAAAAGACCAATAATTTTCAACTAAACTTGAATTTTTGGTAATAAGAAATTCAGATCTTAGTTATTTCTTAAATTTAGTTCTAGTTTAGTGCATAAGAATTAAATTTCTCATCTATTCTAGAAATTAATATCAACTAAACAAACACTTACCTGAATGCTTTTTCATGCCCCCGAACAATTGAGGATAAAGCGCTTAAAAATTTCACTAGCAAATCCTGCAAACAAACCAGAAGAATAGGAATAATTCGCAGCTTTAAAGATTGAAATTCTTTTGTTTTAAAAAGAAAAATGAAGCTACAAACTAATTGAGAAAAGGACAAAGTAACTTAAATAAACCTCAGATGCATTAATTTCTTCCAATGCATTTAACAAATAAAGCAATAAATCTGTTTCCAGCATAACATTCTGAACATACGGATTATTTTGTGCTAATAATGGTATTAATCGAGCCGCCTCACATCGAACTGGATCACAATCACTTTTCTGAAAGTAGCCAGAACAAAAGCTCGCACATCAATAATTTTGTTCATTCAAGGCCTACATATAAGTTAGATATGAATATTAGACCTCAAAACTCACCAAAAGCCTAATTACTTCAACGAGGCCACCCAACTTGCAAAAGTCTGCAGCGCAATCGATATCACAAATCAATTCTTCCAGATTATCTGCAATTTCCGCAACGCTATCAACGTCATTGTTTCTAATTAGTTTCAACTGCTCGATATGCTTTACCATATGTCTTACAGGATCTGCTGAATGCATCGATTCAGCCATAGCATTCTCGACGAATTTCTGGTTCTGAAAACTTTCACTACAAAGCATGCAGTAACCAAACAAGTAAAGGCATCTTCTCACTACAATATATTCAACTTAGATTTAGATTAAGGAAGAAAGCAGTACAAAATTAGCATATATTACTTGCTTAGACATGAGCTGATTTGATTGTCCATCATTTCCATCACTAGCAGACTGTGCTAAACAAAGGAGTTTCGTCCAACACTGAGGTGATACAATGTTTTGCTTGCTCATCCTTCAACTGTGCTTGTAAACATTAATACCTATTAAAATAAAATGATAGTTAAGACAATTTGAGGTAATGAAAAGAGTACAACAAATATTGCTACCTCTGGCAAACTTACTCCTTATTCATTAACTAATACTGCTACCCCTCATTACCGTTAATAGCAGTTACCTCACTAACATTCCCATAAATACACGTGACACAACCAAGTGCCAACACAAAAACTTCCTAGTGAACTGCGTTTAAACCTATTGGAAGAACTTTGTATGCTATCCTGCTCCTATTCAGTTCCCATACTCACTCATTTGTCTTTCGGTTTACCAGTCTCTGCTCGTTTTCTATTTTTCTCTATCTTCTCTATCTCGTAATGTTTTCATTTTTCGCCTTCTATTTTCTCCTCCTTATTATTGATATTATTTCAGTATTTCTTTTTTCGATTTTTATTTTTCACTGCTGCTAACTTTTGGAACTATATTTTCCCAAGTTTTTCTTGAACTCTCACTAAACTGAATAAACATACTTTTCACGCATTTTTAAATATGATTGAGAAAAGTGGGAGATTAAGCAGTTAATAGTACTCAGAAGCTAATATGTTTTGCTACAGCTCTTGCACTTGTTTCAGGAAGAACTACAATGAAACCGGACATTAAGGATCGTGACTATATGTATCGACTTATCATCGGGTAGTTAACGTTAATATTTGTTGTTGTTTTCAATTTATCCATTTTCTTTCTGTCCAAAGGATTAATTTGTTATTTTAAATCTTGTGTAATAAAATATGCCTTCTTATTATAGTAACCATTTCTCTAAAGGAGAGCCTAGAAAAGTTAGGTTGTTCGCTGTTTGTTCTGTAGTTATTCCATTTCTTCATACTTATCACTTGAGAACTAATCTAGCTGGCACTTTTTAACCTTACAAACGTCTGCGACAACTCCAGATATATAGTGATAACTGGTACGTAAGTAATAATGTAATAAGATTCTTTTTATTCTGAGATTGTCGCCTCAAAATGTAAAAGAGAATTTTGCATTTTTTATTGATTTGACTTTTTAATGAGGACAATATTTTATTCATATTCTGTTTGTAGACAGCTTTTCTATGATGGTCATCAACAGTTAGCGCTAAATTTAGCATCTGCAATCGGTTGTTCAGCGCAACCACCTCCACCTTCTGACAAACTATTTCGACTGGTGTCCATGGCGAAGCAGTTCGTTGATGAACCAGATCTGAAGGAGAAGGATGGTGTTATACAGGTAAGTCCATTAGAAATTTCTTTTCTTATTTGCGAAACTGTCGCAAATATTAAATACCGGCATCTATATAATACCAATTTCTCCAATCGCTCAATATCAGTGGTTGATTTTAGATGGATATATCCTCAGGTCTTGACCTGGAATATGATGCTGACATTGAGCCAACATCGCCAGAGCCAAGTATGTATGAAACAATTTATCTCACAGCCCATAAGTCACCATGTCGTGCATCGGCATTCAATTCTGATGGTATCACATTTTTTTCCTTGATTTTCATTTTTGATGATCCTACCTCAGTTCCTCAAGAGTTGTAGGAAACTGTAAAAGGAGTTAAGGTAAAAACATCAGACTGAAAAAAAAAAAAAATGAAAATATGTGAGGCTTAATATTTGTGCATAATTTTGTGACATTGGACATCTATTATGATTAGTCATTTTCTCGTAATCATTCCTTTGTAAGTTTAGTCGACTTGTTAGTTTCTTGGATATACACGCACCATTGTTTAATAAAATTACAACCTTCTTAATATCTCCAGGAATATCCAAATTGATTATTTCAACCTCCTTTAAAAGTGTAAAACTTCTTTACGTTTCGTCTGCCTTGGTTATTATTGGACTGATTACCTTTTATCAAATGTTTTTCCTCGATGCCTCCAAGATGTACGTGATCCTTATATTTGATATAATTGATTGATCTTTGCAATGGAAATATATACGTTTTTTTCTGTTGCAGTTGTTTGCCATATATCCTGATTAAAGATAGCTTAGACAGATTTCTCTTTCCAATCTTTATTTGAAACTAGGATAAGTTAAGCATTCATAAACACTTGTTTTTGTATATGGCTAAACTTATAATTCTTTTATTAGGTTTAAAATGTCTTTTTTTTTTTTTTTTTCGACTATATCTTTATCCTTTAATGAAGTCAAGACATGTTGAATATATTCTATTCGTTTTGCATTAGTAGTTTCGTGAAAGTGCCAATGTATAGCTCGAGGTGCATTAATTTCTCCTCGATAATTCTTTTTTCTGGCTTCATATGTGGACAGGTTTCTTCTGTGATGAGCATTTGATCCAACGGTATCAGATTCATTCCTTTGACTTTTTCAAGAAAGTTTTGTAATTTTTCCTTTACTAGTGGCTCGCTTTTAATTATAACAATAAGTATTCATGGTCGTAGCACCAAAATTTTAGAAAATAATGTATAAATGGTTTAAGGTATATACGTCAGATTGGAAATAGTATATACGTCAAACATTTGCACATAATTTTGCAGCGGAATTATCGGATACTTTAGAGTTTAAATATTTTAAAATTTTAGAGAGAGTTTTTTTACAATACTTTAAAGTTTGACCATTTTAGAATTAAAATTTAATATTTTAGAATTTTAGAGATATTAGAAATTCGCAATAAGAATAGAAATTTCATATTGCCTAAACTTGATTCACTACTTAAGATCTTCTAACTAATCATGATCACCTTAAATTTGTTTAAGAGTGTTCTTATTTCAGGAACGCTGTTAGCAACGGGATCAGCAGATTGTTCCATCAAAATTATGGATGTTGAAAGAATTATTGCTCGTGAAGTTAGGTACAGTTTCTTGATTCAAAACAAGTGTAATATGCGTAAAAATGATTAATATCAACCAATTCTTATCAGTTTGAAGTGTTGCAGAGGTGAAGTAAGTTTAACTGAAAATGGACCCGATGCGCAGCACCCAATTATTCGAACTCTTTATGATCACATTGACGTGAGTCTTTGTAATTCTCATATAAAAATTATTAATTTTTATATGAGAAATTTTTTTTTAATTTTTATTCAAATAATTTTTATTTACTCCACAAATAATTATAACGAAATTTGTTGTAGTACTAAAGTATCCATTTCCTTCTTGTATTTGTTATTTTTTTGGCAGGAAGTTAACTGTCTTGCTTTTCATCCGCGAGAACAGATCATTGTTTCTGGTGCTAATGATTTTACTGTGAAAATGTTCGATTTTTCGAAAACTGCAGTTAAGCGGGCTATGAAAACAATTTTTGTCAGTTTCTATTTTATTTTGATTTTTTTTTTTCCTAGCTCGGCTATTTAAAAGAACTGTTATTATGTGTTTAAGTCATCATCTCGATTGCAGAACCTTTTCACTTCATTTATTAGTTAGCACTCGCACAATTAACATGATACTTCGATAATACGTATATCTTCATATTTCTTTATAAGTTTAAAAGGCAGAAAATAGAGTGTTATTGTTTCAAGGAAGTGGAGCCAATACGAGCACTTTCATTCCATCCAGCTGGTGAATTTTTATTGGTAGCAACCAGCCATCCAACGTTACGTTTATATAACATCGAAACCCAACAATGTTATGTATGCAGTGTTCCTACTGATCAACACCGTGATACTATTATGGATGTTAGTTTTTTCATAATTATTTTAATTTTTTTCCAGAGTGAGATGCCAATCCCACATTCTGCTTATTTAAGACAAATTTGCAATTAATTTGTTTTGTAGATTGACTTATTTATGAGAACAAGGCATAAATTTGATTCTTTGTTCAGGTGAATTATTCAGAAAATGCCCGGCTATATGTGACGGGTTCAAAAGATGGGGATGTGAAAGTCTGGGATGGTATTTCAAATCGCTGTATTGAAACATTTCAACGAGCTCATGATGGTGCTCAGATATGCAGTGCTACTTTTACAAGAAATGGAAAAGTAAATTTTCGTTAATATTATATTTTGCTAGTTCGTTGTGCTCTTTTTCTAACTAAAAGTTCTAGATCATTAGCGAAATCAAATCCACTTCTTAGTCTATTCTTTTTTGATGAGCATACATTACAATTATTTATATTTTATATATCTAAGTTTTCGATATTTTTGGACAGATAATTATCTGAAAATATTATCTGCTGCAGTATATATTAACTAGTGGCTTGGACAGCATCGTTAAACTTTGGGAATTGTCAACAAACAGATGTCTTATAGCATATACGGGGGCCGGTGCTACTGGCGTACAGGAATATCCAATACAAGCATCTTTCAATCATAACGAAGACTATGGTTCGTATGCTTTGTTAATGTCTTCTTCTAAATTCTTCCTGGATTTAATATTTGTCAGATCTTCTTCATTACTATCCACAATACATGATGTTGGAATAACATGTGCTACTAATTTTGTAAAAAATGTACCTCGTTTTTCTTACTATCTGGATCGATTTTTACTTTTTTTTGTTTCATGTTTCCACGTAATTTATTGCAGTGCTATTCCCGGATGAAAAATCAGGCAGTCTTTGTTCATGGGATGCTCGTAATTCTGATAGAAAAAGACTTTTGGCACTCGGTAATTTATTTCCTTTTTGTACAATACTTCAAAATTTTGATTCATTTTCTCCCTAATTTGTATGATTTATGTGGTTCTTTTTAGGACATACAGCAGCAACAAGGACATTCAGGCATTCTCCAACGATGCCGGCTTTTATTACAGGCAGCGATGATTTTAGAGCACGATTTTGGTATAAGAAACTCGCATGAATTCTTGTGTCAGATTTGATCCATTTGTAGTAATTTTAAGTTTTTAATTTATTATTACTGTTTTTACCTTACTGAATACCTTTGAAGACTGTATATGTTCAAAAAAGTCACTAACAACAAGCTGGTAATTTTAAAACTTTGTTTTCGTAAATACAGATCTCTTCATTTTTTTGGTTTTTTGATTGGTAAGATTAATATTAGATTGATTTAAATTAAAATATGAGTAATTTTCGACTGTTTTAATTTCAAATGCATTTTGGGCTTTAAAATTTAGTACTTTATACTCTATCTACTTTTATATTTCCTCACGGGCAGTTCAAAAATTCTATGGTTCTTTTTATGCTGAATTTCTCTCCATTCACTTCATTTTCAACAGAAATTAAATTGTTTTTTCTTTGTAGCTCAACCTGTGAATATTTGATCTCTCTTTCCATTATATCTGTGAAGTCTAGAAAAGAAGTTTGTTGTTTGTTGGTTTTTGAGAGATTTCTTTTGGAGAAGTTTCGTGATCTTGGAGAAACTCTCTTGATGTAGATGTTGATAGTGTGTGGTGACACAGTAATATAATAATTCCTTTATTAACAGAAATAACAGTATAATAAATTTTATAAAGAAGAACTGAATTAACAGTAGTGGAAATCTTTTTATAAGTCGAACTGTCTTGTATGTTTCCATAATATACTTATATATAAGAAATAAACATTAAATCGAATGTAAAAACATATGATCTGAAAACAATTTCACATAAATTAATTTCAATTATTTACACAATATTCGCTACTCCTCCGAGTGGGAAATTTTAATGAGTATTTCCTGTGAAAGAAGTTGGCTTTATAAATAAGAGTGTGGATTAAAAGACGAGATTTGTTCTTTAATTATGAAATGAGTAGTAAGTTTGTGGGGAGAGTTTTTTTTTTAATTTGAAAATTTTATATGATATATACAGAAAATGAATCGGATTAATGTGAATTTCATTTAATAATAATCAGTATTGATATAAATATTTAATCAAGAGTAATTAATCTCAAGTGTGTAGTTGTTATTTTTGCATTAATTCAGTAGCCAGATTAAATTCATTTTCTATTTCTATTTGTTCTGCTAGTCCTTGTAGACTGATTTTTTATCAGACAAGTTCGCTTCTGTGTTGGTTTAACAATGGATTAATTGCTTCGTAGTTATGGACTAGTGCTTTCATTTCTGTCTCGATTCTTTCAATTTTATCCTTGTTTAAATTCGATAAATTCTGTATTGAACGGCCAGAACCCAAGTCAAAAGTATTTAACTTGATTTTCGATTTTTTTCCATGACCAGCCACTCGATATCTCCCATTAAATTTCGTTCTGCTTTTGTGAAGCCGTTTTAGCGCTTCTTCGTCATCATACCGACTAGGTCGTTCTTGTATGCTTATAAGTTCCAATTTCCAGAATCGGTCGATTTCTGGAATGTCAACATCAATAGGTGTAATTGTTAGTTTGATCTTCGTTTTGGATGCACAACATTTGGTATGCGTGCCATTTTGTTAACATCATGAAACTTCTCGTTGAAGTGATTACTAATCTATATATCTACTTCTAGCTACCACTGGATGACTACTGTGTTCCTGAATTTATAAGTTTGGTTTTCTGAAATGAAATAAACTTTAAAGAAATGGTCAATTCCAATTATTAAACACGCCGTTTCAACTTTCATTTTTCTCTTCAGTGGAAACTGGTTCGGAATATCTGTTGCATTGCATTAATTAATGGAGATTATTTTTCCTTACTTGTGAAATAGTCGTAGTTACGATAGGTACAATCTCTGATTTTAGATTTTTATTCCAATCCGTGCCTTAGCAAAAAAACGATTATGATAAGCGTTCTTATTATCAGATCCTACAAGTTGATATGCAAGCTGCTTGAGCACCATTATCAAATAAAACTATAATTTTTTTTGAGGCCTCAGGCATATTTAAATTAATTACTTTCCTTTCATTGTATCTCTATTGTTTTAATCCAACTTTGTTAAATTTGTCCTTTTTTTAATTTAGTTTAAATAAGATTTAATTTTAAATTGTTCTTTGTATTTATTATGAAGACTCTTGCAGTGACTGATTGTAAATGAACATAGCTTTGTTAATCTCTTTTGGGTTTGCTTTCGCTTTGTATTTCTATGCTGGTGGTGTCGTCATAACTAAGGTTGAGGTTTCTTCTGCAACATATAAAACTTATTTCTGGTTATTCTTTGTTCTTCCACAACACTAAGGGATTGTCTCTCTCGATTTCATTCCTTAGAATTAGTTTCACTAAGAACTGTCTTAGCTTAGCGACCGACCACATCCCTTGTTCCTCTTTTTGTTGATACATTCTTTACCAAATCCAAACAAGCAGTTTATTTCCAGTTATTACTTCGATGTTGGATTGTTCAAGGTTTCCGCTCACTGTTTCAAGTTGTCGAAGTATTCTTTCGATAACTTCGAGATTACTTTCTGTCCTCGGTCATTTTTCTCGATGGAATGTAACTCTCATTGTAGACTGATTTTTCAATGATGCGCGACTATCCAAATTTCTCAATAAAGATCTTTCGTATGACATCATAATTCCCTGGGGTTATATCATATTCAACAGCTAACATGGCGTCCCGGTTGAGACATGCAATTAAATAAATGAGTTTTGAATATCTTGTATATCTTATAAATGGACTGCAGCCTTGAAGCTACGCTGAAATCCTCTTCACAATTTTGAATTACCAATAAACGTCGGTAATGGTAGTTGTAGCAAATTTACCGTTGAATAACGTATTTCTTGAGTGTTGGTGAATTAGTTCCTCTTTCTTTTTATTTTGGTTTAAACATTGGATAATAAACTAAAAGTCATTTTGTACATGGTTGAAATTATAATAACTTCCTTAAAGTAAGAACATTACCCTTTATGAGGTTTAAAATACTCTGTTGTCCCCAACCATTTGGACATATTTGTCTTCTTCTTTCCTTTTCAACGAGGTCGAGACATATTCAATATTCTATCCATTTTTCATTAGTTATAGCTCGAGGCGCATTAGTTTCCCATCTATAATTCTTTTTCTGGCCATATTCTAATGTGAAAGTTGGAGTTCAGTCTGAATATAATATAATTTTTTATGCTCAAAGACCATCCTTGTTTGTTATTGTAGTTGGTGTAGATGAATGCATTGAATGATAGGTCTGTTGTTACGGTTTTATTTGCTAATACCCACAATATGTAGGGATTAATCTAAAGTAACAATATTGATAATTTCGTAGAATATCTACAAATTTGATGAAGAAAATGAATAAATGAATAAATTGATGGGGAAATGAACTGAGTTGTGAGTGAGGGAGAGCAGTTGAACTGTAGCTTACTGGTAAGGAAAAACTGATTGAGACAAAGGATTTAAATGTTTATACAGTGGGCATTGATTTGCAACAAAAGTATGATTATTGAGTAAGGGGCTATCAGATGATCTTTGCTCTCTATATAGTAAGAGATGGGTTTAGTACTGTAGTTTCCCGGTGGATGACTATTAGCTTAGAAGACCTTTAATATTTCGACATTGCAAGCACATTTGATTTGGAACAAAGGAGTAATTTTTAACATAACCTGTGTAAATACCCTTTGTTATCAGATAAAAATGTCTGGGCAAGAGATAAACTCAACTGCAATGGGAAGATGAGTGCTGCAAGATGATTGCTTACAATTTCCAATTTGAAATAGTTTTATATTTCTGGTGTTCATTTAAGACAAATTGTAGTATTATGGATTAATACAATTTTGTTTGATATATTTCGAGAGATTATTTTTGAATTTCGCGACATATCCTGCTGACAGATTTCTCCTCTCACCACTGTATGATTAGATCCGTACCTTTGAATTCTTCGAGAATTTTGCTTTGCTGGTTGTACGACTTTAATTGTAGCAACAGACATCCCGATTCGTGGCACCAATTTTATAATTGAGTTTCATGGTATGGGAGATTTGGCACTGTCGAAATTTGGTAAAGGTGAGTTGGATTTCTTTCGGAAACCTCCTGTTCTTGGGAGAAACAAGATGACAGACCGAGGAACAAAGTGGTGGTGATTGATGGAGTTTGAGAAACAAGGTGACAGAGATGAAGTGCAAATATTGATAATTCATTGAGGCTGATTTGATTACATCGTATCAAAGCATGAGATGATATAACTTAAGATGCTTCATTTCGGGCTCCAAATACAGCTCTGATTATTAGTTAGTATTTCGTGTTTCGTGTTCTTCATTATCTTGTGTTTTAGTAATTTGCATTTCTTCAGTTATAAAAAATTCCAGTTGAATCTTTCTACTCCATTTTTTTTTACATAATTTTTAATTCATTTGGTTTTCTTATCCCTGAATGAACAGGATAAGTTCATTCAGGACTATGAGCAGACGAAATTCCCATCCATCATTACATTTTTTCATCTGATCATTTCTTACTTTCTACATCCAAGAAATCTTTAATTATCGGATTTTAATGAAATCTTCCCAGTCCATGTTCAAACTTCATTAAAAGAAGCATAGATTGAGAATATTAATTTAACTACTGATCCTTTTAAGGTTGACCATTTTTGGCTATTCTAATCTATATCTGTTATTACGATATCACACAGTAGCTATCTGTAGTAAATATGCAACATTTTGCTCATCTTAATTTTACTCTCTTATTATAAGTTTATGACGTTAATGAATTATAATTTTGTGACTTTACTACCCATTAGTATTATCCTTTTTCGTTTATTCCATTGCATTTTTAATCCAGTATTAAAACGAACACTGCACACAAATAGTTTCCACTTAACTTTTCATTATTGTCTGAGAGCCTCTTGATGGGTTCCTTTTGAACTAATATCCATCCAGTTATCATTACAGAGACCGCCAAGATTCTCAGTTCGAATAATGTAATTTATCAAAATAAATGTTTGCTTCACTTTTCTAACTGCTCGCTTTTTTGTCCTCCTAAAAGACTGATCCTTTTCCCTTGGTTATCCACATTATTGGCTGAAATTTCAAAACCAAATTTTAACATAACTTTTCTTTGCTTGAATTCATTTCTGAACTAAGATTTTTTAATAATAATCATTTTTGTTTTTTCTTTGATCCAAATTTTGGTTACCGACAGAAATCCTTTTTCGCTAGTTGATAAATAATGATATTAACAATTTTTTAACACCGCTTAATTTTTTCTGAAGATTTGAGAATTGTGTACTTTCAATGTGTGAATTTGGATTGGAACTTTGTCAATCTGTAAAAAGTTTCCTGAAAAGAAATCGTCTGAACTAACATTAGTCTATTCATTCCTTTTAAAATATCAAAGTTTAATTGCTGAAATAAGTCTCGTTTCTTACAACAAAAAAAAATTTTTCCAACGGTATAATCTTTTACATCATCCAGAATGTTTTGTTGTTATTTTTAATGCCCTGCAAAAGCACCTTATTTCTTGCCTTCGTCCTGGCTCCAAGAGCTTGGAGCGCTCTGAACTGCACTCTCGAAAATGAATAGATAGAAGAGTGCCAGAGCGACATGAAGGAGTAGCCATTGTGACACTACATCAGAAGAGGAGGCCTCTGTTTCAACAACTACGACCTCATCTGTTCTCTCTTCACTTTGTCCCTAACTCCTGGTTATGAACTGAAAGCTCTGTTTCGTTGGTTAATTCATGTCTCGTGCACAATTCATGTTTTGTGCTTAAATCAATCAAATTAAATTACTCTTCCGGAATATTTCTTCTTGGAATTATTACTTCATCAGAAAATGTTGGGCACTATTGGGATAACAGATTACAAGAAGCAGTTCCAACGCATTCCTTCCATTCTTTGGTTAACTATTACCACTTTTTCCACTTACCCTTACAAAATCCATTCAATTACATTAACTTTTTACATTTAACTTTATCAAGCTCTTTTTGATTTAGAATAATGGTTGATTAATTCATTATTTCAAGAAATAAAATTCAGCAAGCAATTCGTATATGTCTAAACACGGCTCTTAAATGTAAGTTTTCCATATGATTCAGAATATTTGAGAGTGCATGTTATATGCATTCCTAGAAGTCTCCAGCAAAAAGAATTGACTTAAAACTTACTATGACGTTGAAAGTTTGCTATGATTAATATGTACCTTTATTTGATGTAAACCTGAATATCCACTTGATCTAAATCTTGTCAACTTAAACTTGAAATTTAGTTCTTAATTTTCATCCGTCCACTACGGACTATCTTTTGCCATTGTTTTTTCGTTAAGTTCATACGCACTTTGCCGAATGGCACTTTACAATTATGTAGAAATTATGGAATAAGTTGTGCTTTTTGTTTTTTTTCAAGGGAAAAAAGAGGGGAAGAGGAAGGCGATGAAAAAAGGGCTAGGCGTTTGGGTAAAGAAGTACCTTGGATCCTAAATTAAGGATTGGCTCGGAGTGACTAATTGGAGTTCATTTCTTTCCTGGCAGTTAATTTGGTAGAAAAAAAGCAAAAAGAAATATGACAATTCATGCAGTGAATCATTCACTCGTTCAACCATCACACTCACTTCGTTCATTTTTCAATCCGTTTCTCACTTGGGAAAAATATTATCAGTCATTGTCTACTGCGTAACCCTTCCCCTTTTCTCTCTCTCCCTCCCCCTCAGTCTCACTTCATAGTTATTTATTTCACGGAACAATGGAGGATTGTATTTTCTTTTTTCTTGAAAAAAGAAATTGCAATTACATATCCAACAAATTTCTTTTCCACACTTATCCTAATTAGGGGCAATTGTGCATCTCGGATCTTAACTAACTTTCTATGATAGATGAAATTTCTATTCGTTACTTGTTCGAAAACAAAAAATTAAATATACCATGCTGTTAGTTAAAGAGGTTTTATTATGTATTGCGATCAAATATATATCGTTTAGTAAAATTGCTGCATTTAATAAAATAATATTAAAAATAATTTCTAGTATCAACGACAAATAGAGTAGAAGGAATAAATTATTAATATTTTTGAAAATGTTACTTTATCTGCTAGTTATTGATTAGTTGACGTTTTTATATCTATAGATTTCCAACTCTTCGCTTTTCCTTTCTATTCATCTTTAATCAAATTTAATCTCTATTTTTTTGCTTTCTAATTGAAAAATTGGAAGAGAAGAGGTTGACGCGCTGTTTGTTATTCACCACTTAGAACAGTAATCAATAAAAGTATCTATGTGAATAAAAATTTTGTGAGAAGTAATCAGAATGTTTTTGGATGTTTGAAATCTTTTCTGCTTGGTAATTTATTTAAGGGTTGTTTGAGTAGATTTTGATGTTATTCTTTCTTTTGTTAAAAATAGCATGTAAAAAACGAGCAAGGGAATCACGTCATTTGAAAACTTAATTGGTTTATATTGAAAGCTCCGCATCATTTGTACCTCTTCATGATAAATGAATTACCTGTCTTGTAACAAAGACTTATCCCTTTGGTTGTAAATGGGTATTTTTGTTCCCATCAATTCTTTTCTTATAAGTCCACAGTTACCTGATTAAGAGTAGCTTCTACAGTTCACTTTTTTTTCATGCTATCAAAGAAACCAATGGTTAAAAATTATTCATTGTTTTTTTTGTGACCAATAACTGCTATGGATGTCACAACTTATTGTTTATTGTTTTATATAATATTTCAGGTGCAGATTTTCATATGCAACTTAAAATAATTGACTTTTTCTAAATGCATATTTTAATTTAATGAATTAAAAATCTGTAACTCAGCTCATTTCTTTCTTTTTTGAACATTTTTAAGCTTAGATCGTGCATATTTCCTAAAATTTTTGCAGAATTTATTCCGTTCTAAAGTTTTTGATACATCATTTCCTTAACATAAACATGCTTCTTTGCATGATACGATTGCAAATCTTTCAAGATTTCAGTTTTCTCATGACTGTTTAGCTAGAAATGCATTACTGTAAAGAAGTTCAGAAATTGTATGGACCAGGTAAACCAGTAAATATTGAACTTCGACAGATCAGAAAGGTCACACATTATCTTTAAAATTCTTTATAAATCTCTGGAACGTTCTTCAGTTTCGCCTCCATCTCTAGCAATATAGTTTCAGTACCGTAAAAGCAACTCTTCGCATAGATGCGACATTATTACGTTAGATCGGCACTTCCACTTATGTCATATTTCAGAGATTTATGTCATTATTCAATACAGTTCCGTTCAATTTTTTTTCCTATTTTTGTAATTCTTTCCAATTAAATAATGTTTCGGTTTATTAATTTCACAGGGAAGGCTTTCGCTTCCTTTCTTGTACTAATTAGTTTTCAATGTTAATTAAATTTACAAAAATTCCAACTTTGAGTTGTTTTGTTGAATCTAATTATGAGTGTAGTGAGAGCCGAATCGTTGTCGACTCATTTCTTCTTTACTAATTAATTTAGTATTCATATAATTTATATCCTTGCTCTCTGAAATTGCATGATATCATTTCATTTATTAGCATTATTTTGTATTACCTTATCGACATGACTTATTGGTATTTTACATTAATGCAATTTTATTTTTTCATTTTTGTTGCGTCCTCAGTGAACAAATATTTGTCCTCAGTTTTGAAAGGAAGTTATTACTATGCTTTATTTCTTTTTCACTTGTTGCAGCTATTAAAAGACAAAATTATATAAGGAAAACTGCAATTTCCAAAGTTGTTTGAGGCTTTCTTCAAAGAACCTCTTTATCACACTCTTTTTCAGAAAATCATTTAATGATTTACCAGTTCAAACTTATCATTTTTGTTTGAAAAATATTTTTTGTGTTAGCTTATCTTACACAAATGCAAGTTAGTTTCATTGCTGATCGCCATCAGTTAATGAACAAATGATGATGAATGACCTGTGAACTGTCGAACTGATCGAATTCCTCTCTTTCGGTTTATTTGAAAGCAGCATCATCGATTGTCCCTGTTCATTCGGATTTGTTGATGATGTAAGAAAAGAAGTTTGTTCCTCGACTTTAAAAAGCTTTTTAATTTGACAAAGTGCTTAGTCATGCAGCAATCAGAACAGTTATTTTCGAGGATAGTTGGTCTAGAAAATAATTGATCTCGAAATGAACTTCATTCTTACTGTAATCTCCACTTTCTTGTTCTTCAATCCCTTGAATTTCTCTTTCCTGATATAATATCTTTACATAAATCATTGCGAATTATAGATATCATTAATCTCAAATAGTTGAATTCCGATTTTTGGTTACTAAAAAATTAAACTTTTTTGATTCTTCCCACTCTTTCCTAATGCATTTAATTCTTCCATTGCAAATCTCGTCGGTTCTTCATAAAATCCGTAACTGATTTATTATGTTAATGAACAAAACTCCATGTTTTGTAAATTTGTGCTTAAATCGAACTCCTTAAAAATGTTTTTAAACTGCAAGTGTTTTCAAAATTTTAAATTAATTATTTTGCAGATTAATCTCTTTCATCTGAAACTTCAGTTTTAAGAGTAAAATTATCAATTTCAAAAGGGGTAATGATAATGAATTTGTATAACAATTACAATATTAACGATGGTGTAACCGGCAGCAACATCGATAATAACAACAGCAATGATAAGGATAGTATTGAATTTACCACAGTTGCTGCGGTGACCAGTTCACCGCGACCATCATGTTCTAGTATCAGTGTCATGGTTGAAGGGGGTTTGAAATGGAAAACAAGTGTGGTACCTGTTGGTGCCACTTCCACGTTACCCAGACGTGATTTTCACTTCAAGGTATCATTTTTTTTATTGGGCTGTATCGTTTATAGGGATGGGTGACATTCCACACAAAAATTAGTCGAAATGTATTCAGTGATGGGAGAAACAGAAAAAAAGTATCAAAACTTTAAGTATAAATACACCAGAAAAGGACTAATAAGAACTGATTTCCTGCAGTTTTTCCGAGCTAAGACCACTTACATTCAAAACTTAACATTTTAACCTTCCAAATATGATTGGTTATGACTTTATTATAATGGTAATGAGTGCATTTATTTTAATAAAAAGATTAGAGAAATGAGAAACTTTTCAAAAAGCTTGGAAAAACACAAATTTCGGGTTACTCTGAGAAATTTCAAATATTCTCCTTTTCTGCAAATTTATTACTGTTTAAAACAAGGACGATTACTTATCATGAGAAGTTACAATAATATATATAAGCAAAGAAAGAGAAGTTTAGGGAGAAAAGTGCTCACAATCTTTGTTAGTTAACGAGTAATCTTCTGTCCTATAAATCAGCATCTTATATAAATTGACATCATTTTCTTGCTTGTACTTACATTTTGAATTTCAATTTAAAAAAAAAAAAAAAAACAATTCAACTCTATAGGCCAAATGTCACGGAATGAGTATAATTTTCATTTATCCTATAAAAATTGTTGTACTTTTCAAAAAGCATCTCTTGCATGTGGCACATTTCATGATACCATCATAGTTTGGTGACACAATGTTCAATACTCATACTTCATTACAAACGCTTTCAACTTTTTCAAAATGAACAATTGCTTGTGACTGTTTATAACAAATAGAAAAACTTTGATTTTTGTTCTTGAACAATTATCGCTTAACATTTGATCAAAATTCGTTATAAACTTTTCTGAAATTTATAGTTCACTTAAAATAGGGAATGAAGAGCATAATGATGTCTTGCAATAAACATTTTGCTGGCCTTTGGCAGTTGTCAAGTTCCGTATATTGTTAGTGCCATTTTTAATTCCGAGGTAAATATTGGGAAAAGAACGAAATTCGGTACCCAAACTAATCTCAAATATTGAGTCACAAGTGAAATCCAGTTTTTCGTTTAAAAATTTTACTGTGACATTGGTAAGAGAAATTGTATTGTTTGACCATTCAGTTGATGATTGAAAGTTCTTAACATAAGAAATCTAATTTGGCTTTTTTTAAATAGCAAGTTTTTTAGAAGGTTTTTAGAATTTCAGATGAAAACCAGTTATGGTAAGTTATATTGAATGAATTTCAAAAAAAAAAAAAAATCAACTTTATTTAGTGGAGTTTTTCAGTTGTTGACTTGCTAGGCACATTATAATATATTCCAATTTTTCAATTTTGTAGAAGTCGAAAACTTCCAAATTTTATGAGGATTTTCATGAAACTTTATATTTTGCTAACTGTTAGTGATTATTGGAATTTGACATATGAAACACAAATGTGATAGACCTGCTATCACCAGTTAAAATAAATAATACGTTATCAAAAAATATAATACAATTTTGCCTTATCACTCATTGAGCATATCTGTGCTCATATGAAAATCAACAAAATAACCAAAGAATGATTCGAATAGACGAAAACAATAATAATCTGTAAACATTTCTGCAACACAACAAAAAGTTAAAAGATTAAATTGTTTGTTTATTAATAAATGAGCAATATTATATGTTAGCAATATTGGGGGGTTATAATGTTTAATTCTTTCTGGGAGTGTAAACGATTACAACACATCTACTACTATGTTTATACTAATAATAAGTTATCGTAGATTGGATTGTTTTTGGTAGTTTATTTCTTGAAGAATGGATTATTAAGATCTGTATTCAGGTATCTAAGACAAATATTGTTACTACTGTTTCAGCGCATTGAAGTTGAAGAAGCGCCGAAATGGTTTGTTTGGCCGAAACGTAACAAAGTGAGTAAATCATCAGAGAATGATATGATTGATGGTAATATATTAAGTTCATCTGGTAACAACAATCTCATTTTTTGTTCTGATATATTACCGTTAAAAAATCTTTCCTGTAGCAGTCTCAGCAGTTTCACATTATATAATGAAGTTGGCAAATGCTATTAACAATCGACAGCAAAACTTGGTGTGGCGACATAATTTAAGTCGCATGACATTGCTTCAATCTGAAAGTAATAATACACTGACAATAAAATCAGGTCAGTCTATAATTTTTCAAGATCACAAATTGCCATATGCAGGATAGTTAGTTCAAACCGATTAAAATTCCTTCCTTTCTTACAACTTTTGCTCATTTTTCACATTTGTCAGATATACGGCAACTTCAGATATCGACAGCGCCACGTGCTGTGATCGGAATACAGAACTTACTAATATATCCAATTCAGAACCAAGTTCTTATATTATGCGTTGCCGTATTGCAACCAAAGTTGATAGTGAATATCGTATTTCAGGATCTGTTCCAAACACCTCACAAACGTTTAAAATTTTGTTAGTTTCGAAAAAAACTTTAGAAAGCGGTGACGATGACGACTTAGATCTCGCAAATTCTGTCATTTTGAATTCGATGGTTACATTCCCACCAACATGCAATACTTTCGTCTTAACCAATAACAGCTGCTGATGCCATTAAGAAAGCTTACTGAGAAAATTGATATTTTCTTTTTTGAAGAACATTGGAATCATTAGGAATTCAAAGCCATTTTCGAACTTCATTCAGACCTAAAATCATGAAAATTTTTGATCATTTTATAAATCTGCGGTTGCCTTTTTTAATTTTGGTCGCAAATGTAACCATAAAATTAATAAATAGTTCATTGATCAAGTTTTATACTGGTTATTCTTTGATTCTACCGTTATTTAAGTTTTTAGTTTTTAATATCAGGTGCTAGATATTTGAAATTTAATATTGCTGCTCATATGTAGTCGTTATGCTTTTTATCTTCTCACATTATTCTTTTTACTGTATGTATTTTAACAGCTTTATGTTCACCAGAACAACATGATCACTTATTATAAGATACCATTTTCTGTTAACTTATTCATGTCTTGAAGTCTTTTCAGGTATTTTTTCGATTTCTTTCTCTGCTTTTGGTGATCCCAAATATGACATAGTTTTTTCTATTCATTTCTCTGTCTTTCGACGATCAATTGTTCTATTAAATTTGTTTTGATACTTTTATCAAGTTTTCAATTAATTCGAGGAACTTCAAAGTTCTGCAACCAAAGCAAAATAATTTATAAAAAATACAACCTGCACTACCTACTATCTGTCACTTTTTTTGTTTGTCTTCTCACTTTCTTACTTAGTAAGCCTTTTTTGTTCATACTATCCTATTTTCTATACTGTTTGTACGTCACATTTCCTTATCAAAAATTTGAAGTTTTTTTCTGATGGAACAGTAATGAATATGTTTGCTTGTTGTTCTACGACTATAGTACGTGGCATATGTTTCATGAAAAACCATTTTGGGATTACTAATTAGTGCTTCTGAGAATATTGTAGTGAGATGTCTGGATTCTTCCATTCCTCACTATTATTGACCAGACGAACTCCTTCTTGTAGGAGTTGTAGAAAAGTAGAGAAGGATAAGTTGAAAGGTCAAGAAATGATGCGATGAAAAGATAATGCTAGATTGCTAAAGAATTAAACATTAACGAAGGAGATTAAAAAGGAATTTCTGAAATTATCCAAAGATGGGATTTACGATTAATGAAGTGTTTATGACTAGCAGTGTTTTGTTTCATTAAATTTTGTGAACGTTCATTGAACATTCAATCATCTTCAATAAACATTACAAACTGATTCAAAGTAGAGTCTGCTTCAATAATGGATCAATCTCGAAATAATGTTGTCACGGCTTTCATCAGATGTCACTCATTTTTTGTTCTTAGTACTTTGTCAAATTTTTTCATTTGAGTAGATAAGAAAATACTTAGTGGTAGCCTTTTTTGCGCTCATAAATGAATCTGTATTTGATATCAATATTCAAAAATAAAATTAAGTTTTTTTTTAATTTGATATATTACTTTAGAGAGATTATTTCTTACTTCTTAAGGCATTTTATTACAGAAGTGCCTAACTCCTAGCAAAGAAGGACTAACGCAACTAAAGTCATATCAGCACTTGTTTGGTTTGCGTTCAGTAATTTCAATATGAAATAAAGCAAGCCTATTATCTTTTAGTTACCCTACAATAAGTAATTTTTTATTTTTACTGCACATTTTTTTATTGCACATTTTAACATTTGCAATTGTTTAAAAAGCTTACAAGAATATATTGCGTATAATTAACCAGTAAAATTCCTGTTTTGCAGTAAATATCTAAGAATTAGCAATATGTTGTCAAATCTTTTTCACTGGGAACGAAATTCTCCGAAATTAGAACAATTTGGCTGACGGTTTGCATTGCTGAAATGATTCATCTTAAGAAAAATGAACTGAATTGACAGTAATCAATAATTCATACATTTGATTAAACTACAAGAGATTTAATAAATCCTATCATACTTGATGTAAATCACAGTGGGACAGTGAACTTCTGCAATTTTTTTTTCAAATTACCTTTTTCGTCAAATTTGTATTCTCAAACAAAAAGTTTATCTTTGGGACAAAATAAAATTATGAGGAATGGAACAGTGATATGATGAATTCAAAGAGCAATAAATACAAATGCAAAGGCAAAATAAGTAAATAAAATAAATTCCATGAGCATATCAAAATTAGTTGATCGAAAATGGAGAGAGAAAAAAAGAAAGAATCATCGAGATAATCAGTTGAACATATTCTGTAACAAACATAAGGAAAGCACTAATCACTTTTTAAGGAGGGAAAGAAATGAGATTGAGAGCTGAAGAGTTAGATAAATTTCAAATTTTCATGACAAGGCAAAATCAGAAGTGGTTAGAAGTAAAGTTTAGAAAAAAAGCGAATTCTTCTTAGTGACATGCCTTTTTTCTCGTCTTCTTCGGCATTCTTTTGCAACAAATACACATTGCTTAAATATTTAACATGTCTAAATATTTAAACAATTGTTTACAATCTATTACAATCTAAGAAAATATAATCTATATTTTATAAATCATGAATATTCGGATTTACTACATGGTAATCCCGATAGCAGTTCTTGATACGATCAAAAACTTGTAAACAATCGATGTATTGCAATGTATTGTGTGGATTACCCAGATGTGTCGTACAAAATACCATGCAATGACCATTTCTGTATTCCTTGATACCATTTTTTATGCAACAAGTCGAATGATCAGCCTTCAATATTCTATAGATAATAAAGAGGTTAAATTTATACAAAACTACAACCTACCTAAAGTTCGTTCGACCCCGTTCGATTTTTTATTACAAATAAAAGATGAATAGTATGCTAACAAGTTTATGTCAACTTATTATATTTTATCTATTTATTGCAACGAGTGGATCAAAAGTGTCCTAAATACAATTTTGTTTTCAAATTGGAAAAAATACGATATAGTAAAGCGACCAATTTATGCTTCTGATTTGATTATTTAAAAACCTCTACTTGAATAAACCAACACACCCTCGAAGTGGCGCAATTAAATGCTGTTTCGAGCTCATAACCGGGACACTGATTTGATATCACCGCTGTCACAAGCTAAAATAAACTTAAATGTGACAATTACTGAATCACCGATAACTATTTGTCGGAAGTAACTCATTTACATTACTGTAATTTTAAGACTGCAATGTGTAATTTTTGTAGAAGTTTAAAAAGCGGTAAAGGTAATGTATAAAGCAAATTGAAAGTGTAATTGTATTGTGCCGACCAAATTAATGAAAAAAGTTATGTTGGCTAGAAAACAAATGTTTATTCTTTAACATTTATTTTTTGTTAAGACTCGATAGTTTTATCACTTCTTTAACTACGAAAAGTTTTTAAACCTTTGAATTTTTATATTTGTTTTCTAATCAACATTTAAATCTACGAGAAATTTAATCATCTAAAATTTGAAATAGAGAAACACATACAATTACAAATAAACGAAAACACTTACCGATCGATCAGTAAATGTGTCATAATTGCATAAAAGTTGGCAAGATGGTGAAAGATTTTGCTTTTTGCAACAAAGAGTAAGTTTTTGGTTTGGTGACAAGGGAGATTTCGTTGGTACCAATGTCAATCCTTGTTCGAGATCAAGGCCTTCAATAATTTTATCCAACTTTCAACTTGTAAAGCTATTTTTTCGAAAGGAATGACGGAATAAGGACCCCAATTATTCTTATATATTTATTTTTATTAAATAAGAAGCTTGAAAAATGAAAAAGTAATGTTACTTCGAGCCGATTGTGTTGTTGTTGAAATGAATAACTGTGGCTGTGGTGCAAAAAGATTTGGAAAGATCGACTTCCAGAACTGTAATTTTTCATTCCATTTTCATTTAAACGTAAAAGTCGAGGTGAAAAAAGGAGGCGAGGGTCTTAATCCGAAATATATTGATGATACTTTTGGATATGCTTGATGATGAAGTTGGTTTAAATCAGAAATTCTTTAAGAAAATTCAGTGTTTTGAATTTTTACATTACAGAAGAAAAAACAAGAAAAATGATCATCAAAACAAAAAAAAAAAGAAGAAAAAAAAGGAAAGACCGGATTATTAAGTAGTCCGAATGGATCCCAAGGATTGTAGTAAAGTGGTTGTCGCACAGTATCATATTCTTGTTTTCGAGATGAAGAAAAGGAAGCGGGAATATTAGGAGTATAAAAATGCTTCTTATAATGATAAATGTTCTGCCGTCTTTGTTGCTGATAAGGAGATAGCTGCCTGCAATATATAGGCTTAATAATATAATTTACAGTGATATCATAATAATTTAAACATGATTTCAAGAGAAAGCCATGATTCTATGAAAATCTATGAAATTTAGTAACATACGGTGAATTTAAGCTGTTGATAACTGGAGCCAAAGCAATTTCGTTTGAATTATCCTAAAAATTGCAAACCAAAATAAAATTCTGCACTAAACCCTTTCTAAGAGAAATAGAAGGCTCGTTTTATGTATGAATCTAGCAAGAGTCTCTAATTAGTCGTACAGTGAACAGTAATGATCAGACATATTAAATATATGTAAGTTAAGAAAAACGAGACACCAACACTTCTGAATTTTTTCGTCCTATGTTCAACTCGCATTTTTGGTAACTGCACTACACCTTTCCAAGGTATATTGGTCTCATTAATTTTTCCAGCACCATGTCTATTATCACCATTATCTACAAAAATAGAGCAAAAAATTATGATAAAGTTGTTGAAATTACGACAATATGCTAAAATTACGATGATTAGATAGTCGATTAAAGTGCATTAAACGATATGTGTTAATGAGTTATTAATTATTATTAGTTTAATTGAGAAAGCAAAACGGTACCATAAAGAGGAACGATGGTAGTTGCTGGTGAAATATATATATGAGGTGCATACGCCGCTCGCACTGATTGATTGTAGTATTTACTACAAGGGGAATTAGATATATTTCATACTTAAATTACTAATTTCAAATCAAACTAATTAATTTCTTTCATTAGGAATCGAAAAAAATGGATAGTAAACAAGTTGAACTTTTTTGATTATATTAATATTTAGCACTCGTTGTAATACCAGTGTGGAATACGCTGCGTTTAAAATTTAAATTGCTCTCACACTATGGTAATTAGTTTATCAAACGATTCGAAATATCAACAATTACTCTTTCTTTCAATGTGGAATTCGAAATAAAACCAACCGGTTTTGAAGGATTTTTGTACTTTGAAGACGAGAATTAAAGGTTCGCAGGAGGCTTCCGGATGATAATCCATAGGATTTCTTCACGAACGATGATGACTTGGCCCTTGGTGCTCCTTAATTTTTATCAAAGAACAGAATGAGAAATATCGTGGAGATCAGCTTTATAATTCAATGAAATTTCTGTTTAGCGGAAGTCTGCGATGACAGAGAGATTTGTAAGCAGTGACAACTCAAAGGGTAACGTGATGCCGGCCAGGATGAGACTCGAACTCACGTAGGGGAACTCAGTAGATTAGCAGTCCATCGCCTTAGCCACTCGGCCAGCTGTCCAACAAACTTACCAAACTCATTTGTTATCAATTGCCAGTTTCTTTTATCATCCGCATTATTTTTCGAAGAATAAGGTAGTTTTTTTATCCCATTTCGAACTCTTAGAGTAATATGAGTATTGTCCATCTGTAAATGATTGTTATCAGACTGTCACATGTCACAGCGCAAGGGGTCGATTGATTAGCATTAGTTAATAAATAAAGAAGTCAAACTGAACTTTCTATACTAATATATTACTCTTTGTATCTAGCTTAAAGTTAGAGTAACAATTCAACTTTTCGCAGTTTCAAAGATTAAATATTTTACTAATTCCTTGCTAGTTAGTATTCTACTAGTCTAGACTTTCTAAACTTTCTAAGCAAGCAACTTATTTATATTCTTTCTGTTTGGGAATACTTCAATTCTTCTCAAAATTGTCATAAGTTGCCCTGGCTAAATTTTTCTTCGGCAGCTACTGTACGACACTTACCGCCAATCCAATGCACCGTAAAACACAATAACTGGTCCATAAGAATAACGTTATAAGTGGTTGCATAATGTCGGATTAGTCGTGATGCTAGTAGATGAAATGAAATATCGTCTTAAACTGTTGAGAAGGACGAAATGATATTAGCTTACTGCATTCACCATCTGCAAACCAACAACTTTAATGATTAAAAAAAGCATAAGCAACGATTTACTTTACTGCAAATGAGACTTTAACAATGAAATTAGGATTTTCTCTCTAGCTAGAACTGAATATTTCACTAATCTAAATTCATTTCACCCCATTTTATTTTTTCTTATATTTACACAAAGTAAATAAAACTATATCGGTGGTGACGAGATGATGTTGTAGAAGACAAATATTACTTCTGTTAATGATAATATAAAGATTTTTAAAATATAAAGAAAGAATTTTCGCAATTTTTTGAAAATAATATCGCTTCACAACACGTTCTGTTACACTGGTGAATTTCAGCAGCAGAACTGTTTGAGATAATCTAAAAGATTTAGGGTGTTGAGGTGCTGTCATTAGGATTTCGGACTTGCGGAAAGAGGAAGGAAGGAATTTGTGTGATATCTGTGATGAATAATGCGTTGTTGTTACAGTGAAGATCATAAAATATTTTGTGCGCTATCGACACATCCTCAAGTAAATGATATTAAAAAATAGAAAAAACTTTAATGAGCGGAGGCAATTGATATAGGAATGCTGAAGGGACTGTATCTATTCTCTTCCAGATTCTGTAACTCTCCCTCCCCCACTCAAATCTGTTTCACTCTGCTGTTTCAATCTCCCTCTCCTGTCTCCTGTCACCTTTGCCATTAATCCTGTTCACTAAAACAGGTTATTTTAATAGTTAATTAGCAGAAATTCTTTTTTCTCTACTCTACAATGTATTGAATCCCACAACTCATTCGTTTTTTATAATTCTTGTTCCTAAAGAAAGGTATCTACCGTCCATCTCCCATTCATGGTGGACAAACTGATTTCATGGAAAACTTTTCCTTTCATGAAAAGCTTAAATTGATGTAGAACCTGTTTATGAGATAAAATGCAATCCATAAAAGAATATACTTGTTTGTAAAACTCGTCTCGGTAATGCTTAGAAAATAAACGATTATTGTTCATTTATAAACCTTAATTAAAATATATGGTTAAAGTTGAAAACAAAAATGAATAAAATCATAGAAATCAAAGACTTATTAACTTGCTTTTTTGGGCATATTTAATTTTTGGGACAGACCTGCGATTAGAAAACCACTCTGCAAATATTTCGGAAATATGATTATACGTTATCACAAATCATATTGATAGCCGAAAAGGTGACAAAAGATTCTTTACTTAATTAAGCTCATACCCAATTCTTGCTTATGAGTAATAACTTAAATCTTCTTGCAGTAAATTATCGTTTCCTCCATGTTTCGGTTTTCATTTCATTATTTGAGCTATCTTCGATTTGTTTTCCTCTTCGCTTCTAAAATTATCATGTTTTTGTTAGTTTTGCACTTAAGTTGAGATTTTTTTGATATCATAGCTACACCAACCACTACTACCTTTATTTTAGTTTCTTGAAATAACCATTGCATCTCATGTGATACTCTTTCAAAGTTCAAAGTGTTAATGGTCTCTTAATTTTATCTATATTTGATTAGTATCAATGTTTTAAAAGTAATATTTGTTAAGGCTTAGCACACTAAACAGAATGTTATCTTCAAAATTGGACAGAAGAATAAGTGTAGAGATGATTACACTCCCCTTTACATCTTGACATTTTACATGATCCAATTCTTCCACAATTGACTTCATTGTATATCCTAAAAACTCTTTCAAATTTTAAACGGAAAAAGAAAATATCCTGCACACACTTTACGACGATAAGATTAATGCAATAATTAAGATATTGAAATGAAATATTATTGATTAGAAAATTTATGCAGTCGAAAATAATGTTAGCTATGTTATGCTTTTCAGATGTTTTTGAAAATTTTACGAAAAACATTCTCACAAATTTCAGAAAAGTAACAGAATTACTTTTATTTGTCAGTGTTTTCATTAAACAATGCAAAATACTCCAATTAAAACAAATCAACTAAAATATTTAGAATAGAAGAACAAAGGACATTGAAGCTCTACTTCAATGATGACTTTGAATAATATCATCTATAAAAATCGACAAGATCATCAGAAGTATTTATAGATAAGATGTTCCAAGAATTTGAATGAATTGAAAATTAATACGACTTCGTTACGTTGATACAGTGTCTTGCACGAAAAGTGCGAGAATATTCGAAGGCCTGGAATAATAAAGTAGGATAAAATATTGAGATTTTGAGAGAATTATTCAAGCTGATTTGCTGCTTTCGACATTTGTACAAAGAAACGAGAGTGTATTATGATTTGATTAACAACAGTCAAGGAAGTCAATCATAAATTTCTGTATTAGTAAGGAAACGTCACTGGAATTTTTAGTAATTAATAGGAGGTAACAAATATTTGAAAGCTGAAATCGACACAGAAGAAAAAAGAAATAAGAACAATATATGTATCGGTGACACATAAAAAATGTTTCTCAGTGTTATTGCTAGATTGGAAAATCACAAGAAGAGAGCGAACAAACGTGACAAAAAAGAAAAAATGGACAAATGTGATTTTTTATTCACTCTGTTTAATCATTTTTTACAGGAGACAAACTTTTTAAGTAAAATTTTATTTTGCTTGCAGAAGAAGATAAAATAATAAAGTTTTGCACAAAATTTTCAGTGAATAGTGCTTCAATATCTCCACAATATATAGTAGAGTTTTAAATTTGAATGATTTTAAGTGCATAATGCTTTTAGAAAAGTTCTGTTGCAACAATGTTTGTATGAAATGAACAATAAAGATTTAAGAATCTAGGCGCTATTGCAACAGTTCCGCACCTTATCTTTTTGCCAATAGACTGTGATTAAGTTTTGATGCGACAACAGTTTATATCTCAGAGTCACAGAATCAGCAATTAGAAATAAAAAACATCCCCAAAAAGATGTAATGAAAGAAGACCATTCTCTTAAATACGGATTACTTGAAAAGAGATATTGGCAAATTACAAATTTAAGCGGGGTCAGGGATCATTGCAAGATGAGCACAGAGAAATATATTTACAAACATCAATATTAGTGCTGAATGAGAGTGCCGTTTTTAGGTAGAAATAAGATTTGAAAATTACGACGTTATGTTATCCAAAGACTAATCAATATCCATTGTTGTTTCATTCCAAAATTGTTTATGCATTTCTCGAAATTTCAAAAGGAATTTGAAGCTTATTGTTATTGTCGAATTTTAGGTTGAGCATTAATATGGAGTCTTTTAACATATCGCAATCGTCTGCAATATGTCGAATTTGTCGTAGTGGAGAACAATCGATTGCACATGACGACAAATCAGCCGCTCATGAACCGCTAATATCGCCTTGCTTCTGCAGGTAAATAAATTCTCGATGCTATTATTTTCTTCTGCAGTCTCCTATTCATCATTATTGATATTTAATTCCTATATATCGGTGCTTTTCTATATTTTACAAATGCAACAGATTTATATTTCCATCAGTCCTTCCGTTTGCTCGTTTAACAAACATCAAATAATTCTAAATACTTTAAAATAAAAGGAAAAAAAAAGAATTAGTTAGATTAAGCATCATAGTGAGCTGTGATGCGATATCGATAATTTGATTTTCCTGATTACAGTCACTTGATCAGATCTTTTAATTCTGTCGAAGTTTAGCAGTGATCCTTAGAATATTCTAATAAATCCTTCTTTCCAAACTAAAAATCACATTAATAAATTACCATATAGAGGAACGATAGGCTTGTGTCATCGGAGTTGCTTGGAACGCTGGCTTGCGTCATCCAATAGAAGTGTATGCGAAATTTGTCATTTTACTTATCAGACTGCAAGGTATTTGATCATCTAATTTTTGCTTTCTGGACTTTTGCTGTAATTTGCATTTCGAGCAACAGCAAAATTCAAATTAAACCTCAAATTACTCTTAATTTTTTGATTTTTCAGTCTTATTTATTCAGATCTTCACTGATTCGATATTTGTAAAGTGTCTTAAGAAAGAATTATAAGGGATGAAATTCCAAATTCTCCACACAATTTTAAATCAGTGCGATTTGTTTTCTACATAGCATACAATTACATTCATCTCTTTAAGAAATAATTTCAGAAAATGAATGTAATATTAATAGACAAGTTTGTTGATAGATAAATTGTCTCTGCGTCAATATGACATTTTGAAAAATTTCGCTTCCTATTATCATGCGTACATTATTTCTAGTATTGTAACTGTTTTTAGCTTCAAAATCTCATTAATTTAAATTTCTGAAACTAGGGAAAGATCAATTAATTTTATTGTAGAATTTCAGCTTATTTCAATTAAAATATTTGAAATCAGCAAAATTTCTGACTGTTACAGACGATATCGCACATTTTGTGAATTTATGGGAAGCACAGATTCTTATTTACAGCGTCGTAATTTGATTATCGATATTATTTGCTTTGTCTTTTTTACGTCGATCGTTATCTGTTGTATCATACTTTGCTTATCGTTAGCGACACAAACAAAAGGCTTTGGACTGCGGAATAATTCGAAAGGGTTTCAAATGATTAGTTTGTTTTTTATGAGTCGTTTAATTTTTTAGACAGATAGATGAAGAAAAATGGTCAAACAGACACAGATAGACATCCGACTGACATTACTTACACATTCACTATTACTTATATATTACTCAACATTACTCGTAGGCTTGTTGATCCTATCAGTTTCATTATCTGTAGTATACTTTATATGGCTAATTACCATTATTATATTTCATATCAAGACTTATCTCGATTGGCGTCTATTAAATGAAGTAAGTTCATGATTTTCTAGTATTACTACTATCACTACCTATGAGATTCGATTTACGATTTATTGATTTGAACGATTCAAATGATTTATGTCATTATTTATCAAAATTTCAAGTTTATTTAGAGTTAAAAAAAAACAACCAGGATTTATCCTATATTTCTGCGTAACGAAGCAATCAATATGAGGCGTAGAATTAAATTTGGGACACTTTTTATTGAACGCTAAACTTCGGGAAATATTTCGGAAATGGAATTCAAAACTTATCAAAATTTCAAGTTTTGTAGGAAGTATTGGTAGTGGATCAGGAATCAACGTGTAATTCATGGAAAACTATTGATAGAGTTAGGCGACAAAGAGCAAAACCTCGAATGTACGCGGTAAATTTTGACAGCTTGATTGAGAAAGTTTGGAGGGTCAAAAGTCAATGGATTCTTTGCTATTAAACATATTAATTGCAGATTTTGCTATTCATTCGCATTATTTATCAAATTGGCAATAAATTTATTTTCTGATTGATTTTCGTTAGTAAATCCTAAGCAAAAAAAAATTTCATTTCAAAAGCGTTATTTACTCCAGATGCGCTTGCTATTGTGCTTTGATTTGCACTCCATTCTACGCGACTTATGCAGGAAGAATTTGGGTGTTTCATCTGCCAGTAATGCAAATTCAGGTAAATTTTAATTGGATTGAAACTGATCCCAAAATATTAAGAATAAGTCAGTTTGCTTCATTTCTACAAATATTCTATCTTCTTTGCACAGTGTTATCCATATAATTCTAATGCCACAATTTTTTTTCAGATAATTCCAATTCTGCGATCTCTGTTGTATCAAGTAATGCGTTAAATATGAATTATGATGATTTTGTACACCATCTACATCCCAAAGATGGTGAAATTCCTGTAATCGATTCATGCCAACACACGATGGCCTCGACACCTGTAGCTAATGAAAAGGCATTCGCATCCCCTCAAATATTCGAATATCCTTCCGTGAATTCTCACTTCACGAGTTTTAACAATGCAGTAGCATGAAAATCAGAGAAGAATGATACACCTGCACATGTATACATATATAATTGCTATCTTTTTATTTGTTTACTCAGAATTCTTCTGGACCACTTTCCTCTAGTTTATATTACTGCAAGCTTTCCAGAATTGGATTTTTCTTTTTCTTATTGATTGCTAAATATATTTTACTTACTTAACAAGTAGTATGATACCAAACTTATGCATTTTATGCAAATACATGTTTAATATTGATAAAAGTTCTTTTTGTTCCATTATCTTTTCCATGGTTTTTTGGTTAGTAAATAAATTCGAATCTTACAAAATCTCTTTTAAAAATTCCTGGGATATGTAATTATATAATAAAGCAGTTAAATTAAATTCAACATAAATTTCAACGTGTAAACAACAGACTGGAAATTCAGAAGTGGAAAATGAAGCGATAGCTAGCCACCACATTATTACAAGAAATACTGCAAAGAGGTTGCGCGATTTCTGATAACTTAACAAGGTATAGAAATAAATAAAGGTAACTTAACAACACATTAGATATTAATTTGAAACCATTTGGAGGAGGTGGTGGACTAGGTACAATCAAAGAATGGTCTTTTCTGATAATCCACTAATCCAAGACTGTCATTTCTCTTTGTCGCTAATTGTATTTAGATTGCAAATACAAAATCGATAAAAAGGCATTAAAATTGCAGTAAGTTTGGCAATATTTGATTTCTGCTGAAGAGTCCACTCAAGATGAATACGATATTATAGCTTCATTAAATTTCCGAAAATGGGAATCAAATTTTCTGCTTTATTGATTTGCACATTTTGCTGTTTTCTATTAGATGCGAAATATTTTTTCTATCAGTTTTTATTTGCTGTATTTTGCTGTTTTTATTTGATGAATTTTGTGAGGTCTTATCAGTTGAAACACTTGCAAAAGAATTACATCATCATCCTAATCCAAAATTCAAATGTCAAATTTCCTGAAAATGAATATCTGTTAGATGTGGGTAAAGAGTATAAAAAACTGGAGTTGAGAATGACAAAATATGGTCATCTGGAAATTTTGAAAAAAGAAATAAAACAACTACCAGCTGACGTGCTCAAATCGAGCGGTAATAGCGATTGTAACTATGACTGTGTAATAAAGTTTTATTATTCTTTTTTCTGTTATGAGAGAAATTAATCCAAATTACCTATTTTGTTTTGGAAGATAAGAAGCGGTGAAATGAAACATCCATTTGGCTTTGCATCACTTATGAGCTCTTATTTTTCTAAAACCGGTTCCTTTCCGGAACATCCTACTCAATTCTTTTGGCAAAGTTTTGGCTACAAACATATAACAATTCAAAATTATTAACCATTTGATGAAAGTTCATTTCTGAATTGCCTCTGATTTTTTAACTCAAATAAACAGAAAGAACAAAATATCCATGCTTATTTTTTTCCCATTAAGGTTTCCTCGAATGCTAGACACTGAAAAATATTATCTAATGTTGTTGCTCAGTGTAACTATCACCATTTATTGTAGTTAACAGTTATACAACAGCAACACATTACAAACTTGAAAAGTGCTGCAAAATGGAAAGTAATAGAGAACCGTAATTAATATCAGCAAAAAAAAAACCTTTAATGAAATTTAAAATATCTCCGGGGAAATAATTTCAGCAACTAATTACAAGAAAAATAGAATATTTCAAGTTGCCGTAAGTATACAATTAATCAGGTCATATATTTTTCTGAAAACAAAAGTGAAAGGAAATTTCGTTGTATTTTTTTTTTCTTCATTCTAAGTTTGACAACAATATTTATGAGAATATAATTCTATTCAACAAATAATAACGGTTGAAGGACTGTCGCTAAAATCGGTTTTCAATGGATTGGTGGTACAGATCCATAGCGGTACAATTTTTTTGAAGACGACGAGTGCTCAATTCTTCAATCATCCACCAGATTCAATGCTCGACGAAATTAGGAAGTTTTGCAATAAAAATATCAGTGGAAGTATGATCATCAGTGCTATATTCTACTTTTATGTCATTTGTCTTGCTAGTCTTTGTTCATTTATATATTTATTGCAGCTATATGATGAATGCCATTACTCTCGAAAATATGACTGAACAGTACTCAGGAAGGATACTTACTGATCTGTAACAAAGCATTTTACAATGTAATTATCATCAATTACTAATGAATTACGATGAAGAAAACATTGCTACTGCAATGTGAGAGATAGAATCGGAGAACAACACTAATAAACAACATTTCAGCTAAATATTCATAGTACAATTTAGCAACAGTGATTCAATAACTCAATTGGCAAATAAGCAATGGAAAGTTGACTTCGCCCATATCAACAGAAACTGAATAAAACAAAATTTTACTAATGAAAAAAATTACATTAGGAATGTAAAGGAAAAATAAGCAACTCTGTTCACACTGTATAGTACACGAAATTCTGTGCTAAAGGAAATTTCGAATCTTTGCTTCATTTATGAATACAGTAGATGCATGCTATTATTTATACTGTAACACGTAACGTTTCACATCTTCTACATTATAAGTAATCCATAAAAGATTAATGGTTTAGAAGACATGTCATATTCAGCAAGTTATTTGCGTAAATTTGTATGAAATCATTTAATTTATTTTCAAACCCAAGTTTTGGACAATGACCACCATTCTAGACTTCAAAATATCATATCAAATAAGAAACGACTTTTTATCAGATATTCGCGATTCACAAATTTTCATTCCAATTAATAAAAACGAGTTGAAAAATAATTCCTTATTTCAGCCTTTTGCTCCGGCAACTTTTCCAATGTCTCTCCTTGGATCTATCTGAATAAAAGTCTATTTACTTGTGTGAAAAGATGTGCACTAACTGGTGAAACCAAACTGTATTAGAAATTAAAGAAGGAATACTATGTGCATGAGAATTTTTAGGAAGCCAATTGAGCATTGGTCAACCAGAACACTGTTTTGCTATTCTTAGGTTTTTTTCAAACCTCCAAATGCTCCTCAAAATTTCCCATTAAAATAATTTTTCTGAGTATCTGCTTATAAGATAACTGGAAAATAACTTTAGAGCATCTAACTAATCAACCAAATTTAAATAGATTCAAATTTCTTCCTACATCTTTCCGAAACTCAATTTTCAGACCGCTAAGTATTAAGTGATTGTCAAAATATTGAAGTGATAATTTAATAAACTAGGATCTTTTACTTATTTACGATAAAGTTGACTTCAGTCCCCGAAAAATCTTAATAAAATTCTGATATATGAACAGTTAGAAGATCAACAAAACATGCAAGAAGTATTTTGATTAATGGCATACGCTCATTCTTTTCTTCGTTTTCTCGGAATATTACTATCATTCTCTTTTTCAATACCACGTATTTCCATCGGCTCATCGATAATCCACTGATCCTTGTTCTCTGTACGAATTACTGTAGAGGTGCCATCAATAAATCGGGTTTTGAAAAGCACATTTGCGTGGTTGAACATTCCATCTTTTAACGATACTATTATAAACTGAAATCGCAAAACAAAATAAAGTCATGAATAAAATTATGAATTAGAAAAATAGAGGAATGAATGCAGAGTAGAAAAGCCCTAAATTAACAGGTTTTTGAAGATGAAATCAGAAAAACAATCTTAAAAAACAAAAAATTTTTGAAGAAATTTGTCAAAAATAATACAAGAAAATTTAAAATAAAAAAAAAATTTTAAATAAAAATAAAATACAAATCTATTCTGTTCGTTATTTTTCCATTCCCCAACTTTCAAAGTCTTATACAAGCATCCTCGAAAATGCTTGATGATATACCTGTGATTCTTTGAAATGTGTTTTGATCATGGCACCAATATTTTGAGTGTGTGACAAATCGAGCGCAGCATCAACTTCATCCAGGATATAAATTGGAGCAGGTTTGAACTTTAACATCGCTAATACTAGCGATAAGGCTACTAAAGAACGCTGACCTGAAATAATTACTTAACTTACAATTACTAAGCTAAGCTTCAGCATCGACAAGCTACAATTATTTACAAAATCCATCCAACATCTCGGAATACCTATTATTATTCAATATATGGATAAATAACCAGTTATCAGTAATGAACAAAATATTTCTGCCAGAAAAATGTAAAATTTTCAAAAATGATTTACGAGAAGATGTGATATAATAACATATAAAAAATAGCACATGTAATAACATAAAAAACCAACCACCACTCAATTCGCCAAGTGAATCTTTCCATTTGTTTCTGAAAGCAACTTTTACTTCCAAACCACCTAACGCGGAAGTGGCACCTGAAGGAGGTTCCAGTTTTGCACTTGTACCAGGCAGTAACGTAGAAAAAATGTTACCAAAGTCCTACAAAAGAAAAAAATTTAGTGCGAAGAATTATTTCCATAAATCCTACTGAATGTAAATTACAAAAAAGTACACGGTTCTCAATTCCTTATAACTACTTATGTTCTAAATAAAGAATTACCAAAAAGATACAAAGCAAATCCTCATTTCTAAAAAATATCCATTTAAAAAATCAATAAAATCCTTACTTACTCGATTTACTTTTTCATGAGCTTTAATAATTTCATTTTTCTTTTTGATATCCAATTTTTCAATTGCATCTAGCAATTTCGCTTTATCATTCATCAACTGCTCCATTTTGGCTTCCAGTTGTCGACACTGTAACCACAGAATATGACCAATTTCGAACAATACAATTTCGAACAATATATCAACTAGGATTCTTTGGGAAAATTATTGGAAATTTTGTTCCAAAATCACTAGTTCTTCGCTTTTTACTTTTAATACTTCATCCATTAATTTTACTAAAAACTCCCATACGGGAAAAGCTATTTCCAATAATCCACTAAAAAATTAATAATTACTTGCTCTTCCGCTGTTCCTAACATATTCATTGCTTTTGCATTGATACTTCTTTCCAGTGCATGTTTTCGAGTAGTCCTGTCCTCCAATTCTTTATGACCCTTTTCGATGGAATAATCGGTAAAATCATATGCAGTACCAGCTTGGCCAAAATGGTGTTTTTCTTCCATAATCCAACTGTGCTGCTTCTCTAGTCTAGCTGCCTGTAATTTATGAACCAAAATCATTTAGTCATGTAAATAACGTCCAAACAAGACAAGTTGAAGATCTCAAATGTTAAACATAAAATGATAATCATGGAACAGACCCTTCTAGAACAATCTTCTACATTCTTTTTCATATCCTGGATATCTTTCTGTAGTTGTTCTTTTTTAAGATCAGATTCTTTCAAGCTTTTCTTAAGTGCATTCACCATTTCTACTACAGATCGTATGTAAGCATCACGTTCACGCATTCTTTCCGTGAACTTCTGCATTTCTTTTTTCGCCTCTTCCGCTTCTTCCTAAAAATTCAGAAGGTTGGAGAAAACTGAAAATTTGATAGAATATTTCAAATCATTCTCTTAAAAAATATGACTATGTCGTCTTGCGGCTGAAGGAAGTAACAGTAAGATACCCAAACAGAGAATTGATAGGTAACGGCAGTTTACTGAAATTGAAATGACCTAAAAGACGTAATATTACTACCGAATTTATTTGAGTCATTAATTTGATGTTATATAAAATTAAGCTGCCAATTTTAGACTATAACTTACCTTAGCTTTCGCAACGTTCCCTTCCAAAACAGTCATCTCTTCGACACCCCGTTTAGTTTCCTTTAGAAAAACTGATAATTCCTCTTCGTCTTCAGCTACTGTCTTTTGCAATGAAGTTATTTCTTCTCTGCATAGTGGATAAAGATTATGGCAACAGTGGTAGGCAATACAAAGAAAATTTTAACGCTGTTAAGAAAAACATACGAAGAAACATAAAGAAAAGAAAAAATTTTTTACAACAGAGCAAAAATAACAACCTCAACGTCTCGAGAGAAACTCTTGCTTTTTCAAAACTGCTTTTCAAACTTGCTAATTCTTTTTCTGCCGTACCTAAATCTTTTTGAGCTTCTTTCTTCTCTTTTTCCTATAATTATGAACTAGAACTAAACACTACATTGATAATAACTGAGCAGAAGAAAACACAGATAAATAGCGTAAAATAGTTAAATCATATCTATAAATAATGCTGAATTGATTGTACAGTGATAATTCAAATTAGTAACTTGATGAAAAAAATAAAAACTAAAATAATTATGAATAATTTAGGATGAACGATAAATCAGAACAATTATGTCACCAATAATGTTAAAACCTTCCTTCTGAGTAAAGAAATTATTATTATTATTCATTTATTCGCAATTATGAAGAGAAATTTCATGAGCAAAGAAATTATACAGGATTTTTAAAAACAATTAGATTACCTGGAACATTTTTTCATTTTTTTTCCGCTCATTTAAAACAGTTATCTTCTCTTCTAGTTTTCTCCGTTCCACGTTGCCATTTTCTACTGTGTCTCGATACTGTGGAATTTCCTTACAAAAAGGTTTATTAATACCTTATGCTATCTTTACATCCTTATATCTTTTTATCATTTACACTATCATTATATTATTTCTCCATCTATTTTTGAAGCTCTTATCCAATTCTTCCCACATTTTATTTCTCTGCACAACAAAATACGCTTCTCTAATAATGACAATAAGTATTACTAAAAAGCAACTATGGAATAAAAATTCAGAAAAATAAGCTTTTAAGAATAAGAAATCTCAAAATCAGAAAAGCGTTCAACAGTGATAACTACAACAGTGGTTTTAGTTCATCAAATCTACTTCATCAACTAATTCTTCAACTTAAAGCAAAATAATTCTGCTGAAGTCAACAAAAAAAAATTACAAAGAAAGATACCGATTCAATGTCATTAATTTCATTTCGTAAAATTTGAGCAGCGCTGTGTTTCATATTATCTTTGATAGCTTGAAGACGTCTAGAACACTGTCCATGTTCGCCACTAAGTTCAATGTACTGCTGTCGAATTGGTGCCAATATTTTTAACTGATCTATAAATTTAACCTCTTAATGACAGGTAGCTATTTTTCGGTCAGATCTTCCCCGATATTCAATGTAGATCAAAAGTATTATTAGGCTGATACAAAAGTAATCGTGAGTTTTTTTTGTCGTTGAACTTTCCCACTTTATATACGAAAAAATATAGCTTTATTATAAAATTTTAGTCTTTTTTTTTTTTTTTTTTTTTGTAAGAATTGGTTAATTGCTATTTTATATTTATTTCAAACAAAAAAAAAAAAAAAAAAAATACAGGGTAAGGAATAAATCCGACTGATTTTTTATGGGAGTTTAAAGTCGTTCAAAAAACAGCGGATGAAATTTGCATTACTCTGATGGTAGTAAAGTCAATGAAAGTACAATCGAATGATGATTTAAAGTTTTCCGGAGAAACAGGAACTCTGAAGAAGTCTTATTAAAAGTTGGAAATGATAGAATATAAAACCTTCCATCATCAAAAACAAAGTTGATGAGGAATTCAAGGAATGAGGTAATCGTCATCAAATAAATCACTGTTTCTTTTTCTCTTATTCTAAATAGTAATAACAAATCAATTTCTAGCATTTCAGGAGTTCAGCAAATTGAACTACAAAATCTTGCTTCATTCATTGTATTAATCTAGCTACTTGTTAGTCGAATAATACTTCTTGAAAAATCTGGAAAAAGATGTTTTATACGAGCAAGCTTAAAATTCTTTCAAAACTGGTCGAATTTCTAAATATGGTTTTCAATGTTCAAGTAATAAATAAACTTATCATTCGTTGATAAGCATATAACGATTGCAAGGTTGTTATTTTAATTAATGAAGAATGTCAGAGTACAATTACAATTAACTAAAATGAATCATTTGAAAACACAATTATTTTTCCCTCAACCCAATAAATTTTTCCTCAGTAAATGAAGGTGCATACCTTCCAATTGATGTAAATGACAGTCGATTGCAGTGATACGCTCAATATTTTTTGTTGTGGCGTCCAAAGATGTTAAAAGAGCAGACTTGTTACTACGAGATCCTGAAATCGTCAATTTCACTAAACAACTATTAATTCTGAAGGAGTATTAAAATTAATTCAAATAAGCAATATAAATGAAAAGATGCAGGATTGGAGCATTGAAACCCACGAATATAAAAAACCTTCGATTTCTTAATTCAACTATTTCGGAAATGTTCAAACCAACCTCCAGTGAGCACACCACCAGGACTGAAATCACAACCAGCCAAAGATACTGATCTTGTATTAATCTGAGCATCAAATGTTACCTGAAATCATAAACAAATGAGTGTTTAGGCTTTCTTTGCAAAGTTGATAAGATGTACTGAACGACGATGCCAGACCCAGTTGACGATAGTCATCTATTTTTAACGGTGTCGTCCATTCAATCATAGAGGTTCAGAAATTTAGAATTCTTTCTTTATATTATCACATGATCTAGCACGAATAGTAAAATTAGAGAGAAATCATAGAGTAAGGAGAACATGAACTTAAAGATCACAAACAGAATGGATGTTTATAGTGACTAGATGTGTTAGTCATTAGTTTTTTGGAAGTTCCATTTCTATTTCTCTTTTTTTCTAGGAAAGAAATAAAATTTCTGGCCTTCCAACTTTATTATGAAACTTAATATCCAAGCCACGAAAGTTAAGAATTTTAGAAAGTTATGATTTTGTAAGTCGAAGATAAAAAAAAAAGCTTTAGGAAACATTGAAATCTTTAATAACTGTATTCAATGCTCCAACTTTGCATCTTTTCCCTTCTTCTCTCATAACTAAAAAATTTGACAAATTGTACTGGAGGATATTAAAAATCATGAAACTTTAGAAAAAAGATTCCGAAGTCGATTTTAACTTATGCATTTATACAAATAAAGTTAACCTTTTTTGCATCATTGTCACTTGTGCATATGAAGACATTGCCAAACACATGACGCATGGCTGATTCAAGTTCAGGTTCATATTCAATTAAATCTTTTGCTATGAAAACATTTTCCTTGCCAACCTGGAAAATCAAAATGAGAAAATGTATGGTAAGCTCACAAAGTAGCATTAAGTTACCAGAAAAAGTTATGGGAATCTACTATCTATAGACGATGTAAACACTAGAGAAAAAATTTTTCTACAAAAATCTGTAACACTAACCAAGTCCCGTGCTCGCTGCAATTTACGATTGTCAAGCGCTCGACCTTCGATTTTATCCAAAGGCAGAATAGTTACTCGATGTCTCAAATTACCACTTTTCAACAAATCCCGGCCAACTTTTGCATTTCGTACTATGATATTATACAGCTGAATGGAATTCCGTTACAATTCATAATTTTCCTGAGTACTAAGAGCGTTTCAATAAAATTCAAGTGTAGTTGAATCAAGAAAGGTAATTAAAAAATTGCATAATAAATCTCAGCATATGTTCCACGATTTTCAGCAAATATAAGAAATTTGACAATAGTAGTAGACTCTTCTAGAGGAAACTATTTGCAATTTCCAGTCTTAGAAAGGAAGAGCGGTGATATTCAAAACGATAAGCATTCTCATAGTCTGAAAAAATGAAACAAGTTTTTTCTTCTTTTAGTAATTTTCACCAGCTGTTATTTGCGATCCTTTCTGTTTTCTTTTTATTTGACCGTGCTGGTTGCAATCCTGGCAATCAAGCAAAAGATAGATTTTAAGAATTTTAAGCAGAAATATTTAGAGATTTTTCAAATGTTGAAAACATAAGCCATATTTCTTAAATATATTCGATTTTTTGATGCTAGGATCTATAAACACATCAAAGTAAGCTAAGGAACTGCTGACGAATTTCTTTTTATTATATTTCCGTTTTGATATAATTCTGTTTTGCCTAGCTTTATTTATCATTTTTAAAATAGCTGATCATCTCAAACGATTTTTCACTTTCATTTTCAACTTCATCTAAACACTCGTCAATTCCACTTTTTATTTACAGAACAACTAATCATAAAAAAAACGAGAAAAAGCGAATACATTAATAAGTTACTAAAGATGCAAAATGATGAAATGATCATTATCATTAGCCAATTCTGATAAAAATCATCAGCAAGAAAAAATATTTTAAAACGAATAATTTAAACACAAGTAAAACAGGAATCAAGCGATTAGTTTTAAGTTTATTTAGTATTTTCATGCGGCATTTGATTAAGAGGTAGCTATAAGATGATAATAATGAAAACTATTGATGATTAATCCTAGAAAAAAGGAAGTTAGAGAAAAAAGTAAGTTAAAATGTTTCAAATAGGGTAAAATTTTTAAGAAAAATGAAGAAAAACAAACATTTCATGGCTGGTACATCAAAATTATTTGTTTGTTATAAGACCAATTTCGAGAAGCTAAAACAAACAGTCATCTTAAACAAATAGAATAAAATGAAGAAACAAACCTACATGAACTGTTTAGTTGAACTCTATAAAAAAAATTTTGACAAGATTTGTTCAAAATTATGTTACACTTTGTTAGGAAGTTAATTTGTCTTAACAACCAAAAAACAACAAAAAGAATTACATAACTGATTTTTAAGTTTTTCCAAAGATAGTGCAGATGCTCCACTAAATCGAGTAAAATATTCTCATAAATATGCCATTTGTGTCTTCAATTTTTCAAAATAAAAAATAAGTGTATCAAGTATTTTTCTTCAGTTACGTCTTATTATAATAGTTCATAAGATGAAAGACATGCACTGCCCGCAGCAAAATAAACATTTCAGTAACATCTAATGCTTTTAAATATTTCAATTAAATACAGCACTTGAACAAAACTGTAAAACAACAGATCTGGATGGACACTACCAAGGATGCAAATGAAGAACACATACTTTTTAATGCTTCTTATAAAACTTAGTACTTCAATTCAATTTTTAAAACGATTCAACATTTAGAAATTAATTTAAATCATTTTTCTAGTGTTAAATTGCTTTTTCCTCTTTTGTCAAGCTTTGAAGAAAAAAGTGCAAGCTGAAGGGGAATAGTTCGAAATAATCTAAGCAAGAAACCACTACTGAGTAGGAAGTTATTACAGATAGATTATAATGTCCTTAAGCTTCAAGAGAAATTTATCATAAAATTTTCAGAAAAAAAAATAAAATTTTTTTTTCTCAGAATAACAGAGGGTTCATTTACGTATACTCAATAAAGAGAATCCATGGAAAAGAGTAACTGATGTTTGGGCTGAACTTATGAAATTATTTATTTTCCTATAATTATAAAATCCATTTTCTTTGTCATTTTATAAAATTAGCATATATTTCCACTTTCTTTTTTATTATTATCCATTAAACGAAATATATGCATCTACTGGATGAAATTTTTTTTTTTAACTAGAGTGGTAAACGAAAGCACGACTTTTTAAAGAAGAATTAAGATAATCAGATTCATAGATATATTATTCTGAATCTTATATTGCAAAAAGTCAAAACTTACGGCTCCACCACCAGCAACTTCCAAAGCAGTTGCAAATCGAAAATCACGAATTCGGAACAATTTAGCAACAATCCCATTAACTAAACGACGATCGAAATTTGGGTACGGATCCGAATAGTCGAATTTTAAATATGGATTCCTAGATAATAAAAATAAAAAGTAACAATAACGATAAGGATTGAATGAAAAAATTACCTTACGTTTGACATTTTTGACTGTGTGGAGAAGGAAATAAGAAATAGTCTAACAAAAATTGTTTATCCTGGATGTTTATTAAAAAAAGATAATATGATCCTAAATAAATAACAAGTATTTAAAACATCAATACCGAGCCTCAAAATCCATTACAGCATCGGCCAAAGCACTGCGTTCTGCAGCAAGAGTTCGACGTTCGTTAGCAATTTGAAGTCCAGTTTCTTCATTGAAATTTAGTCCATTTAATTTAGTCTAAAAACGATAAAACACAAGAGCAATGATTCATATGTATCAAAAGTTATGTGTGTTTTCATTTGAGGAAAAAAATATCATATTCTTAAAGAACTGTAAACATGAAAACGGTGACTGGTCAGACACGTCTTTAATATTGTATTATAACTACTACTACTACGATTTATTAATTTCGAGTTTTGATATTGAAAACTTTCGAACTTTATCTTAGAAAATAAAGCTACCATGACAAGGTCATCAAAACTTTAATACGTATGATGGAAATAAAAATTTTTCAATCTGAAATAACAAAGCATCTAGCAGTAACCTCTATGGATCGCATTTGCTGCTCCAAATTTGATCGTTCGCGTTCTTCTGAGTCGGCCTGATTGGTTATTGCATTTAATTCGTCTTTCTTTTTCGCTAACAATGGTTCTAGTTGTTTCAATCTGGAAATCTGCATATGAATGAATATCTCTTAGAACTAAGTTCTACATAGAAAAAAAAAAAACTGTTTATAAAGGAGATCACACTAACTGCATTGGTAATGACAATATTCTTCTCAGTGATTAGGTACGAGTAATGCTTAATGCGACTGAATAACATGAAGCTTCTATTACCTTAAGTGTTTATAAAGCAGCACAATCTTTCGAGAAAGGAAAAAAAGAGGAAAGAAAAAGAACTTCAACTATTGTAAAGATGCACCTCATTTGAGCTGTTTTTATCTTCGTTTCCAACGCACTTAGTGCGCTTCGCTGAGCTGTAAAACAAACCATGATTTATCATTTGTCAATTCTCACAACAATTAAAGCAAGTTAACGCTTAATCGTGCATGATAATTCTACGTAGTTCTGATAAATTACAAGCCAGTCTCACAGCATAAAAGATAAAACATACGATCGAACAATGAGTCCTTGAATAAAAGTCCTAATGGCCTAAATAAATCAAGGACATTGAAGCAGACCTGTTAATTGAGCATCCAAAGTAACGGCGTGTCCATCTTCATCAGTGATCATGCCTTTCGCCAACGCTTCCAATTTATTCCGTGCACGCTTTACTGCTTCCTCTGCTTCCTTACCACGCTTTTCTTCACCACCAATTTCAGTTTCAAGTTTTTTAAGTTCACGGCATTTCTTTTCTAATTCATTCTTATCCTGTAAAAGCAACTTTCATTTGATAAGGCTGGCGGAGTCAAAAGATCAAAAGATCTTCGTATCACTGTACTTATCCTATACAAAACAAAGCATGATGAATGCATAAATATTGCAAACTTATCACATCATCATCCATTAACTTATCACAAACTTATCACATCATCATTTGAACAAAACATTTCCAAAACCAAAAGACTTTTTTACATTTGCTTTATCGAAAATTCTAACCGACTGAATGCTTTTAGTTTTGCGGTCAATAGCTGTTCTCGTTTCTTTCTCTTTATCAAGCATAGCATCACGACCTGCTTCTGCTGCTGTTAATGCTGCCATAGCATTTTTAATACGATTTTCAATTTCCTTCCTTTCCCATCCCGTTTTCTATAAAGAGACAAATATTAAGACAAAGCCATTTACTTAAGTAACTCAAAAATTGGCTCTTCTCAAGTGTTGAAAATACCTCAAACCAAAATAAATATTTATGGATTTAATAAAGAATTGATAAACACATCTTTCTTTCTATGAACTTCGAGCTTTTATTTTTTTGTTTCCTCTTCGAGCTTTTTTAACTTAAAGAAAAAACTCCTACATTATTCTTATTATCTTCAAGTTCTTTAAGTCGGAGTTCTTTCCGATCCAATTCTTCTTTCGCGTCATAAATGTCCTTGTCTACTTCGCGAATTCGATCTTTCACGCTAGTTATATCGTCTTGTAACGTATGGCTGTGAGTCTAGAAATAATATAACATGCAAAGATAAATAAGAAAAAAAAATTGTTTTTTTAAAAACACTGCAGAGGTAAACAACAAAAAAAAATTTTTTTTTTTAAAAAATGTTTAAAGAATGGGACTCCTCTGTACATATCTTGTTGAACTACTTCCTTCATTCCTCAACTAAATTTCGATTTTTTTTTTTCAGTAAAACATATGCACCAACCAATGAGCTCATGAAATCAAATGCGATAAGCTTTCGTTGAAGTGCTTCCAACTCCCTGCCAATTTTCTGATATTCAAGGAAATTACTTCGGTCTCGTTTCAATTTCTCTACTTGTGGAAGGATGTCTTCTTCCATCAGCTAGAAACCAAACTATCTTTAAGATATTTCGAAAAACAATAGTCTAATGGATATAATGAACTGAAATGAAATACAATGCTGGTATAGAATGTATATCAACTAATCGCATTTTTCAGCAATGAATGTGAATTTTTTATGATGCCTGGAAGCATCTAAATAAAATGGCTCATAGCTTATATAGAACGTTAAAAAAAAAACGAACTTAGAATTCAAAAAAACACCTGTTTTATTTCAGCCATTTTGCCTTCTTTTTTTTCTATTGTACGTACAGCGCTTTGCTTTTTTGCTTCATACATTCGTGTTCCAGCCGCTTCTTCGATCATTCCAACGATCTAAAAATAGATTCTGTAATGATTACATCGATCTGCTAATTAAATGCAATCAATATAATCAATCTTCTTACACATGTATGCAAGATAAGAAACTCCCAAATCTTTTGCTTCAATTCTAGATATTGAAGATCAAGATTTTTATTTCCCATGGCTTATAAAGGTCACTGCTAATCAGAACTGAAGAAAAGAATAGTCAGATTATTTTTCAATGTTTCTAAAATTAAATGAAACTAATAATCCTTCCGAACCTCCATTGGTTTCATATTCAGGACCTTTGTAATACGTCCTTGCATAATTAAGAAATGTGGATTATTTACATTCAAACCAACTGTCCGAAACATATCTGCAACTCTGCTATTTGTTGCTGCAGCTCCATTGATGGTGTATGTATTTCGACCATTTATTACTATCTGCAATATGAATGTCTTTAATCAAGAAAAAAAACCGAATATAATTTATAGCCACTAATTATGGTCACTAGGTTTTTACTTTCTATGACTCACAAAAGTCATTGCTAGTCAGAATTGAAGAGAAAATAATAATAGAACAGTATAGCTCGAATCATTTTTCAAATGCAAGATAACACAATACTATGAGCTTATATTCGGATTTTAAGATAGACTTGAAAGCAAAGAATATCATGGCTTAAATTATCTAAAGGTAATGAAATAAGTCGAATCAGGATTTATTGCTGCAAGCAAGCTATATATATCAAATTATTTTTATTCTTAAAATTTCATGTCTCTTCTGAATAGATCCATTTAATCTTTATCCTTTTGATACTTCGATATTTTAAATAGCAGAAATAGAAATCGATCTCTGATTCATTAAATATTCACAAAAGACGCATCAAATATTTTATCATTAGAATTATATTATTAATAACTCTTATTAATAATATGATGATGAAGTTGCAAATATTAGGAAATTTCTGGTTCTTTTTCTACTGCCCCGCAAATTTAGATGCAATATTACAAAGGGATCGATGTTCACCCTCTCATCGACAAAGAGTTAAAAGTTTGTATACCATGTTAGAATTAAGATTTAAAATTGAGTTTAAACATTTTCTGAAACGAACTTGTCGTCGAACAATAATTTCATCATATTTATCAAAGCCAACGGGTCGATTAGAGGTGTCTGTGTTATCAAATGTAATTGTTACTGTAGCCTTACTAATACCAGCTTGGCCCTGTTTATAAACGAGATCCGAAAGCTGCGCAGCACGAACCTGCAGCAATACATTCGTTTTAATTGCTAATCTTCGATTATGCATTAAAACACATAACTTAAATGCCGAAAATAAGTGTTACCAATTTTTTGTGCATTAATCGCATAAATTAATAGGTTACTCACGGGTTTTTGCAAAAATTTCATCAAATTCATTTCCACACCAAACAGAAAGTAAACATTATAGACGGATTTCTAACTTTTAATAGCTTGCCTCTAACATTATCGTTTAGTGTTAATTACATGCCTATTCCGGAAGGAAATTTGCAAACTTTGCCTTTTTTTTCATTACCTGACTCAAATTAGAAATACCAAGGACGAAACAAATAGCATCGAGGATATTTGATTTGCCTGAACCGTTTAAACCTGTGATTGCATTAAATTGTGCATCGAAGCCATCAATAATCTGTCGCTGGGCATATGATTTGAAGCCATCTATTTCGATTCGTTTTATGCGCATTCCTGCAGTCATTACAACTGTTTTTAAACAAATATATCGCTTCTATCTTTATTCAGTTGTTTTATCTTCCTTCTCCACATCTTCATTTACATCACTTCTATGCTTCTTCAATTTTCTTTTATTCTCTTCCAATCTACATATCCCACCGCCTATTCTCAACTTCTTCTAGCCAACTTCTACGTCTTGAACTCTGCACCATCTACTTACAGAACCAATAACCAGTAAGCACACCAAAACAAGGATAGTATTCGCGCTCTTTCCTCCATTCAGCCGTATGCAATCGTTAAATACCGTCCATCAGTTGTGCTTGTTAACAAGAAGGTGCAGGACTAATCTGTTCTGTGAGACGCACACTTCATGAAGTTTTGATTCAACTACCCATAATGTTAATTTTGTTTTCCTCACTCACAATGAAAGCAGAGAACATCTAAAAAAAAAAATCGTTACGTATAAGTCAACTATTGCACTAATAATTAAGAAACTTTTTAAAGCACTTCCTTCCACCACTTTCATACTTTGACATTTTCCTGGCCGAACATACTCACTGACTCATGATATTCATAGTCTTCACATCAGTTACCATCTTATCAGGTATATATATTCCTTGCTTTACATTCCTTTGATCGTTCTTTTCTTGGAATTCACTTCCCGTTTATCTGATAAGTATGAGCCTCGCGTTTACATTTCGCAAGTTAACTGATAATATGAACTGTTGATAAAAGACTTTCTTCAGCACTTACTTAATTCATAAAATGTGCAAGGAATTGAAGAAATATCAAAAATGGCTCCAATCGATAGCAAGCAAATAAATTAATAATGCGTGCAAATAAGAATAATTTTTTTTTTTTTGTATCGTATGAACTCTTCAGGATACTAATAATAATCACAAATTACTATGTGAAATGCAACAGCAAGCACTTTGAAGAAACCATCGTTCCATGCACGGTTCATCCGATGTATGTAAGCGGACAAAAAATATTCTTTTCCTTTCTCTGTTCGTACAACAAACAATTATAATTGGAGTTTAAGCGAAACTTCTTCAACAATTATAAGATGCAATAAAATAGCTCTAGAATAGTGTAACGATACATCAGAGGCACAAAGACATAAACTTTTACATATATAAATATAAGTAAATAAATAAATATATGTATATATATATACTCGCGGAAATCACACAACGCCCACCTCCTTCAGTTTCACAATAAGTGATGGTATATCTTTAACGAAACCACCAGATTTTCGTACTAGAGGTTCCATAACCTAAAATAGAAATCCGTATATAAAATGATTTTAGTTAACAACAAAAAGATGACACAAGCCTTTAAACAGCAACGAAACTTTTATAATAAAGGAAAATAAAACACCTCAAGAATCTGTGTTTGTTGAGCAATCTCAATCCCATAATCGGAAGGTTTTTTCTTTTCTAAAAGTTTATTTTTTGCTTTCATGATATTTGGTAGTGTAGCATATCTGGGTTCGTTCAACCTTAGATCAGCACTTATCACAGCTGGTATCTTGATTCGTATCGACTCTCGACCTCCATCTACTTCTCTGAAATATTTTAATCAACATTAGATTATTGATAATTTAATATAATATAGAAATTCATAGAGGAAAACTGGAAAGAAATGTCCTAGCTTTGAATGCGATGCTCTAGAGTCAAGTTGGCTCATCTGTAATTGGTGATTACTGCCAATGTCGATCCACCATTACTACGGGGCACATCATTCTTTAGAATAAATTTGAATGATTACTTAAAGTTGTTTTGGTTGCTTAATATCACTTTATTTTAAAATCTACTCACAAAATTAAGTCCAAAAGGAGTAACAAATATGTTATATATGTTACCGTTTGTATGATACCACGACAAATACTAAAAAATGTGGGTTTCTCTCTGGAGGTATATTCAATGCTTATTTTAATATCCAACGAAAATTTAGTTACCTTGAAATGAGGATGGTAGTAATAACAAATTATATATTATAAACAAAAACCAAATAACCAAAAGAACTTTACCAGTTCCTGCACAATGACTGCACACATACGACAAAAATTTGAATCTTTAAACATAAGTGGTTTAGGAAGTTAAAAGTAAGCTTTGCTATTATGCTAAGATAAAAAATACCGACTTACCGTGTAACAATGAATGTCTTATCACTTTCTTGTTCAATTACGCTAGCATACATCGCTTGAGGCCAATTTAATAGACCAGCAAGAAGCTGAGCTGTCTGTCCGCAATCATCGTCGATTGCTTGCTTCCCAAGGAATATAAGATCTGGTTTTTCAGCTTCAGCTATTCTTTTTAGTATCTGAATCGGAATTAGTAATTACCGACTTGATCTGATAAGCTTTTGATTAAGCTTCAAGCTTCCACTGATGAATTTCTTCCTTATCTCTTCCTCAATATTCCTTCCAGAAAGTTTTATAATTGCCTCATTAATTTAATCCTAAGATCTCTGGGACCCTTTGTTCACATAATTTGCCTTCGTTTTTCTCTCTTTCGCAATTGCAAATTATTAACTTTGGCAGCAAGCAACGGTTCAATCTTTTCAGCCATGACTTCTTCCACCTCAACATGTATGGCTCTATCCGCACCTTTCGCTAATGCCGTGCGCAGCGTTTCCTGAAATGTTTTCTAAGGACTTATTCGAAATTCAAGAAAACTATGTAGGATCAATTATTTTCCATAGCCACATGGCGCCATCAAATGGTTCACTATTAAACAATGCTAATTAAATGAAAAAATAAGAAAAAAAGGAAACATCTCTCAGAAATCAGAAGGGAAAAACTTCTTGATTTTAAATAAACCTGTGATTTGAAAGGTCCAAGTGATACAGCTACAACTTCTTTAAGAATTTGCTTTTCTTTCAAGCGAACCGCTTCTTCTAAGGCAATCTCGTCGAAAGGATTCATCGAATGCTGCACATTTTCTTTGATCACACCTGTTTTGTCAGGTTTTACTCTTATTTTTATCGCATAATCGATCACTCTTTTAACAGCTACCAATGCTCGCATTGTTTTTGTAATACTAAACACATGACAATGTGACTTGAATTTGAAAACTTAATTTTAAAAAGTTTGTCATATAATACCTGTGTCAAGCAGTTATTCTAATAATTTCAAACTGATGAAAACACTACCTATTTTGATCAGAAACAAGAAGAGAAACAAGCTGTTGAAGACATTTCACATTTAAATACTTTACGAGAAAAAACCTCTAACAAAGGGAAATAAATGAGGTCATATTTAATGTAAACAATCTTGTACAATAGTGGAAAATCAAGGAAGCTCTCAATGAATGTACCACAGGACAAAGTCCGTTACATGCGGGTTCACACAGTCACAATACGATAACACCACTCTTTCTATACAACTGAACATCTATTTCTCACTTGAAAGTGACAAAATTGAATTTGAAGTCCTAAGTGTTTCTTCCTCTCTCCCCCTCTTTCTCTCTCTCTGTCTTTCTTTCCGTCACCATTCTTGCCCTGCTCCCTTGTGCCAGTTATCGCAACTCGCACAGGAATTTCTTCTGGAGTGCTTCATGCAGCGTTTTGATGTCGTCGCCCGAACTACTGGATGTTGCAGTACTCAATACCATCTCTCGGATTTCCAAGACGTTAGTGGTCTGAAAGTTCCTCACAGAGTTACTGTTCCCTTTTCACCTGACAATTCTTCCACCTATCTAAGCGTATGTTTAGTTCTTTCCCTCAATACATATTACTGTCAGTGCTGCCACTAGGATAGTACCATTGCAGAAGCAAGAAAAGCTTTTATGATTTCTGTAAGTGAGTGTATCCGGTGGACGGGTATTACGATTTTCGAAATTTGGCTCCATGCTGTTGGACTACTCACCTTTTCCGTTCTTATTGTAAGTACCTTCCACTATTCTTTATTTCATTCCGTGTGAAAAAAAATCAAATTATAATTCAATTACGAATCCCTGCAAAATGCTTTGAAAGTAATCTGTGGCCTACATATTTGAAAGTGAAAGGAAGGAACGAAGATTGTAACAGTGCAAATAATGTTGACAACTAGATTTACTGTCTTTTGCTGGTATTTTTCTTTAATGCTACGATAAGTTGTGTCGCGTATTTCAACGTGTTTATAATTTGCAGGTGATGAAAATTGAGATATATTCGAGTCTGACCTATTGGCATGTGTTTACACCATTGTTTATCGCCACCGCACTCAATTTGTATTTCCTGTTTATCGTCCTCATACGAGCAATTGTAGAGGAGAAACAGTGCAAAGATCCTATTTTGAAGTACTTTTTATCCCACTTGTTTTTTAATTCTCCTGCAACCGACCCCTTTTCCGTAAGCATATAGGTCAGATATCTTGATAGTTTCTTGGCAAGATGTGTGATACCATTACGCAGAAGAAATCTTGCCTTAATTAGAATCAATCCTGAAATCGCTGTAGTTAGTTTAAATGAAAAAATTTGTTTCATTTATACTTATTCGAAAAACAGAAATTTTCTAACTGCTGGTATTTCCAAAAATGATTCTGTCTAGGTAGATACAAAATAGCTCGTCTGTGTTTATGAAGTATTTTTTTTGGACAAATTTATGAAATATTTAGACAATTTCAGGCATGCATTTAGCTGGTTAAGACTTGTTATGATCGGGATATTTGAAGCTTTGTTATGTTACAAAGTGAACGGTGACTTAGAAGATGGGCAGGTGGCAGTTCAGTCTTCATATGGCATTGTTTTCTTGCCTGTGTGGGTGTTAATGGCTGCATTATGCTTTCAGGCATTTCGTTTGCTATGACAGTGCGTTTGTTTTAGATTTCCATGAACTAAATGTTGTTGTGGTATATGATATTATAGTTGGAAAACAAATGCAACTATTAGCTGTTTCAAAGGAAGGTGAACATTATGGGCACTCGATTTATTTTCATGTTTAAGAAACAAACTTTTCAGAAAGACTTTCTTGAGCAACATATAAATTATATATTCAACCTTGAATTATCTACTCTATACTCCATGTAGTAAATCTTGGGAGGCAGCAGGGGGGCATTTAACTGTGAGATGGACACTTTTCCATCACTTCTGTACATATAAAAATTTAGCCATATTAAATTTTACTGCTATCTAAGGTATAAAATGGCTGTAGCTAATTACCCAATTCAATTTCTAGCGGTATAGTATTTATTTTTTTAGTAGTATTAGTTTATCGTGTTTGCTGTTCTGTTCTACTCGTTTTTTGGGACATATATTCAGTTCTGGAAATATCTTCCACCACAGTGACTTTTAGATTATACAGAGCCAAAATGAGATTCCCCTTCTTTCTACACTGCTCATACATTTGTTGCATATGTTAAAACTAGAAGAACTATTGCATCCCATGAAAATGTATTCTGCTTTAACAAGTATTAAAATCAAAAACAGAGATCATGATTATTAAATGTTCTGGAAGACAATCCGAAAACACCGGAACAAACTTCAGTCGCTCTCATCGCATGTGTTACAGTCTAAATATTCACCACTGATAAACGAATCCCGACTTATCTGTTGTACTATATATGGAAGATTATTCCTCCATGATTGTCGATCCCGATCTTCCTTATTCATCTTCATGTTTGGTAATAGTTTTGCCTATAATCTGCATAATAACTTTGAGAAAATCAACCCATGATTCAATTAGATCCCCAATTCTTTCTCAAATCCAATATTTTTTTCCTTGAGAAAATTGTCTCTTTTTTTGACCGGAAACTTACTTTTTCACTTTCTTTAATTCGAACAAGTTTCTCGTTAACCTGGAAATATTTTCATTTGCGTTCAAAAATTATTTTTGACTTAAATCGAATTTTATACATTCTGAACCAAGTTTGGAAGCAATGGCAGAGTCTTACAAATCTTAATTTGTCCATTATATTCAAAAAACCACATCAACAAACGAAGAAAATGAGAACTTACCCTCAGCTCAGATCTATCTTCTAACATTTTTATAACAATTCTTGCAATATTTTTGGAATCATCGAGTCCAGAATGTTCGCGACCTTCAAATTTCATATTGAGAAATGTTAGCATTCCGCCTAGGTTAATCTTTTGCATCGAATACTCTAAAAAAATTTATTAACTGTTAGCGATCTGCTATATGCAGTGGAATCGAGCTACTTTAATTTAAAGGGAAGGACAATGACATTAATGTTCATAGAATTAACTGCCATTACTTTTACAATATTTATTTGCGAACGATCTTCGAATGTTGATATAAAAGCGGAAATCGTGAGGAACGGTATTTAATTTACTCTGCAAAATACAAAATAAGAGTAGTATGATATATATAGAATGCTTCAATAAAACTTTTGAACTTGAAATTAATAAAAAATATGCTAGAATTAAGTAACAGTACCTGGATGCACTGCATTTGAAAAAATTTAGCGATATCCCAAGGCCTATAAATATATCGAACATAAGGACAAAGTCAATACTGAATCATTAAATCGTTGAACTTACTGAATTACTAAACCAGTTTTTGTAGCCATTATTTCAGTTACTTGACAGTACGTGTTCTAGGATTCTTACTTGCATGTATTTAATTTCTCTAAAAAGATTACACTGTGAACAAACCCATCAGTTACGAAAGCATAGCGCATATCGTTCTGCCCTAAACGATGTAACTGCATCCACGTTCGAAAAGAATCCAAAACATCAATGAATGGTAAAGCTTTGTCAATCATTTCTTGAGTAATACCCGTAAAGGCTGAACAAAATTCACTAAGTTGCGGATTCGCTAGTGGTCGTACATATGAATGGAAAACATCGACCTGAAAAATACTTTTTGGACTTTAAAATACAGCAGAACAGAACATCTCTGAGAGAAATAAGTCGCTGTAACTTCATTCTGTTTGTTTTATTCAAAAAAAAAAAAAAATAGTTACATAGAAATAGAAAATTGGAATGATAAAAGAATCAAGTAGTTAGAATTAGATCGAAATATTGTTATTATTATCTTTTATTATGTTAGGAGAAATGTTACTGAGAGGAAATCTCAAAATAATAGTTAGAAATGTATAACAAATGTGTACAAATATAAAATCTTTTAAAATCAGTAAGTAAACACAGTGATCTGTGCTGCTTACAATTTCTTTTTTCCGTACATCAACAAGAACAGCTGGAAATTCAATAATTTCATGGTTATAATCATAGAGATCAGCTTCACACGTACATTCGAAATCTATTACCTGCGAGCAATCATAATTATTCATCTTTCCAAAATGCAACTCAAGAACAGATGAACAAGTCGAATAGTGTTTTTAATACAAGTATGATCATCAGGTAACAATATCAAGTAAGCACAACCATAACCCTTTTTCATGTTCATAAACTCTCGGTTTTTGGTCTAGTGATAAAATATTTTAGACCCTGATTTTAATTTACTATTTCTTGAAACTCTTACCACAAAATAGTCATAAAATATATTGGTTTTGCTTCGTAAGGGATCTGCGTTTTTAATAATTGTGAAATCTTTTCGGAAGCACTTCTTCAACCTACTGTAGAGCTGATTTCGTTTTCCGCTGGAGCAATATGATGATATCCAATGAGAGAAAAATCAAAAAAGAAATTAGTATAACACTAATTATGCGACTATCGATTTGTAAAAGACACTAATCTTACAATTATTTAAAAGTATCTTAAACCACTTTCAGTAACGACAAGGCTTCCTGAAAAAGCAATAACGTAAACGAAAAGTGAGAAAGTAATCCAGTAAGAGTGCTTAGAGGAATGAATGTGATGACAAAAAATATCGGTCTTTTGCTAATCTCTGCTAAATTCTTTTTGGACGAGACATGATGTGTAACACGGTAAAAACCTGTAAATCTACCGAGAATCGATATGTGCTTTCTTTAATTCCTTCTGCATTTCAGTTGTAGTCATAAAATGCAAACGCTGCATAACATGAAGTACATGTTTTGGGTTTTTCCTCAGTGGTTCTTTATAAAGCACTACTGGCAGCATGTATGGAGCATTATTATCCTCTGTTGCATTATTATCTTCATAACCTGTAAGGAACTAATCTATTTTTAAAACTTTACTGAAATTTTTAAAATTCTATCTTTATAACACTGAATTCGTACACAACCACAGTCTAAAAAAAATGAATCTTTTCACGGCCAAGAATTTTTGATCTTTTCTGGAATCGAAAAAATCCATATTTAAATTGCTGCACAAAAATTTCTCCAAAAATTATTTTGAAAACAATAGTAGTCGAAAGAGCACGATAATAATCGGAATTTAAAATAACCAAAATCGAATTAGTGCAATTTGGATTTAATGACAAAGCCAGATTAAAAACAAGGTCCAATAAATTCACTTACTGCCTCCATCTCTTAGATTCATTTCTTGTACCTTTTGCGATGCATCAATTATTAGCTCATAAAATTTCTCCAGTTCTTCGTTATGCGACACACTTTCTGCACTGAACATTGATTTATCCATGAGTGATAAACTGCAATAAATAATGCAATGAACATACATGAAAAAATTATTGCAATAAATAATGCTATGAACATACATGAAGCAAATTACTCGATGAAGACTCGACTATAAAAGATGAGAGAAAAGTTGAATGTGATGGATGAGGAACCTGAACAAGATAGAAAATGAAGATTAGAACCGTGCAAGCCACTTGATATTACCAAATGTGAAATATTTGTAGGATAGAGGACTGTAATGAAAGTATTTTTACATTCGCATATCAACTCACACCAAAAATCGCAAACTTCCCATCTTTCCCTTCCACTTTCACCAGAAGACCTATTCCTAAGGGGTTTGATGAAGAAATTTTATTTGCTGCACATTCTTAACTATAATTTTGAGATTTTCTCTCAAAAATATCTTTCTTTCGAACATCCCTCTCTCTCAAACATTGCAATAAAGTCACATTACTTACTCTCAATCGCTCACCAAACATTATCTTCCATGTTTTGTCAGGCACTTTTTCCAGATCTCTCTTTATATCTTTTATCACTGATATACGTTTTAAGTTCCAATGTGATGTGAATCCTACAAAGAGGACGAGATAATTCTTTTAAGTTGAATTTCGCAAGTTGTTCAGCTAACTAGTCCACTAATTAATGAACTACTCCGGACTGACCATCCACAGTATTTTTTCGAGATTATATTTGTCACAAACCACTTAAATGGCACATTTTCCAAACACGAACTGTACAGAAGTAAACGTTCAAGAAAACAAAAGTCCACAAACCCTATGTGGCTTCATTACTATCCCTTTTGGGACTCTACATTTTCACAGTGGCCAAAACGGCTGATCGGGTGGGCGTTGTTAATGTGACCTACGTGAACTGTTTGAGGATGGCGGGGTTGAGTATTCAGTTGTTTTGATAGGAGTTCCGAAGTAGTTCTCTGAGATTCAGGTATTCAGTGACAGATTCAATATGTACTCAGTGACAGATTCAGTATGTATTCTCATTCTCTTACCTCTCTGTTTTAATCGATTACAAGGAATTGTTTTAAATCTCTTTCCCTGGCTTAATTTTTGCATCAAAATGAGGTGTGCAGGATACAAGTCTGCAGGAGGATCCTTGTTGGATACAAGCAAATCTGGCCCACTGTCATTCTCGGGAATCTAACTGTCATGGAGCAAGAGCAAATAAGAGGTCTGACGGAAGAGTCGGAACTTATAAAATTCATGAACAGAGAATTTTGTGAATTGTATTATAATTTTAAAAAAAATAAGAGGAATAATGTAGCGATTTACAATTTACAAAGCAGATTCTGCATACAACACAATCACTGGGTGAGTTATAGTTAGGTCCTGTGAAAGATCACTTGATGTTCAGCATCAGCCGTATGTATTTGAATTGCTATCGATAAAAAACATAGCCTTCGAATATCCGGACAGGTATCTTTCTACTATTAAAGTGGATACATTTTTGTAGGAAATGCGTCTAATGTTGCAGGCGATAGCAGAATGTTGTAGATAGTATGAATATAAAGATACTTCCAGTTTATGAAAATTATGACAGGTTATAGATTATTCTTAATATAAAGGTATAAATGAGGACAGTTGGTGGCTTTTCTTTGTTATATTACAGTTTCCTAAATTATCTGTTTTTGTTTCTATTTGTTTATAAGTCAGTTTATCTACATATATTATTTCTTGTAACAGTGTATAATGTTTAGTTTGGTTAATTTCGCTTGTGAAAATTTGAATATCTTTCAGGGTCGTTCCAAAATAGTAATGTTGGTCACTTTTAAGACCATTGCGCAAGTGAGCTTTGAGATCGAATTGGATCCTCATTTAACGGTAGATTTTTCCTTGAATTCATAATCTCTACTGTTCAACTGTTTGTTTTAATAGGAAGGATATAAGTGCCAGAGATATATATGCCAGAGGCATAATACAGAAAGTTTTTCCTCTTCTTGTTTTACTTTACTTTTTCCTTTTACTTACTAAGAACTGACTTTAAAATATAGGTTCTTAATTATTTTAATTGAAAGTGTTATCGTAGATTGGCGAAGTGAAAGCAAAAATAGCTGAAGAGAAGGGTGAAGTGGAATATCCCACTGAATGCCAAAAACTTATCTACAATGGGAAAGTAAGTTCAAAGATATTAGTTTTTATAATGCTATTTCTTTTGTTATGAAATTAGTAGTAATTAATTAAGGAACCTATTTCTGATAAGTTTTTCAATGATTAGCTCAAAGCACTTCCAGGTTCTTGACGATGCTCAGACAGTTGAGGAAGTGATGATCGATCCTTCGAAATTTGTTGTCGTTATGATTGCAAGAGTAAGTATTACTAAATTTTTGAATATAATTTAAATTGTTCTCTACAAATTAGCAAAATTATTCAGCAGTGAATAATTTTTTTAAGTTGACTGCGTCATTTTATTTCTTTTGCTGCCTTGTGTTTAGAACACATTTAGAAAAAGCCTATCGGAGCTCCTGTCGAATCGACCCCGCAGCCGTCAAATTTGCAAATACCTGCAGGTGCACAAGTTACGACAGCTCCAGTTTCTGTAGCAGATAGTGGTCCATCGACGCCACAGAATCCAGGTTAATAGGCAGTTTGTAGCACTTATATTCAGTTAGTGGTTGTCTTCAGCACTTATGTTCAGGTTTATACACATTTGAAATATAAATGGTTTGTCAGTGTTTTCAGTATCAAAATTTCTTTCAGTTTTTAGATGAAATTATAGAATTTATTACTGATACTTGTGAAAGTTGATGACAAAAGAACTTTCTGACGGTCACTGCTAATATTAAATTTGAATGTTACATGCCACTTAGAACCACTGCACCTTGTTTTAGATTGTTGACGTTTATAAATATTTCAGATGATTTAACCCCCGAACAAGAGGAAACAGCTCAAGCAATTGTGGCAATGGGCTATCCTCGTGATAAAGTTAGTTGCTCTTAAAATAAAATTCTCTCCAGGGGTATTTATGTTTCACCTCTTAATGATTTAGGTGATTCGAGCTTTGCGGGCGTCATTTTTTAACGGTGATCGTGCTGTCGAATATTTATGTTCAGGAATACCAGAGGAAGAGGATTTAGGAGGTCGGTTGGTTTATCTTGCATAAATATTAGATATTCGTTCTTGTAAGTTCAAGTTATGTATATAATTTATTATTTGTATGTGCATTTACTTATTTGTTTATTTTTACTTTGCTAGAAGCTGTCTTGATTTTTGAGAATAGAGGGTTGCAAAAATACTGTAGATGAGGAGGGCAGAGAAATTGGGTGGAAGACTTAGTGGTATACTCTTTTTACTTTTTCATCACTGCCCATGTCTATTTTATAAATATTATGTTCCTAAAGGACATCAGGAATCAGCGGAACACGAGGAAGGAGAGCGAGCACAAGGTCTAGGTCTCGATTTCTTACGTCAATTACCGCAGTTTGAGCAGCTTCGAGAACTGGTTCAGTCTAACCCTGCTATTCTTCCCCAAATCATTCAACAAATAGCTCAGTCGAATCCAGCACTTATGGAGGCTATTCAAAATAATCAAGTGCTTATTTACAATTTTAAATATTATTTATTGGAAGCGAAAAAGAAGTATATTTGCATTTCATAGGTGTTTTCACTATACACTTTTTAGTGTTACATAATGTTACTTGTGGAAAATACTTCTGTTGAAATCGTTTGTTCAGAATATTTAACTCTTTTTTTTATTTGTCATTTATTTCACATATATGTGTTAAACAAATGTGCATATGTAACTCAGTAAATGTGGTAATTTCGGGATAGCCGGAACTTGATATTAATGTTATTTTAGGAAGAATTTGTCAATTTATTAAATAATGGTTCTGTTAGTAGCGGTGGTGGTGGTGTAGCACCTTCCGCTGGAGAACAACGCCAGGTTGCTATTCATGTTACTGAAGCCGAACGAGATGCAATTAATCGGGTATTTTTTTCACCCTTATTATTTTTCATAATTTATGAGTTGACGAAAATGATTCTTTAAATTCTTAACTTCTTAAGAGCATACTAAATCTTCAGAACCGTTATAGTTGATTGATGTTTTTATTCTTTTTTCAGCTAAAATCCATGGGTTTCCCAGAACAGTTGGTTATCGAGGCATATTTTGCGTGCGATAAAAATGAAGACCTTGCTGCTAATTATATACTGGCTCGTATGGATGAAGCAGCGGTAGCGCTTTTTGAAATTAGAATTAGATAAATTAATTTAGTTGTATTTTTATAAAGTGGAGTCGGAAATACAAACACCAAGATCCTATTTAATTGTAACATATATCATTACGTTAACATTAGAAATGACTTTCTTAACTCTTAAAAAATTTTACGTGAATAGATCCGCCCTGTTGAAGTTTTCTCAGTTGTGCTTTGTTGACCACTTTTTATAAATCTTTTAGAGAGAAATTTTATGTAATAGGAAAGTCACTGCAACAGCTGTTTTTGGAATCATTGAATTCATGGTAAGTATGTTTTAAAGCGCTGAATTTCGTGATTTATGAATGATTGCAGGCGGAACTTGATGCACTGGAACATCAAAGTGAAGAAAGTCACGGACCTTAGAAAGTGATCCGGACACAATCCGTATACATGGATATTATTACTACTGCATATGTGACGGGCTTCAATTTTTGAAAAGAAAATAAAATACCTTTTTTTCAAATAATATGGGGAGTCGTTTACTTCATTTCTTTTTTTTTTTTTTTTTTCTTTTTTTGATTTATCATAATCTTGTGAAAATATCAAGCTTCCCCTGAAAACTGTGCTTCAGTTGTTTACTTCCAGTAGTGGATTTTATTTTTGGTATATTTTTTGATTGCCAGTTTTTATGAAATGTGGTCTGAAGTATTCCTTTTACGATAGTTTATAGCAAGACTTTAGCTATTTACAACTTTGTTATCATTTTTGCATCAAGACTTCATGCTAAACTTATGCTAAGAAAGAATGTTGGCCTTTTATTTATGGAAGTAGTGAATTGTTTTGACTATGTATACTGTATCAGTCGAATTGTTAAAAGTGTAGTACGCTTTTTGTTTTTTCTTCTTTATTTTGTTCATTGATAAATGATATTATCTTATTTTCTTACTATGGTGGATAAGAATTTTGATTTGCTTATCTCTCCAAGGAATTTCCAGTACTGATGAAAAGATGAAATAAAGGTTTCCCTTTTGACAATTTATTTGGCCAGCACTAGCACAGGCGCTTTAGCAGAGAAAGGAAGTGTTGTTTGGTTTCGAGTGTTGAAATAATCGTTGTTAGGTTTTGCTTTTTTTAGTTTGGGAGAATGAAGTATCCTTTTTATCGCTATAATAATTTATCATTTCTGCTGTCGTTTTTGTTTCATATTGAGTCTTTTCTAGAGTCGTATTTCGAACTTACCATTCCTTTAAATAAAGATAGTCTTCGCTGTCTTGCTATCCTTTGTTTCTGCCTTATTTGTTTCAAAACTTTATTAAGAAGTTCTATAGCACCCGAAATGTGATACACCTTTGTAAACACATTATGTGCCTGATTCGATACCACGTAGATCAGTTCTCAAGCAGTCCGTTTTCAGTAGTGCTTCCTTATTGTCTCTTTGATCACATAAATTTTATGGTGTGTTTATGGAATTTGGATGTTTTAGAACTTAACCTGTCATAATAAGTTGTTTTCACCGAGCAGTACTTCAAACCAAGAAACTACTGGTGAGATGCTGCAGCATGATACTAATTATCTTTACCGGTTCTTCCAGAGACCCATAACGTCCCGGATATTTACTACTTAATCCAGTTACAGTTCTTCCCTCTTTAAGCAAACGTCTCTTCCCAATATAACCTTCTGATAAAGCATATCATAACTTGATCTAACATTTTAGAAGGTTGAGATAGGATTTGTCCGGTATAAATATCCTTTTCTATCATAATTCCACTTCATCTTTTCTTGCTGCATTTGCATTGGTATTCATATAATTCAACAGAAACATTGTATCAAGTGCAGCTTCTGCGTAGATGTTCATACAGATTATTGATGTAGAATCCTAAATTTGAATTAGTCATATGATTGTTTAAATAATATATATTAATGCATGAATAGAGATTCATTTTATTTATTGTTTGATTTGCGTAGATGTTTGAGGGAGATGTAAGCGAAGAGGATTTTGAAAGAGAGCAGGCAGAACGTCGAGAATATGTCAAAAATATCGGTATCGAATACAGATTTGGATGCTACGAGGTTCTTTGTGCTCCACTAAAGTGACTGGGCTTAAATTAGCAAGCTACTAGCTAAATAAATAGATTAATACATCGACAGTAAACAAAATAAATTAAACATGAATATCTTGAATTTCCAAAATCCTCAGCTTTCCATCATACCTTTTGAAAGCCTTGGTCTTTCCAAAGAGCAGAAATTAGCTTTAGTGTCTTTAGAGTTTAAGAGTCAGTTTTGTTTCTACAAAATTTTTATCCACAGGAGATTTGTTCCATAAAATTCTCATCATTTTTCATGTGTTTCCAGGAAAAGCGGCCTGAAATGTGTCAGTTGTTGGGGGAATACATGGAAGCTATCGAACAAAATTTCAAAGTTGCATATAACGTATTTAAGACGAATTGCCAAGAAAAGGGATTTCCGAGAAGTTGTTTTAAGTATGCTATGTATCTTCTAGCTGGAAGAGGTTAGCACTCATTAAAGCAAGTCATGATGCATCGTTAAAGAAGAAATAAATTAGAATGTAGTCATTCATAATAGATAAAGGGTGAAAAAATGATGTATATTATCAATTTGTGAAAAAATGAGGACAAACTTTTTTTATTGATAAGACTGTCATTGAAATGTATGGTATATAAACCCTTTTGATGAGCATCTTCCTCAAGTAAATCGTAGAAATCTCCTCCAACCTTCAGTCTGCAAAACATTAATTAAAATATTTTGTTTCGTTACTTTCTGTTTATATTCCTTATTAGCAAAGTAAATATTTCAATAATAACCCAACTTCACGTGTTCATCTTGTTTAAGAGTGTGAACGTAGCCAAAAAATGATGATCGAACCGCTGGAGAAATCATGTGAAGCTAATATGCCAGAAGGATGTCGTTTTTTATCATTAGTTTATTGGAATGGTGAAAAAGATAGAAAGCCCAATTCTGAACTGGCTGAGAAATATATGAAAAAGTAAGTTTTCAACTAATTCTTTCCTTTAAAACTAATATTCAGTAAGGACTGTGAACTTTACTGAATCAGAAAAAAAAAAAAAAAAAACCTTAGCTTGCGTTGATGATTTGGAAAAGTCATGAAGACATACTGGTAACGCATAATGCTATTTTTTTTTAGTTTTTTTATGTGTTGATAGAAATAGGCCTTGTAAGATATACTGATTTATAGCATTACAATTTAATTTTGATTTAGTCATTGTGGTGCTCCATATTAATGTGGAAATATTTTAGAGCGTGTGAGCTGGAAGATATGAAAGCATGTTGGTTGTTAAGTACTTGGTATATTGGACATGATGCTGAATTCGTTACTTTGGATGCAAAAAAGGCTGTAAGTCCGATATTTCATTTAATGAAGATTTTTTACGTTGGATTTGGAGCCTGTGAAATAGACTAATATAAGAAATCACCTTAAATCGATTTAAGTTGTTACTCTGAGTGCAGTATTTTCTTTTCTAGTTTTAGAACTGGCATTTTTTCTTTGGTACGTGTTTATTTCTCTGAATTTTTTGTATAAAAATATGAACACAGCATGTTAAATTAAGAACTGAATCAATAACGACAGTTTTAGATCTTAAAAACGAGTGTGCTGAACTTTTCTGACCTGATTTTAGTCCTGTCATTCTAGAAGCATAGTTCACACCTGGGAGAACTTCCACGAAATATCGATTTAGCTATCAAATATGGTATCCGTGCTTGTAATTTTGGTTGCTTCCAATCGTGTGGAAATGTTTCCAGGTTAATTCTGATTATTTTTACGATTAGTTTTTCAGCAATTTCAGTAGTGTTGGTATTCTGTGTGGACATTTTGGTCTTAGTCAATGACTAAGACAATTAATTTTAATTTTATTCCTTAAAACTAAGCGATTCTCGCAACTCTCATAACTACATACTGCGCAGTATTTAAAAATTACTAGCCGGTTTTTTTTTTTCATTGCAGGTTATATGGCCTAGGTGATGGAGTTGAGTATGATCCAGTTAAAGCGAAATTTTACTTGAATAAAGCAAAAGAAGCTTATAAACGTGCCCTGTCAGGTGATAAAGTGAATTTCACTGGTTAATTTTCAGTATTTTTAATACGCTTAATTCAGTATTAGACTAATTTGATTAATTTTTATTCATTATTGCTTCATTTACATTCCGCAGATTCAGTTCAATTTAGCAAGGTCCCTCAATTTAAACAAGCTGTTGTTTTTCTGTTATGCATATATAACAGGAACTGTATTCAATGAACTTTTTTTTCTCACAAGATGTCAATAATGGCCGATAGATATGCTATGTTATTTTTTTCAGTATTTTGTTAAAATCTGTAAGTTGCATTCATTATGAGGTAACATTCTTGCTAAGTATAATTTGTAATTCAGTAGGAATCACATCTTTATATATAAAATATCTTAAATATTACTAAAGTGGGTTTTTAAATTTAGCCATACTTATACTTTATAATCAGACATACTTACATTTATTTTGATAAATCTCAACTAATCTAGATTAGTTGAATAAATACACATGAAAGATTAGACTGAAATTTTTGCTAGGATCCATAAGTATTTGAAAATATTTTTTTGTTCCGGATCAGTTCAGGTTTTATTGTCAAAATATCGAATATAATTTTTTCTTTTTCTCAAATCATCCTTCATGATTATACCAAGGAATGAGTGTAATTAAAAAGTTAAGGCTGCCGAACATAAGACATATAAAGGCATTGATAAAAAAGTATCTAACCTTTGATTAGTAGCGTAACTCACTTCGGCAAGCAAACGAAATAAGCAAAGCTACTGATCATTTACTGAAAATTGGCAGAAGACATGCTCTTAGAAAAGATTTCTTGTCATTACGAAAAACAATCGGTAAGAGTTTTAAAGTATTACTTTAAAAAATAATCACAGACCACAGTGTTGGATTCGAGAGAAAAGTAAACGAAACTTTTACGGAAACGTCTCAAGAAAACGAATTGGTATACTCTTTTGAGATGTGGCTTAAGACAGTAGAAAAATCGGTTTCATAAATAATATTTTCTGTACAGTTCACAACTGTTGCAAAATATTTTTATATTTCTGCTACAGTAGAAAGAAAAAAAATTGAACAGTCGCATTTGTATTTTTTGTGGAAATGATGTTTTGATAATGTGACCAGCAAAACAGAGACTCGTTTGTAAATTATAGAAGTGAACTCTCATGCTGTAGCAGAATGAGCCAGTGAAATGATTCTGGCACAAACTGATTATAACAATTTCGCTGATGAATCTTCACTGTAAAACGGAATTGTAAGGTGCAAACGTTTGGTATCGGCGAATAAAAATTGATATTAAAAATAAAGGGGCATTGAATAAAGTTAGTGATTTTTAATTTGTTATTTATTAGTAAAATTTAGCAATAAGTTTTTTTTTTTTTTTTTTGAGTAAGTTCTTTACTGAACAGAGTAAAAATTTCTTTTGGTGAAAAAAAAAAAGAAAAAAACTAAAATTAATTTTTTAATCTGATCTTTTGATTCGAACTATATTTTTATCTGTCCCAGTGCAACTTCAGCAAAACTTCTGATAGAGTAGATAACTACCTCGGTTTTTTAAATTGATTTTTTCGTTGAGTCGTAAATTTCAAAATCTTAGTGGCAATCACATAACACTCTAAATTTTGTACTTAGTAAAGAGTAAAGTCTTCCACAAACTGGTAAATTAACGATGATAGAAAAAACGATTAAATATATTATTCATTTCTGCAGTGCTAAAAAGCTTCAGATTAATGTGATATGTAATTAGTATTGTATTAATATGGTAATGGAGAGGAGAAAACCAACTGATACGCATTATTTCAAAGTCAATCTGAATGTATGCATTAGTGGGTTGTTAAATAAAATTTAATTATCAATTGGTAAAAGTGATTTAAAACATAACTTGAACAAGGGCATAAAGTATTAAAGAAAGTTTGTAGGTTATTAATTTCAAAGATTCTGTCAAGATGAGCGTTATGTTTCTTAGGTTTACCAGTTCAGAAGTGATAAAATGAGGTTCCTTAGGTCTACTAGTTCAGAAGTGATAAAATGAGGAAAAAAATACATATAACTCGATGATAATTATCATCGAGTTATATGTATTTTTTTGTAAATTCTATGGGATTTATCATTCCATCGTAAACTTCAAAAGTTCACATTAACACTGATTTCATGCAAATTGAGAAGATATCCATCCTTCCAAATCACACATACATTTGTTTCTTGTTATTCTACTAGCAAAGCATGAAAACATGAGTCTTAAGTATTATTCTATTGCAAACTTTTCGTCTTTCTTTCATAATGAGTAATGTTTCTACGTTTCACAGCTTTGCAATATTCTGTTGGATTTACAAAATTATTTTCGTTCTCATATGCTTACGCTTCAACTTAAAGTTGAACTCAACAACTATGCTACATACTGAACGACTGTTATTGATGATTGAAATATGCTACAATATATAGAAGGATGATGACTTTTTAAAAAGACTAAATAGATAAAAGAATTAAGAATGGAAATATGAATAAATCATTTAGGCTTATAACTCACTTGGTTGGCCTCAGAAAGGAGATTAGATGAATGAAGCACTGCAATTTCACTATAACCGACAGTAGAACAAATGTGGAAGTGAAAGTCTGATGTTCGTCCTTCATTCCTGTTAACAATACTGCATCAGCAAGTTAATAAGCATTAGTACTTGAAAACATTGAACGCATTAAATGCTGGAAAATTTCAACAATTGACTTTTTAATATGGCTTGTAACCGTGTTAATACTGATTAAGTAATGGAAATGTCATTCCGAATTGTACTATGTACAGTATGACCAGTCGAGATGGTCTTGAGGAGGCCATAAGAGAAGAATGGCTGCACAGATTGTAAATCTGCGTGAGGAGAAAGGATCAGACGTAAGATTTTTGGAGGACAATATATGTCACTATCACGTATGTTATAGTACTAGTTGACAATGCAGTCCTCAAAAACTATTAAATGTATGTTGAAAGGATTATCAATCACGCAAGACCCTTATCTTCAAAAATTTCAGTTTTTCGGAAGGAAATTTTTTTCTTCGTCTAAAATGTAAGAAATCACAGAATTTTATCAATCGCTTTTGAGCGTTTGACTTGAACCTTCCCTCTAATACCTTCCTGTTCTTCTCACATTCCTCAGTCTAACATGTAAAGGTGGGGTGATTTTTTTGCATATCGTCCGCAGTATTCCAAACAAACCAACCTAAAAGATTCCGGGAAAATTATTAGCTAGAATCCTGCAGTTCGATTATGTAAATGATTAGGAGGAGTTTTATAGAATACCTTAACAATAGGTCTTTTGTGGTATGATATTAACTCTTAGCACGCTCACTTTACTGTCCACTTCCTACTGGAATCAAACTTTCGGCCAAAAGAGCCAAGGGAAATCGCGGTCGAAATAACATTTTTCGCAGACTGATGAAAACTGAAGTGACATTCGCTTTTCCTGTGATTTCTTTATATATTTATAGATTCTGATATCTGCTAAAGTTTCTGAAACTTGTTTATATCAGACCTTTTTTTACAGTCCTCTAAAATCTGAAATTATTTTTCGTTCGACTACAAAGGAAAAACGAATCTGACTTCGATGTTTGGCTAAAATATTTGAGGGACGAAAGTATCATTATTCTCTCGTTAACTCCCGTGATGTTGACTCAGTCAGATTAATTGTCATCAGAGTACTTGTCCTCTTTCATATATTCTCGATTTATTTGAACAATTTGAAAAATTCTATTGCAAATTCCGTATTCTGCGTAGATAATACACAAGTGTTTATGAAAACAATTATAAACACTATTATCGAAAAGAACTGAGTAATGTCTGCCATTGTTTACGGACTATCTTATGTTTTAAGTATATTGAAGCGTTCTATTTTATTATTAGTTTGGTGCTGTAGTAATTGTGCATCAAATTTTTAAGACGTTTCGCACCTTGTAAAGATTACTAGTAGGGTTGATATTATTTCTTTTTATGCTGTATGTATTGCTTGGTACTAGCAAGTACTAGCAAAGCTTATCTCTGTTCAAATCAGTCAAAATTGAAGGAGCAACTATATGTCGACATTAAAGTCACCAGGTGCTCCTGTGGATAACATACAGGTAAGTATTGATAGTTCGGAAAAAAATACTACCTCAACTCGCGTTTCCGCTTCGACTACAACTAATACTAACCCTGGATCGTTGGAAGAAATACATCGGAAATGTCGCGAAGTATTCCCAATGTGTTTCGATGGAGCAAGGATGATGCTTACGAAAGCAATGTCTTCACATTTTCAGGTTGTTTTTTTTTTTTTAATGGAAGTCTTTTATGGAAAAGATTCTTTTTCAGAAATAAATACTGCAATGAAGGATATCCTTGTTTTGTAGGGTTTCACCTTAACATAGGTTCCAGTTTGTATATAAGGAAGAAACCGTATATTGTAATTCATAGATATTAAAAATGATATATAGGTGACCCATACGTTATGTGTATCGCCACAAAGTACGGGATATCGTTTTGGTGCCACCTATGTTGGCACTAAGACAACGCAACAAGAAGGCGAAAGTTTTCCTGTGTTTTTGGCAGATACTGACATTTCTGGTAACACTTCTGCAACATTCTTGCATCAATTTGGCGATCGATGGAGAGTAAAAATGCAAGCGCAAACTCAAGGTAGCATTTCAAATTGGGTTTCTTTTTTGGTTTGCATGCACCATTTATGTCATTGTTATCTTAGTATATGTTTATCAGCATATTGCTTCTTGCACGTTTTGAGACACTTTCTAATGTCTGTAGCTTGGTTGACGGTAGTTTTCTATTATGCTTCCTTAATTTTTAACCGACAAAGGAAGCGAACATATCTCATGGTAATTGTTAGCATTGTTATGGTTTTGCTTTCAATTTTAGAAGTATCATCAAACTGGAATATCGCTAAAAGCAAGCAGTATATTTGCTTTTTTTATTTCTTCATACATTTTCGACTCTGCAGAAAGTTTTGCTTGTTTTTTCTGTTGACATTCTTTTTATAGTATTTTGAATAGGCTTCAAGGAGTTAATCATTTAATA